GGGAACGTCTCTTGCCAATGTGTCTCAACAAGGAGGAGAAATCCTGGTTTGAAGAAAAATTGAAGAACAAATGTTTCTCTTGGTCTGAGGCTGAAGGAATGATACTGGATCACTATGACACTCCCTACAGAAAATTTTTGTTAATGTTTAAGGTATGGACCATGAAGCAAGGTTCCAATGAATCTACTCGTCTCTTTGCTGCCAAGTTTCAAACCCTCAGAAGACAGGCAGGTTTGCAAGATGGTCTCTCCTTGGTTTTGACGTTCTGGGCTGCCCTCCGTGAATCTGTTCGAAATGTTGCGTCTGTGGCTGTTTCTTCTCAGTACGGTACTAAGTTACCAAGTAAAGTCGAAGATATAATCGGCTTGGTACTTGCATCAACCAATGACACTGATGTATTCTCTTCCTCTTGGAGTTCTAGTCCTCCTTTGTTTAAGGGAAATGATGGTTATAAGCATGTTGAACGTACACGTAAACGTAGTGCACCATCAAGAGCTGGTAAAGACACTTGGTCTAGCAAAACTGTTTCTTCTTTCTCTTCTGCTCCTCATAAGAAGCCTTGCACGTATTGTAGTAAACCATGGTATCATGGTCATCGTTGCGAAGAATTCATGGAGGCAAAAGGTAATAAAAAGCAAAAAATATCAAGAATGGCGGTTCGTGGTAATGGTTCTCCTTACGAGACAAATGGGACTGCTTCTTCGGAAGATGAAGATAATGATATGATGATGGCACGCTTGGCCCTTGATTGTAAGTCAGAAAATAAAGACATCGTTAAAAGGGATTTTAAGAACGTTAGTGCTAACATTACTTTTCCCATTCTTGTCAATAATTCTATTAGAACAAAATCTTTGCTCGACTGCGGTGCGACCTTCTCTTCTGTGGACAAGCAATTTTGTTTAGAAAATAAAATAAACATTCATTATATCACACATATAAATAAAGACTTGGTATAGATAAGTACCTTATAAGACTTCTGATAATAACTCATATGTAAAAGAATTGGTACATGTATTCTGAGTTCAGTTGAAATAATCTATATGCATATGATGATCTGACATTAAATAATCTTCATTTACATAAAAAACATAAAATTACATCAAAAACATAAAAGAACTCTGTACTGAATAAGACAATGGATCTTTAATAGATCAAGACGTATAACGAAATCCAACTACATTATTTAATTAAAGTAGTCTATGATAATAGAGATCAGTCATTGCATGAACTCTACTACTACTTACTCCGACATCTCTTCATATATAATACCTAGAGAATGAAGAGCTAAAAAAGATAGATATATTTTTTGGAATAATAAACCTATACAAGTTCTAATCGATCTTTGTTTTATCTTCTCTTAATCAACATCAGTTATAACCAAAAGGCCATAAAGCATCAATTTGAAGTCATGAATCTCACTAATACTAATGACTATACAATGAGCATTGGTACAGATTGTATGCACTCTTTAGCTATGGGAATTTATGGATTACGTGTCAAATATGATGACAGCGACACGAGTGAAGAATTAAGAGAAGCTGATAGACGCTTCAATAATACAAGTGATCTTCTTGAATCATTAGAAGAAGAAAATAAAAAGAATGAAAATAATCCTGCTTGTGATGCTAATCAATTCAAATTAGTAATGGATTTCATTCAGCCCTTCATTGATAACAATCAGGCAATTCCTAAAGGTTCATTCTGCACTATACCAGAAAGTGTGGTGTGCCTTGACACTCGTCCTAATGTAACTGCGTATAAAAAGCCATATCCTGTACCAATCAAAATGATGAATATAGTGGATGATCAAGTAAAGGAATGGTTGGATAATGGCATCATTGAGCGTCACTATGGCGGATTAGTTGTTTGACTTTACTAATATTGTTCGCAAAACAAACAAGAAAAAGTAACTTTTTTGCCAATGTTGTTGGAAATGTCAACAACTTTTATTTTATTTTTCTAAAAAGCAAGTCATATCATTCAAAATCATTGATTTTCCTGTTTGTGGGGAACAAAGTTGTTCGTTTTGTCAACAATAAAAGCTATGAGGCGACAAGTACTGCGACAATAATAGTAGCTTTATGAGCAAGAAAAATTCTTTATTTTTTTTTTACAAGTACAATAATACTGATAATGTTTCTTATAAAAAACCAAAAAAAAAAAAAGGTTTGCACAATGCAATACGCTGATGCACTCCTAAGAGTTTGACATGAGACTCATCTAAAAAGAGTATATTGAGTTATGTTGAATATTTAATAATTGTTTGGGTTTTTTAACAAAAATAACTCTTTCTTTTTTATTGGGGTTGTTTAACTTTTTTTTTCTACAAATTTAAAGGTTTTGTGCTTGCCCCATTTTGGAATCTAATAGCTCTTTGAAGATATGTTGTGATATAACTTTGTAATGATTCAGTGCTTGATTATAACGAACCAGACCTACATTACAAACAATATCTTCGAATCGACAGACAACATATTTGTGCTGACCCGGACGACGTAAAACAACCTTAGGCATATATTTGTCATAATTAACGACACCATGACTTTCTGCAACATCAATCAACACCAGAAAAGTTTTTTCGTCTCGCAATACTGTCTCAAAAAAGAAAACAATAGAGCCCACATAGAGCTGGTTGACAGGTTTATTCAGATTGCTACGAATGAATGTATATGAAAGTATTAGATAAAGTTGGACAAGAGATTGTAGTAATAGAACTTACTTTAGATGAGATGCGGTAAACATAACATAATTGTTACCTCTTCTTCTCTCATTAATATGATCTTTATATTGTGCAGAGGTAAAAATGATGTTATTGAACCAAGCGCGACCAGCGATGTTAAACACGGAATCCTGGGATGGTGAGTGTTCCTGTTGATTTGAATAGATTCTTTGGTACGATTTTTGAAGAGCAGTTGCAAATTGAACAGAAGAAATACCACAGGGAAGAGTCGAGATAGGACAGTGATAATATACTGGAGACCAAAGCTGAGAGGTGGTTTGATCTTGAAAGTCTAATTGCAAGAAAGTGTTGCTCGTGTATGGCTTTGGCTCAATCAGATTAAGGGCCTCTCTTAAATTAATGTTTTGGCCATTAACGTAGTTGTATAGAGTAAACCGCTCAAGAACATTTCCAGCATTGGCACCAGCATCAACTTTTGACTTTATCAGCTTTTTATATCTACCTATCGTTCTCTCCATTGATCGGCCAGAATAAGCTTTCAGTACTCCTTGCTTTTCGATCATGTACGGGATATGCGTTAGGTAATGCTGAACCGGCTTTAATACACCAGGCTGTATTCTTTTTTGCTTTATTTCTCCCAACAAGAACTTATTCCACACCTCAATTGCGCTTTATAGAAAAAAAGACAGTTAGTAATAATGGTAAGACATTCATAGGCAATCTTTTTGCTCTTGTATATTATATTCTAACATACTTTTTCATCATAAGGAGGTCAGTTTGGGTTATTCTCCATTTCAAAGCATGTGCGCAGGCCTTGGTAAGAAGAAGCAAAGGCTTTTTGGCTTCTGTAATTGTCAATGCCGGAACAAATGTTGTTGGAACCATGTACAACAAAAAATCAATCCAGTCAACACCTCGATTACCACCACTCTGCACTATCGGATTTTCCCATTTCGAAGAAAAAGTTGTAGGGACAGTTGTTCGGGATAACTCAATAAGCTTGCCAATTTCAACCAATTTTTCGCTGGGGATATCAAACGTATATGGCCAGTCAGCAACAGAGTCTATTTTGCTTTCAAGAAGTTCTTCATTGGTTGGCGTATATTTCAATGCAACAGCCTTATTATATGATTTCTTCATGGAAACAGTTAACAATTCGTAAACATGCTTGGCGATACCTTGTCCGATCAGATGAAGTTCTTCAAGGGCAAAGAAAGAAGGACCGATGAATGTTGGAAGTGAAGCAAAAAGTGGCTCAGCATTTATCCCTCTTTTCTATGTAAATGGTAAGGTATTTTTTTTTTTTTGGTAAATACCATTGTCTATCAACATTATTTTTTTTAACCAATATTTACTTACAAAGTTGGAGTTGCCACTGAGAAAATCATTTTTTTCGCGCATTGGAGCGTTACTGTCAAGGTAGCAAGTACGGCTTCCGTAACGTACAGTATTAATTCTGCACAATCTACAGCCGTTTGTGCTCATATGTCCAGAATGATGCGCCAGAGATGCGGCAGCAGGAATATCCCCAGTTGCAATCACTAGATTTACTTTTGCTTGACAGATCTCTTTGCCGCCTCGTCTAATCAAAAGACCATGATTGCTCAAATCTTTAAACTCATCAACAATAGGCTTTAAAAAAGAGTCAATGTCTTTGGGCGAATTTGGACCTGGTAAGATTGCAAGCTGTATCATGTACTCATTTTGGAATCTATTTGCTCAATGGATTAGCACGAAACAAAGGAGCTATTTTCAAGTAGTCATTTTTGTTGATATTTACCGATATTCAGGCGGAAAATTTAGATTGACTAAGTGGATGATGGACAACTTGTCTCCAGTAGCAGCCTTTCCTGGTTGGAAGCCGTCAAAAAACAATGCCAAAGCTACATCGTCCTCAGAAGAGAAGAAAGCTGTGTTTTTCTTGAGGTATTTGTACTCTTCACCATCAAAGTAATCCTTGTAAACTCCATTCTCGCTTTTAAACGTGTGCCTATACTTCATTAGGCCTCTAAAACGGTCATTTGCCAAGAATGCAGCAATTCGATCACCAATTGACATGAGCTTCATTTGTCTCGAAGGCTTCTTGGTCACCGAGGTTGATGAATATCTCAATTCACCGCAGTTACTGCAAGCCAAAGTCTGTGTATCGTTCTTTTGATAAAGTCGGCAGCCTTTTGGACAAACATCATAAAGGTAGCTGCGAACATTGGTTTTTTTAGCAAGTCTTCTTTCCAAAGTATCTTGAAATAGGATTGTTGAAGGTACTTTACCTAAGTAGTGATTTAATTATTATTTTGTGCGTGCGTTCATAATGTTGACATTATCTTTTATTCGGCTTACCATTCTTAAATTCAGCTCCCTTTAGATTGTTTTGGACAATTGTACGGACAAGATATACTAATTCTCTTGAAGCCTCTCTTGAAATACCATAGGTCTCAACTATATCCATAAAGTGGATACTGTTGAGTTCAGTTTCGTCAAAACTGGGTGGGAATGGCTCAAAGTTATAAATGCGCTTTGCACCATGGTCTTTTTCAAAAGTGAATGAGGAGTGGTAAGAGAGCGATTCAGTTGTTAGGACTACAGAAATATGTGCAATCAATTGTGAATTAGAAACGAACCTCTTCTGAAGGCAACTATTATAAGCAACTATTAATATGTTTAACTTACCAGAATCAGATTCGGCTTCTTCCATAACAATATCTATATCTGCCTTTCTGTGGCTTTCATACCTTTGGTAATGACTATTAAGTAACCGTAAATTAGAAAAAGGTAGGCCGCAAGAGCAGGTATATTTGTTGTAGACTTTTGGAGTAGGCATGGTGGTAAAATATAAATAAAGATATGTGTATATTTTCTTAAATAGAGATCTAAGTCTTTTATATATAGATTTTTTTTCTGCCCATTAGTGCCTGAAGTCAAATTTGAATGCGTAGTAAGTTTTAGTTGAACCTTCCAGAAACTCTTGGAAAGCATATTCTTACTAATACTACCGCAGCAACACTACTTTATGACTAATACACTTGTTCATAAAAAGAGTTACTTATTTTATTTACCTTTTTTTTTTATTTTTCCTGCAATTGTCTTTCTTTCTTACAATATGAACCAAACGACTATTTACAAAATCACTCAAATGCAACAACAAATTTCCCAACTCGAACAAAAAATCGAATCACAGACTCAAATACTTAAGGGATTGATGCATTTATTAGCACCCTCTTTTGCTCAAAGTGATAGTAATGAGATCAACAGTGAAGTTCTTGAAGCAGCTCAACAAGGTAAAAAAAACAAGCTATTTCTCTAAAATATGTATTAACTTTTATTTTTTTTTGGAAAATGTAGCAAGAGAAGGCGGTGTTGCCAACTCTCTTAATCTAAACTTGATGGGCTTCCGAGACATTCCTAGAGTACTTGAGGAAGCAACAAAAGCATTCGGCTCTCATGGATAACATAGATATGTTACGCCACGGTTGCGTTTGCTTGCCCTGATCAACTTATTCAAGAAAGAGAGAAATATGACTGATCTCTTAATTGATGATAAAGTGAATGAGAATGACTACGGGATCCTCAGAACAATCGCAAAAAATACCCACGATGAAATGGAGTTAGAGCTGCTGAAAGCTTTGAAGGAGAGTGACAAAGCAGCTGTGTTGCCTTTATGGTCTGAAGTGTCTTCTGCTCTAATCGCAAAATACATATTTAAGCTTGAAAGCAATGCAGCTACTCATGGCTTTCCTCTTCAAAGATGTCAGCTTTCCTGGGCAGCCGGTCTATTGCTCTTCGAAACACACAAGCACAGAAGTAATAGAGCAAGAAATAAGGCTTCTGTTGTTGAAAACCATATACTACATACAAATTATCTTCTGTGTCTATCGGTGTTGTCTCAATTCCGAATGACGAAGCGAATTGCTCATTTAACACTCTTGCCTCGCTTGTATATTTTTGTTTTTATTAGATTCAAGTAGTGCTTCTTTTCTTTTGCTATTTCTCAATAAAAGTATCGTTTTTTTCCATTTATATTAAGTGCCTAATTTCTAATAATCCTAAAAAAATAAGTGACATTACGAACAATGTTGTTAACTAAAGCACCAAGAAACTTGGTTGTTTTGTAGCCAAAGTTGTTCCAGAAGTAAACAAGTTATTGCTGTTTTGTTGCTAATATTGTTCGCTTTTTGAACAATAAATTTAGTTGTTTTGTTACTAAAGTTGTTCGAAAAGCGTACAAATAATTTGGTAACATTTCGAACAACTTTGTACGTCGAAAAATTGATGCCAGCTATTTCTCAAACAACCATTTTGCTGTAAAAATTGGTAATTTTGCGAACAAAAATTGTACGTTTTGTAACTAACTTTTCCGCCATAGTGTTACATCAGACTCGTCATTGATGGTGCTTTAACTTACAGACTTGGATTATATATTTAGTTCAAACAGAAAAGTATAAATACTGTGTTACTGATAACTGTAAGTACATTATCTTATACTTACTCTATCAATACACAGGTAACATGAAGTATTTCTATAAATAAAGATCTAATACTCTATCAAAGAAAAAAAATTGAGAAAAAAATTTTTGAAAAAACAAAAAAAAGTTGAAAAATTTTTGAAAAAACAAAAAAAAGTTGGAAAATTTTTGAAAAATGAAAAAAAGTTGAAAAATTTTTGAAAAAACAAAAAAAAGGTGAAAAATTTTTGAAAAACAGAAAAAAAAAATTGAGAAAAATCTGAAAAAAAAATTTATCATGTAAATACGAATACACGAAGTATTGAAATTATTACACGAGAGCGAAGTGATCTTTGTTGTTATCTTTCTTTTATTGGTTAAATTCGAACTTGTACTACTTAAATTATATATAAAATAAAATAAAACTAGACTATGTATCTTTATCTTCTTTTTGTTCGAATTTTTACTACGCTCTTGGACTTACACCGTCGTAGCGAAATTATGTCTGATGAAGTACAACCACCCGCTTGGGCTAATACACTTTTACAAAGAATCCATAAGCTTAAACAAAAGCTGCACGACTCACCTTTGGTCAATATTGACCCAAACGTTGTCATCTGTGCACCTGGCGCTGACTTTACTCCTTCTTCTGCCATGCTGGACGGGTTTCCATACATTCAAAAAGACTCCTTTAAACGTCCTCTTGAGGATACCGACCGTCGGCGTTTCTTGTTTGATTGCCCCAAAAACACACTACGAAATTTTGATCTACCCAAGCTTAACAAAGTCAATTTACATTCTCCATACAAACAGATTGATATCGTTTGTCGGGCATCACCCGTCCTTTGGATTGGTTTTCATATCAACTTCTTCACAAAAATTGGGATCATACAACACTCAAACAACAAGCGCGGGATTTTACTTACGCCATGCATGAACTTTTGTCTGACCTCGCCTCTCATGTTATCACCTAGCGTACTGAGAACATGTTCAGAGGACTATCGAAGGATCTTGACCCACCAGCGCAGGCGACAGACAAGTTCCTTGTTGGCACACAAGAAATGTTGGACCACATCAAACTCCAACAGTCAGTTCAAAACGCAACGCAACGTACTCAACGAAACAAAGGACCTCGATCCAAACGTTTTAACAATAACTGTGACACCAATAATTATGCTAAAACGTATTCAGGCGCCCGTGCACCAGCCACCATTCAATCAAATGGTTACGAACAGTCTCACAACAACTTTAGCAGCTTCTCAAAGGATCAGCTGACTCAACCACAGGGTTCTCACAAGAGCCAGAACCCAACAGAAACGGCTCTAGGTCAGGCGGGGGACGTTTAGCCTTGTTTTCTTCTTCTTGGCCTTCTTTGCTCGGGTTCTCCGTGCATCCATGGCTACACAACATTTTACGATATGGCTATTGTCTGCCTCTTATCTCTTCACCCCCACAACGTCTTTCTCACCATCATTCATGCGCCCCAATCACTTCGGTTACTTCGCAACAGGTAATCGACATGGAAATACAGAAGCTTCTCAACAAGCAGGCTATCGAGTTGATACAGCCACATCACCTATCAACAGGCTTCAATTCAAACCTTTTCATCATTCCCAAGAAGGACGGTGGCCTTCAACCGGTCCTCAACCTGAAACCACTGAACCAATACCTACCAGTTGAGCACTTCAAAATGGAAACTATGCAAACTATCACTCAACTGCTACAACCAGGCGACTTTTTAATATTCATCGACTTACAAGACGACTTTCATTACATTCTAATCCATCCTCGGTATCGTCATCTACTGCGGTTCCATTGGAAACAACAAACATACCAATATCGAGTCCTATCATTCGGTCTGAGTCTTTCTCCTCTGATATTCACCAAAGTCCTTAAGCCGGTTCTCAAGTGGGCTAGATGGCAGGGTATCCGGCTCACGGCATACTTGGACGACCTACTCATCATGAGGAACTTTTTTCAACAAGCTTAAGAATTCACTCAGAAGGTATGTCAAAAAATGACTCAATTGGGCTGGCTATTGAATACGTCGAAATCATCTCTAATGCAATCACAGTCAATCACCCACTTGAGCATGAACATCAACAGTCAAGGCATGACTATCTCGGTGTCATGCAAGAAAATCAGGACACTTTGACGCATAGCTTATTCTTTACGGAAGCAAACGAAGGTCAGCTGGACCAGCTTAGCCCGGTTCATTGGCACAACCATAGCTACTCACTTGGGGAATGTTCAAGCTCGATTTCGGACTCGTCATCTGTTGGCCCAATGAAACAAAACACGTTATCAGCCATTCTCCGAGATCAACGCCCAAATGCAGAAGGAGCTTTTGTGGTGGACAACCAACTTGACCAAATGGAATGGACACCACTGTTGTGAACATATAGAATCTATATGCATATGATGATCTGACATTAAATAAGTCTTCAATTACATACTAAAATACATCATAATCAATTTACACCAGAAATAGACATAAAAGAACCTCTTGTACTGAATAAGACAATGTATCTTTTAATAGATCAAGACTTATAACCGAAATCCATAATTTACATTATTTAATTAATTTAAAGTAGTCTATGATAATAGAGACTCAGTCATTTGCATGAACTCTACTACTACTTACTCCGACATCTCTTCATGTATAAATATGCTAGAATAATTTATAGTCAAAAAGAACAACAATAAAATTGTATAGAACAGTCTCAAAGTATCTACCTTTGTCTCTATATCATCTTATTATATAACTCTATTATCAAAATATCACACTCCGACATCTCTTCATTTATAAATATGCTAGAATAATTTATAATCAAAAGGAATAACAATAAAAACTGTATAGAACAGTCTCAAAGTATCTACCTTTGTCTCTACATTATCTTATCATACAATTCTCTATTATCAAGACATCTCAATTCATGAAGTTATTAATACTTACTGGAAGAAATTAAATGGAGCTGAATAAAGAGTTCAAAACAAATGTAAATCGAAAATGAGTTACAACAAAAAGTTTAAAAGATTAAGAGCCGGTCAATAGGTTCAATGCAAAGCTTGTCTTTTCCAGACGGATTTTTTCAAAGGTTTTTTTTATTGGTTTTTATGACTGAAAGTTGATGCATGATCATTTGCATAGTTACATTATACTCCTTATTATACTTCTACTTTTAATTACCCTTTGTATTATAGTCCATATGTATTTTACTTCTGCAACTATACTTTATCTGATCAGCGGTGTAACCACTTACATGTCACAATTATTATGCAACTTATTTCGCCACTTGTTCAATGCTGTCTTCAAGATTGCATTGTGGTTCAAGCTGGAGGAGGGCCTTGTTGAATATAAACATGAATAATAATCGCACCACAGCTTAATAACTTTATTGTAAGCGAGAAGATAAAAACAAAGAAGTCGATTAGAACTTGTATAGATTTATTATCCCCGAATATATGATTCTGTTTTTTTTTTTTTTTTTTTAAATGTGTTTATTGATTGAGCCGCGATGATTCTGTTTTGTAGTTATTCATTCTTTAGGTATTTATATTTTTAAGGTCAGTTAAACTAATCTTCTTATCAAAGGAATTGAAATGGAACTGCCTTAGTTTATATGAATCAGGAACAGACTGTCAATGGACATGCCTTAGAAATATACTTGCTTCAGCCTATCAGGTAGGATTTGATCTGAGATAAAACAATGTAAAAAATTATTTCGATAAACTATCCTAGCATCTTCTTGTCATTTTCATTGTCACGTCAAATTGGATCAAGCATTGCTGACCTCAATAGTTTATCCATCATGATAAGGTCTGAATAACAAGAGTCATTGAGTCGGTTACCACCGATCTAGGCTGTCTCTTGATTTATCATTGGATTAGAATCAATCTCTTCAGGATGGATAGACGAAGCGAACATAAGGTTTGTTACAACTACTGTATCTGTATTCTGGTCACTTAGCCATGAATGTCTGTATGTGATAATAAAGTCTGATATTTATTTGTAGTATGTACATAGATTCTATATGTTCACAACAGTGTCGACGACCTCAATCTCTTCTTCAGTTTCGAGATCAGTTAAGGTAGATTCATTAGTTTTATCATCTCTGATGCGCTCGAAGCTTCTATGCTTATGAATGTAGTGATATTCTCCTTTTTTGGGGTGAGAGTCCTTGACACAGAAAATAACATTGAAGTTTTTTCCAAAAGTCAAAATAGCTTCCTTCAAATCCTCTTTTGATTCAAACTTCTTACCAACTGCAAATTGCAAGTTGAGTTCAGTGTGCAATCTGTCGTGAATGTTTTTGTTTCGAGAGAATATTTATAGCAATAAAGTCAGTATGTGATGATAACAATGAAAAAACACTGGCATTGCACTTTGACGGTTTTCAAGATGCAACGTCATATCTTTGGCCGTCGAAGTTTTTAGTCCGTGTACAGAAAAAAAAGCGTTATTTTACAAAATAGTACAAAACACAAGACATGGAAAATACTTATCTCCCCCTCCTCTTTTCCGGACAAGCTTTATCCGGCGACAGGAAATAAGCGGATTCTCCGTTTTGGTATACGGGTTTTATATGCACTCCTTAATTAAACTAATTTGTGGACTGTTGTTTTAACTAAAAGAATAATACCAACTTTATTTGCTTGTTAATAAGTTTGTAACTAATGATTGAAAATTATAATTAAAACTAACCAAGTGATGCTGGTAATAAAAGTGATAATTATAAAAGTAGTCTTGAGATAGTATGTGTGTTTTTAGAAGTTTTAGAGAAAAATGGGGAGAAATGAAAGTGAATGAAAGAGTTGTAATTAAGAATTACACTCTTGGTTACACGTAAATTTACATAATGACAAAATAATGAGTCTCAAAATAAAGGTGCAGATTGCAAAAGTTCAATATTCAGGTCATCACAAATCAAAACATTAAAATTCCTCTGCTGTGACAATCGATTTTTGTCATAAGGCGGAATACTCCTAGTTGCTTAATCAAGGGGTTCTTTTACTGCTCTTTGTTTTGTATGACTCCTAACAATACGACTGCCATCCTTGATAGCAGTCATACAAGGTGGCCCTTTTTATCAAGTCAGGACATACCTTCTTTTGTTCAAACACCTTATCTGATATCCTCTACACAACAAAAGAGAAAAAAAGCTAAAGAAGTAACGTCAGTGGGTGGATCAACTGCTATTGCACGCACGCTTATGATGCAAGGGTTGTATTTGTTCTATCGTACACCCATCAAGGTAAGCTCATATGTTCTTGCTCCTCTGTCAATATTTATATGACTGACCTAAATGATGAGTTGTTTCGTCCATTGCGTGTTGATTATCTCATTATGGCAAGAGCATTGATGCCCATGGATAGTACAACTACCAAACGATTTTCTTTTCGATATACGTCAATTGGTATGATTACCCATGCAGTCAAAACAAAAGGTTGGAGTTTTATACCTCGTCATATTCTACCTCCTCTAGTGGGTAACACATTGATTGGCACCGTACTCTATACAACCTATATTGCAGCTCTTCCTATCTTTCATCCTCCCAGTGCCTATCAACTGCATCGTCCTTTTCCACCTCCTCCTTTTGCTTCTGTCTTTATGTCAGGTAATATCATTATAGTACAAAGGCATGTATTGATCTAGCTATAGGCTGCTTGGCAGGAGCAGCGCAATCTGTGATTGCCACGCCTTTAGACTCACTTAAAGTACGTTTGGAAGTAAGCGATTTGTTAGAAGGCAAACATCGATCCATGTATCAGTTTGCCAAGTCTACGCTGAAAGAATTAGGTATTGCCAGTGCTTATCGAGGATTTACCTTGACCATGATTCGAGTAAAACATTGTCGGATTCGAGTCTTGTTTTATCTTACTTTTTTTTGGATAGGATTCGTTAGCCTGTGGATTGTTTTTCGCGACTTTTGAATGGATGAAGCAGCAAGGTTATTATTACTTTTTAGATGAAATGTATGGACTTCAGATTGACTCAAGTACATTGAATGAAATTGAAAAAGGATGGTTTGAAGTGCATAACATGAGTAAAGAAGATAGACACCAAATCACTTGCACTTCAGGTAAAAAAGCAGAAAGGCCGCCTTTAATGCTTGAACCTCTTTTCGTTATCTTAGCAGGTGCTTTTGCAGCCATTGTAAGTATATTGTTCATTTTTTAGGCTCTTATTTTTTTATAGTCCTACCAAGCCATTGAACATCCTCTGTCCAGAATTCATAGTATTTTTTATGTTGAAGAAGGCCAATCTGAATTTGCCAACAAATCAAAGCGAGAGCCTGTCAAAGACCTGTACAGGCGTACATTTGAACAATGCAAAGCGCAAGTAAAACTCAATGGAGGTAGTTGGAGGCGATTTCTTTATCAAGAATTTACTAGTACAGTGATACGCGTTGTGCCTGCCACAAGTGTAGGTTTTCTTGTGTTTGAATTAGTGAAGCGAGAAGTAGATTTCAGAAGTATTGAATTTTAATGTGTAAATAATATGTAATTTTAATGTTAATCTCCCCCCTCCCCTATCTGTTTATATTAAATAAAAAGTGGCCTAGGGTTGATAAGAGGGAGGTAGTGGTTGTCCACTGGATTGACCCAAGAAATCAGAGGCAAATTGAGATTCTTTGAATTTGACTGATTCTTGTTCTTGCTCTGGTTTTTTATAATAGCGACGATACACATATACACACATTACTGCCACTCCCACAGTACCAAGGACACCCAACACAGAACCTACAATTGGAGCCAAATAATCATGATCAGCAATTGCATTTGAAGGATGCATTGTACGGCGATCTTTAGGTCGACACACGTTATGTTCACATACACCAGCTAAGCATTGATTAGAAGATACACAATGCGAGCCATATTGACTTTTTTGACGACAAATGGGTTGTTGTCGATCTTGTCCAGCTGAAGAGCAATAGAGACCATGACCACAATTGCCTAAATATGCGTCTAAAGGTCGATACAGGTTGTGGACAGGCCACATTATAATACTTTGATGATTCAACAATGGGGTGTTGTTGAGTAAAGTAGGCAAAGGAGCTTGAGGCGCTAGTGTACATGATTGTAGGTTGGTACTTACAGAGGCGCCTGTATACATGGGTGCTTTTGAAGGAGAAATCATAGTCCAACTATTAGGTGTCTGGAATTGACATTGAGCTGTTTGTAAAGTGATAATACAGGTATGGCTTGTGTTTAGACATGGCCAAGTACAATCAATTACTGCTGGATATTGACTGAATACCTCTTGAGCTTCTGATACAGAAGAAGAAATAAGAAACAGAATAAAGATAAACTTCATAAAAAAGAAAATAAAGACAAAAAAAGGGGGGTGAAAATACTGCTAAGAATACTTTGCTTTTTTGTTTATAACTGATCTCTTTAAAGGGCTATTCTAATTCTTGCATTTCCAAAGTCCATGCAAGTTCTTTATCAAATTCCAATAATTGTTTTCTGACAGACATGGGACATATTACATTATAGCTTTTTAGCCTTGCATTAATACGCTCTACTTCTTTTTCGAAAAAAGATTTCTCTATTTTTTCAAACTTTTTGACAAGTCTTGCCTTTGTCAGTAGGGTATGCTGCTCTCTAATTTCATCTTGACATCGTTTCATAGCCGAAAGCCATTGTGAACGTAATCGATGGATTTCTGCGTTTACTTCTTGTTGCATCACTATCCAAGGAGGAGCAGCCCCGTTACGCTGAATGATGCGGTTCAAAAAGTATTCTGTTCTGTCTACAAAAGGATTATGGATCCATGGATCTTGAGGTATGGGTTTGCCACGACCAGGCAAATGATCAAATACTCCTTGTGTCTGAGCAGCACGAATCTTTTGATCTGTTAAAAAAACCCATTCATTGATATTTCTCGGTATCAATGGCTCTTTTGTCGCTTCTTTTTCTTTTGCATCGTATTTTCGGTCCATGGCATAATCAAAAGCAGCATCTTTTGCATTTGTAATTCGTTGCTGTTTACGTTGTCTTTGTTTCTCTTGTCGTTCCATTTGTTTTTGCTGCGCACTCCTTTCTTTGATGGGTATAGGAGGCGCATAGTTTGATTGAGGATTAGGCAAATTTCTTCTGGCAGCACCTTGTACTCGAAGAGGAGTACGATATTTATCCATGATCATGCGTAGCACACTATGATAGACAGGTTCTTCTCCGTCCCAAGGCTTATCATTTGGTAATTGTTGCTTCTTTGTTAGTGTCGATACTTCATCATCCTTTTCTTCAAATATATTCCTTGTGGAGTAGGGCTTTTGCAATACTCGAATGTAAATTGACTTGGTTGATTTTGGTTTAAGGAAAGAAGAAAGCATCATGATAACTGCGGACAAAAAAAAAAAAAAAAAAAAAAAAAAAAAAAAAGGATTTATTTATTGTGTTTCTAATAAGGAATCCCATTGGTGACTTTTTGAAAGTAATCATACAATACAGTGCGTTGGTTTTCAAATGAATCCTTGACTCTTTGAATCATAAAATCAGCTGCTGCTCTGTCTGATTTATCTGTCTGGAATCGGGCACGCATACGTTTGATTGTCTCACCCTTAAAGCAAGGCAAGCCGGACTGAAGCATTAATGTCACCAACTGCATAATTAATTCAGCATAAGGTCGACAAGCCAAATAACCCTTGATCACCAGCTCACTAAACTGTTTAAAGGCTTGTTCTTCTGAATTTCCACCCATAACTTGAACCATCTCTGTTGTCAGTTTGAAGGGTGAACTTTCAAAGCCAATGCCACCAGGTGCAATATCAAAAATAAACCCGAAATCAATATGAATAATATGTCCATCATCATCCAGCATGATATTACCATTATGTCGATCTTTGAACTGCAACAAATAAGAAATCAAAGAATAAGCAGCTACACTTTGAACAAAGTTTGTACGGGCACGTTGGAAGGCAATAGAAGTAGGACCACCGTATTTTGCAACAAAATAATCATACATGCTATTCACTTTTTCTCGGCCAAGTTGATCTCGAGAAATGGACCGAGGAATCACGTCAATCACACCACGACCAGGCGCGGTGGCTACTACACGGTAAGGATAAACATAAAGGTCAAGACCAATGCTGGTAAAAATGTTTTTAAATACAGCAATCAACTGTAATGCAAGCACATCCTGTCGACAATCATCGCCTACTTTAAAAATGGCACTTTGCCAAAGTGTCATGGTGGATGCTTGAGAATTGGTTTCATTGTCTTCTTCAAGCGTATTGACTTGTTCTTTCTCTTTTTCAATTTTAAACGTGGCCATAAAGGGTGCTTTAGCATGACTTTGAAGTGGTCTGCCTGAGGTACGGTTGATATCGACCACATGGCCGTCTGGATTGCTAGGAAGATAGACACCAACATCGACCTTGATTTTGGCTAGCTCTTCATCCAAGCGTTTCTACACTGCATAAGTTGCCTGCATTCATACAATATGCTGCTTACCTTTTGCATAGGCTTTTTTTCATTTTGGCCATATTTAATGTATTCTTTTAAATAGCCTGAAATGGCTGTCACATCACCAAAGAACTTGAATTCTCGCTCATAGAAATCACGATCTTTACCTGTAAAAGAAGAAACAAGATGATCAATGATTCTTTCCAGTGTAGGCTTCAAAGGATCAGGCTAAGGTATGTTTAGTACAATCACTCATGTGTGCTTGTGTCTATACCTTAATACAGTCTTTATCGGCATCAATATAGAAGTTAGCACTCATATTCCAAATGATTTGATGAGCAAACAGCTGAGATACTTGTCCTGCTTCCATAATATAACGCTCTACATAACCGTAATCATCATATCGAAGTGCTTGGACAATCTGAGGCACATAGAAAAATACAGTATCCACAGGATAATATTCTAAGCTTCGCATGGCATATTGTAAAATCAAAGGATGGTTCCCATAAGCTGGCATGAAGTAATTGGCTGCTGTGATGGCAGGCACGGGTGCCCAGTACTTGAGATACCGAAGATCCAATTTAGCTGTTGGCTGTACTTTATCCCCTAACAAAATCTCCAAGGCTTCAGGCACATCCACCACATCCAATGTATTGTTGGCAATCAGTGTATGTAACTCGCGCTGAACAGCAGGTTGAACAAATCGAGCAGCCATTTGAACTGCCATCTTGGGCAACGTCTCCCATGCAAACCGAATGATCTCTTTCCAATTCTCATCCGTAGTAAATGATTTCTCAGAGCTATAATTAGCAAGATAACCAGGGCCCACGGCATTCAATGGATTGCACCAGACAGACAGACGAGCTAATTCACTGTCCATCAATAACAACAGTAGTCGCTTGGTCAATTTTTGTTCACGAAGAATATCATCTTTGGTTTTGTCGCTTAAGAACATGTAAAGGCCTGAAGCCACTTTTGAGTTGGTATGACGAGAAGTACAGGTCAATAGATCACTTAAGCGAGGTGTATCATTGACAATGGCACTATAACATTCTGAAAGTACCTTTTGTTCTATGAGGGCATAACTCTTGCGAGATCCATAGTGCCATTGAGGAGGTAAAGCAAACCAATGAAAGGCAGAACCATAGACCAAGGAACGAAAGCGGTATTCAGCCAAAGCTTCCATATGCGATGAACGCAAGATTTTCATGCCTAGTAATACTAACTGGAATCGAGGCAGACGAGCAAATGGATGAGTGCTCATCAAATGAGCATTATGGAATGTCTCTTGGAGTAAACGAATCAATAGGTTGATCAAATGCTTACTACGGTGTCGAATAGCATAAAATCGACTGGTAAGGAATTTTATCCAAGTGACATGCGGTGTCAACAAACGAGTCGTGTTGTGGTAGTTGGCCTCAATAATGGATCGATCAGAGGGTGCATAAGTCATCCTGCTCACAAAGGGGTGTTTGGCATTCAGTTTGGGCGAAAAGAGACCTTTGCGGTAACGTTGTGCCCAACTCCACATGTTCAGGATCTCGACCATCATTCGTTTCTCCATATCAGGCCTTTCAATCAAAATCCAGTTCCAGACATCAGTACCAATCTCCAGTGATTCAGGCGTAAAAATATGCACTGGAATACGAACAAGAGAACGAATCAAGTCAGGCTGAATGCTAGGCAACGACACAACGAAACTGGCTGCGTGTAATAAAGTACGACGCAACCGATCCAGTGGAATCTTGTTACGTTGCTTAATATCGTCCAACATGCTGGTTAATGTCTGCAAGATATGAGGAACATGACCCACAAGAGACAGTGTGTCGAGTTGAAGTCCATCTACTTGTCCAAGATAGTATCTTCTTGAAGTAAATCCATCTACAAAATCAGAAGAATCATCTAATAAGGCACCACGCACACGAGGCACAAAATCAATAGTCATTTCATTCTTGGCTGCTGCTTTGCCTACTTCCAAAGCCAAAGTACGGCCCATATGTGCTACATCCATGGGTCTATCATAGCGTGCATGATCTGCTAAATAATCTTGTAGCAAACCATTAATTTCCATAGGAGCTCTGTCCATGGATATCTGAAGCCATTTCTTGCCATGTTCATACATACTACTACAGACTTGTCGACGATACACAAATGAATCGCCTAATTCAATCGTGACACCCACGCGAGGAGAAGTGAAATGGAAGACAGGATAATATTCATCACGGTATTCTGCTTCACAGCTTAACCAGACTAGCTGAACCAGTTCAAGCAAAAGTGTCATTAATGACTTTTCAGCAAACACTTGAGGAAAGGTAGTGACGATACGCTCTGATGTCTTGATGGCTATGCCATGGACCTTGTCTAGTCGATGGCAACACAGTTGAAGTAACTGGCTCATTTGACCACGTAATTCACCATCTAATGCCTGAGTAGATGCCTTGAGAGAAGCATCCTTGATGTAGTTACTAATGACACGATCCACAATAGTTTCAAGGCAATTGGCCATCGTACTGTTACTAACACCATCGTTCATGAAATACCTAAGTACAAAACTACAATCACCCATCTTACTTCGCATCAATTCAATATGGTACACGCTAAGGGCAAACACAATCTGAGCAAAGGAAAAGTTCTTACTGTCATAAGCCAACGAAGGCAATAGGCTGGTGAGCTTCTGTCGTAACAAGCCAATATCTCTATCTGTTGTGTTGGCACCACGCAAAACTGAATTGAATTCAAGATCACTTTCAAGATAGTTGGTGGCACTTTCAATCACAAGCACAGGTGTTTTAGAAGCAATGACCAACATGAATTCATGCCATTCTCGAAGCCAGATCGATTCTGTCACGAATCCGAACAGGATGCAATGAAACCATGTATTACGGAACAAGGACACGGTTTCTTCAGTGGGATTGAGATGCGGTTGGAAATCAGCATGACTCAACAGGGCATGGATCACAGGAAGCAGTTTTCCCAGTTTTGAAGCCCACGGAGCCTCTGGTTCTTTCTTGTTCTTGAGGATACGTTGGATTGTATTGCCATTCTCGACAAATAAAGCCAACAGGTTATGAAGATAATGATCATAGTAGTGATCTAGTTGTTGAGCCAATGCAAGCTGAGCATCTAGAATGGCTGTTGAGAGTTGCTTGTTATCCATTGTCAAGGATTCTCTACTCAAGGCAGAGAATAGGTTGATGATATCTCGAAAGACAGTCAATGAACCCACCAAGGCTAAATCGACCAAATTCTTTGTCAAATGAGTGATGGTCGAGATGGAAAATGATTTACGACGCAATGCTAATACTGAGTACGCTTGTGCGATAATCTACAGAAACAGTAAGCATCTCTTTTGTTTAAGTTTGTTACTTACAGACTCATCTTTTAGATAGACAGCTATACCCACAATGGCTGAGAGTGCATTCACACGTACTTGTTGCTTTTCTGACTCATCTAAATCTTTGACAGGCGTACTGTTGGACCGAGCAAGAAGAGGTGTTGATGCTTGGTCTGAGAATCGAGTCATTTCGTTCAATAAGGCGTAAAAGGTTGAATTGGCTGCTTGACGCATTTGTAATTCAGGCATTGTCTGAACACATTGAGCAAGTCGAGTGATAGCAAACTTTTGCATGGTTGTCTCCATTCGTTCTAGATGCGTATTCAGTTCAAATACAGGTGAAGGTGTAGCTAGATAGCGACAAATTGTCTCTGTCATTTTGTTGTTTAAAGAAGGAAAACTACAAAGCGATAAGTGATGGAACAACAATAGGATCATTTTACTTGATAGCCAAAAGAACAGCCGTGTCAAGCGAGGCCACATGAACCCAAGTCTTGTTGCCTGTAGGTAACTCAAACAGACATTCATCCACATAGCTAATAAGCACATCATCCACTTGATGCAAATAAACAGAAGAAAGTGCTGCTACTTGCTATTTGTTTATCGTTAAGTATTCTTGTATGACATGCCTGTTGCTTACCAAACTAGTGCCCATGATTTCCCTCATATAAGAGTCAAGCGACCATGCCTTGCCTTCATTCTCTCTTCTTTCAGCATATCGCTTGATTTCATCAAAATAACCCAGACTCATGACATAAGCACCTCTCAGGTTCTTGTTGAGTTTTTGGTCCACTTGATCATCTTGAGGTCGAAATCCACCTGCTACTTTCTTCATCAGACCAGACCAAGCATGTTCAATATGCGTTGTGAGATGCAATTGACTTGTGCTGGTATGTTCTACAGGCAAAGCAGCATAATCATCTGCAATCACACGGGCAGTCACATTGCGTAAAATGATCAATAAGTCATGAATAATGCGATTGGAACTGAGAGGAATGCCTGCTTCCCAATAACTGGCCAACACACGACGACTATAACTTGTCTTGTCAGACTGTTTAAGGCAACCATCAATAGCTGCTTTGATATGATCTAATGTGGAGTCAACAAATAAGGGTTGAATATTCTCACATAAGGATTGAAGTTGATGGGGCTGGTGTAAGTAAGGAGAGACTTGTAAGGCGCGTGCTAAACCAGCTAAAGAAGGTAAACAGAAAGACACAATCGAGTCCTCTGAATCATACGTGTAAGTTTATATGAAGAATAGTTGGTTACTTACGATCACGTGTTTCCATCAATTCAATCAAGCATCGACCATAATGCCATAATGATTCATAAATAATGTCTATTAATTCAGCTTGTTGGTGTGCAATAGCAAGTAAACCAGACACGATACTATAGGTGACATGATCAGGAGGAGTGACACCTAATATGGAGTCTATAAATACATGTCAAAAGATAGACAATGTTTACCTTTCACAAGAATGATATCTTCCCATTCAAATACAGGCAAATGCTTCAGATAAGACAATAAGCGAGGCACAAGTTCTAGTTGTCTTGATGTGTCAGCTTTGACTGTGAATTCAATCAGTGCATCCAGTGTGGTTTGATAGCGATGTGTCTATGTTTTCATTAGACCATGTATGTATGTGTCACTGTTTACCATGAGGCCCATGGTACCTGTGGTAATCATAGTCAAATCTTCCATAGGCAATAAAGATACAGGTAAACATTTGGATAATAGTCGCTCTACTTCATCTGTTGTCGTCTTTGCCTTTGTGTCTGCTAATACACTAGCTAGACTCACCAAGATACGTGAATGGAGATCATGATCGAGTCTATGGACTATTAGTCATCATGATAACAAGTAAATAGGCTTACCCATTCATAATGGCAAGTGGTTTTTTTTTAAAAAGAAAAGAAAAGAAAAAAGAAAAAGAAAATAGCCAATGAAAATGAAATCATTATCATTTGCATACACGACTTAAATTCCTGCTTTTGGACAATTCTTTATTATGGTATGGGATTCAATTCTTCTTTTGTAGGAGCCAATTCAAGTCTTTCGAAACGACTTGTATCAAAGAAAGTAGCAGACACAACTCTTCCACCAAAGAATCGACCATTCAAGTCTTGCACGGCTCTTTTGGCTGATTCAATACCCATAAATTTAACAAATATACGCACAGCGCGTTCATCTACTGTTTGTCCTTTAGGTACCTAAGAATTATGTCAGACCAGATGTGTACCTATTTTTTTTTAACTTACTTCGAAAATAAGACAACGCTCAACTTTGCCATATTTGGAACATTCTTCTGCTGTTTCTTGTTGAAGCATGTCGTCTACTTGGCCTGGTCCTACCATATTGGTAAGCAATACAACATGTGTAGGCTTATTGACAGGTATATCTATTTAAGTAGGTTTAGTCTATCTCCATAAACCATTTGTTATGTACCTGGCTTCTCTTTAATGATATATTTCTCGGCTACTTTACGAGCTAAATCTTGTGCTGAATGTAATTGTTCTGTCCTTGTTTGTGTCATCATGGCTCTACGTTTATAAGCATCTTCTGCTGTCTCATTGACATTGATCTTTACTGCTGGGGTTGTTTGTGGAGGAGGAGGAGGTGGTGGTGGTGGTGATGAGGATGGTTCATGATGGAAAGCTACATGAAAAAAAAAAAAAGGCATGAGACAAAGAAATGATAATGGTGATAATTACGTTCTGGACTACCAGAAGGTGATCTCGAACGTGATCGCGATGTATGTCGTTTCTCCCAGTCTCTCTTTCGTTTTTGTTGTTCGCGCAACTCTTTGCGTTCTTCTTTGTAGTATTCATAATCATTAGGCTTGTTGGGATCGTAATCTTCCAACATGTTAAATACTACTTGTTGCTGTTCTACTTCTGTTTTGCTATTGTTCTTCTTTTTCTTTTTCTTTTTATATTGAGATGTTTGACGAAAACCATTGACATCGTCTGCTGCTGTAAATAAAGGAATCGTACCTAGATCAATCGTGTCTTGCTTGGGTTCTTCTTTGATTTCGGATTCAACGTCTTGTTTTGTGATGGTCTTGGTGGATACAACAGTCGCTCCAGCAGGAATAAAGGGTTTGTTGAGTTTGGGTTTGGCTTGAATAGTAGGTCGACGGATCACAGGCCTAAATTTAGTGATGGCAGACCAACCTAGTTTAGGGTCAAAAAAAAAGAAGAAAGACGAATGCAATGGTCTTACCTGTGGATGGTGCTGGTTCATCTTTTTGAACAGGTGCAAGAGTAGTAGTAGTAGTAGTAGGTGTGGTAGGTAGTGCTGTGGTATTTGTACTAGTACTAGTAGAAGATTCAAGTGATGATAAAGAAGAATAAAGACCTGTGGGCTTTGTTTTATCAGAATCTTTAGATGATTTTGAAGGCGGAAGTGCTCCGTACAATGAAAATGACATGAAGAGAGAGAAAAGAAAGAATTAAAAAAAAGTCACACAAGGAGGCCACTGTCAATTGACAAATCGAACTGTGTTTTTGCTTTTAAGCATTGTGTAACAGGATATGTTCTCAATCAGATTTATATAACACAGTCTTTGGTTCTTTTTTAAACGTAATAAACAATAACACCAAATCACAAATGTTCTCTTTTTTTTTTTCTTTATTTCTGTAAGCGTAGAGAAGTAGGTGTGATTTCCTTGTGTGCATAAAGGAAACAGCCTTACACAAGTAACACGTCACAGACAAGTGCTTCAGGAAAGTTCAAGAAAAAAAAACGAAAGCAATATAAATAGACCGAGCTTTTTTTTTCTTTTATTTCTTGAATGCTTCGATTGTTTAGACCCACTCGTATTATTACACGCATGTCTTCTACAGAAATCAAAAAGCCTCTTCTTGCCCTCCCTTCTACAGCTGAAGAAACTGTCAAGGTGGATATAAATGACACGTATAAACTAAAAGAATTAGGTCCAGTAGGTAAGTTCATGACAATATATGTCTTATTTTTTTTTTTTATCTTACACTCTCTATAGTCATTAATGAAAACGGTACAATGAGCCGAATTAACAATTGGCACGAAATGAACGATATTGAAAGAGCCAATGTCAATCGAATTTTATTGAAAAGGAACAAAGAACGTTTGGCCAAACTAAAGGAATCTATGCAGCATACTGTTGACCAAGACCCTTGACTAATTCAACAACTTCCTTGAACTTTTCTTTTTGTTCAGCATCGACTTTGACACTGGACTCACCACCACCACAACCAGCAGGACCGCCTTACATGTATTAATATAACTCAATAAATAATACTATTTACCATTTATCCATTCAAAATCGTCTGAAGCAAAACGTATAGCGATATCTAAACCATAGATATCTTCGCTTCCTGGAGGATGTTCAGTAGGCAAATCCTTTAAAGTCTGTTTGATCTTTTCACCAATACTAGCCAATTCTTCACTAATCATAGTAATAATAATAGTAGTTGTAGTTATAGACTATATCAGCACATACGGTATGTTATATTATACATACGTGGAGACATTGGCTGATTGCATATGGTAATCATTTCCAGACTCAGGCACTAAGGTTTGTTGCGTAATAGTGGCACCTTCATCCAAATTTTGGATTTGAATGATTTTTCTATTGTGGTGTTAAGGTATATATATGTGTATATGTCTGTGTATTATGTTACTTACTTGGGAGTAGGTGGAGCAAATCCACCTACAATACCCTCAACAAGCATAACACCAAAAGACATATTTAAATAATGATAATAAAAAGTAAAAAAAAAACCAAAAAGAAACAAACACTGTTGTTATTATACGCCAATAGGTTGCACAAACGTAGCTCATGTGGTTACATCATGCCTCTGACGTTAAAGGGGTCTGTTTATTAGTCTTTTTTCTTGAGTGATTTAGGAGGAAGGGCAGGCGAAGCTTGAGTAGATGTGGATACGAAAGTAGGCTGAGGAAGTACAGTAGATCTAGAATGATTTTGTTGTGGGTAATAGTCCATCGTTGGCTGCTTTGCAAGTCGAGTTGATTGGCTGGACTCTACTTGGACACATATTTCTTTTAATCCATCGACATGACGCATAAACAATTCAGTGACTGCACGACGTATGTCCTGAGATAAAGTGCCTTCTCTGACAAACACATGAATGGACCCTACCACAGATTCAGCTTCATTAGGCCAGAATCGGCACACATCAACACTCTCTACACCTTCCAGTTGTTTGACTTGATCTAGAGTACCTTCAACTTGATTCACAGTCGTGTCTTCTAATTGAAGCATCAAAACAGAAGCAGATTGGCGAATCAGAGGAATCACAGACATGACAATCAAAACAGCGATAAAAAGGGACGCAATGGGATCAAATCCAGTCCAACCAAACCATTGGATCAAAAGAGTAGATACGATCACACCAGCAGAACCTAATGTGTCTGCCATAATATGTAAGAATACACCTTGCATATTAGCACTGTGTCCATGATGATGATCATGATCATGGCTGTGTCCATGAGAGTGTCCATGAGAGTGTCCATGAGCGTGTCCATGATTAAAAGCAAAGATGCCCACTAGATTAACAATCAGACCCACAAAACTAACAAGCAAAAGACGATCAGTGCTCATTTCAGGAGGATGCACAAGACGTTGAATAGCTTCAATCACAATCGAACCTGAAATGAGCACTAGAAAGATACCATTGAAAAAAGCAGCAACTGTCTCAATACGGTTGTATCTACATAAATGTTCAATATTCATATTTTTGTGTGCCTCTATAAATTAGTCCTCACCCATAAGAATACTTTTGATTGGAAGGCCATTTACTCATCACAGACGCGAATAGACCAATACCCAAAGCAAGACAATCAAAGAACATATGAATAGCTAATCATGTTAACAACATTTCAGACAACCTATTACTTGCCATCAGAGATAAGGCCCAATGAATTTGTCCAGACACCATAAGCAAGTTGAACAAACATATAAGACAAGTTGAGCAACAAGAAATAAAAGATCTGCTTTGAATCTTGATTGCTTAGAATGATGCCCAAGGAGTGCTTTAAGAAGCCTACAACAGAAACAGCCGCTGTGTCAAATGCAAGTGACTTTCCATAGCCTAGTTCTGCTGATTCAGCGTGTGTAGGCAAGTCAAGTATGGACGTAGAGAACATATAAAAAGGGGTATACAAAAAAAGAAAGTAGAGAAAAGCTAATTTAAGATTTCTCAAAATAGATTTTAGCCAATGGGTTATTCGTACGCTTATTATTTTAGGACACTTCTTTTTTTTTTAGCAGTAAAAATGGAACAAGCATGATTGATGTATCCTTTTAAAAACAATGTTTGTAAGAGAAAGGAGTTTGGATGATAATCTACGTAAAAAAAAGCCATAAATTCGCACCTGGGTACAGTCATAACTCTATATAATATGAACCTCACAAACCATGACGAGTCTTTTATGAAAATAACTGAACTGTTCAAGCCTTAGAGACTGTGTCCAATTCAGTTGCTTTCCTCTATAAACTACATTTATGCCTTGCTATATATAGCATTAGATACCAAGATCACACTTTGAGGCTCAAGGTATATCCTTAAATAAGCAATCACTTTTTAAAAGGTAAATTTGCTGCATTTGAAAAAGAAACCATCCAAATGAGAAGTTTCTGGCGCATTTGTCATCAAACAAAACACTGATACAAACAGAAAGGAAGAATGCTTTTTCAAGTTGATGTCGAGGACTTTGATAACCAAACAAAGGGAATATACAGGAAGTTTTCTTTCTTTTATTTTCTCAAAAATGTCCCAAACATTTTCGAATAAAGTGTATAGTACATAGCATAGGGAAATGAGTGACACATATAAAGAATTTTGCATAGAAAGCTTAATGAAAAGTATAAGATCGATTTGTTTTATAGACGACACCATCGCCTCTTACCAATAGTATCCTGATACTATAAGGCATGCCTTGTTGTCTGTCTAGGCCAATAGATTGTAAAAGCTCTTCTCGCGGAGGGAGCTTACACACAAGCATATCGCGACTTTTGTATTCTGTAAAAGCTGCTTTGATATCACCAAACCAGATCTGAAGATCGCGAGTAAAGTTTTCGCCTGATACCGTCATGAGATTGTCTTCGTTTTTCTTTTCATGACTGGATACAGTGAAATGTGTAAGGCATGGAAAGGGGGTGCTTAAAGGTGTTGTTGTTTGTTTTTCTTGATGCTTATTTTGATCCAAGTAAGGAGGTGTCCAAAATGTATATCGAGCGCATTCTAATATCAATAAGTTCACTTTTTTTTATCTAGAATTGCTTACCTGTGCCTACAATGGTCCATACAGCTGCATCTGTCACATCTTCAGACCAATAGGCACCAAATTCAGCCAATGCTTGTCCACCATGCGCTGCAATCTGATGCTTGCGATTTGCATGAGCAGATTTGTCTTGATATGCTGCAGAAGGAGTGGAAATCGAATGTGATCTTTGAATCAACAGAGTTTCATAAGGGTCTGTAGATTGAGCGTCACTTAAACTACTCACACGACGCCGCTGAGGATTTAGTCCATCCTCAAGGGTATACATGTGAGGGTGTTGGTGAAAGAACGTATTGGGATGATCTTCTAGTAAAGAAGCACGCCTTTTACGAGCCATGTTTGCATTCAGTGTGGCTGATAATGAACTTGCTGTAAAAGCAAGAGATTCGGATGCAGCCATAGCAGCGGCTGCGGTAGGGTTCATCGTCGCATGAATGCCCTTGATGGGACTCCGTGTTTGTGTTGCCTTATGCGTGCCTACTAAATCATTTAGACAAGCAAGATAAGTGACTGGACCTTGTGCTGCTTGAGGCATCATGGAATACGGATCGTGTGTCGGCGCATCACTTTGAGGTTGAATGATTTGAAGTGCAATCTTATGAAGTTGAGAGACTGGATCGCCCAAGACTTCATCACCGTATTCACCACCACCTGAGAAAGAAGGATCAAATCCATCAGGACATTGAGCACCACCTACAACAGTGGAAGCCTTGTCTACTTTTCGAATGATCATGACCGGGCTGACAAGACCTGTGGTTAAGCATTGAAGCACAACGCGTTGATTATACCGTACAGCCAAAGGCTGATTTGTCTTGTTTTTAAGTGCAATGGTAGGTGGGTTGGGGTAAGGAATGGTGGGTATCAGGCTTGGACACCCAATATATTCTTCAGGTTGATTTGTGCTCTGGGAGTGATTGGAGCCTTGTGTATGGTCTACGATCCATACAATAAAGGGATCCCAGCAGCTTGTTCTTGCGACAAAGCATGTGTCTGTATTCGGATGCATTGCTGTTTGGGTCTGAAGTCTGCCTGGGTAATCAAATAAAGAAGAGTCACCACAGGTAGATGAAACACCCAAATATTTAGTAGAGACTGTTTGAGATCGAATACGGTTAAACAACGATACAGTTGTTCCATGATAAATACATACTAAGAATTGCAGTTAGAGACATTATAATACAACAGGACTTTACATTCTACATTTTTGACGCTTTGCCTTTTTTTACTTGGCTTACTAATGACTTTTATGCCTCGACTCGCTAAAGTGCCTAACAAAAGGCCATTGGCCAATTGGACCTTGACTAAACATTCAACTTTTTTTCTTTTCTCATCAGCATCATTGATATACAATCGTTTAAGGACACAACGACCTCCTGCTAAGGTTTGCTGTTTTTTGTTACAGTACCAATCATCATTGGCAGACTTGTTCTCTCCCAGCACCAGGTCGTCTGATTTGGCCTTGGTCTTTTGTGTATCTCCACCTGTTTGACCCACAACCGTACCAGCGATATCATACCATTCAATTCGACCCGACTGTTGACCTGTGTTTTCACCCGAGATACAGATAGTGAGAGAAGGAGGAGCACGGGCCACATTTTCTTTGTCACGAAATACAATACCTTGGTCTGGCTGAAGAGGAGGTGTCCACCAACTTGAGCCTACTAAAGTAGCAGTAGGAGGAGGACACAAGAATCTAAAGTATGTGTTATTTCATATGACATTGTATTTAGAACTAACCTTTTCTCAGTACCATAGCTCTTTTGAGCTACTTTACTTGTCATGATAATAACTGTTCTTTCTCCTACTTCAATAGGATCTTGTGCTTGAAGATATGTCTGTATGACAGGCTTGATTTTACCAGCATGAACCATGCCTTGTGTCATACGAGAATGAACAGAGGTACTGATGCGACTAGGCGTAAATTCCAAAAAACCGGATCCAACTGAATTGTCTTGAGGTGTCTACAAAGAGTTTTTTTGTTACTTTTTATGTCGTGAGAAAATAGAGATGGAAGACTACAACATACTGTGGCTACAAAATGATCTTGAATACCATCAAAATAAGACATCATGGATCTCTGTTCATGATGGGATGAAAATAAAGAAGGATCCTATTATGTATTAGTGAATAGAGAACACAACAGCATGACATACGGTCGCATTGAAATTTGAAACAGCGTCGAGTGTATTGCTGCCTTGATTTAATTGTTGTCGATGATGACTAGGGATGATGAGATTATCATCAAAGGGTAAAAAATCCAATAGAGGGTGAAATTCAGCTGAATTTACAGGTGCTGTATGATGCCTAGCATGCTGGAATGTCTGAGGATGATTAAGTAAAGAATCCAAGTCGGTTGATACTAAATCCTGCTTTGTATTCTCTTCTTTTTTCTTTGTTAAAGGCAAATGTTGTGTTAAAGAAAATGAATGGTATTCAGACATTATGATACCATTCAAAAACCTTGTTTGTTAAAAAAGAAAAGAAAAGAAAGCAGAAAAAAAAACAAGTGGGAACCTGAAATGATGGGAAAAAAACAGAGTGCGGGGTAAAGAGATCTACTCTCTTTTTTTTGTGTGTGCGTGTGTGTTTAACGCGGTTATTGAAACTAAGCACTGACGAAAGGAAATCAGAATGAAGTGTATCATTTTAAGCTGATTTGACTATAACTATTGATCAAGTATCAAGTCAAAAAAAAAAGAAAAAAAAAGAAACAAGGCATGTATATTTGATATACATAAGAAGAGAGATGTATAGAAAGTGTTTACCCCACAATTCAAACTAGAGTAATACAATCTGTATATTTCTATTGCCGCTAATTCTGTTTGTTGCTAATAAATCAGACTTGACAGCTTATTTAAAAAGCCATTACAAAATACAGTATTTACTCTGAATAGTGCTATATGTCTTTTTCTTTTTATTCTACTCTTTCCCCACCGATAGTGCCTATAGAGACATAAATAAACAATTTAAAGAAAAAAAAAGTGTTTACCTTGATGAACAAATTCCAAAGTAGACATGATTGTTTTCATATCATGCTCCATGATTTCTGCCCAATTTTTGACATCACCTAATTCCTACTTTTTTGTGAATAGGATATAGTAGAAATGGAACATACTTTAAGTGACATGTTAAAGTTGTCTACAAGTGTCAGCCATTGCTGCGTCTGACTTGCATATCGTGTTGTTTGATTGGCTAGTTTTCTTGACTGTTGCTCTAGTTCTTTTTGCTTTGAAAAGATCTCATTCACCCTTTTGTTGATGAATATAAATAATAGAACTATGTAATTGCTTACCCTTCATTAACATATTCTGTCAGTGAATCAGTCAGTTCATTAACAGACTGAATCGCGTTCTTTTTTAGTTGTTCTAATTCAAACAGAGAGATTAGCTCTTGAAAGATAAGATCAAGACTTGCCATTGTGTCTCTTTGTTTCTGCCTGTTTCTCGTTATGTGCTTTTAATAGACTAGAAAGTGAGTCTGACATGTTAATACTGGCTTTTATTGATATGGTATGCTAAAAGAAAAAAAAAAAGAAAAAGAACAAAAAAGACCGCTTTTAGTTTTGTGGTTTATCATCATCTTGGTGATGTGTACGTTGCTTGTATACCATTTCAAACAGCTTAAGAGAAGTTGATTGAAGTTGATCGATCTTGTGCTTCAAATCCTCAGGCTTAATGTCTGTATCGCCTGCTTGTGCTTTGACTGCTTCGGCCTTTAAAGACTCAATTTGTTGCTTCAATTTGTCTGCTTCTGTCTTGTCAATCTGATCTTTAAAGTCTTCCATGGCCTTTTCTGTCTCAGACATGACAGATTCAGCACGATTAGCCATTTCAATGGTGTCGCGACGAAGACGATCCATTTCAGCATTCTTTTCTGCTTCTTGCACCATGTTTTCAATTTCGTCTTTGCTTAAGCCCGAGGAAGCAGCAATCGTAACTAATAAGAAATATAAGTAAACGTATGCAATTATGATGATGACTTACTTGATTGATCTCGGTTAGTTGCCTTGTCTTTGGCATGAACATTGACAATACCATCTGCATCAATATCAAATTCAACTTCAATCTGAGGTACTCCCTTAGGTGCGGGAGGAATTCCCGTCAGATTGAAGTCGCCTAGAAGTTTGTTATCACGCACAAGTTCACGTTCACCTTGGAATACACGCACAGAGACTTGGGTTTGACCATCTGCTGCTGTTGAAAAGACCTGTGATTTCTTGGTAGGAATCGTTGTATTGCGGTTGATCAGACGAGTAAAGACACCACCCAATGTTTCAATACCTAACGAAAGAGGCGTGACATCAAGCAACAAGATATCTGTCACACTGCCAGCCAAGACACCACCTTGAATAGCAGCGCCTAGAGCAACCGCTTCATCAGGATTGACTGATTTAGAGGGTTCTTTGCCAAACACTTTTCGAACTGTCTCGACTACTTTAGGCATACGTGTCATGCCGCCTACCAAGATCACTTCATGAATATCTTTTGTAGCCATACCAGCATCCTTGACTGCTTTTTCGCAAGGTACAATGGTTCTATCTACCAGGTCTTGAACTAAAGACTCGTATTTTGAGCGAGTGAGTTTGGTATGAATGTGCTTGGGACCAGTGGCATCTGCTGTGATATAAGGCAAGTTAATCTCTGTCTGAACCGTTGAGGACAATTCAATCTTGGCCTTTTCACAGGCTTCTCGAATACGCTGGATAGCCATACGATCATGTGATATATCCAGGCCGCCCGACTCTTTTTTGAACTCTTCTACAACATAGCGCACCAACTTGGAATCAAAATCCTCTCCACCCAGTGCTGTATCGCCATTAGTTGACTTGACTTCAAACACACCATGTTGAATTTCAAGAATGGAGATATCAAACGTGCCACCGCCTAAATCATATACACTAATGGTCTTGTCTCCTGCTTTATCAAGACCATAAGCCAAAGCAGCTGCTGTAGGCTCATTGATGACACGTAGAACTTCTAAACCAGCAATGGTACCTGCATCTTTCGTGGCTTGACGTTGAGAATCATTGAAATAAGCAGGGACTGTAATTACAGCATGCTTTGCTTTTTTTCCCAAGTAGCCTTCAGCCGTTTCTTTCATTTTGCCCAACACAAAAGCACTGATTTGAGCAGGCGAGTATTTTTTACCCGTGGCTTCAATCCAAGCGTCTTGGTTTGTATGTGAGATGATTTTATAAGATACACTTTTAAGGTCTTTTTGAACAGCAGGATCGTTGAATTTACGACCAATCAGACGTTTTGTAGCGTAAATTGTATTCTCCGGATTAACGATAGCCTATCCAATCGATTTCAACTTAGAGCTTGACAAGTTAAACTTACCTGACGTTTGGCTGTTTGACCCACTAAAAGCTCGCCGTCTTTTGTGAAGGCAACTACAGAAGGTGTCGTACGTGATCCTTCTGCATTTTCTATCACTTTAGGTACTTTTCCTTCCATCACAGCCACGCATGAATTCGTAGTGCCCAAATCAATGCCGATAACCGGACCCGTAATTTTAGTGGAATAGGATTGTGTCATGGCGCCCATCTAATGTATAAGTAAGCTGGTGTTATGATACTTTCAGGCTTACGTTGGATCGAACCGTGCTGGACAACAAACGCAAGTTAAGTCTTTTTGATAAACGATACATGTTGAGAAAAGAAAAGAAAAGAAAATAGAAAAACCTAGAAAGAAAAAATAAAATACGTTATCCCCAGTTAAAACGATTTGCATGATTCTTCCTTTTTTGGTTATGACTTGCACAGTTGTGATGAAAGAAAATCAGCTTTTCTTTTATTTATTTGTATACTTGAATGATATTGACAGGCAGCCACTTTTTCATCCCATAAATATTTTCTACAGACAAACTGTTTTGTTTTTATTGCTATTATAAATGTCTAAAGAATGATATGAATAGAATGTATATTAATGAAACTAGATTACAACAGTATAAGGAAATTGAAAATGATACAACTAAATAATGAATTATGTGCGTATGTTTACAAAAAGATGAATTGTTTAGGCTTTTTCATTGACAGCCACTTCTTCATCTCTCTCTTGAGGTTGAGAAACACCATATCGAACATCTCTACAGAAAAGAGTAAGAATAAACCCAATAGCAGCAGCAGCAATAGGCAAAAGAAACACGGTATGAATAGCCTCAGAATAAGCATGAACAACATAAGGCTTGACATCCACAGGCAGGTTTTTGATAAACAAATAATTCTTGAGTGCACCATATTCATTGGCTACGGCCAATACATCAGTAGGAAGCTTGACAAATTGACTCTTGAGAAGTGCTTGATACATGGTCTGATAAATCACAATACCAATAGAGGAAGCAAGCATCATGAAAAAGTTGTTGGAACTGGTGGCAACGGCAATATCTCTTCTTTCAACAGAGGATTGGACACTCAAGATACAGTTTTGTTGAGAGATACCAAAGGCAAACCCACTAAAGGCCAAATAGCCAGCTTGCTGACCCCAATTGCTGCCTTCATTCACAGTGTAGAATAAACCATAGCCAAGCAAGTTACAGGCAGAACCAAGTATTAAATAGAATTTAGTGCGAGGGAATTTGCGAAGTAGGAAACCACAGCCTACAGAACCAGCAATAAGACAGACCATGAAGGGAATAAGACGTAAACCAGACGAGGTACTGTCTGCAGCAAACACAGCTTGGTAATAAATGGGACCAAAATACAATGTACCAATAAAAGTAAGACCGAGAGTCATCATGTAGCCATAGATAACAGTACAGGCAGGGTTCAGGATCACTCTAGCAGGTAAAAGTGGTTCTTTAGCAACCCAGCCTTCACAAATAATAAGAGCAATAAAAGAAACACCAGCAGCGACAAAAGGACCAATAGAATGAGCACTTGACCATCTACACACAGAAAGAAAAAGATGAGTAATGAGAAACAAGAAAAAAAAAACTTCTTACCCATATGATGAGCCCCAATTAAGAGCCAAAAGCAAACAAACAATAAAACCAATAGAAAACAAAGTGCCTAGCCAGTCAATACGCTTTAACTTGTCAATAAAAGAAGATTCAGCAGAGGATTGAGTTTCATTCAAATAGAAAAAGATAACAATAAAGGCAACAGCAGCAAGAATAACGTTTAACCAGAAATCCCAATGCCAACTGACATGGTCCACAAAACCACCACCTAATAAACATGAGTTATAAAAAAAATTGACTTGTATTTGCTTACCAATTAAAGGACCAGCGACGTTAGCAATACCGTAAACAACAGACAACATGGATTGGAATCGAGGACGAAGAGGAATAGGTGATACTTCGGACACAATGATATAAGTCATGGACATTACACCACCACCACCGAAGCCTTGAATAGTACGACCAGCAATCAACATGCTGATGTTAGTTGACAAAGCATTGATTAAAGACCCAGCAAAGAAGAAGAAGATACCAAACAAATAAACAGATTTTCTGTAAAGAGAGATTAGTTCACGGAATTTTTTCTTTTTACCAACTGATTTTTTTTTTTTTTACAAACCTTCCAAAAATATCAGAAAACTATAGAAAATACGTGTGAATAAACATAAATAACATAAATGATGTTTCTTACCTTGCCAGATAATGGTTGGAATGCATTAATAGCTACAAGATAAGCAGTAGCAATCCAAGTTTGAGATGAAAGACCATTAAGTTCAGTAGCAATGGCACTCATAGCAGGAGCAACCACAGTTGAATTCAAAGACATCATGAACATAGCAATCACAATACCAATCATGACAATTGTAAATCGCACAAGTTCTTTTGTTGATGCAAAGTTCTTTTGTTCATTTACTTTCTTGTCATCTAACATAGTGACTTGATTATCTCGAGACTCCAAAGTAGAAGAACTTCTGAATGTTTCTGTCACTGATTCTGCAGTATTTGATTCTACTATTTTATTTGCGCCTGTCATGATAATAGGGAAAAGGTTGAGCAAAATAAAAATAAAAAACGGACGATGAAATCACAGATCAATTTATATTACAAAACATGGTTACACTTGTCTCTGATTTATACATTCGGATCCACTTTTTCCTTAATATGATCAGTGGGGATATCGGGACTACAGTTACACCGGTTATTTGGTTCAGCCTTGGTCGAGGATGGATCATCATGGCAAAGATGGATGCAAAAGAAGAGCAAGAGCCAAAAGAAATGATAAACAAATAAGCAGATAGAGCCCGAATGTACTGTTTACTGTTGTAATGAACTTAACTAGACCGTGTGAGTGTGTTTGTGCTTAGGCTGATTGATTTTTCCGGCCCTTTTTCCTTCTTTTTTTGGTTATTCAATGCCTGATCTACGGTATTTCGATTTTCGATAAAAATTTTTTATAGGCCAATGAAATTATTTGATTTCTCTAGGTTTTCAACTTCAGATTGAGATAGTTCATAACAAGATTGTTTATCTGTAATCGCCTTAGTCATTCACTGAAAGAACAAAAGCCATTGTTTGATATGGTGATAAAAGAGAAATATGAATAATTCTTAGGGCTGTTCTTTCCTTTCTGGGCAGAATGCGAAATTAACCTTGTATTCTTGACAGCAGTAATATTGCGCTGCCACAGTGTATGACATTATTTGTGAACAAGCACACTGTGATACTTTGACATGAAATAAGCCCCATAAAGAATTAGTAAGGCATTTGGCATAGATACAAAAGGCTTTGTATCAATCAATTGCAACTGCTAGCAAATCTCCTTGAGTTTTTACCGTATGTTGTATGCCTTGATGTAATGCAAATTGCTTTTTTTTTGCTCTTTAGGATCCATAGAAATAGAGTAATACTAGTGAAATCTGTAGATCATAAGTGATATAAGAATGACGCTTGTTTACGTATCCAGTTTTTTGGAGATAGTATAATGATGGCATTCTTTTCAGCTTGTAGCTTAAACAAGTAACAGAAACCATATTATTTATGCGTATTATATCTTAATAATACTTTCTCAAAGTCTATGTCAACATCTCCAATTGCATTGAAGACGTTTTATCTACCTGGAGCAACGCAAAATGGCTTGTACGCATACTTGACTTTTTCAAGGACAAACTTGAGGTCTTTTATCAAACTCATTTTTCTGTCTTTATTATATCTCCAAGAGAAGTTATCGATTCTTTAGCCATACGTTTTGATTATATCTCCAGTTGTAACTTTGTTTTAATTTATCAAATGCATACAAATGGCTTGTTTGTAATAAAAAAGAAAAGAACATTGTAGAATGAATTGTTAGACATCGACATATTTTGAGGCTTGTAACGAATAATTCAGGATCAATGTGCTTACCCACTTTTTGAAATGGTAAATGATGATTCATTGACCATTGCTCAATGTTCATAAAAAGAAAGCATTTGAATCTGAAGTTAAATCATTTCCTCGGTAAAGTAAACTCAGTTTCCTTTAAATGAATAAACGCAATGTAGATCAAGAGTAGTACAAAAAGATAGGCAGTTAGTCATGCATTATTGATTCAGAAACCCAATTAATAAAATAGGATAAATCTGCAGTTGTGTTGTCAATTGAGAATGGTACATACATGCTGATTTTGATGGCTTATTGCTATCAGAAAGGAGATGTGACTGTGCTTAGTATAGCTTTCTCCCTTGTATCTCAAGAGACTATAGTGAAGAATGTAAGCTTCTTTCTGGTTCTTGGAAACATAATGACTGCCAAGGAATGCTGAATTATTCTGGTTAATCAAATAAAGAGAAAGCAACCTATTTCTTTGAAATAACATTTTTAAAGAGTTCATTGAAAAATCCGATCGACTGTAACATTTAGTCGAAATCATAAAATGGTACCTTAAAATTTAATAAGAAAAATCCTTCTTCTTTTCTTCTTCTTTCTTCTTATTATGACACTCAAGTATTCTAAACCACTCAATAAAACAACACTCTATAACGCATACAAAGCAACAAGCCAACGTTTATTCTTGTTTGATTACGATGTAAGTTGCAATCGAAACAAGAAAAATTGACCATTCTCTAAAGGGTACGTTGACACCCATCGTAAGTAATCCAGAAGATGCTCAACCTACATCTACTTTGTTGCATTACCTTGTCGCGCTTTGTAAAGATCCTTCCAACACAGTCTGGATTATTTCAGGAAGAGATCAAACTTTTTTGGAAGCACATCTTGGAAACATACCTCGTCTAGGTCTAAGTGCAGAACATGGCTCATTTATGAAAAAGGCTGGTGTGAATGACTGGACAGACATGCTCAAGGAAGCAGACATGTCTTGGAAGCAAGTGGCACTCAATATCTTTGAGACATACACAGCTTGCAATCCTGGTACAGTGATTGAAAAGAAGAAATCGTCTATTACTTGGCATTATCGTAATGCAAAAGACACAGAAGAAGCGTAAGTAAGCAGTTTGTTAGACTATTAGCTTATCGTGTGTATTTTTAGTACAAGACAATCACAATCATGTTATCAGGAATTGATAAAGATTCCTGGTGTAGATATTTTAGTAGGCAAGATGAATTTGGAAGTGCGATCCTTACTGGTCAATAAGGGTCAAGTGGTGAAACGTATTAAACAAAAGCACCAAACTGATTTTGTTATGTGTGCTGGTGATGACCAGACTGATGAAGACATGTTTAATGTTCTTCAAGATGAAAAAACAGCGTTTTGTGTGTCTGTGGGTCCTCTTTCAAAGACAACATTAGCAAAATACAGTGTAGAACAGAGTGAAGATATTGTGAACATCATTGGTCAATTAGTCAACCACAGTACTTTATAACATGCTATTTTCGGAATAATAATAGATTAAACCTTAGAGTGCAAATGATATATATATATATAAATATGTTTATTATACAGAGATTCGTCGTCTTTTTCTTAATCGTTTCGTTAAGCAACTACCTAATTTGGTCCAGACACCTGAAGTACCACCTGGAACATCATTGTATGACCACCATTGAGCCTGCCAGATATTACCTTGATAGGTTACTTTACTTGCTGACACATAACTAGTGCTAGATGACCAAGCAGGTACACCGGAACAACTATCTGTAGGTATAGTGGTAGCTGCATTTGTGCTGGTATTGCCTGTGATAGTTGTTATACTTGTTTTGGTAACAGTAGAAGTCAGTGTTGTCTTGGTAGTAAGGGTAGCAGTTATTGTTCCTGAGCTAGTCTTGGAAGAGGAAGAACTTGTTGTTGTACTAGTCTTGGAAGAAGAAGTTGTTGTTGTACTAGTTTGAGAAGAAGAGGATATAGAACTAGTTGTTGAGGAAGCACTGATTGTAACAGTGCGAGTAGAAGATGGAGGAGTATTGCCTGTATCTCCTGCGCCTCCTTTACAACTACTTACTATCGATGGAAGTGAGCAAAAAGAGAATAATAGAAAGAATACTGCTTACCTGGAGACCAATCACTGTTAACATCAGCAGAAGGAGCGTTTGAAGCATACCATTTAGCCTACGTAAAGAAAAAGAGTCAATGGATATGTTTATAAGCTAAGTTTTACTTACAGTCCACATATATCTAAATCAACATATCAGAAAGAGATTGAGTTATCTATTCTATGAATAAAGTATATATGAATATATTTACCCACTACAGAAAAGACATGTTAAAGAACCATTAAGAGCCAATAAGCTACTTACTTGTATGAAACTGTATCGCCTGCACTATAACCTTTACCAGAAGCCCAAGCAGGAGCAGTACATAATGGATAGTCAAAGCCACCATCGCATCGTTTACCAGACTGAAGTGCATTCTTCACAGCAGCATCGATACGTCCATTTTTGTACGCTTGAGAAGCATCTATAAGAAAAGAAAAGAAAAAAGGGAATGGATAAGCCAACCAAGTCCATCCTATGCCTTATGCTTTACCCCACAACATCACACCGCCAAAGCTAGGAAATCGATCTCGAGTTTTTCTTGCAATATCAATCAATGTATCTGCAGGTACATAACCTCCACCGGCAGCTGATGTACTTGCAGGCGCACCGATCAGGACCTTAACATTCGGGTTAGGGGAGATGGTACGGGCCCAAATATCCCAAATACCAAAATTCCATTGGTTAGGTGAATTGAAATTTTGAAGACCACAAGGATTATTGTCTAACTTGTGAATGCATTGTTTTGGCATAAAATGACTTACAGAATTGAACATAGACAGCATCAAAGGGATAATTGTTTAATGTGAGTTGCAGATTAGCATCAGGATATACACATTGAGGAGCAGCAGTAACATAGTATTTCTTATCAGAAGCACTGAAATAGGAATCGAGTTTCTTGAGAAAAGTGACATAGTCTAATCAAATGGATTAGTGCTTATGTAATTGACTCGACAACTTACGATTAGGCCCGCCTCCTTCAATATCAAGATCAACCCTATATAAAAAAAAAGCTGTCAATTCATGTACACGGACAACACAATCTTACCCGTCTAAAACAGCATCACCAAAAGGACGAGTATTAGAATTACCACCAAAAAAGAGATTCCATAATGTATCTGCAAATGCAGAAGCTTGAGCATCGGATTGAAATCCAACACCACCTGTAGCACCACCCAGGGATAAAGTGATCAGTTTGCCTTTGCTTTGACAGTATTTGATATCAGGAGAAATGTTTTGACAATTGGCCAGGTTAGAACCAGGGAATGTAGCATTATCAGCGCTATTACAGTACTAATACATCCAGTGTTAGACACAACCTCTATTTGAATTATACTTTACATTGGCAAGGTTAATTTGTGGTTCACCACCCACACCGAAAAAAGTTGTCAAAAAAGCAATAGGAAGCACATCAACAGCATCATCTTCACAATAAAACCGAAGAGGTTGTTGCCACCCGGAGGGGTCATTTCCATTAGCAGCTCCGTAAGAGTTCTGACCCCAATCTATAAGAAATGATGATGAGTGTCTTTTATAAAAAAAAATGAAATCGGCTTACAATCTACTAAATTGTCATTGCATTGATTCTACAAGAAAAAAAAATATAAGTTAAAGTTCAACAACAGACAAATGCTTACATCGAAAGCACTGGAGAAGGCTATCAAAGTAGAAAAGGCAAAATATAAAATGACCTTGAGCATAAAGAACAAAACAAAGGAAAAAAAGACAAGATATGTGTTCTTTTATACTAAGAATAAACTTCCTATACTATACTAAAGAAGAGTAAAGTCATAGTTTCTTTGTTTATTAAGGCAGTCATTGTAAATGAGTCTAGGATCTTTATATGAACACAAAAAATTAGATAATAGGTCTATTTACTACCAAGCACTTCTCTCGCAATTTTACAACTGGCTCGAACTTTCTCTAGATCAGGTTCCTCAAGTCCAGAATGTTTACCATGAACAACAGTCTCGAGCATAAAGAAATTACAACCTTGAGCAAGTGTACGTAACTCAAGAATCTTGCCAAACACATTTGCGATGGCTTGTGCACCACCCTTATGTAATTGTAAGAGTAAATTGGCAAAAAGGACTTCTAGGAAAATACGACCGTTACGTTTCACGGTCATGAAGTTGATACTCTTGAGTACAGCTAACGTAAGCGCATTTTCTGCTATCAAAGACCCGTAAAATTTGGCCATGTTGGAGAGTTTGCTAATACGTATGTTTTTGGTTTCTAGACCTTGTGTGGTATGACTTCTTTCAAGACCGCCTACTTCGCTTTCACCGCATTCTCGGAGAAAATCCCATAAGCAGTACTGAAAGGTGACCTTGAATGAATGGTCCATTTCACATAATTTCTTGCTGACCAGCATGTAGTAAGGGTTAAATGTTTTTTCCTATAGAATTAAATAAGCAACAGGGCTCTTAAACTATGTACCACAAATAAATAGTTTCTTACATTTCCTGTGCATTGTAGCATCACACGGCAAATTTCACGCTGTTGTACTTCACTTAGGCCTAGTTTCATGAGCTTTTCAAATGCATCCAAATAATCCTAACAAAAATTTAGCGTCTGTAGAATACATTTTATGTAATCATACCTCGGAACTCATGATGGTCACGAAAATAGTTCTACGGATATCTGTATTCATGCCTTGTTTTCTTGCAAGTTTTAATAATGTTTCTTGAAGGGATTGATCTTTTTTTAAATCTTCAGGCATCTTGCTAAACTTGCTCTCTGTACCAACCAAATTGTCTTTCCAAGAAGCACCCACAAGCCACCATTTACCCTTAGTATCTATGTTGTGGATATCATCTAAACTCACACGCAATGCTTCTGTACTACGAACAGCACGCTTCTTGGATAATCCATTCAGGAACTTCTTCATTTTAGAAACCATTTCCCTGTCACCGTGACCATTGGCAGTTTGGCCATGCTTGATCTTGTTGTTCTTGACGTTGGCAATAGTTTCAAGCATGAATTTATGACGTGTACTACAAACATGAGTTATCAATGGACCTTATCAAATATTCTATATTGTTTTGCTTACGAGATGGTACTAGGGTCACGTTTTGCTGTCTCTTTTTGAATATCATCAATAATGTGTTTTAAAGAAGCTGGATCATCACTTCTTAATTCAGGACCAGCAGCTATTGTTCTCTTAGTCATTGTTATGGAAGAACAAAATACTTACTTCGAATAATCCTTAACAAGAGTTCGACGTTGTTTTCGTCTAATTCATCGATAAGCATACGAACAATGTCATACACAAGAACACAAGACAAGACTTGGAAATTATATAGTTCAAGGATCAAGGTCAACAAATTTTTGGATTCTTTGGAACCTTCTGGCCCTTCTTCAGTATTGTTGTCATCACGCTTGATTGCTTGTTTACATTTCTTGTATTCTTTTTCAAACATTTCAATACATGTCTGAACAAAATGGGCAGCTATTGAATTATATTGAGCACAAAAACCAAAAATGATGTCTATATTTACCGAATTCAATACCAATCAGCTTGTAAAGACTGGCAACAATAGTAGCATAGGTTATCACAAATGAGTCCAATAAATTGGATTTTTGTGCAATGGATGTTAAAATCAATTCAGATATAGTGGATGTCACATCTACACATACACAAGTCAACTAAACTATGTTTGAATAAACTATCTTACCATGACGAGAATAAGTGCCATAACACTTTTCAATCTCTAACAGAATGCTTTCCATGTTACTTTCACTCAATCTATTCAATTGGCCTTGGAGTTGCTTTTGAAGTTTAATTTGCATTTCTGATTTACTGGAGGCCGTTTTTCTTAAATGGGGAGGTACATATTTGGAAACTATATTAGCCTTGGGTTGTTCAACAGCCTTGACTTCTTCCTTTTCCTCCTCCTCCTCCTCCTCCTCTTCTTCTTCTTCTTCTTCGCTTTCATCATCATTATCAGATGCATCATCTTCAATCTCTTCTGACATATCTTGCATATCCTCGTCTTCATCGCTATCGATGTCTTCATTTTCTTCTCCGTTATCATTATCTAAATCTTGTTCATCACTCTCAAAATCAGCAAAGAGATCATCCATTGTCTATAACAAATATTACTTAGTCTCTCTCTTTATAAGGCAAATCTACTATACCTTCTCAGCATTTGCTTGCATAGATTGTTGCTTTTTCTTTTCGGCCTGTTGCTGTCTCTTTTTTCTCAGATATTCTTGATCATCATCCTCTTGTTCTGTTTTATCAAGGTCACCCAGTACATCCAAAAGCCCATCTTCCTCAAAATCTTTGCCAAGCTTCTTGCTCTTCTTTTTATCAAGTCCCAATCTCTTTTCCCAATAAGCAATATCACGATCATCTTCTGCGAAATCATCGTCTTGCACAGAATTCTTATTCTCAACTAAATTGTCAGATTGCAATATTTTGTACAAACCAGGATTTGCTTTAGATAAACGATCCATGGCTTTACCGGTATCTTTGGTAGACTTTTTGGTCTCTTTAGGAGCCTTTGTACCTTGTGTAAACTTGGCTTGTTCTTTATTTTCTTCTGTTTTTTGACGTTTGTTGTTGTTGTTGTTGTTGTTGTTGTGATTCAACACTGGTTGTTGTTCAAATGGTCTTTTCTTTTGGTGGCGTTCAGCATTACGCTTTCCTTTCTCTGCTCTCTTTTGTTTTCGTTGTTCTTTACGGTTGGTGGCCTTGACGACAAACTTCTTACTAAATTTACGGTCGTCTTTCTCTATTGAAAAGAAAAGGATCAGTACCAATAAAAAAAAAAGAACTAGTTTGTACCTTGCTCGTTCAGCTCTTCTTGCATAGCACGAGGAAGTGTGGATCCATAAGCAGGACCTTTGTTCTTGCTAAAGTTTTTTTTATGCGAGTACTTTTTTTGGTTCTGCATTTAGTTCTAAAGGTATCTTACAAAAAGAAGAATATGTCAAACATTTGATATTTTTTTGTCTTTGAACCTACTCAGTGACTGCTGAAATCGAATGTCTTTAATGCTACTGGTTTAAAGAGCGAGGCTATTCCTCCAATAAAATGAGCTCATCAACGTATGTAAGCTTTTATTTTAGCTGTGTTATATTATATAATAGCCTAACTTACAAGTAAGCGGGTATAGCTCAGCTGGGAGAGCGTTAGACTGAAGATCTAAAGGTCAGGTGTTCGATCCACTTTAGCCGCAATACTTTTTGCTTTTTTCTAGTTTGATGTTTATTTCTTTCATGACCCAACGATTTGTCTACTTGAGAATAAGCCAAACAGTCTTCTTTTTTAGATTAAGTATCGATATAGTATTCCTCGACAAGGCATTTTTTTTCTCAGAGTGAATTAAGTAATGATCTAATACTGTTAAAACAAAACCGAGTTGTATAAAGTTATATACTTTTATTCTAATAAAAGTTAATACAATGTTAACAGAAGCCATTGACGCCTCAAAGTCTAGCTTATATCATGGATACCTGCTAACTTGTGTAAGTTTAGAATAGATATAATATAAAACGTTCTATACAGTACCCCCTTAGTACCATAACTGCTGTCATTATAACGATCTAGTTACAGTTTTCAGTATATGTCTAACATAAAATATATGTTTCTCTGTATTGAACTACGTTTCATCACAATTTGGCACTACTTGTCTGAACATAGTATACAAGAAGTAAGCATGTAAAAGTAATGCTTATAACATTATTAAATAAAGTAAATTTTCAGGACATTTCAACGAAGTCTCTATTTCTAAACAACTAACTTTAATAGGATCTAATCAAGGAACAGACGGACAAACAAGCTTTTTTTTTCTTTAAGTATGTGTTATACTCTTTCTCTTGACAAGTCTATGGATTCATCACGAGTAGGAAGAGCATCGTATTCCCCATAGATTTCTTGCTCAATAGCAGCATGGCCTTGGTTTCGAATAGATTCGTTGTAAGATTTACCAGGTGTATTTTTTATCACAATTTGATAATACTAAATATCAATACAGTTATATTTTTTATCAATCATAATACTTAATATACTTTCCCAAAATCCAGTACATGCAATCATAGAGAAAATAGCTGTAATATAGGGCACTATTTACATAAAAAGCATGAGCTAACATCCATAATCTTTGAGAATACTTGCGCCAGTAAGGATAGTAACGGTTCTTGACAGGAATAAAGACAAAGACCAGCGCATAAGCAGTAAATCCTAAAAATGCATAGACACAGACTGAAGGAAACTCGTTAATATCATTGAAATAGTTACAGTAGACGTACCTAAAGGCGCAACAATAGGTCTCTTGTTATTGGGTTCTCTTTTTCTCAAAATAAGAACAGCCATTGCCATCAAAAAATAAAAGACCTACGATAGAATGTTATTATTATCGTCTTTAAGATAACTTACATAAACAGGATACGCAGCAAATGCAACAATAAACTGGTACACGGCGCCTGGTGGAGGGCCCACAATAAAAAAGATAGAGAGTACATATTGTAATAAATAGGCATTGACTGGACTACCGACCTTTGGATTGACTTTGCCAAAGATGTGGCCATAAGGTAAAAGCCCCTGCCTTGCTACTTCCATAATAATTCTAAAACTTACGTTTGAGTATCTATAGATACATCTTGAGGCAGATACCTTCCACCTGAGAAATTCAGTGCAGCACCACAACCAAAAGCACTAAGACCAATAAATACAGGTAATACAGTCGATGCAAAATTCTCGCCCAAGGAACGAGAAAAACTATAGACTCATGAGTCATTTTCTCTCTTGATTTAGTTCTTTCCATACAATGCTGCAGCAACAATAAATTCAGAGCTCTTCATGGTGTCTAATGGTAACACGACCAAGTATGCCATATTAGTAAGGATGTAAAGCGTAGCAGTGCATAGAACTGCAGCAGCTGAAGCTTTAGGTAAATTTTTGATAGGATCCTTTTTTAGAAAAGAAATGTAAACATGTTCATTTCTAGTACTTGTCTGTTACCTTGACTTCGTCTAAAATGTAATTAAGATTATGCCATCCACTATAACTATTCATAACCTAAGAAACAAGAGCATCAACAAACGTAAGTTCTCACAAGTATGTTACTTGCATAGTACAAAGCAGACGCATAAGGGCCAATGGTAGTTGATGTACCATAAAACGATAGATTTAAGCCAGCATCTACATCAGAAGGTATAATCTTTAACAAGACAAACAGACCAATAGAAGCAATTAATGTCAGTATAGAAAGTTTGATAACTGTCAAAAATCCCATCATCTTCATTGTTGTTTTTGTAGAATAGATGTTAACCATCGTCAAGATAGTTGCACATAGTACTACACAAGCCATTAGCCCATTGTATTAGTATTATTCTTACTTACACGCCCATCCTCTTTCTGCCCAATTTGACTTATATGTTGAGCCAAACAAAGCATAATTAATATAGCCTCCAAATACAATCCCTAAAATAAACCTGTTCATTTTCGTATATCTAGAAATTGTTTTATACCTTGTGAAGCAACACCACTGGATCGATTCATAAGACTCCAGTATGTAAATAAATAGGCCAATAGATATTTGGGCTTTCTATAACAATATTCTAGATAGCCTACTTCGCCTCCGCTTTTAAATAGTGGATAAGTATAGCCCCTTTATACTTTATCTGTTTAAATTATACCTACGAGGAAGCTTTTCATAAATGATGAGTACGCTTGCTCATACATCAATTGATGACATACCATTGTGCCTAGTTCCATAAATGTATATGTACCAGACAATGCTACCAAAGCGCCAATAAACCATATAATAAGGTTCATTCCTCCAGATCCCACAAGCTGAAGAGTTAAAGCAGGACCTACGAATATACCTGCCCCAATAATATAGCTCACATTGACCATAGCACCTTGTATCCAGCCTATTTTTCTTTCCAAGCGCTGATCTAATAAGAATAACATCAGCTATGCATATACTCCAGTATTCATTAGACCTCCAACAGCAAGTGGCTCCATATGCTCAATCTGCTCAACAAAATCATCATGTCTTAACATTGGTTCTAGTTGTTCGTTATCGGGATCAGGCATTTTTAAAGTTTAAAAGAAGGAGGAAAACAAAGGCTAATTATGGTTGCATTTACGTGACGAGTTTTACAGCAATTAATCACAAGATAACCAGAGGTCTGGTAAACAAAAGCCCTTTTTTGAAGCTAGAAGCTTTTTATTTGTTATTCATTAGATCCTTCTATAGTGTCTGTGTTCCCTTGCTGGTTAGTTACAGGGCAACCATGTGTTGAACGTTGTCCAGTGACAGGACATACACTCTCCTTTGACATCGAAATAGGACATGCGTTGGCTGAAGAAGCCTTTTGGCCAGTAACAGGGCAAACCATAGGCGTATCATTATCATTGTCTTCTACTTGAGGTGCTTTATAAACAACACTCTCTTCGGATTTGGGCAATTTGAGCTCTTCAAAATAGTAGGATACATGTTCGTCTATATTTTCTTGTATCCACGATGTTTGCTTTCTTAGCCATGTCTTGTAGTCTACTGATTGTCTCCATTTAGCATTTAGTTTGGCTTCCAAACTTAAGATCTCCATTGGAGTTTTGTTCATCGATTTTTTTACTGCTTTAAAGACAACATGGAGTAGAACAGGAGGCAATGTTTTCCAGTGGGACAAAATGTTTTTACTCCATGTATTGCCTAGTTGGCTAAGACGCTCTTTGAGATCCTCTAATGACTCAGCAGCCTAAAGTAGAGACTGGTCAGTAATATAGTCTGTTTATTCTATCTCGTCTTACCCCAAAAACTGTCTCTATTGATTTCTCCCAGACAGAAAATCGATCAGGACCTGCATACGAATGATACATGGCCAACGCAAGCTGAATAGCTGCATTCGTATCCGGTGCAGGACACAAAGCCATTTTTTTAGCTGTATCAATTGCATCGCTCAACTTGGCTTCAGGTATAAACACATCTACAAGGCCTAATCGCAATAATTCAGGACCTCGAAGCTTAGCATATTCAGGTACAGCTAATGCAAGATATAATTCAAATCCAGCAGGTAATGACTGCTTAGTGCGTGCTCGAGCCATAGCAAATAACAGTAATGGTGGGATAGGTGCATGTGACACAGTCAACTGGAAATTGAGGAGAGCATGTTCTGTAATGACACGCATATATCGAAAGTTCAATGGGATATAGACAGCATTCAGGGGAATCTGTCCATTCGAGTATGTCACTGTCAGCTTAGGATCTGCATTAAGAGATGATTCAACAAAGCGATAATAAGTCTTTGCTAGTCTGTAAAGCGATGTTTCCCTTAGCTCAGAGCCAGACACAAGAGCCGATGTTTCTTCATAGGCTAAACCTTTGCTGGTCATTTTGGTATCAATTGTCCCAATAGGCTGATCCATAGAGATTGGTAAGCTTTTATCGGCGACTGTAGTTGTGATAAATAATGATGTCACTTGGGGATGACTGATGCCATCTTCCAGACTTGCGTCGAGTTCATGTAAACGATCTATGGTGAACACGTTTTGACTCTTTGGAGAAGAAATGGTCATGATTTGAGCTCCTGTTCCTTTTGGCTTTTCGGACATGATGAATGAACTCCCATTTAACTGATCTACAGGTCCCACTGTACTCAAAGATATGTCAGTCTTATTCTTTCTCTCCTCCATTTACCTTTTACTTTGTTTTGCCATAAATTAGCAAATGGACAAGCAGGTTTATTCTCTTCCTCTTGACTTGTCTTCCAAGCAAAATAGGCAGCCAAATCCACCTTTTCGATTTGTCTAATACAACAATCGTCAGCCTATTATAGATCGTCTAAATCCAACTTACGAATGATAATAAAATGCTTTTGCTTTCATGAACTCTTTGTCTAAACGCTCTTTATTCCACAATCCCTTAGATTGCTCCTCTAACCAATGATGAATGATGTTAGGTAACCCACTGGTATATGCTATATCATTCTCATAGTCATAATCCTCGAGTCGTTTGAATGATGCTTCTCTCTCCTTCCTATTCTTTTCCGCTTCATATTCCAGATATCCCTCCAATTCAAAATTTTGATAAAACCTACCATTAATGAGCATAAATTTCGTGTTGCTTTCTCTATATTTACTTTGAAAAATAAAAGTGTTTTGCCTTCAGAAGTTTATCTTGACTCGATTCTGTTTGAGGTACTTGACTCAAAATACTCGAGAGACCACTTTGAAATAACTTATCTGAGCTCCAAGGATAAGTATTGAATGCCTCATAGACTTGCACAGTTGTTTCCATTGTATGGGAAAAAATATAGAAAAAAAAAGAAGAGGGGTATAATGTCAAACTGAAATTGTTTGAATCTCAATTTAGGGTAATACAATGTCGTAAGGAGGATTGTACCTATTGTCTGCTGCTTTATTTCCGAAGCAACAATTGTATCCCTAATTTCGGAAATTACTATGCTTTATAATTCAACAGCATTACTTCTTTCAGCCCTTTTTTCTTTCTTCAATGAAGAACACTCTGATCTTATTTTTATTGGCATTTTGTGTCACTCTAGCATTAGCCAAACAAACACAGCAAGAACTTGAAGAAGCCGAACTAAAAGCATCTCAGGAAGAAGATGAACGTGTCAAAGCTGCAGGTGCTCTTCTTGTTGGATCGAGCGGGATTTTAGTGCCAGATGCTTCAGCAGATAAGCCCATGATCCTTGATAATAAAAAAGATCAACCACTTTGTAAACCAGATACCACCTTGTCCTCTTCAAGACCACTGAAGGTGATGGATGGCTTTGAACTGACTGTGCTTGTTAATAGTATCCCTAATCCTCACAAAATCATGATTGATAAAGCCAATCATGTATTAGTAATTTCGCCTGGTAATGGTGTTTATTCAGTGCGTATGGATGACTGTAGTAATGCTAGCGTTGAAAAAATCCTGGACAGCCAAACAATGGATCAACCTATAGGTCAAAGTATGGCTATATTTGGTGGACATCTTTATGTAACCACCACAAATTCGATATACCAGTTTCCTTATAGTGATGGCCAGCATTCCTCATTGTTGGAAGGTCGCTTGGTGATGACCAATATCCAGAGTGACGCTATTGATGTTGCCGTAGATCCTTTTGGCCATGCCTTTGTATCTCGCTCTGTGGGTGAAATTCATGACAAATTGGACGCTTTTCATGGTATCATTAAAAAGTTTAATTTAAAGCTTATTCCTCAGCACGGATTTGATTACGAAAGGCATGGTGAAATGCATGCTTATGGTACAAATACATACGGTAGTATGGGATTTGATACACAGGCTAGATTATGGGGCTTGAACGGCTTGTCTTCTTCTGAAATCACTCGCGATGATATTAGTGTTAGTCACAGTAAAGTATATACAGATACATGTGCATGTTTTTAACGTTTCAATAGATCTTGCTGCCAATGGTCTTGCCGAAGAACTTAACTTGTATGAATTTTCCAAGATGAACTACGGTTTTCCTTATTGTATGACTGAATATAACTTGGCTGAAGTCTCTGCAAGTGCAGCCAAAGGGTTGGGCGGACAATGGGCACATCCTATCTTCATGAATGATTCCGTATCCTTGGACGATTATTGTCAACAAGAAGTCAACAACAAACCACCTTCTGTTCCTTTGGCACCCAATTCCTTGGCCGTCAGTGTTCATTTCTATTTAGGCACATTTTGTAGTATGGGCGACTCAACCACAATGGGTACATCCGTTGGGTTACCTTGTAATTGGACAGATACACCTATCTTGGCCAATCATGGTATTGATGGTCAGCCTGCAGGTCATAATGTGGTGCGTTTGCCATTTGATGATTTAGGACACAAACCTCGTTGGGATAAAGAACCTGAAGTTATTTTGGAACAAGCTGAACCCTGTAACGATAATGAGTGTCTCTCTCCTAATGGTCTGGCTGTGGATAAATATGGTCGATTGTTTGTGACGAGTGACAAGACAAATGAAATACTTGTTGTCAGTCGTATTTATAGTGAAAGGGCTATTCATATGTTGACAGACAAATACGAAGAAGAAGCTGAGAGGATCGGTTGAAAAAGAAGAGGAGCCGTCGTCTAAACAAAGCAAAGATGAAAAAGAAGAAGAAAAAGAAGAGGAATAATGTTTCTTATTATTATACTAATAAATCAATTGGACTGTGTACTTGTGGAAAGGGGTATATACTTATTTAAAAGATTGGTCTATAGCCCAGTTTTCTACGGCTATAAACCTTGTATCCAAAGAAGCCTACCACACTTAGCACACCACCAACAATAATGACAATAGTAAGTGTAACAACAACAGACCAAACAAATGGAAGTCCAAATAAGCCTCGTCGAATAGGCAACAGTACTCTGTCTATTTCAATCACTCCACCTCCAGAAGACACTCGACCTAATCCAACGACACGGGCACGATCATTGTCACCACCATTCTTAACTTCAGCAAATAGTTCGCCCTTTTCGTTTTCGCGGATAGCAACTTTGTCATCTTCCGACAATAATGTAGCATACTCACTTCTTCGGTCTTGCTTATTGTTTTGTTGAACTATCCACCGATTTTGCCAAGCTGTAGGAATAATATGCAATTTAACAATGCGTTCCAACTGATATTGATCTTTCAACAATTCCTCCACATTCAAATGCGAAAATGCTTTATCAGAAGGTGCCAATACTACCATGTTGTCTTGATCAATAGTGTCTAGTAAATTCGCTTTTTCCAACAGTTGCATCATCACTTTAGACTCAATGCCAACCAGTAAGTTTTGATTTGTGATATTAATGTGTGGAGGAATCTGGACCTCAGATATTTTATGGACAACACCATTGGACACAAGTAAGTTGGGATGTGAAAGCACAGCTGGACGTTCACGGGCATCAGGTCGACCTACAATTACAGTTTTATCATCTTGTTGACTGATTCGAAGCGTGGCATTGGCAAGTGTATTGATTTCATGTACTCGTTTTTTCATATCTTCATAATACAACAGGGATTTGACAGCGTGGTACCGAAGCACAGCTTTGAGTTGAGGTTTAGCAGTGGAATGTACAAGGTATTTTGCAACAAGACCTAGGTTTTGGAAAGCTTCATTTGTAGGCACAAATAGTGTCAAACCATGCGTACTCTTAATTTCCTCAATGACTTCAGATACATAGAGTGTGGCAATAAAAGTAGACAAATCAAGGTCCAATACAAGTTTTTCAAAAATATCTCCAGGAAGCTCAAGAGGGTCTGAAATCTGGTAAATCAGGTTACCTTGGATATTAACTGTAGTTTGTTAGTTTTTGTTTTGTTTAATATGCCATGTTGCTTACTGCTTTCTCCTATCGCTCTTGCGTGATCAAAATAAATCGAGGTTGAATGACTATCGACAGAAACAGGTAATTTTTGACGCATCCCATCCAATTCGGGTGACTTGAATTCAGATTGCAATAACAAAGCATCTTCTAGACTCTCTTGGGGCCAAGCATCTCGAATAATATGGTATCGCAGCCAAGGCTCAGAAAATGTAGACTGATTGACTGTGTTTAACGGGGGCACCAAGAACGTAAACTTATGCTTTGTTGTATTTAAGTAATGATCTGTAAGATGATAGGTATCCATCAAATTCACCATATGTGTTGCGTTGGAGCCATATAAATACTTTTTGGTGTCAAATTGAATGCTGGGAGGGCGAAAGCTGTCTTCAATCAAGTGAATAACACCATTGGCTGCTATGATATCTGCTTGCTTGATGGGTATATCATTTACTGCCATGGATTTTTTATCTGAGGTAATGACCAACGAATCTCCCGAGAGTGATTTATCTGTGCTATGGGTTAATCGTTTGAAATTGTAGAAAAGGAACTTACAAGTCGTTTTTCCAGAATTAAACTCATCCAAAAAAATAGCTTTATCAATGATGGTATATTGAAAATAGAGTGATAAATCAACTTTTCCATGTTCTGAAGTAAGATAAGATGATTCAATACTATTGAACTTGTCCAGAGGGTCTGTTTTTGTTGTAAGGAATACAGTAAATGGTTTCTTTTGGTCTAACAAGTGGAGTATATCTGTTGATTTCAAAAGCTTATGAACTATCTGATTACTTTCTTTTGTGATCGCATTGCCTAAATTCCTTCATGTTAGACTCGATATACAATGTATGACTCCTTTACCTAACAAACTGGGTGGCTCCAAAACTCTATCGACGACTTGTATATATGTCTCATTATTGACTTGAATATCACTGGAGATAATCTTGGCTTGGTTGACAAACACTTGCTTACCATCTATGGTAAATTTAATGCGTTGACCTGCACCACTATTGTTATCGGGCACTAAATAACCTGGGCGGACTAACATTGTCTCTCTTAATTGACCTTGATAAAAGACATTTGCTTTTATGCCTTTCTTGATAATATGATAGAGCAAAGTAGAGCGGTCAATATCAATGCTTGTCTGCTTGAATGCATCATTATCAGGTGCAAAAAAAGTACCAGACTCTAATTTCTTGACGTAGTCAACAAGTTGGTTTTTTTCCAAGTGTGTTAGGAGTGTTTCAAATTTCTTATCTTCTGACAAAAAATCAATGATCGTTTTTGATGCTGTGATACAATGCAGTAATAGAACGAATAAAAGAACTTTTATCATTGGTATGAAAATAAAAAGAAAAAGAGAGAGATAAAGAAGTAAGAATAAGCATAGCGTCATTTATTGCTGAGACTGTGTTTTTTTAATATGCAGCAAGTGACACTATTTCCCGAAAATATTAGCACACTTGTCTTTATTTAGGCTGACGTGTGTATAGTAGTTTACTACAGGTTTATTCTATTACAATTAAGAGAAAAAAGAGTTTGAATGGCTAATCTAAAGCCTGATTTTTTCTCAAGAAGTATCTCTTGCTTCCAAAAACCATCTTCAAGTTTGAAATTACTATCATTTCATATTGTACAAGAGAGAGTATTGTAGAACGAAACAGAAAAAGTTGACCTGTTTTAAAGCTTGGCACAAAGGGAGCGCTTTCTAAGAAAATCCTGAGTTTAAATAAGTATTTTAATGTCAAAAACTAGAGTGTTAATAAGTTTGTAACTAATGATTGAAAATTATAATTAAAACTAACCAAGTGATGCTGGTAATAAAAGTGATAATTATAAAAGTAGTCTTGAGATAGTATGTGTGTTTTTTAGAAGTTTTAGAGAAAAATGGGGAGAAATGAAAGTGAATGAAAGAGTTGTAATTAAGAATTACACTCTTGGTTACACGTAAATTTACATAATGACAAAATAATGAGTCTCAAAATAAAGGTGCAGATTGCAAAAGTTCAATATTCAGGTCGTCACAAATCAGAATGGACTAAAAGTGCCTAAGAGCAAAGAGTTATCAAAAGAGCATATTAGTAAAACTGGTAGATAAAAAAAAAACGACACATCTAATGATGTAAAGAACATAACATGTTTAATATCAAGATAAAGGGTTATCCTTCAAAAGTGCTTTTTGAGCTGTAGCGTACACTTTTTATAGAACTTTTGCAAACGTGACACTTTAAGTGTGTTTTGTAGAACTAGAAAAGCAGTCCTTACTAAGACATGTTATATCCGAAATGTCTCTATCAATCGCCAATTGCAAAACAATTAGACTTATCAAAAAGGGGGATATATTTAAAGGAGAACAAATATGAAAAGCAGTGGTTTATCTCAAAAAAGCAGAATTTACACGAATCTGTAAGCAGATAATTTTCGTATTGCTTTGATGGCTTCGTCGAGTATAACTTGACCATCATATAAGCAAGAGTTGAAGTGATGGCACCAGTAGGCATTTCAAATAGAGAAGAAGATAGCAGAAAGAATTTCAAAGCTATTAAGACGGAGGTATGTATCCAATAGTTGGTAATGATCGACGTTCAAAGCGATTACATCCAGGTATAGCGTAGGAAGAGAGAAGCGAGATGGGTGTTTAAAGTATAAATTGATGGCATTTTACCATATGTTTTTGTTGGCCATGCATGTAAGCAATATGCGCTCCAAAGTTTGGAGTAATCCACAAAATACACACTTATCATCCGGTACTTGCAGGATGGAGGCGATAATTGTCTTGATTGAGATTTTGTTGTGCAAAAGACAATACCACAGGTTCCTCGTACTAACTGCCATTGAAATCCAAAGGAAAAGCCTAAATTGGGCAGTATCTACGCTAGCCTTCATCGAGTGTGGATCAGGAAGATGTCTCGAGTACATTTAGCGGAGCTCAGAGTTGTTACAATTCAGTAAAGCTTTATTGTTTTAGAAATTTTGGTAAAAAATAATTTATAAGTCTAACAACATACTTTTTTGTAGTCCTGTATTAAATGTGTCTCGTTAGGATAGAGGAGAGGGGAGGGAAAGAAAAAGAAAATATAATAGAATCCAATCTAATGAGTTTTTACATTGGCGGAAGCAATATAACTATCTAAATTTATATTATCTTAATGGAGGTCTGCGGATTATGAACTTATTTCAAGCCGTTGTAGACAAATTTTTGTAGGTATGGTTCAAAACTAGCCGGCAGATAGGGATCCAATGGACGAACCAAATATTCTTGGAAGAAAGGCAAGAACAGCAGCGAACCATCTTTATATGCCCTGTGAGTCCATGGCAATAGTACATGACTATTGCATTCCTGTCTTTTTTTGAAGAAGGATCTATCTTCAGAAAATAGGAGGTTTTTTGCAGTCGAATGGCTGCATTATCCAGGATTTGAGGACGTATTTGCCCAGGATAGTAGAGGTCAACAAAAGCGACTTCCAGACATGCAGGCAGATAGAGCTTCCTATCGTCCCAGGAAGAAGAGAAAGGATAATCATCTATTGTTTTAAGAATGACAGAGAGCATGTGTAAACCAGAGAGGTGAGTAAGTTTTATGAGCCTTGGGAAAAAGCAAAGGTACTTTATAATAGGGACAGTCAAAAACCGCTTGGATATACGATACAAGTAGCTGTAATAAGAAAGCAGAGATAAGTCAATTAGTGAAATTATTGTGGAGGATGGCTCGAATGTACCGATTTTGGAGGACCTTCTGCTGTGTAGAGACGTCCATCACGGACAAACCACCAGCAAGTCTGAATGATGAATAGTTGTCTTACGCAGGGAAGGAAAAATTCCTTGGTAAGCGAACCGGTAAATCATTGATAGGAATGGGATCTGGATAGATGAATTGGTCCAAAGGAGAAATTGAAGTCCTGTATTACTATCATATTAGACATGATGTCAAGAGGAGAGTCAAGTGAGTCAATGAGATCCATAAGACTTTGAAAGAAACGAATACGGGCATTATCTATATTCGAAGCCGGTGCGTAAATGTTTAACATGTAAAATGGTTGAATGTCAGCTTCTCCAGTAACTGTAAACTTCACCAAAAGTGTACGATTACTGTCTGAGATTTTTACACGATCCATTTGAAGGCGTTTGTTGTTATTCACGAGACCACATTTGGTAGTCCATATTGATCGATAAGCTTGTAATTTATAACTGAGTAGAACTGTCGAATCTTGAAAATCAGGGATTGAGAGGTTTGTTTCTTGGAATGCATATATGTCGAGTTTTTGTAGCTTTAAATAACGGGTGAGATTGTCTGTCAACTGCTCATTGTACCGTTTGTGAAGGGTAGGACAGTTGAGTGAGCCCAGTCTGATATTTAAGCTTTTAGTATTATTATGTTAGAGAGTACGATTCAAAGGGAGAAGAGGCTTTAGACAGCACTCTCCCTCCTTTTGGCCGATGTAAACCGGAGCCTTTAAGCATAGCATTCGTTTTGTTAGCTAGTAGGTCAATTTCCTTTTTAGCACACTTGGACCAAATAGCGGCCTTTCACAACTCGTTCTTGTATGTAATAGTATCTGGTGAGTCTCCCTTGTCGATGTTGGTTTGGTTGATACTGAAACCTTCCTTTTCAACTTCTTGCATCAATTCGTCCGAGATGATCTCCTCGGTTTTGACTCTTTCAACCGTAGCTTCCTTTTCTTGCATTTCCTCATTCTTGAGCTGATCCTGTTCTTCCTACCCCAGAGCTTGCCCATCTACTTCAGAATGATCTGGGATTACAGTTGGTTCGGTTTCCTTCAAAGACTTTGCGCTTCCTTCGATATCACCCATAAAATCTTGGAAGGAAACAGTCATTGGTTTGGCCTGATGGCTCACCACTAGGCTAGCTTTTGCAACCTTTCTCTTGCAATTCCAAGGTGCAAGGGTGCATTCGGCTCTCAAATGCTCCGTGCTACCGCATTGATAGCAACTTTTCATACAGCTGTTCAGAACTGAGCAGCTGGCTCTGTTATGATCATCAACATGGCAATAGTTGCAAATGGGCTTCATGTTGGAATATACTAAATGAAGTTTACAGTCATCATCCCAACCGGGGATCTGAGGTGACAATGTCTTGTAACTGACATTTTTCTTCTGATTCAAAGTAACAAATTCTTTTCCTATAAACAAATTACTATCTGTAGTATGGCGGAGACCAATTTCCAGAACCACGCTGTAGCCTTGGAAGATTTCAATCAATTGAGGCCTCAAAAACTCCTTATCCTCGAAAGAAATGTTGAAAATGCCCGCTCTAACCATAGTGAAAGTGCGGTCCATTTGAATACGTCGGTCATGTAGGATGAACTTCTTGTTCAGGGTCTCCTCGCGTTCTTTAGTGATTCGAAAGTTGATTTCGACAAAGTGCTGCTTTTGACCAATGTTTCTGGTACGAAGACCAAGTCCATTGAGATACTGATCTCGAAAATGCTTGTTCATACTTTTGTCGCTAAAGTTCATACCGTTAAATTCACTGGTAGCGATGACAGTGGAGTTTCTGGCTGTAGCCTCGAGAAATCATTTACGAGACTGAAGCGAGTGGCGATCAGCTGCCTGATCGTCGATCTCAAAGGCATGTTGACTTTGAGCTTTTACAGTTTGTGTAAGATCGAAATGTAAACAGTTGGTTGTTTGGATTATGGCGTAAGCTATTGGTGTTTTTACCAATCAGATTCCCGTTTTCAGAAAAAGTGTTGCTTAGCAGAAAAGCCATGATTGAAGATTTGTAAAGGGTATTATAAGGACCACTCTGTAGCTTTTTTTTTTTTTTTTTTTTTTTTTTTTTTTTTTTTTTTTTTTTTTTTGAACTGAAGCTTAGAAATTTACCCTGCAGGGCCCAGTCTTAATCTTACAAATTTTCACCGGGCATCATTAAGGACAAAAGAACGATTTTTTGACTTTTTCACAACTTGCTATATTTTTGCATAAATATATTCTTTTATGTATGCTAAAACAGAAGAAGCACAAAAAAAGAGCTTGTTTTGATAAACACTCACCCCTACAGCGGGCTGCCAATCCGCCGCTAGTGTTATTATTATGCTAATAAGTTGTTCCAGAAAAAAAGGTAATTTACATTGGAGGAAAAATCCAAGCTATGATTTAAGGCTGTATTATAAGCTTAATACTCAAAAAAGACACAAACTGAGGATCAAAAGCATACCAAGTGTGCAATGTATCTAATCAAGTCAAAAGGTATGTAGTAATCACAAAATATCTATGTTTTTAATTGTATGGATAGGAAGATCTAATACAACAATTGAACTTCTAGTCAATTACTCCTATACTCTTGATCAAGGTGTTCTGAAAAAGAAACCTCAAAATCATTATTTGCTATCTGTACCTGCTAAATGTGTACTATCGTTATTGAAGAAGAGCTTTGCTGTCAAATCTCTATCGGCATAAACAGCATTAAGAGAAGAAAGATAATTAGTGTTTTCGTCTTTGTCTACAGCTTCAATAGGAACCAATAAAAACTGATTTTATTCATAGTCAGATTCACGAGAATGAAAAATCAGACAAACGCGTTTTGTGTTTAAACCAAAAAAATAAGAAAAAGAAAATGTCTATTGATTTCAATACTTTGGAAGATATTCGTGACAACTTTAGCCTCAGCGCCTCTAATACAACTACGTTTGCTGTTGCTACTCGAGACATAGATGAGATCAATCTTCTAATTCAAAAAGGACAACAGTTTGTAAGAAGAGCAGCACAAGATAATGAAGAATCCAACAATACAGAGAAGGTAGATTAGATCTATCATGTTTGCTGGCTCATTTTCTTTGATAGGTCAATGCCCTAGATAATAAATTTAAGCAACTGATTGATTTAGAAAACAAGCTTCAATGTCATAAAAGTACACTAAACATAATGAAAGAAAGTATTACAAGAGGTGAAAGAATAGTGCGTTCAGAGTGGCTTCTTCATTCTCTTACATAGCTTCTATAGAAAGACGTATCAGACGATTATCAAAAGCAGAACCATGCTGAAATGGATAAACTAGCAAGTAATGAGGATAGCAAATATCATAATCATCCCAGCTACGTTAAATTTAGACAAGCTATTTGGGTAACAAGCTTCTCTTTTGTTGTATGGCATATTTACATCCTTATAGAATATCAACCATCCTGATGAAATGATGCCTAGTTTAACAGATGTACAAGAGGATGATGATATCGTGATGGGCCCTTCAAAGATTTCACTCAAATGTCCTTTAACAACGACTTGGTTTGAAGAACCGGTGACAAATGCAGGATGCAAGCATACATTCTCTAAATCAGCCATTCTCTCACTCTTGCAGAAATCCAATGTCATCCGCTGCCCTATTCCCGGTTGTAATAGCTATATTCAGAAAAACACACTTTCTCCTGATGAAATGATGGTAGACAGAGTCAAGAGAGCAAAGGCAAGAGAGACACAAGAACAACAATTAAGTCAATTCTTTGATGTAGAATAGATCTCTCTTTATTATTATGATACATAAAAATTACACTCTAAAATCACATTGGTTGTTTGTACTAGAGATGAAGCCCATGGCTCTTGCACGCTTAATAGCCTTTGCTAATTTACGTTGATTCTTTGCGCTAAGGCCAGTTTGTTCACGAGGCAAAATCTTGCCCATGTCAGAAACAAAGTGTGTTAGTAATCTAAAGTTCTTATATTCATGAAGAGGATCAAGACCCAACACTTCAAAAGGATCTTCAGTGGGTGCGGGCTTTCCACGTCTACGGCGTAAAGATTCTCTGTAGCGTGCATCGTTCAAATCTTCAGGGTGGTAAGTGTCACCTTCATGGTGAACCTTTTGATAACGTTGAGCAGCTTCTGAAATAGGTTTGATCTTTTGCTCTATATATTACTATTAGTGTACTTTGTTTCGGCTTATGTGCTTACTGTTGATGGAATCTGTGAGTAATTCAATAGTAGCTTGCTCTAAAGCTATTTTTAAGAAAAGGTATGTGTGAGCAAACTGAAATGACAGGTGTCTGATTGAACATTTACTTTCTTTAGCATCAGGCATACGTTGAGTGGCTGCAAAAGACACTTGGGTGGTGGGCACAGGAGCTCTAACAGCTCGAGAAATGGTTGAAAATGCACGGATTTGAGAGAGCATGATAATTGAACAGCAAAAGAAAGAGTGAACAAGGGGTCTATGAGACTGGAAAAAAATCTCCAAATGTCGGAGTGTCAAATACGTTTGAATAGTGACTGTTCGTCTTTTGACAAATTCGATGCTATGGACAAAGAACGGAAGATGCTGCTGTGTAAGTCATTGGTATTGGAGTCGCATATCGTTCATTTTTTGACAATATTAAAGAAAAGAGAAACTTGGTACTTTAGAGAAGCTTCCTGAGAAGATGTTCAAATAGAAAGCGAGGACTACAAAGGAAAAGGTGGTGATGATTTCAAGTGAATTGACACATTGTTCTTCAGTCGAGAATTGTTTAACACACACTTATTAGTGTAAAAAAAAATAGTCTGCTCATATCTATTTTTCTTTTCCATAAAAAAGTATCGTGTCTTGGTACAGTGGACGACTCCAAGACAACCTTTGAAGCCTCTGATTTTTTCTTGTGTCCTGAGCCAAGCTGGAAATTGAACTTTGAAAATGATATTTCAATTTCATTGTAGGACTCAATGTCACAGCATTTGAATTGATTGCTTTCTGTCAATGCGTAGCAAACTTAAATTGTTTTTACCACTTAGCAGACCCTTTTTAGGAAACAATAAAAAGAGTTCATTGAGTAACTAATCTAATTTTTAGATTTTATAGAGTTTTAAAACAATTATCTTATTCTAATGACTGCACGAACACATATCTTCTTTTACTTTGGCCAGACTATGTTATTGATATTCTGGTGTCCTGAAAACTTCAAAAGGAATTACTCTTATTTTCAGTGAAAGCTGTTTATAGCTTTTGCCTATTTAATCCTCCTTTTTCTTTCATTAGAACTAAATAACACCATGTGTTTTCGTTTATTTGTGTTTATTGAATTGTAAATATGAAATGTGTAAAATGCAAAAAAAGAGATGATGATATTAAAATTAAGCTTCAGTTTGTTCAGCTTCAGTTCTCTTCTTGAGAACAAGGTCGGTGCCAGTCATGCGCTTGTAGATATTCTTGACATCGTCACAGACAGTTTCGAAGTGAGAAGTAGCATCATAAGACTTTGACACAAACACTTGGTCTTCTTTACCGTCTGACAAAGGTTCTTCAATATCAGAGACAGAAATGAATTTATCATGAATAGGGCCCAAGACATCTAAACCTGCCTTGATCTCACTTTCGGGATCTTCAGTTTCAACAATAGTGGAGACAATAGCTAAATACATATCCTTGGGGCAGACAGCGTGGTTGCTGGAGACACTAGCCACATAGACATCGTGGTTGCGGCCCAATTCGTTTTGGGGGATCACAATTTGAACAGAATCAGCTTCACTGGTGTTGGGAATAGGATGCTTTAGGAAACAGATGGCACGGACAACCTTGCCGGTAGCCTTGACCTTGTCCTTGGCATAAGAAGGATCACAGATGATTTGTTTGGCCTTGGCAGTTTCTGTTCCAGAACGAATACCAACTGCAACACCGTTTTCATAAAGGATCTCATCAGCAGCTCTGTCAAGCATGTAGGTACCACCATAAATAGCACTCAATCTAGCCAATTCAGGAGTTTAAAAAAAGAAGGAAACAATCAAAACACAATTTACCTGGCAAAAGATTGAGGGAGTTCACCCAAACCATGAAGGGGATAGATATAAGGACTTTTACCATAACGAGCCATGGAAGCAACATAAAGAACAATCTTCTCAGTGGTTTCACGAGCAGGTTGAGCGAGGTATTGATCGTCCAAGTGAAGTGCCATGGCATGGCCTAAAATTATATACAAAATTAGTATCCAATTAATTAGTACGTGTCACCTGAGATTTACCAATGAATTGCTGAGTAGCAGCTTCAAGACCAAACTTTGCATAGACATCAGCCATTGTGTTCTTATCTAAATCCAAGCCTAATCATACCAAATGAGTCTAGGATGAAATGAGAAAATAATGATTACCTTCATGAGTGGACTCATCAGTATCCTTGTAGTTTTGAATGAATTCAAGGAACTTTTGCAAACGGCGCTTTTCAGCAACACCCAACAAGGAGGTAGAGATAGCTTCCATTTCACTGGCAGGTACCTTAGAAATCTTACCATCCCTGTAGACAAAAGAACCAGCAATTTGTTTGAATTCAAGGTAACGAGTGACATCAGTATGAGTCAAGAAACGAACAATTTCACCATTAGCCATCATGAATTTAGGGATCAAGTCGATATTGTAGTCACGGTCTCGACCCAATTCGGCAGGAACCTCAGCATCAGGTCTGTATTTACGGTAGAGCTGCAGTAACAGATGAATAAACATATATATATATATATATACATATTTAATGCTCATATCGTGCTTACCTGAGTCAAGTTCAAAGAGGCAGATTCACCACCATAGTAGTCATTTCTGTCCATATGAAGCACCTTTTTGCCTTCAACAGAGAAGATACCAGAGAGAATACATTCGGTCAAACCAGTGCCGAGAACAATAATATCGTAGCTGTCATCCTAATTGTCATTCAGCTATTGTTTGGCATATTAATCAACTTACCATTTTATAAAAAGTGTGAAAAAGAAATACAAAAGAAACAAAGCAAGAATCGATGTATATATTTATATGTGTTTTTTATTGAATGCAACGTTCCCAAACTAGGGATAAGAAGGGGCTGCTTAAGCCAATTGTAAACGTGCCCTCATTTGCCTAGAGTAGTTTTTGCTTTAAAACAACGTGTCTGACGCAAACCTTAAACACGAGAGATTGTACGGTTTTTGGTGTTTGAACTCATAGTGGTACAAATTACTGAATTCAGTCTCCTCTTTGTTGATTCGTGAAATGTTGTCACATTAACGAGCTACATGTGAAAATACAAAAAAAAGTTGCATTGAACTCGTCAATAACTGCCATTTTCTCTCTCCCCCTTTTTATCATTCAAATGGCCCTAATTGAGCTACAACAATATGTCAATGACATTGACAAATAAATGATGTGCATTATCATTCTATTGTTTTCTTTTACAAGTTGCTTGGCGACTTTTTCTCTTGTTTATTTAAATCATGGTTCATTCTCTCTCTCTCTCTCTTCTTCTTTTTTCTCTATTTTATGATGAGTAACAACAGTTATCCTTATACATCCAACAAAAGCTGTTACCGATTATATGCTGGTCATGGAAACTGGATCAATCTCGGTGCAAAAACCACGCAAGACTTGTTGCAAATATTTGGAAAAGGTGAACCTTGTCGGTATCAATTAGCTCCTGGTCTTTCAATTGACATTATTCCGCATGATGTTGACTGTAATAGCAAAAATATCGATATGGTGGGTTTAATGCGTGCTGATCTGGTCTATGAGCCTCATTTGATGGAAGGCCATGTTCAACAGCTCATGTCACACTATGTTCGTAATTTACTGGAGAAACAAAACATTGTGGATGTCTTTCCTCCTACTCGACCCAGCGAAAACTTACCTATCATTACGTCTATTCCAACCCATCGTCATTTGAGTTTGGTACCTATGGTGATGGGTGCTGCTCGACGAGGCCCTAAAGCGTATCAACCCGCTTATGCAAGAACAACACCTTCCACTTCTTCTGCTTCTTCCACTGCATTTACACAAGAAGGAAATCATACGCCTATTTCTTCTTCTTCCTTCTCAAGCGATTCTTCACCTACGCGAAAGAGAAAAGCCAAAAGTGTAATAACAAGACGCAAACAACCAAAACAAACCAAAAGCGCGCCCACAGTTGAACTCTCATCTCAAAGAATGATAGCAGCGAGTGACTATTGTCCTTCAGCCATGAATCTACGCTTGTTTGCTAATTTTCCTCAGCTAGACAATACCATGGATCAAGACTATCATTACAATCATCCAAACAATACCCATAGTAGCTTACTGAACAATCATTCTCTTCCTCCACCACCTCCACCACCACCTCCTTCTTCTTCTCAAGTATGGGCTCAGCCTTATTCGAGTCGTTCAACTCATAACAACAATTTCGACTTTGATTTTAATGTCGAGTTTGATCAATCGACTATGCATCGTCAATCACCTACGGATATTTTGCATGAATACGATCGTCACTTTTCTTCCTCTTCCAGCTTTAATGACCAACAACAGCCACAACAACCAACGCAACAACCACAGCATCACAATGAGCTATATTCGATGCCACATGCCTTACTCAGTGAAAACAACAATCAACAGACAAGTTCAGAACCTCATCTTGAAAGCTATGTGCCTAGCTCACCTATTCCAAGTAACTGGATTGATCCCGCACAACGCTCCAATTGGCCAAAGACCAAAACCAGTGAATCTATCAAAAAAGAAGTGACAACATTACCCGTCTTACTTCAAAATGAGCCCCATAACAACATTTTATTAAATAATGAATAAACATGATGTGGTCAAAATTGTAAAGGACATCCATACATAGTCATGGTGGTTTCCGAAATTTGTCTTTGAATAGCATGCAAGTGTTTCCTCCAATGACTTGTGTCAGGATGATGCTTCAAGAGAAAAGCCATGTACATCACTAACAGCTGTACTTTTTCCAAGTCTGAACCATGCACAAGCTCAATCAAGTAATTGGATACAGTAATGACGTCTTCAGGTTCAGGCTCATCTTCAAATGAAGAGACCCAAGCTTGTAGCAAGTTTCGAATGTCGTTGATGTCTGTCATGTCTTGTAATACAGGCCCTTTGTTAAAAGCAATAATTTCATCAGGTTCTATAGGTTGTACAGTGGGCACCTTTTCTGTTTTCTTTTGTGCCTTTTTGGACTGACGATGTTCAGCGAGTATTTCTTGGTGTACATCTAATTTCAAAGGTCATTTCATAGACTTGAATATAGCATACGTACCTTGAGGCAATGCCTTCAAGACATCAACATCAAAAGGTAAATCAATCTCAAGTAATTGTGTAAGTGTTCCTCTTGTGTGGTTTTTAGTTACAGGAGGTTCATGCATAGATATGTCCTGATTTCCATACATTCGAAGTACTTGTTCTCGCATGGTGTCTGGTAATGCAAGTAAATAGTTTGGATCCAACTTAGACCAAGGAGGTAATTCAGGCAAAGGTGTACTAGAGTCTTGCTCGTTTGTGTTTGTGAACACCAACTGATGATTTGATTTCAGTTCTTGTTGAACAGACACTGGTAGCTCATTAAACACATCGATATCCACTTGCTAATGATAGAACTTTCAGTATGGCATAAATAGTTAAAAGCCAACTTACCAATTCATCTTTTTCAGGTCGAGTACTTGATTCGCCTGCTGGCTTGAAAACAAGTTTACCTTGATCGGACACTAGACATGTGTTATATGACATCAAAGTGTGTTCCACTTACCCTCTTCTGGTTGGTTATTCAGTTTAGTGACATGAATGCCTAGGCCACGTATATCCACACAATCAAAACAAAAGGACTTCAACATGCCATAGACTTGTTTAAAAATCATGTCTGCACTGTCTGTGAATTCATCTGACGTACATGATTTAGAAAAGCTATCTACACTCCCATGTCCTAAATGCTTTCTAGGTTCGCCTGCGTCTTTTTTTCTTTTGAGAATCTTGATCGTGATTGTTTTTCCTTTCACACTGTATTTCTTAAGCCTGTCTGAAACTTCTTTTGAAAGCGTTTCTAAAAATATCTACTTTTTCTTAGTTTTGTTATTTGAGAGTATCTTCTTGTTACCTTTTCCTCTTGTTCGTCTTTAAGTCGTACTCCCCACTATACTGTATCAGTCATTGAAAGACAATAGGTGACTTACATTGACTTCAGCACTGACAGATCGTCTTTGTTGGCCTGTGCTCAAGGATCGGTCATCTATGCCACGCGAAAAGTTGTACAAGGTTCGCCCCACTTTTGTGCCTAATTTAGACTGCAGTGTGTGTAGTGGTATGCTTCTTAAATCACGTATCACTTTGACATGCTATCATGTTGGATTAACTTGAATTCAACATGTATTTGTGTTTACCATCTCATTTAGTTTCTCTTGTGTTGCATAACCAACCTAATTCAGTTAGTTTTGATTTTTTTCATGGTATGACATACACCAGGTAAATCTGTAATGGCTTGGTCCAACAAGACATCGTCCATATTAAGTTCTGTACAAATAAACTGACCAGCAGGTTTTGCTTTTCTCGTCGACATTCTGGCTAATAAAATATTGGGACCTATGCCAATAGAGACAGAACATCCTGTTGCTTGCTGTACTTCATGGCGTATTTTAGTGGCTAATGCTTCTTCTTGTCCAGCATGCGATCCTATTTCTAACAATGCTTCATCAACACTCACAGCCTGTATTTCGTCTGCATAAGGAAACAAGATCTAGATATAATTGAATCTTGATTTGTATGTTAGGGTTAGCTTACTTCATAAAATTGTTCTGAAATGGCTCTGTATTTCTCAAATTCATAGCTATTGGTGTTGTGTCAATAAATCAACAAGATACACTGACTTACGGGATCACTTGAAGATCTGGACAAAGTGATTTGGCTGTTCCAATCCTAGTAATATCAAATAAATTCATGGCTATCCATGAAGACATACTTACGGCATGCCATTCTGTATACCAAAAGATCGAGCCACATAGTTACAGGATGCTAGATACCTTTAATCTATGGATTCATGCATATTCCATTATTACTTTACCAACATCGCTTGAAGAATTCTCACTGGCTGATTTGCTATGAGATACAGCCACCTTTATAAGAAATAAAATAAAAGAGATAAACATCATGTATGTCATATATTCTATTTCTTACAGGTACATGAACAAGATGAGGTCGATCTTTTATCCCAACAGAAGCAAAGAAACAATCAAAATCCACATGCCTATCTTTATATTAGTCTTTTATAATGAATATGGATCTACTTGCATCACTAGACGAGGACACAGTGCAGTCGGATTTTTCAATGAGTATTTTTGATGCATTTTATCCACAATATCTTTTGCTTCGGATTTCCAAGTAGAGAGATAATGCAAACGAGAGGATTCATAGTATTGTTTGATGAATTCTGTCTGTTGAGGAAATGCAAGTTCTTTTTGATTAGTGGATCGTGGGACAAGTCGGTATGGTTGCCATGGTAAAAGTTGCTTAGCAGCCACAGATTCTACAATCCATTCAGGCTTTACCACTTTGTAAGATCTAACAGAAGATGTGAGATCAAGTCACATGATCCATACTGTACCGAAATTCTTTTAATTTAGCATTGGTTAAATTGGTTGCAATGATGTGTGTCACACTTAACTTTTTTACTATGTTGTCTTATGAGTTTACAATTGAGAATGAATGATACTCTACAGTAATGCTGATAATCTCCTCCATGCTGTAATATCATTTTACGTAATTCACTTGAAGGTGGATTTGTATAACCATTAATATGAATTGTCAGACCTACAAAGATCTGTGCTGCCTGACTTGCTTGATCACTACTTAATCCAATAAGTGACATGAACACGATAGAATACTTTACATTTCTTGCTGTTGTCGTTTTAGCTTGTTTTGCTTATTTTGCATATATTTTCGAAATTCACCAAAGTTAATCGCACCATAAGGATCGCTTATTTCTTTCATATTACGTAGTTTAAAAAAAAAAACAAAAAGATAGAAATAGCTCTCTTTTTTTATTTTATTCATTTCAGATGTTTCCTCGATCACCTCAAGATGAACTACCAGAAGGTGGCTGTCAACTGATGGATGGCTTTGGTATCTTTATTCAACTTTGCTTGGCAACAACTGCTTTTTCTACCTTAATTTATAAACGACAAAGAGAAGAGCCACGACGTCCGATTCGTATTTGGTACTTGCCATAAACAAATAAAGTACTCATGTAGACATAGGGCTATGGATGTCAGCAAACAGTTAGCAGGTGGTGTGATGATTCATACACTGAATGTGATTGCAGCTGTCTTTTTTGGTGTTCATCCAGAAGAAGGAGTCAAGTCCAACCCATGTGTATGGTAAGTGGCTTTGATGAAATAAGGTGATTTAATATACAGTGTGTAGGTACTTTTTGAACATCTTGGTCGATACAACGGTGGGGATTGGGATCTTATGGCTCATCTTGACTGGGTTTAAATACCTTGTGGGCTATTTAGGTCTATCTGGATTCCAGAGTGGTGTCTATGGCCCACCTCCTTTGACAGGGCAACTGGTGCAATGGGCTAAACAGTTGTTAGTCTATGTTGTCAGTTTGTTTTTGATGAAAATGATTGTGATTGCTATTTTTCATTTGTGCCCTTGGTTATCTGATTTTGGTCAATGGGTGCTTGAATGGACAGTGGGTAATTATAAACTTCAAGTGGCCTTTGTGATGCTCATGTAAGTATAAATGCTGTTTGATGTTTAGTGGCTTATCTTATTAGTTTCCCCTTGGTAATGAATATCATGCAATTTTGGGTGATTGATACATTTATCAAACATAAATCAGAACATACTAGTCCAATTATTCGATTGGATAGAGATGAAGAAGATGCAGAAGCATTGCTTCATCATGAAGAAAACGAAACAGACCCTCCACCAAGATACAGTATAGAAAGTGACAGGAGAAGCAATGTATTCATCGAGGCTTCTTCTTCAAGTGATTTACCAACATCAAGGGAAAACGAATACGAAATGAAATCAAAGAAATAACGTATACCCACACACACACTATGTACAAAATAAACAGCATCTCCTCTTCTTTCTTTATGTTAGGATAAAGTAGAAGATATAAATAAGAAAATAAGAGACAATAGGGTCAGAAACCATGGTTGAACCAAGGCTTGTTTGTTTCTCTGGCTGTTTAGGTTCTACTGTGGCTGAATGAACAATGGCAGGACTGATACTCTTGACTTGTGTCTGTTTCTTGGCCATGGTATCACTCACATAATCTAATCCAGCAGCAGTGACTTTATAAGGTTTAAGATCATTGAGACAAGTATCCATACGAACAGGTGTATAGCCTTCTTTATAAATGATCTTCATCACACTTGAGACAGCATCCAAACTACCTGTTTCGGGAATATCATACTGAATAGAAATAAATGACCCTTTGCCTTGATGAGAAGTCTTGTAGTTTGTGAATGTGCGCTCGTATTCTTGTCCAATGAATTCGGGTGTCTTGTGTAAATAATCTTTCCCGTCGAGATTATAGCCCACCAAAACAAATCCTAATTGTTTAAGTATGTATTCTGTCCGAATGTCACTGTGTGCACTGAAATGAAGGCGAACGTATTTAGGAGCCACACCAAGAATGGAGTGAATCATGTCTGCGTTATGAATAATGTCTTGTTGAATCTCTTTGTCAGTCATGGAGGAAGGGTTATTGGTTGGCAAACTGTAAGTCATGCCGATAAAATGACCTGCTTTGTACAAGTTCTGAAGGACAGTGGCGTACCGTTCTTCTTGTAACCTAGATAGAACATGAGATTACTGTGCTACAGGTTGTCTTGTTGTACCATTTAATATTGACAAAAAAGTTAGCAGGTGTACTTGCATTGTTCAATTGACGTGCAATACGTGCTGTTGTATCACTTGGCCCTTCACTCTAGACCCTCCAGAATCAATATATATATATATATATACGCTATTTATATTGCCACTTACATAAGTTATAGCCAATTGTCCTTCTGTTTTACATCGCACCACTTGTGGAATAGCTGGACGATTGCTATCATTCAATGCTTTTCTTTGCGTAAATACAGGTAAATCTATGGAAGGATGAGCTGTTGAAGTTCTTATGGCCCATCTACCTAAATCTGGATTATAGTGAATGCCTGCTGAAGCAAACGTATTTTCTCTTTCTTCTACAGTCAATTCTGATGCTGCCACTTGAATCAAAAGACATAATATCACTATGAAACCATAAGGAAAGTTTCCTTTTCTATAGGGCTTTACCTGCTATAGTAGCAACAATATACTTGATCATTTTATACATTTTTTTTAAAAAAAAAGAAGAAAAGAGAAAAAGAAGACAATAAGAGCTTTAAAGTACATTCGGATTATTTTGTATTTATTTGTAGTAATAATAACTCTGATTCTGTACACAAGTGTTGATATGTTTTCCAAAGTGGTTCAAGTGATGAATACGTAAATTCTTCTGGCTGTTGCTTGTTGTCTGTAGCTTGCCCTTCTAACCAAGTCATGATAAGTTTAGTTAATAGTTCTGCTTCATGGTCTGTTAAATCAGACCGTTCTGTAAATGACAACCATTTTTCACTTAGGGCTTCTTTGGCTATAGGATCAGACCCAATCATTGCTTGTGCTTGCTGAGCCAATCGAATACCATCTTCTAATCCTCTTGTTCGGTAAGAAGGTTGACATGCTTTTGCATAAGCAGTGTCATTCATGATCTGTTATTAAGGTCAGTAAACAACATGTATACTTGACACTTTACTTGAACACAAGCCTTGCCATATCTTTCAATCAAGGGTTGAAATGACAATGCTTCTAGGCCATGATATGCTTGATACACATCTTGATTCAGCATCAGCTGTGTCTTCCATAAGTCTTCTTGTTGTTTTGTTGCCAATAAAGCATCTACTGCACGACTATAGTCTTTTTGTACGAAATAATCCAAGGCTTGTACAATCCATTGACCCACATTTAAATAGCGATTGTATTCTTGCCAAATAATTTCCAACTCAGGATCTGATAGGGAAGCTTCTTCATCCAGTGAATTCTATTATTATGAGTGAATAGCTTTTGTCTGATCGCGTACCTTTTCGGAAGAATACAGTAAATAAAAGTGCTCTAAAGCAGACTGATTTTGAGATCGAGCCAAAAAGGCTTCAAAACTAGTGTAAGGTTTAGTTTTAAACTAATCTGTTTCTTTCTGTCAAACTACCTTTTTAAGAAGATAGGATCATGCCCGCTCAACTCAGTTACTTGCTCCATACGTTGTTCCACTGTAGTCTTGAGTTGATGGAGACTTTCGCCTGTAAATACCTGTGATTCCGCAGGCACTGCTGTACCCACCGAGCCTGTATCGTCAAAATACAGGCTGGAACTTGTGGTAGAATGTTTCATGTCTTCCTCTATTTCTTGTTCTAGTAATGTATGATCTAATTGGACAAAATCAAACAATGTCTGTGGTACACATTGGCTCAATTGGTCTCGCGTGAATTGAGGTATGGCCTGAGAAGCATATAAAAGTGAGAAGGGAGGTGTAGGATCATCCAACATGGCTTGATCTGATACAGGCACCACACTGGCATCACAAAATTTAAACCAGCCGCCCTTGTCTTCCACAGGTATGTCTGGCAAAAGACTGATTTCACTCGGTTCTACATAGACATAGGCCCAATAATGACCTGTGCCATGTTTACCATCATGATGCAAAGTGGCTCGTAAGTCATAGGGGTGTTGTTTCATATCTTCAAAGGCATGCGTCATATCTTGTTTGATCTCTTTCACCTTGTTCTTTAAGGATGTTAAGCGCGCCTGAATACTCTGTTGTACAGTAGATAAAATGTCTACCATTTCTTGTCGGTCTTTAAAATAAGTCATAGTGTGTGTCAAGATGTCCAGTCGAGATAGACCTGCATTGCCTTCAAGCGCCTGAATCTGTGCCTCTAGAGCCACTATTTGTTTTCGAGAGGATTCAATCTTTTTAAATCCTTCTAGTGCTCTTTTTTGGTCTTCTTGCATGTATCTGTCCATATAAATGGTGGTGTCAATCGTATAAGGTAAGTCTGTTGTGTGAGGGGATGTTCTGTTCTCCAATACAACCCAAAGCAAAGGAGGAATTTGCTTAAATGTAGTGAATCGATCATTGTCTACATAGATCAAGGGGTCCAAACAAGCATGAAATGAGTCCATGCCATGATCAAGGCGAATAGATAAATAATACACTTCATCATCATCATAGTCACTTTCTTGTTTATATTCAATACGAGCCTTGAGCAAAAATAAACTAGTGATGTCAGTCATTTGTTTCTTGTTAATGACTTACTTTCTAAAGATAGGCACAAAATCAGTCTGTGTTGCTTGTGTGGATTGCTCATCCACTTGCACAAGACATTGGATCAACATGTCGAGAAACCCTTCAAATGAGACATCAGTGTATTCCCATTCACGCGGGGACCGTTCCTTCTGATTCAATGCTTTGACAAGGTGATATGAGTGGGCATAGGCACGTTTAGTGTGTTGCATGTAACCAAATAGTTTCTGAAGTTCAGCAAATGATCTCATTAATCTCGACATGGGTTCATAGGTTGGTTTCACGATGGGTGCATCCTCTAAAGATAATTGGGCCATAGGTGTTGCTTCAGGTGAATCCAATGGAATCAAAGAACCTTCTTTGACAGTAACGGGTGGTGGTGTGGTTGTTGTTGTTTGAATCATGTCGATTGGTACAGGGTCGCCTAATCCTCGCCAATAGTACTGAGGTGTTCCCCATCCGGAAGGGAATGGGCGAAATGAAAGGACAGCATGTCTGAATGCAGTAATATGAAACAAGGCTTGTAGGACAATAGGTACATAAGCAAAATTATACAAAGGTGGTCTTAATCCAATAGGTCTAGTCAAAGTAAGTACAGGTTGTGTATGATGTACCTACATGTGATCTTTTGCAAGTCGATCTGAAAGATTCTCGGGATCCGTCCACCAAGTCAATGATACATCTGCTTTCTTCTCGTCCACAGACGTAAAAGGCACGACACTCCATGAAGCACGATCATAGGTAGTATCCTTCGTCAATGGTGCTTCAATAGAATAAATAACATATTTTTCATAGAATGCTTACCCTGTTGTGTCGATGCTGTTTCTTGACTTAATCTTAACGCTAATTGTTCATCACTTTCCATAGTGTTCTATCACTCGATAAGTATTTTAATAATATCAATACTATTCTTGCCTGTGGAGTATCTTGCTCTTCATCACTTAGATCAGCACCCGAGAAAATGTAATCAGCTGCCAAAGCAACATCATTATTGTACCTCTATCTGGGTCAACATGAACTCAGTTGTTTCAGTTACTTACAGCAAGTGCTCTTTTGGCTTGTCCTCTTGTGACACCCTACAGATAGAGGATAAATAAATAAAGCGATTCAACATGGCTTTGTACAAACCAAATCTTGAAGTTGGTTAATGGCTTCTTCCATGATGAGAATGATAGTAGAGAAGTCCTTTTTTTAAATTACGAAACTTTAATGCCATACGTCACGTCGCCCTTTGAATCCATGCTCAGGTGCCAGTGTTGCGTATAGGCATACATGTATATATACAAAAAAAAAAGGCAGAAAAGCATCACTTGTGTACATGAACAATAGTTCGTTTATCATGTTGAAAGCGATAAACATCGTATTGATGATAAGCTATCGTGCCTAATTATGCATGCATTGATGAAAAAAAAAGGGTGTCTTTTTCATTCTCCGAGCTCAGCAGTCGACATGCCTTTTTTCTTTTCTTTTTTGGAGTTTTTCATTCATATTAGTATTCATACAGAATGAAGAAGAAAGAAAAGGTAATGCAAGTCTTTATAGGCTCTACTTACACTATATATAGGTGTTACTTATGGGTAAAAGTGGGTCAGGAAAGACCTCGATGCGTTCTATTATCTTTAGCAACTATATTGCTCGAGACACCAGAAGACTTGGCGCTACCAGTAAAATACACGCACAAAACAGAAAGAAACAAAGGAACTTATTTTTATATTATAGTCGATGTAGAACATTCGAATGTTAAGTTTCTTGGTAATCTCGTATTAAACTTATGGGATTGTGGAGGGTAAATCAAAGTATAGTGATGATTAAACTGACTTTATTCTAGTCAAGAAGCCTTTATGGAAAACTATTTTGCTTCTCAACGAGATAGAATATTCAAGAATGTCGAAGTTCTTATTTATGTGTTTGATGTAGAAAGTAGAGATTGGGAAAAAGACCTTCATTATTATCAGTCTTGTTTAGAAGCCATCCTTGCTAATTCCAAAGAGGCTCGTATCTTTTGTTTGATTCACAAAATGGATTTAGTACCTGAACATCAACGAGATCAGGTAAGCAAAAAAGACATTTGGATGATGTTTAAAGATGAATTAGATTTTCGAACAAAGAGTGACTGAATTACAAAAACGATCTGAGCCATTGACCATTCAAGCCTTTCGAACAAGTATTTGGGATGAAACGTTATACGCCGTAAGTAAGGAATCACTCTAGTTTTTGTATTAACATAAGATAGGCTTGGTCTAAAATTGTGCATTGTCTGATTCCTAATATTCGAGTGTTGGAATCGCATTTAGATCACTTTTGTCGTATTTGTGATGCAGACGAAGTTGTTTTGTTTGAAAGAACGACTTTTTTGGTGATTGCCACTGCTGCCACCATACCACATCAAGACCATCATCGATTTGAAAAGATCAGTAATATTATCAAGCAATTCAATTTAGGATGCAGGTAAAATAGACAAAAAAAACACACTCGACTTAGTGCGTATCTCTCTAGTCGTTCACAAACAAGATTTAAAAGTATGGAGATAAGAGGCAGTAGTTTTACTGCTTTTATTGATGTCTTGACAAACAATACATATGCTATGATTGTTATGTCAGATCCAACTATTCGTAAGTTATATCCTATAAAAAAATACAGATGCTTATTGTTATATAGAATCAGCAGCTACTTTGCTTAATATTGCCTCTGCTAAAAAGCATTTTGAGAAACTTGAAGCTTCAAGATAAACATACAAATAAACAGTCTCTTTATATATATGTAAACATTGATAGTTCAACTAAGGAGGAGGAGGAGGAGGAGGAGGAGGAGTACAGACTGCTTTTAACCATATGGAAAGAATTAAGTAAGTTTATTGAATATCCGCTGAACTGATGTATAAATGCAGGAACAGGCTAGTTTTGGTTGACATCTTTATCATGTGGTTTGTATGCATTTAAATGCCTTCTATTTCTTTCCTTTTCTCTCTTTTTCTTTTATATATATATATATATACTTATAGAGATTTTATGGATCCCTTGACAGAAGAAAACTTAGCTCTTCATACAAAACATGTAAGGACAAACATAAAAATAAAAAACTTATGTCTACTTAGTTTCCACCTCAAAAAGATGCACGAAAACACAATACTCGCTTATACGTTGAATCACAACTATCGATAGCCATCCAACCTAAACATAAACGATGGTTTCAATCCCTTCGTTTCGATATCATCAAGAAAAAGGTCCGCTTATTTTCATGCTCAGTTAGTCACGCACCGTTCTGACAATAAACTAATTTATTCAACTTGGACCACTCTGCCTTCATCGCTACTCTGTTGAGCAAGTTCAATCAGACGAATACAGTTATAGCCATCTTGAGGTGTGACTTCTAAATGACCAGGATCTGATTTCTGAATGGACTGAGCAACATTGTTATAATAGGATAAATAAGCTCCTTTTTCTGTCTCGACTGTGCCAACAAGATGAAGACCCTGAATTTCAGTATCAATCGTACCATATCGTGCCTGAGATTCAACACCATACTCTGGATCAGAAGGTAATTTACCAGACTTGAGTTGATCCTCTTGAACGTCCAAATACTCTTTTCTAAAAGAACCTTGCATACCACGCAAATTGAATCGCAAAACAGGTGTATGACGAGCCAACATACTTGAACGCAAAATAGCTTTGAATGCATTGTCATAACCCAGAATGATAGTGAAGTCATCAGCCACATTGGACTCCTTGAGCTGACGTTGGTTACTGACAGTGGCATAGACTGTCTTGGGCATGCCAAACAAATGAAGTGCTTGATCAATCAAATGAGCACCCAAGTCGTACAACATGCCAGATCCAGGTTGATCGTTTTGTTCTCTCCATCCGGGCTTGACGAAATTACGGAAACGGTCAAAGTGAGATTCGTATTCGACCAAGCGACCCAATTGACCGCCTGCTACGAGTTTCTTGACAGTCAAGAAATCACCATCCCAGCGACGGTTTTGATAGACACTGCAGATACGGTTGGTTTCTTTGGCTACCTGAACTAGTTCTTGGGCTTCTTGAGAAGTAATCGTGAAAGGCTTTTCAACCACCACTAGAGTAATCATGAGTGATGCCTTTCTTTTTTTTTTTTTTTTTTTGTATTGTCTTACCATGCTTGCCGGCCTTCATGGCTTCTTTAGCAAGAGAGTAGTGTGAGTCGTTAGGTGTAGTAATGACCACTAAATCAATATCAGGATGGGCAAACAAGTCATCTGTTGATTTAAAGACTTGGATCCAAGAATACATATCTTTAGACTTGTCACTCTTGCGTTCAACCACACCGGCCAAATGCATAAAAGGAGAAGATACAATTAAAGGACAGTGAAAAGTACGGGCAGACATACCTATAAAAGATAAATAAGTTGATTGCTGTTGTTGTTGTTGTTGTTATGCATGCTTACTTACCAAACCCAATCACACCTACATTTACTTTGTTAGAAGACATATTACTTATAGAATCAAACGAGAAAAAAAGAAGAAACGACTCTATATTTATAAGGGTTTAATTTGACTGCTTTTATGTCATGCTTGCCTGTTTAGGTAACAGGGTCTCTGTTTCCCGGCAGTTTCCCGTAAGGTTTATTAGTAATGTGTAGAGCCTGTCACAATGGTATTTAACAAGTGAACATGGTTACATAAGAACCCAACTATTGATACAAGTCATTTAGTGATACAGAGACTTGTTCTTTGCAACTATGTTTATAGCCTTCATTTTCGTAGTTCGAGCTAGATGAGCCATACAGATCAGATAGGGTTTAGGTGAATTAAATAGCAAGGACTTCATGCTCAGGCTCATCAAGTGTTTGTCTTATGCTTATGAATGCTACAAGGTAATTATCTTCCAAAGAAAGAATGTGTCATCAGTACGAAGAGGAGGGATTATTCGAATATTGAGCAAAAAACAATACTGTGTCAGGTTAAGGAAACACTTGACTTTATGACTATTTCCTAAGGCTCTTTCTTACTCGACACCAACACAAATTGACTATACATGTTTGAGCAGAGGAAAGGTGTCTTTTTATTCAAACTTGAGGATAAATATCCGTTTATTATTCTTAGTTTCTAACTTTTATTGTCAAAGGCGCCCTTCAATAACGGAGTTTACACGTTCTGTAAGCAACGCAAGAAAAAAAAAAATTTGAATTTGTTCTCTTTTTTTTTTTTTTTTTTAAATTTTCTTTACGCGTACACATGTTGGATCCCAAAGACTTTGAAGTAAAGCGTAACATACTTGATCATGTACTAAAAACAAAATATAGGTTGCTTCTCCACCTTCTGATAGTACTTCTGGCTTAGAATTTTCTTCACAAGCTGATTTTTTGGCTGTTTCTTCTTGGGATAATCAAGTAAGTCATAAAATAGACGATGGCCTTTATTAATTCAAACAGATTCGCATCTATGAAGTGCAACCTTCTGGTGCCACTGTGCCTAAAGCAGCATATTCACATGAAGCTCCTGCTTTATGTGTCAGTTGGAGTAAAGTAAGGTGTATTGATGAATAATGACACTATATTAACCTATCTTTAGGATGGTACAAAAGTAGTTTCTGGTGGTGCAGATAAAGCAGGCAGAATGTTCGATGTTGCTACAGGCCAAACAACGCAAATTGCTCAACATGACGATACAATCAAATGTATTCGATTTTTAGAACAAGGCAATGTGGTTGCTACTGGTAGTTGGGACAAGACAATCAAATACTGGGATTTGCGTTCACCTCAACCTATTGGTACAGTTCAACTTCCTGAGCGTTGTTATACAATGGATTCAAATGGCCTTTTGATGGTTGCTGGTACTGCAGAAAAGCATGTCTGTGTATTTGACTTGAGTAATCCTACTGTCATCTTTAAGGTAATGTATATAGGTTTGATCCATTAACTGACACACACACACACACACACACATATATATATATATATGTATATAGCAATTAACATCTCCTTTAAAATGGCAAACACGCGTTGTTTCTTGTTTCGCTGACAGTAAAGGGTTTGCTATTGGTTCAATTGAAGGAAGAGTGGGTATTCAATATGTTGAAGATAAAGATTCTCCGTAAGTACAATCAGATATCTATGGTTTACACTTACATGACTAGTAAAAACTTTTCTTTTAAATGTCATCGTGATGATGCCAAGAATGTATATGCTGTCAATGATATCAGTTTCCACCCTGTTCATGGTACTTTCTCAACAGCGGGTGGTGATGGTACTGTCAGTTACTGGGATAAAGACTCTAAGCAACGTTTGAAGCCATTCCCTAAGGCTAATGGTCAAATCTCTCATACAGCTTTCAACAGAAACGGTAGTATCTTTGCCTATTCAGTCTGTTATGATTGGTCTAAAGGCTATAAGCAAGCATTACCAAACAATGTCAACAAGATTTATTTACATGCTGTCAGAGATGATGAAATTAAACCTCGTACACCCAAGAAGCGATAAATTATCACTCTTTTAAAAAATATACATTTTTTTTTCCCACTGCATAATCCTACATGTGTGTGTATGTATATTTATTTGAAACATCGAAAAGGAGTTTAAATCTTAAGCGAATGACATCGACTCGTACCTTATTTTTTCTCTGTTTCTCTCGTTATTTTATTTTTAAAAAAATGGGTGAATCAAGAACTGAACTATTAGCTTGGATGAATGACTTGTTACAACTAAACTACACTAAAGTTGAACAAGCAGGAACAGGTAATAAGCGTGTCTGTATCATTCTTATATACCAACTTGTTATAAAGGGGCTGCTTATTGTCAAATTATGGACTCTATCTTTAGTAAGTAAACGACATACATCAAAGTAACTGACAATGATATACGTATAAAAAAAAGATGATATCCATATGAATAAGGTCAAATTTGATACCAAACATGAATATGAATATGTCACAAACTATAAAGTGCTTCAACACACGTTTGATAAACACAAGTAAGTCATGAAAATTACGCGCCTCTATGGCTCATTGATGGCTTTTGAATAGGATTGATAAGGTGTGTGTGTGTTTGTGTGTGTGTAATACCAACGCCTGTTGATGCTAAGTTTCTTTTCTTCTAGATTATTCCAGTTGATAAACTCATGAAATGTAAATTTCAAGATAATCTCGAATTCTTGCAGTGGGTGAAACGATTCTGGGATCAAAATTTCCCTGGTGGTGCCTATGATGCTTCTTTGCGTAGAAAAGGAGGGGAGGTGGTGGAGGGGGAATGACTAGTATGGCTACAAAAAGTGTAGCACCACGATCTTCTGCTGCAGGTATGGCACGTAAAGCAGTCAATCATAATACCAATAATGGAGGTCAAGTAGTGTTTGTACTACACATGAACTGATGTGTTTTATAGTCCGTAGTACGCCCACCAGTCGCCCACCCACATCAGGAAGCCGTGCATCCAATAAATCAGGAGAATCAGCAGCAGTCATTGGCGACTTGAACAAACAAATCACAGAACTCAAGGTGACTGTAGACGGACTTGAGAAAGAACGCGATTTTTATTTCGGCAAGTTGAGGGAGATTGAGATCTTGGTTCAAGAACAATTGGACGTGGCTGAGCAAGGGGAAGAAATGAACTGTATTCGAGAAATTCAAGCTATTCTTTATAGAACAGAAGAAGGATTTGAAGTTCCTCCTGAAGGTGAAGAAGGGGAAGAATTGGCTGAGGAATATGATGATGAAACATTTTAAGTTTTATTGATATAATTCTGCATTGAATGGTGTACCAAATAAAAGTTCCCAACTCTTAGGAGGTATCCAACGGGTTAAGCTTAGGTCTATTTTAAGTAGTGTGTTGATTAAACTAGCATATTCAATACTGTCTTGAACATTGTCTATAAAAGAAAAGAGTTAAGTCTTGTATGGAGAATAAGATGACTTACCGCCTTCAAGAGCAAACATGATAAACAAGGTAGTTTGAACTTGAGAAGACAATTGGTCATATAGTTGCTTTGCTAAACCAGCACCTGGTAAATCCAATGACTTCTCGCCTTCTTGGCTCTCTTCAAGTTCCATGTTTTCCAAGACAGGAACACCCAGTGTGACAGCACGAATAGTCAATTCACCTTCGCCATAGACTCGAAAAGGAGGTCCACTGATTTGTGAATCAAGACGACGTGAAGCATCCATACTAGTCAGAATAACCACTTGAGAGAATTGAGTAGCAAATGCTGTGATTTGATCAAGAAATGCTTGTCTTTTGCCCTTGATGGTGGGTGAACGTTGTTGAATGCAAGTCCATTTTTGATCGTTTGACTGGAATACTAATGAACATAAGTGAACAGTAACGTATGGCTGCATTACCTTCTATAGGAACAGTGACACCAGTGTTGTTGTTTTCAAGTACACCTGAAACAGGCATCAATGTATCTTGATCGATATAACCAACACGCTCCAACTTCAAGCTATGGATAAGCAAGTCAAACGTAAGCTGAGGCACATTACCAATGGAGACAGTAGGCTACATGTAGATAAATAACGCTTACTCTTTTTACATATTGCATACCAAAAGAAGAGTAGATCCCTTTAAGAGATCTGCGTTATAGTTTTCGATAGGTATAAACGACATGCTTTAAAGTTTAAGAACAAGAGCATTGCGCGTATACTTTAAATACAAAATTAAAAAGTGACCGGCATAAATTTGACTTGACAAATAGAGCCAAATGGAACCATTCTAGTATTCTTTTCAAGCAAAACGATTGTTTTTGCATAGGCAGATAGATTTTGAAAGGATAGAACAGTAAAGAACAAAAAAAAAACTAAGGTTGTCGTAATCCTTTTCAGATGAAAGATGTCATAAAATGATGCTAAAGGACATTGTGTTTAAATATATATATATAAAATGTATAGAGACATTGATTTAAGCAATAATCAGATTGTCATTGTTAAAAAATAAACATATACATAGCATGGCATAACCACGCAAAAGGAGTATAAAATATGCTTATATATACATAAATCACTCCAAATACCTTCAAACAGTGTTTTGCTAACATTTATGTTTACTCTGCTTCATTTTTTGGATTTTATCGCGCTATACTCAATGGATTTCAATAAAATTAGTACTACCAGCTAGATTTAGTACTATAGTATATAATTATGTTGTTTGATTCTGAGGTCTTTACTATATATTACTAGCCATCATGAATATTACGTTTTTGAGAAAATCCCTTTATTTTACAAACATTTAAACTCAGCAAGAAGTCATCTCCATCACATTCAACCTTTCTTGAAGAGCTCCACTTGCACATTGCTCTATGTAGTCGTTGTGGTACTTTCTGCAATAGTCAAGTGACTTCTACAAAGCAGAAAGAAAGTGTTCTTCTGGTGTTTTCTCGAGACCTTCATCAAGCTTAGTTTTTAGGCTACTAGGAGTCTCGTTTCTGTCTGGATTGAAATCAATTAGGTTTTTGATCATTGCCCACACCTTCTCAATGAGCTGGAGCTCACAATGATAGGGTGGGGTAATCATTGTTATATGGCCATACTTGTTTGCAATCTTGTAAGTGGCAAAAGCTGATTCAATTTTCTGAGTTTTGACCAGATCTGAAAGCTCATTTTTCTTTAGTTCTTCAGCTTCCTCAGCCAGGTGGTTGTTCTTTACCAACCACTGTTTGATGACAGATTATTTTCTTCCTTTGCTGTCGGTACTGGGTTTTTGCGGCGTTTGTGGTAAGGAGCACCATTCATAAAGCATCAGGGACCAACAGAGATTTTCGAAAAGTTGTTCAAACTTTTCAGCAGAGAAGTTGCCATGATAGTCGCTCTGTACATCCCTACTACCTTTAACAGACCACACTTTGATCCTTTCTTTGATCATGTTGGCCCTTGTTCTCTGATTTTCTTGATAAAGCACAAAAGCAGCAAAAGTTACCAACATGGGACCTCTTCCTCGTTGAAAGACCGTAGCTCCAGGTGCAGCCCAGGTTTTTCTAGCATGATGATCTACATGACAGTAAGATTCGTCCAAGAGTACTTCAGACTGCTTGGGTTGATTGTTGCCGTTGATGTTTAGCAGCCTTTGGTTGACATACATATGTCTAAATTTACATTAGCGATGGCATCATGCACAATGTTTTTTCTGTCCCCATTCTTGTAATTGAGACCAATTGAATGGAGGTCTCTCAGAAGAATAGGCTTTGATACGTCAATATGATCCATCACTTTGAGATCATTTGCTATTGGCTGGATTGTCCTTTGGTCGTCTTAATTTTTTTTTTCTTGAACAATCTCCTTTATGGCTGAGATATAGTCCGAACGAAACGCGTATAGAGGATTCATCCTTTTTTTTGGAAGCCCGCAAAGGACTATTGTAGATACGAATGGCATAGTTAGTCATACTAAGCAACTTCATGAATTTTTGGCGACGTTCAAGATGCTGAAAAGAGGGATCAAAAAGTCGGCTGTTAAGGATTAAACCGTGCATTCGACTTGAAAGGATGTATGTCTCAGATGAGACTTTAGTGAATTCCGTAACCTTAGGAAAAGCTGGTTTTAATAAACTTTTTATACATAAAAGTTGATAAAGAAAGAAAGGGACTATTTACTTCTAATCGTTTGATTCCCCTTTTTTTTGTGTAGAGAGTTACCATTCTTGGTCATTTTTGGGATGAGTTTATCTCTTAGACATCCAAGTCAAAGTAACTATGGAAACACACCTTAATAAGCACTACAAACAAAATGTAGTTGCATCAGAGGATACAAAAATGTTGATGTATCTAGTATAGGCATAAGAATCAAAGGCCTCAGAAAGGAGCCTTGTCGTCTTGATTGTTATATTCTTTAACAAGTCATTGTTTATCATTAGACCAGATCAGTTTGAGCACTGCCTTCAAATCAGCATTCAAAGTTCATTGTGTTCTGTAGCTAGTTCTTTTCAGTGGATATTGACACTCATCCTTATGCTTTATTTATGAGTGAAATACTTGACACTTTCGAGATAGAAAAGAAGCTCCCCCCTCTCGATTTTTAAAGAACAATTTGTATCAAAATAGTGTAGAGTTGCAAAGACTAAAGATATTTCATAATCATTTTGAATATTTTGATGCAAAAAAAGGTAATTTTCTTTTGAGGTGAACGGAGTGCCCGCCGATTTTTGTACAATGGAAAGATCACACAAGGAAAACATTCTATTTACTTCATAGTATCTCTTACTAAAATCAACGATTATCCATGGTTTGTTTAACATAAGTGTTTAATTCATAGAATAAATTTTTTGTGAAATACTTAGTTTAGTGATGCACAATGTATATACACACGCAAAAAAAAAAGCTTTTTTTTTAGCAGAATGTTTCTTAAAATTGAACTGACAAACATGCATGGACAAGCTAATGTAAGACAGACCATTCTGGTTGTTAATTTCCTTTTTTTTTCTTAATCATATGAAGCTTAGTTTCTTTTAAGAGTCTAGATGTTTCTTTTTTTTTTTTTTTTTCTCGACAATCTTTCAAGCAGAATTTCAAAAAAAAAAAATACATACATGATAAATCTTTATCCACATCCATACATTCTTTTTTTTTTTTGCGGGTAATATCAAGAAAAAAAGGCAATATTATCCTTGGATAATTAAATAGAGTGTGACAAGTAACATCGGCCATTTTTTAATTCAAGACGGGAAAAAAATAGTGTTTTTACTTCAATTGGGTGATGTACAACCTACTGTAATACAACATGTACTGCCAGTGCCGAATTATTCCTATTAAATTGACAGGCTTGTGGAGAAAAAGAGAGTTAATGATGTACACTCTGGGCTATTTCGGTCAATAAGGCTTCTCTTTGTTGTTCAAGCTGGTGCTAATCAAGTGTTAATTTGTATCTTTCATCATTCGTTCTTACCAATTCCTTTTGAGTTTCTCTGACTTTCATAGAAGCAAGTACCATATCCTTAAAGAGTTAAGAAAGTGAGTAGAAAGCACCAAACTGTACAACCTTACTGAAGGTAATCCTTCATATGTCTTGAGAATACGCTTTTTTTCTTTCAAAACTTTTTCAATGCCATTTGCTCTTGATTCTAATTCAAACAGACGAGATAGAGTAAGGCCTTTTTTTTCGATTGCTAAAGCATTGTATTGTTCCTACACTTATCAATCATTTTTGTCTTTGTGTATGTGTGTTACTTTTAAATAAAGATATTCAGATGTTAAATCATGCTCTGTTTGTTCTTGTTCTCTAGGCTCATGCGCTTGTTCTTGAAGATTGGATAAAAGACTATAGAATAAGTAAAGCATACACAAATGCTTCGACATACGTTTGAAGTTTGTCTAATTCTTTATCTGCATTGACTTGGAACTCATCTAATGTATGGTTAATATCATTTAAATAATCCAGTTCATGTTTGGTGTCCATTTGATTCATTTTTAATTGTGCGATTGCTGTGTAAAATCTTGGCAAAAAAAATTTTTTTTTTAATAAAATGCTAATAATAAGGTAGTACACTAACCTGCTTAATTCCACTGAATCAATACCTAAACATGCTGTTATTAATGCAAGTTCATCAAGTTGTGTATCGTTTGATAGGTTTAGATCTCCTATATACATCACATAAATAAATCATTTATAGGGATTGAGTTTACCTTTTAATACAAGTTGAATAAGAAAAGGCGTATGGAAATCAAGTTGTTCAAGTTGTACCAGTGATTGATAGTTTACTGAGTTACGTTCAAAGGCTGGAATTGTTCCCATCGTACGCTGAAGCCACTGCTCAATCTAATTTGACGCGTCAATTGACCTTGCTTCTTGTTTGATATAAAAAAACTAAGTTACGTGTAACCAATTGTTCATGATGTCGCCTCCCCAAATAAGATGAAATCAAAAGGAAAAAGAAGAATTAAAAATAAAAAACGCTCTTTTAATTTTAAATGGTTTCTGTAAAAAAAAAAAAAAAAAAAAAAAAAAAAAAAAAAAAAAAAAAAAAAAAAAAAAAAAAAAAAAAGTTCTTTAAAGACATAGTAAAGAAGCAAGTTCATCACTTTATAAAAAAAGATACATAAGGTTTGAATCGCACTATCATGGCAAATTCCCGATTTTTATTTACGTTCTTTTAATCTACCGAATAACAAGGATTTCATGGTTGTAGGATGATTACTTTTTTGGTCATCTTTTAATAGCTGAACAAGTTCTACAATTGGTATAGATTTCCATGCATGGAAATTTTGAATTTCATGTTGAATAGCTAATGTTGTATTCTATTACAGGTCAATTGAGATTCAAGCAACATAGACTTACTTGAATACTAGACCATAAAGAGGATTGATGTGTTGTTTCTTGTGTTGTATAGAGATAAGCATCTTTGATAAACTCATATTCTGCTTGATATTGATCATAATGTTCATCTAAGAATAATTCTTGGTCCTCTTGTGCTTCATCTTCATATTTCGATAATCTTTGTTTGAGTACCTGAATAGTTTTGTATAGCTGATTCATGGTAGAGGAATAATATTGCATTTTCTCTGTATGGGTCTCTTTAAGGATATTGAGTTCAAGCTGGATTTGATCTTTTTCAAGAGAACATGTTTCTAAAAGAAAAAGTTATACAAAAATGATGACGAATCGCTCTACTTACTGGTTACACTTGCTTCAAATTGGTGTCTTTCATTTTCCATCAATCTTGTTTGGTGTCTAGAAGCACTGAGTTCTCGTTGTGTCTTGTCTAGTTCTGTCTGATAGACCAATCAGTTAAGGGCGTTTTTTGAAGATACTTGCCTTTAGTTGGTTAATTTGATCTTCCTTTTCTTGTAAAAGTGTTTGATAACCAGGCTGGTGACGATATGCTTTCTATAAAGGATCAGTTTCATAATACTTATCAAAAATGCAAAGGAGGTTACATTCAGTAGATTGAAACGACGTTTGAGAACTATTCACATATAAGATGACAATAGGTTACACCATCTCTTTTACCTGTTTCTTTCCAATAGGTTGAAATTGATTTGCTTTCTTTTGACTGAAAATGAAACGACTTTAGGTGATCTTGTATGAAGAGGTTTAGGCATAGAGAGAGAAAGAAGAAGGGAAATGGAGAATTAAGTCTAATACATATTTACACATTTCTTAGGGATTTCAAAAAGAACGCAAGTTAGATTAAATGATAATCAGATTGGCTTAGGTAATTAACCTCCTCCTCGGTTCAGGTATTTTTCCTGAATGAAGCGTGGTAAAGTAAGATGAGTTTTAAGAAGCGCGGAGATAAAAATAAAGAAAGTTACAAATCCCTTGCTAAAATATTGAAACACCAATTTGGATTAACATTAATGGTAAACATTTCTATTTTAGGTATACGCATGAAAAATCATATGATAGATGAAACGGACAGAAATTAGAACTTTTTAATAAATAAAAAATATTAAAAGGACAAAACCAGCTTGTAATTTTAAAAAACATAGAAAGGCAATTTTTTTGTTGTTGTAGAATGAGAAATATGTATAAACGAAAAAGCATTGTGTATGTATAAAGTGTATCATGGAGTTAAAGAAGAGTCATAAGTTAAAAAAATATATATAAATGAAAAAAAAAAAGTATGTATAAAAAAAAAGGGTATTTTTCTTTGAAGTGGAGATTGAAAAAATAAAAATAAGGGAGGTGGGGGGGGGGTGTTACCGGCAATAAAGGGCGAGAGAGAGAGAAAAAAAAAAGAGAACTAAAATGACAACATGAACAATAATAATTAATTATTATTATTACGAAGTCTTATTAATCGCTGGCGTTCTCTTGTACGCATAGCTTGACGACGATTTTGAAACCAGATCTGGACTGTACGTGGACTCATGCCTAATTGACGTCCAAGTTCAGCACGCATTTGAGTTGAAGGGAAAAAGGTACGATCGAATACTCGGTTCAAGACTTCGAGTTGTTTAGCATTGGCTCTTCTTCGTTTTGCTTTGATAGGTGAATCTTCATCTGTGTCTAGTTCATCTTCACTTTCTTTTTCTTCTTCTTTATAGATAAGGTCTTCATCTGCCATAGAAATAGGTGTGTGCGATCCATGCATAGATGCATGCTTCATATCTTCCCATCCTTGTTGTTGTTGAGGGAAAGGATAACTTGCATAAGATGAAACACTGGCTGGAGAAGATGTTAAAGAAGGTGACAAAGATGGACTCTTTGGTGATTCATAAGTCGTGTTGAGTAAGTTACTGATATCAAGTACAGCTGGTCTTTTGTATGAATTGTTCAACATGTTATTAACAGACAACATTGAGAGAAGAAAATTGATTAAAATTCAAAAAAAAAGAATGGCCTTTTTATATTAACTCTTTATAATCGCTCAGGCCAATTCTTTTATATTAATTGCCCGAATATAAGAAGGCAAGTTGTACAAAAAACGGGTCTTTATGGTTATCCAATCATTCAAATCCTTTTATTAAATTTTTAAGTTTTACTTGGGCCCTGTGGGAGATTTAAAATGAAAAAAGGATTGGTTAAACGATAGAAAATTCTTAAATGAAAATGATATCTTGTGAAAAAATTAAGGTTAAAATGATAATAGCGCGATAGAATTCTCCTCCCCCCACCTCTTTTTTCCCTAAAAGTAGGACAATACACTTGAAGGATTTCTAATTTCAAAAAAAAAATAAAAAAGCTCACGCCACATTTTTTACCCAACGAAATGACGAACAAAAACTCAACTAAATATTGCTGCTTACAAACACCACGTTTTCCTCTTTCTTTTTTTGATACTTTCATTTCCGATATATTCATTCGTAATTGTCAATTTCAATTGATAAAAGGGTTTGCGAACATAATTTCTTTTAAGCAGATACTGACTAATACTTTTAGAGTAAAAATTACTCAACTCTAAATTGAAATTCAGAGAGTAACTTTTCTTGATTAGACAAGTACTAAAAATGAGGCTTTCTTTTTCAAAAGAAAAATTCGGTATAAAATCCAAGTTTTGGTTTTTTTAATACATGTACAACAAACAATAACAGATGACAAGTACTAAAAATAATTGAATAACGTAATCTTTTATTTGTTTTAATAAAACCATGGTTACACGATTAAATATGGTAATTCTCGCTTAAATGGTGCAAAATCATCACTATAAAAAAAAGAAAGCATGCTTACATTTAATTAGAGGCATTCAATTATGGTTACGAAACATTTATTATTTTCTTTCTTCTACACGCTTGAATGGTAATTTGCATATTTTATTATCCAAACGAGCTGAGTCCATAAAAGACTGGTATATGAATAAGAAATTGGTCATCATCAAATTGTACAACTAACCTTGTATTTACTGGAAAACCTTACCAAAATGGTCATTTCCTCTTTTCTTTCGCTTATTATTTTGTAAATGATGGATTCTTATTCTCAGTTTCCAAATCGAGTAATCAAGATGAATTGATCGTATTCAGGTACCGTTGTCAAGACAACGCATCTTGGTCTAAAGGGCAAATGATCTACATCGGGTAATCCATTTACAAGTTGAGTCTACTTTGATGACAAGAGAGAGTGTCTATGTGTCTTTATGCTAATGAATCGTATTACAATGTATAATGTGTTTCAAATCAATCAATGTTTATATGTGTTACGTATTAACATAAACTATTCTTTCTTATCTTGGCTATGATGGATAATTGACCTAGGTGAAGCTATATATCCATCATCGTCATGAGCATTATGATTGGCTTACGTCAATATTCCGATATGACACGAAAGTCAACTGAAAGAAATTTAGTCACAGTGGCTTTCTCACTGCGGCATTTTATTTTCCTTTTTCTTTTTTTCCCTTTTCATTTTTCCCTTTTCATTTTTTTTATTTTCATTTTTAGTGGATAAGTAAACTGCTTGAATTTTTTCCCGGTGTATCCTAGTAAGTTCAAAAAAAAAAACTTTCCTTTTTATTAAAAAAAAACATATGCATATTTTCCTTTTTATAGCTATCCATATTCTCTTTTCCTCCCCTTTGTAGACTCATGTTGAAATCCACATATCCTTTTCAAAGGTAAAAAATAAAGTCGCGTATTTAGACGCGTATTTTTCTAAAAAAAAAATTGATATATGTATTTTAGTCAAACTTTACCTTCACCACCCCTCCAGACCATGACACCTGATCAACAAAAATACTGCAGTGCCATCATGCGCAACTTAAAGAAACACCGTGACGCTGCTCCATTCTTGAACCCAGTTGATTATGTCAAACTAAACGTACCTGATTATCCGACCATCATTAAACAACCCATGCATTTACTGTTAGTTGACCAAAAACTCAATCAATCTGAATACACGGCTGTAGAGGACTTTATTTCAGATGTGCGACTCATCTTTAACAATTGCTTTAAATACAATGGACCTGAAGCCATGATTTCTGTCTTGTGTCAAAATGTCGAATCTGCGTTTGAAAAGAGTTTACGTCAAATGCCACCGTCTCATCCATCGTCACCCAAAATAGCACTCTCGCCTTCTGTGTCGCCACCACCCCAAGAGCATTTCACAAAACCTATTTCTGAAGATCTGAATCGACCTAAACGTGAAATCCATGTGCCTTCCAAAGATTATCCACAGACACTCACACACAACAAACGCACTCTGTCTGCCGACCTCAAGTTTTGTAGTCAGATATTACGTGAAATGAAACGGGCTAAATACAGAGCTATTTCCTACCCTTTTCTTCAACCAGTGGATCCAGTTGCACTCAATATACCTGATTACCCCACCATTGTCAAACGACCGATGGATCTATCGACTATGGAACGTAAATTGACACAGCAGGAATATAGGACAGCAGATGAGTTTGAAAGTGATATGAGTTTAATGTTCTCCAACTGTTATCTGTACAATCCACCTAGTTTACCTATTTATTCAATGGCCAAACAGTTTGAAAAGGTCTTTCGTGATAAATGGGAGCATAAGCCAGTGGTTGAAAAGAAAAAGACCAAGGCAGCCAAGACAAGTGATGTAGAAGAGGATGATGATCGCATTGCTGAACTAGAACGTCATATTGCCAGTATTTCAGAACAAATAGCGTCTATCAAATCTTCTAAAAAGCAACCTCGTCGTGTAAAACGTAAAAGACCAGAACCAAAGAAAGAAGAATTCACATTTGAACAAAAGAAAGAATTGAGTGAGATGATTAATGAACTGACAGGAGATAAACTGGATACAGTGGTGTCCATCATTCAGAATTCAATGCCTAATTTACAAGGAGTAAGTGACATATGTTGTATTGGCAGTCATTGCTTAAATTGTCTGGATAGGATGGACAACAAGAGATTGAATTAGACATTGATTCTCTGGACATTCAAACATTACATCGTCTAAGTGAATTTGTAAACCCAAAAGCAAAAAAGAAAGCTAAAAGATTAAGAACAAACTATTCTACAAAACGACAAGATCAACGTATCAAGACACTACAAGACCAACTCGACAAATTCAATGCTTATCCTCAAGAAGGTAAACACCATAGTTCACATTGTATATAGACTTATTATTATTTATTCTATGTAGGTTCTTCTTCATCCTCAGAAGAAGATTCAGATGAAGATCGTTCCTCTGGTTCTTCTAGTTCTGACTCTGACTAAGGAGATATGCAATAAAATAGGAGAAATAAAGGGGGAGAGGGGAGAGTTAATAAAAACAAAGTCTATATTGAATTTCACTCCCTTTCACTTTTACATTCTTTTTTATATATATATATATACATGTACCATAAACTTTTTTCTATTTCTTTTATGAAGCAAACTACCGAGAAAAGGCTTCAACGTTATTTTAAAAAAGAAACACGTATGGATGAAGGATTTCAAAAGTCCAATTCTGTTTTATACCATGCCATAGGTAATTCGTGTAACCTACGTATATTTCATGCTAAAAGGAAAAAAGAATAGACTTTATCTCTTGTCTGCCGATTGAAATTGCCTGTCTTATTCTTTCATTTTGTGATAAAAAGTCACTGGTAGAATCCACGCGTGTATGCCAGTACTGGCATGCACTCTGTAAAGATAATCATGTATGGCGTCAATTGTATACGCGACACCATGGCCCTCTTGCTGGTGTCTGTTCTGATTACCGATACCTGTACCAAAAACGACTGATCCTCAAGGACCGTTGGACACACCCTACTCACCATGCTCAAATGCAGACCATTTTAGGCCATACAGACAGTATCTATTGCGTTCAATTTGACCAGACCAAGATGATCACAGGCAGTCGAGACCGGACTGTCAAGATATGGAATTTCCATGGTCAGTGTCTCAAGACCTTGGTGGGTCATCAAGCCAGTGTCCTCTGTCTCCAATACGACCAATCTATAATAGTGACAGGTTCTTCTGACCATACCGTGCTTGTGTGGTCTATGCAGACATATCATGTCTTGTTCTGTCTGAGGGGACATACCTCGGGTGTACTGGACGTCTGCTTTGATCAAGATTGGATCGCCAGTTGTTCCAAGGACAATACGATTCGGTTATGGGACAGACAGACAGGCCAGCATAGACAGACACTGATAGGTCACCGAGGACCAGTGAATGCGATTCAGCTCAAGGGACATCGATTAGTGTCTGCCTCAGGAGACACAGTCATCAAATTATGGGACATGACAACAGGGCAATGTTTACGTGATTTTGTGGGACATGCGCATGGATTAGCGTGCGTCCAGTTTGATGGAACCAAGATTGTGAGTGGGAGTAATGACAATAACATCAAAGTGTGGCATGCAGGTAAAATAACAGCCCAAATAAGATACATAGACTCACAAGATAGATACGGGTGAATGTCTACTCACTTGTGAAGGACATACGGGTCTTGTAAGATCACTTTATTTTGACAAGGACAAGATTGTGAGTGGTAGCTATGACCAAAGTATTCGTGTTTGGGATATTCAGACAGGTCAATGCCTTCAAGTATTTAAAAGGTGTCATACAAGTTGGGTATTTGATGTCATGTTTGATGAGACACGCATTATTAGTACAAGCCAAGACCAAAAGATTTTAATTATCGATTTTGCCTATGATATGAAAGATGTCAAACATTTATTTTATTTGGCTTGATAAATGCTTAATTTCTTGTCTTCACCACCAGCAAGGATTTGATCGTAATCCCAATAAACACTTAAGATCTTATCTGTTTGATCTACTGTATAAAGAGGCTCTCTACTACGAATATCCCATACACGTACTGTACCATCATAAGAACCTGTGCATAGTGTATATTCGGATTTCTTTGACCAACAAACAGAAGAAACCCAGGCTGTGTGACCACGGAGACTTGTCTTGACATTGGTACCATCTATCATATACATCAATCCCATTGTTCTCTTTTGTCTTTTATTACCTTCTGATCTAGGATCCCATAATCGAACCGTATGATCTGTATGACCTGTAGCCAACAGTTTAGCTTGAGCTGAATAGTCGACATCTAAAACGACTTTTTCACAATTCTATAAAGCGAGTTAGATTCATGTTTCCCTGTAGAGAGGCTTACCTTGGTTGTCAAATTGACTTGCTGTTCAATGTCCCAAGAACGGATTGAATGATCCCAACCACCCGTATAGACAACATTGGCATCAAGGCCGTCAAACACAACAGCATTCACACCACCCACATGGCCCTCCAGGTCCACAGTCTGTGTCTTGAGTTTACGATCACTTGTCTTTTTTCTCTTTTTGGATTCATGCACAACCTCACTTTCTTCGGGTTCTTGTGTGGTCCAGATCTTGACTAGACTGTCTGCAGAAGCAGAAGCCAGATACTGTTGGGTTCTATCGACGGCCACGGATTCAACAGGGCCCTTGTGTCCTTTACATTCATACATCAGACGATAAGTAGCATCGTCTGTGTTGAATGACCAGCCCAAGACAGCATGATCTAACCCACCACTGAACACAGTGGCATGGGTGCCTTGGACTTGGCCAAAAGTCACTGATTTGACAGCATCGGTATGACCCATCAGAGTAGAGATGCATTCGCCTGAACTGTTCCATACACGTACCATGGTATCGTAAGAACCTGTCAAGAACAGACCTTGATGACCACTGACTGAACTGATCCAATCATCGTGTTGGTAGGCTGTCAAAGGAACTGGAGGAAGCATGGATTCAACATATTCAATCGTCACTACATTTTCCTAATCAACTCAATCAGTTATGTTTTTTTTTAAAAAAAAAAAGACCTTACAGTAGAGAGTCGAGCAGCATTCAAATAATCAACAATACTTTTTCTTAGTAATTGACCTTCTACTAAAAAGTCAAAAAGAACAGGTTTTTCTAAAGAGATGTCAATAAGGATGCCATGATCGTGTCCAACTTACCTAGATCTAATAAACTATTTACAATTTGAGATAGACCATCCTTTTGAATATTGGAAGGTAAAAGCATAGGTGCATCACTGACGACATATTCAGGTTGTTGAGTGACAAAACGCACTTGGACTTGTTCTTGTTCTAATGACATGAAGAATATGCAGAAAGAGAGAGAGAAAAAAAAAAGGTTTTGATAAAATGGTGGCTTAAATCATCCATTACATGCTGTGTGACCGGGCAATTGACTCGCTCTCTTCCTTATAATGGACCTTGTCAATCAACTCACACAACTTTCAGCGAAACTAGACGCGTGTTCATTACCTCATGCACTCGAAGCTATTATAAGGACAGAAAAGGCGATTGAAGAAAAAACGGATGATCATGTACACACACTCCAGCAAGATTTGGAAGGTAATTAGAAACATAACAAGAGAAAACTAATCCTCATTAGCCTTAAGGCATCACTATACCTCATTGGAAAACAAAGAAAAAGAACTAGAACAAGCCTATCAGACGCATATAGCTCAAAAAGAAGCTCAAGAGGCCCAGGAAGCACAGATGGCGAATCAACTATGGCAAGAAGAACAAGCCCATCAAGCATTAAAGCAAGAAATAGAAGCACTTGAAGCAGAACTGTATGAATTAGAAAAAGAACAAGAGCCTTCATTAGAAGATCCAACACAGATTGATCAGCTGTATCTCTCGATTTATCATGGACTAGGCGTTGTGCCTAAAATGGAACATGGCCAAGTGACGAAATTTGTGTTAAGTAAGTAAGCTAGATAGACCAGTGTACTTGTCTCATGCGATATCTGTAGCTTCAGCGAATCAACAGGAACTAAGAACGATGAAAAGAACCAATGTGGATTACGAAAAAACGAATTTTGTATGGGATTTTATTTCCAATTAGACATTAAAAAACGACATCAATCCTTGCATAAAAGACGCCTTATTTTCAACTGATCGTTTCCTGATACGTTGAGGGAATTCTTTAGGGATACGATGCTTGATGTTGTAATTGGCCACCATGGACGTATAGACAGTATGACTTGTGGTAAGGCGTTCAATACGCCTGACGTAATCAGCCTGCAGATCATTGAGTGTCATTCGCATGGTGCTGATCTCTGTGAGGAGTTGTTGGATACTAGCCACTAATGGATAAAAGTATGGTGTGTCATGGACCCAGTCAAATTGAGTCCTATAATTGGATAATTCAACTAAAATAGTGCTTAAAATCGAATTACTTAGGTCACTCAGTTCCGACATATCAAACACACGTCTCAATCGACGGTTAAGGACGCGTGTGTCTGTAGCATTAATTTTGTCTAATGTGTGTTGTGTCACGCGTTGTAGTGCATCAAAGGGGTTTTTTTGCATGAATTCTACCTTGTTAATGACTTGCCTTATTTTGCTAATTTACCTTCCGCGGGTACTTTGGTCGGTCGTTTTGTGTTGGGAATGGGCTCAGGCAGAATCATGTCCAGACATGTATTCTATTTAAGCATGTTAACAAACAGGGTCACACAGCCCTCATTTACCTTGTTTTGATCAGAAAAAGATTTAGCTGGAACGAGTTGAGTTTCTTTTTTAGAGAGCATAGCATCGTGTTCTTTCACAAGTGCCTCGTGAGTCAATTGAAGGGTCTCTAAACAAGTGATACGAGAGTGAGTTGGAAGATGCATGACAACATTTCATTACCAAAACTTGTATTGAGTCGATTGTATTTGATTTTGGTGTTCTTTTCAGATTTCTTGAGTTGATTTAATTCCTGCTGAAGATCCAGGATCTATTGTTTTATTGTTAGACAAAGTTGTTGCTGTTGTTGTATATATTGACTTGCCTGTATTTTCAGTGCTTCTTCCGTTTGTTTGTTGTTTAAAGCAAGTTTTTCATAACTGTCAATTTGTTGTACGAGTCCAAGATTGCTTGTCTTTAATGTCTTGATTTCGTTTCTCAAGTGTGCCACTGTCTAATAGTCAAGAGAGTTGAATAAACTGACATACAAAGTATGATGTACCTCATTGGTTTGTTCCATTTGCCAGCGTAATTGTTTTAATTCATTTAAATTTTGTTTAAATGCATTATATTCCTACATCGCTTGAGTAACGATAAACATGATATCATGTTACATACAATATCTTGGTCTTTTTCTTGTAATAATGCTTGACCAATTTCTAATCCATATGAGTTTAGAATGTTATTGTTCTTTCACTTTACCAGCAGCCAAAAGAGCATCGTATTCTATTCGTTTAAATGATTCTGTGAATGCTTGTAAACAAGCACATTCAGGATCTTTACAACAACAAGTAAATAACATTCTAAAAGGAAAAATAAATATAAAAGAAAGAAAAAGAAAGAAAGAAAAAAAAAAAGGGGGAGAGCGAAAGAGAAATAACCGAATGGAACCCATTAAATAGAGATAGGGTCATTAAGCGACAACTTTTAACTTTTTGGGTGATAATTTTTTACTTCAATAGCCAATCATATCTGTGACCAATACTCAAGGTCAAGAGAATGTATATCTATCTATCTATTGTCTCGTAACTGACTAAAGATGATGAGCAATAAATCACTGGTAAACCAAATACAAAAGACAAAGATTCTGTACATTCAACAAGCGAGTATTCTTGTTTTGCTGCAAATTTAAGCAAACATGACGTGGATCTTAGCCAATTGTGAGTAATGAAGAAGCATTTTTAGGGATAAAAAGTGACTTTTATAAACAGACGCAAAAGAATATGGTAACGTCAGTTCTTCAAACAGAAATAGTAATGGTTGATTGAGACTTTATTATAGCTACCAGCAGAGTTTTCAATACACAGACTGTGAAGCAAACAATAACAGTAAAGTATATATATATGCGTGTGTGTTCACAATTATTTCCATGTTCTTCAAGTACAAATGCTTCTATAAGAAGCGCCATTTGCTCACAAGTGTAGCAAAGGCAATCTCTTACTTTTTTTTTTTTTTTTTTTTTTTTTTTTTTTTTTTTTTTTTTGCAAAGTGTATATCTTTTTGAATGCCACTTCATTAGCCAGAATGGTATTTAACAAAGCGCCAGAGAATTGTTACGATTTGCACATATTCAGGATAACCGCTACGAGTTTTGTTACCTGATGTTTATTGACAAGAGCCCCGAATGATGCCTTGTTGATTGTATAGTAGGCTCTGTAACTCATGATTGAGTCATCGTCTCTCAAGTTTGGATGAGTTACAGTTCAGTATTGGTTGACCAAGTTGGCACGAGCTTTGTTGTATGTGCACTGACTGTTAGCTGCTATTTCTTCAAAACGAAAAGCAACAAGACTGGCTTGGCGGATTGCATACAAGATATCTCTCAATACAAGGTTGTGGAGAGTTGTGACATATTTAACGAATTGTTCCACAATCTTTTCTTCTATCTACAATGTCGATTCGAGTTTCTCTTTTTCATAGTCTTGGTGAATTTTTCAATACAAAAAAAAAAAAGCCCGTGACCTTCCTATAAAAAAGGAAGGTACAAAATTGACCCAAACTAGGAAATCTATAAAAATTCCCCCAAGGACTTGAATTTGAGAGTAGAGTTGATGCCTAAATATGGAAAGTTAAAAAGTCTGTCGGACCTTTCTTTGAATGACAGCCGAAAAAGGCAATAACTGATTAATCATGCTTTAAAATCCAGAGTGTGAAAAATAAAGGTGACGTTTATCTTTATTTTTTTCTTTTTATTATTATTATGAGCAACACGACAACTCGTATTAAGATTGGACACTATAATATTATCAGTACGATTGGCACTGGTTCTTTTGGCAAAGTCAAATGTAAGCCTTGTAATAAATATTGCCTAAACTTATTTTTTTTTTATCTACAGTGGCTGTCCATGCTATTACTGGGCAGAAAGTAGCACTGAAAATCATTAATCGAAAAAAGATTGCCAGTATGGATATGAGTGGTCGAGTCAAACGTGAAATTCAATACCTTAAATTACTTCGACATCCTCATATTATTAAACTGTATGCTCTAACCATATAAAACGATGGCTTACTCTTTATGATACAGATATGAAGTGATTACTACGCCTACAGATATTATTATGGTGATTGAATATGCAGGAAGAGAATTATTTAATTATATTGTCGAAAAGGGAAAAGTAAGTCATATGGATAGGTACTAAATATTGACATTGTGTCTTAGATGGCAGAAGAAGATGCAAGACGCTTCTTTCAACAAATCATTTGTGCTGTTGAATATTGTCACAGACACAAGATTGTCCATAGAGATTTAAAGCCTGAGAAGTAAGCAAGATACTATGATGTATAGTGTTCATAACAGTTCTAGTTTATTGCTGGACGCAAACAATAATGTCAAGATTGCCGATTTCGGTTTATCGAACATCATGACAGATGGTGATTTCTTAAAGACCAGTTGCGGTAGTCCAAACTATGCAGCAGTAAGTCCAATGATGAATGTATGTCAATTTAATCCAGTATCAGCCTGAAGTGATTTCTGGCAAATTATATGCAGGTCCTGAAGTTGATGTGTGGAGTTGTGGTGTGATTTTATATGTTATGTTATGTGGTAGATTGCCTTTTGATGATGAGTATATTCCTACCTTGTTTAAAAAAATCAATGGTAAGACAAGCTCATCTAGACTACAGCTTTTAATCTGATTATAGGTGGTATTTATACCATGCCATCTTATCTAAGTCCTGATACAAAGCTCTTGTTAACTCAGATGCTTGTTGTGGATCCATTAAAGCGTATAACCATCCAAGAAATTCGGCAAGTAGAAACCCGATATGTGTTCGTTTCATTAACATAGGGCACATATAGTCAAAACCCTTGGTTTAATACCAACTTGCCTGCTTATCTTCGTCCTTTACCAAATACAGAAGAAAGTAAAGATACACTGATTGATGATGAGATTGTGTTTGAATTGTCCAAGGTAGACCACGAATTGAATTTATACTTTAGACTAAACAAACCTATGTAGAAAATGGGATTTTCAACTAAAGCCATTCAAAAGGCTTTGCATGAACCTGAAAACAATCAATTCAAAGTAGCCTATCAACTTGTTGTGGATCATAAACGTCTACTTGAAGATTGTAAGGGCTTGTGTCATAAGAGAAAAAGATACATGCTTAACTCCCTTTCTTAGCTGAAAATAATCATATTCAAAGTTTTTTTGCTTCTTCACCGCCACCATGGAACACTTCTTTAGACGATCGATACAAAGCATCTAGACGACAACAACAAGAAGAAGAAGAGGAGGAGGAGAGCCAGATGGACATGGCATCTTCTATTTCTGTCTTGAGTTCCAGTTTACCGAAAACAGACTATATCCAAGGCAAGTCTACCCTTAGAAAATGAATGTGTATATATATATATTTATATATTTATACGTATTATTAGCTACCAGAGAAAGATCGTCTTCCAATGCATCTTCAAGAGGTGGCGCATTGCCTATAGCCCCTATCAATGGCACGCCTCCTCCTGGTGCAATGGCACCTTCAACAAGACATGCTTCGGCAAGACATCTATCTATTAGCCAACCACAAAAGAAACCCAAGTCAAAATCAAGGTGGCATTTTGGTATTCGTAGTAAATGTCCTGCCTGGGAAGTGATGCTTGAAATCTATCGCTCATTACAAAATGTTGGCATGGTATGTCGTATAAAGCAGAATTATAGATTGATCTATACTTTAGGAATGGCGCACTTTGGATCCTTATCATTTGAGATGTCGCTACCAATATCCCAACATTGACTTGATGGTCAAATTCGATCTTCAGCTCTACAAATTGGAAAACAACAGCTATCTTGTAGATTTCAAAAGCGTAGGCACCATCAACCCAGATGCATTCCAGACACTACAAGATCAAATGGCTCATAAGCTAGACATTGAACAAAAAGATCTTTCACCTTATTTGACTCGATGGAAAGTACATGACGAAAGTATTGATCATGTTCAAAGTGTTTATCCTTTCTTGGATGTCTGTAGTAAATTGATTACTGACATTGTATAAAATAAAAGTGGTTTATGCCATTGAAGGGGAGAAAAATGAGTGGTTTATTTATGCGTTACCATATCCTGGATTTAATGTTTATAAAGAACAATTATTTTTAGCAAGAACTTGTTCCAACCTACCATCGTTTGCTTCAGAAACTTGTCTTTTATATATATATATATATATAATAGATAAAAGGTATACAACAATCGCTAAGCTTTTAGCATGAGCATGCGTCGTGACTAAATCATGACTGTCTTTCTATCTATAGGGAGCTTTGATGTTTTAAGTTTTTGGTACCCTTTCTTTTTCTTTTTTCTTTTTTCTTTATCCTTTTTTTTTTCTCAGGTACAATTGGTGTGACAAACATTGGGTTTCTTATTTATAAATCAAATTTACATAGATGACAGAAGAAGAAACCCAACCCTTGTTAACCACAAATAAGCAAGAGAGCTTCCGTGATCTTAAGGAACATTGGAAACCCCTCTGTTCTGCTTTCTTTATCAGTATCGTTGCTGGCCTTAACGATGGTAGTTTGGGTGCCATTATTCCTCGTCTTAAGCAATACTACGATGTGCCTAATGAAACGATTTCCTTGTTGTTCTTATGTTCTGCTTGTGGATTCTTTTTAAGTGCCGGTTTAAACGGAACCATCGTGCATCGCATTGGTCAGTTGAATACTCTGTATCTTGGTTCTTGTACGATGTTTGTTGCCTTTAGCATCTTGTCGCTGGGTCTTCCATTCCCTATCATGGCATGTACTATGCCATTTGTAGGTGCTGGTATGGCATTACTAGATGCTGCCATGAATGTATTTGTTGCTAATTTGCCCCTGGCTACACTCATGTTGAATATTTTACATGGTAAGGAGAAAACCAAAGGGGGATGACCCGAATAACCCTTCTCTCTTGATTAGCCATTTATGGTGTAGGTGCTATGATTAGTCCATTGGTTGCCTCCGTCTTACTCAAGCATGACATCAGTTGGAAAGGCATGTATATGTTCTTGACTGTGGTAGGTCTGTTGAATGTCACTGGTATTGCTGTCGGATTTAAGCAGGTTGTTCTAGACGAGCATAAGGATGATGACAGTAGTGACGCTAAACCAGATCATGGTGAGCTCACCAAACGTGCTATTCTAAACCGAGTGACGTTGGTTGGTGCTGTTTACATATTGGTGTATGTGGGTGTAGAGGTCACATTAGGTGGCTGGGGATATACGTTTTTGCGAGAAGGACGAGGCGGTGACAAGATTGCCATGGCCCAAGTGGTGTCTGGCTATTGGGCAGGATTAGCCAGTGGACGTATCTTGTTAGGCTATCTCTCCAGCCGATTTGGTGAAAAACTCATGATCAGTTTATTTACCATTATGATCATTGTTGGTTTGTTCTTGATGATGATCTACAAGGATATTGTGTTGAATTCAACAGGTAAGGCAAGGTGTCATTCGGGCAAGATCTAACATGGACAGTGTTTGTGACGCTTGGGTTATTGTTGGGTCCCATGTTTCCTACGACGGTTTCGTTGGCTTCCAAAGCATTACCTCGAAGCTATCATGCTACTTCTATTGGGTTTATGGCTGCGTAAGTAGATTCGTTCATATGACATTGGGAGCTCATGTTTTGTGTTCTAGTTTGGGTGCAGGTGGAGCTGCTTTGTTTCCCTTCTTGACTGGACAAGTAGCCGGTCATTATGGTATTCTTATCATGCCAGCTGCTTGTATTGCCATGTCTGTTCTAATGCTTGTGCTTTGGGTCTTTATTCCCTCTGATAGACCTTTCTTTGGTGCATGTCAATAAAAAAAATTTTTTTCGGATCAAGAACACAAGTGTAGTACAACAGAAATATGATAAGGTATAAATGCACTATCTAAAAAGTTTATTTTTTCTTTTTTTGTGCAAACAAATGATTTTAGAGTTTTGTACATTATTGCTGAGCGCATATGTTTTCGCCAAATTATATCCTACACAGAATGGCTCGGTTTTTAAGAAAAAGAATGATGATAAAGTGAGTAACATATATGTTCGATTCAAAGCGATATAGACTATCTAGGATAAATTAGATTTGATGATTATGAAAATTAGTATATATTTCTTAATACAAGCTATAATAAAAGCAACCTTTTTTTCTATGAATATGGGAGAGAACAGCTTAAATCATTTGATGACCCATGCAACCATGAAAGTGAAGCTAGAAATTTTAGATAGAACACAGCTGATCCAATCTTTGCAGCAGTTTGAGAGTCAACATTCTTCAGACAAAGCATGCAATGAGGCTTGACGAAAGTGACATCTGGTCCAAGTTCGTGAGTATTTTGGATTTGGAGGCATTGATCATTCGGTAGGCTATGAATTTCAATCGAATACTTATCGAGCAGTTCACTGTTACGAAAGTCCATTTAGCTTGACTAAAATTTGGTTTACCAAGCTCTTCAGATTTCTCAGACTCAATGGATCAAGTGCGTGTGTGTTGATGAGTTATTTTACTGGAACAAACAGTTTGGTAGTACATTACTAAATCATGTAGTAGAGACACTAAGCAGGCAAATGCTCCAATAGTAAAAAAAAAGTGGAAATTCATACAAGTCTTTATCTTTTCCTTAAACAAATGAAGGTGCTTCAAAGCTTGTTTACACACATATGAATGCTCTAAATACCTATAGACCATGTCTACTAGTATACGAGGTACCTTTGGAGTCGATTTGGACAAAAAAGCAACTTGTAAAATTTGACCAAAATGACCATTCGGCCAAAGGGTACCACATGAAAATCATCAAGCTGAAAACTCCTTGAGCCTCTCTTTGATGCCACAAGACGAAAAATAGAGCGATTGACAAGCTTAAATACTAGTTTTTGGCGAATGTGTTTGCGTAATAGTTGTACCATGAAAATAATGAAATACTTTAGTAACAAATTTATTGTGTTTTCTATATCAATAGGCTCAGAAAAAAAAATACAACTTTTGTCATTACACCAAAATCAGATAATCGTGTCTTTATGCAGCTCTCAGCAAAAGCTCCATTTTATTGCGGCCGAACAAAGAATCGGAATTGCCTTCCGCGCACTGTCATCTGGTATGTTCTGCATTCATTTAGTCCACATTCGTATTATAAAAATGCCTATTTTTTATAAATCTCCATGTTTTTTAGTACTCAAGGTAATATAAGATGCTTTAAAGAGATCCGTTAATTGTAAGTTCTATATGGTATTTAGAGAGAAAACGCTTAAAACACTGTTTAAACAAGCCAATCTTTGATGGGCCATTGCTCGACAACCAGACTACAAATAAGGCCACTTTTTTTGTTTAAAACATGATCTTTTGATCACAGGAATCAAATGGTACCATTAGTTTGACTATTTTGTGAAATTTATTTTTTTGACCATAGGGGATCCATGAAAAAACTCGATCAAGAATTTTTGGGATGACCTGATGTAGGTCTGATCCAGCCATGGTCTAGGTTATGCGTATATACGCCTGCTTTTTGAACGTCCTGTTTTGGAGCCATTACTAGAACAACTGTACAACGATGCTCTTATTCATGGTGTTGTTCCACCATCTTGGAAAGACATTCGAGTAAGACTGCTGCCAAAGAAGGGCGATCTCAACAATCTAAAGAACTGGAGACCTATCTCGCTAATCAGCTGCGATGCAAAAATCTTTACAAGGCTATTGACCAAACGCTTCGGCCCAATTATGCAAAAAATTATCAATCCTTATCAAACAGGATTTCTCAATTACAGATTTATTGGCGATAATGGAATGTTGGTGCATCTGATACTACAACAAGCAAGATACAAAAACCATCTTGGTATCGGCTTACTTCTTAATCAAGAGAAGGCGTGTAATTGAGTTCATACCGGATACCTGACTCAGGTGCTACGTGCTCTTGGCTTTCCCCTTTCACTGATTGATAGCATTAGTAGTCTGTTTTTTGATAATTCAGTGTATATTACTGTTAATGGATTCTTCACGGAACCAGTCAATCAGAAGCGAGGTCTAGCAACTAGATTCTTTAGCAGCTACCGATAGGTTTTTGTGTCCAAAAAAAAGCTCTCAATAACACATCTTGATTGTGGCTCTAATAACCCTACGATAAAGCTTTTGTACGATGTAGCAATGGGTTATGTTCAACGTTTATTTGGTGAGGAAACAGAGAAAGCAAAAGCCATTCAGTCCATTTGGGATAACACGAAGAGCCAGGTCGAGAAATGTCAACAATCCGGCTGTATTTTATAAACAAAATCGGTAAATACATGTAATTAAAAAAAAGGGAAAAGCAAGTTACAGCTTATTCGTTTCATGAAAGTACATTGTTGAATGAAATTGAAAAGTGTCAGTATACTTCAAAGCTCGCTAGAACGCTTACAAGAACCATTGATACATGTATACATGAAATGATTATTTTTAGCAATGGACATTAGAGTAAAGAAAGATTCTCTTTTATTCTTTCTTATTGCCTCATCGCCAAACATACATCAATCGCAACTTGCATTTATACGCTTTGTTTTTATGAACAGTGTTATTATATAAAAAGGTCAATCAAACAGAGCAAGGAAAATTCCAATTTACAGCAAATATTGCTATATTTATTGCAACAGCACACATCTTTAATTTTGTAAAGAATTTCTTAAATATAACAAATTCAAGAAAAGAGAGAGAAATACCTACAACTTTAATTTTATATATATGCATAAATTCAAATCAAGACTACAATGACAACGTTCTCTAAAGAGAACACAATCAATTGTTATTTCTCTTTCTTTTTCTTTGTTTCTTAATCAATATTAGCTAAATGGATATATCAGATATTATTCAATTATCTGGTATCCAGAATGCAGATACAATAAGTGAAAATGCCATTTTACAATTGCTGCTTGATCGGTTTAAAAATGATCAGCCTTACACTCAGCTCGGAAATAGCAAAATAATAGTCGTCAATCCACTAAAACCGTTAGAGTTGCTGAATAATGCTACATTGGAAGCCTATGGACAACATGGATATAAAGATGCTTTGTCACATCGATATGGAACTCCAGAACCCCATGTATATGAAATGGCAACCAGAGTCTACCTCTTAACGAGACGTCGTCCAGAAAATCATGCTATTTTGCTAAGGTACGTTCATTTATATATGTGAAATACGAGTTTTAATAAACTTTAAAACTAGCGGAATGTCAGGATCAGGAAAATCAACTACGCACTATCATTTACTTAAAGAATTACTGTATCTTTCGACGCATACTCGAAAAGAAGAAAAGATCCAACAAGAGATTTTGGGAGTGCATACAATCTTAAGGTCCTTTGGTATAGCCGCATCTGCTCATAATGAAACGGCATCCTGTTTAGGTCAATTCCAAGTACTCCAATTCAATGAAAGAGGGAGAATCATAGGAAGTTCAGTCTCCATTTTTTTACTAGACAAGCATCGTATTTCACGCCCTGAATTGCAACAATACGATGCGTTTTATCAATTGGTCGCTGGCACCACACCTGATGAAAAACAAGCACTTCATATGACACATCAAAATTTTCATTATCTGAACCAACATCGAGACATGCAACAGGATGGCATCAATTTCGAAGAACTTAAATTAGCATTAGGTGTCTGTGGATTCAAGACAAAGACGATAGCTCAAATGTGTCAATTACTTGCTACTATTTTACATCTAGGCAACGTTCAGTTTGCCGATGGCAGTAAAACTCCTTCAAATGCAAACACTACATTGGTCTCAAACACGTCTATTGGAAACAATGGAAACAATGGCAAAGAATCCTGTCGTATTAAAAACAAGGACACATTGGTTCTTGTCGCTGCTGCACTAGGTATCGCAGTCGACCGATTAGAAACTGCCTTGACACATAAATTGAAGCTAGTTGATAATGAGTTTTGTACAGCCTTCATGACAAAGGAAGCTGCTATTCAACAACGTGATGCTTTGGCCCATACATTGTATACAGCTCTGGTTTTATGGATCACAAGCGTTTTGAATCAAAAAATGAATGCTGCTCTTGATGAAAGCAAAACAGTTCGAACAATAAGTATTCTAGATGTAACAGGATTTCATCTTTCTATCACCATGCAGCATCAAGCTAATTTCTATGACCTTTGTGCAAACTATATTTCGGAACAACTTCGTGCTTATATCTTTGATCGACAAATCAATACAAACACAGTAACCAATGCAGACTATGTTAAAGACGGTGTTTGGAGATATGCTGTTCCATCACAAATCAAGTCCATTAATCCGTCTCTGGAATTCTATCATGGCACAAACAAGAATCGTTTTGCGCTTATTCCTCTCCTTAACCAGGAATCAAAGCGGCTTGAGAAATACGCTACTGATGCTACTGACAAGCGCTTGCTTTCTACACTTTTCCAAAACAAAAACGAGAACCAAAGTAGTAGTGATTATATTGCTTTAATGGATCCTTCTGCTCCGTCATCTAGCTTTGTGATTCAACATTTTGATTGTCTGGTAGACATTCATTATTCTGTAGACGGTTTTTTAGAGTCCAATATCGATGCTATTTCACCTGATTTTATCGACTTGTTCAAGCATCATTGTACTAATGATTTCGTTCATGACTTGTTTGATACGAAAGCCTTGACGGGCTGGGTTACGGATACACATTCTCGTGATAAAGAAACAGTAACCAAAGCACAACTTCCTATCTGGCCTGGTTTCTTTAAATCGCTTGACACACAACATATATCACAAGAGCTCGAAAGAAATAAATCAAAACGAAAGAAAAAGATAACAAGTATCACAAGTAATACGCAAACAGTCATGGATCAATTGGTATATGGTATGGAGAGGCTTAAAAAGACATTGAATGGTTGCAAGCTTCTTGAAATCATTCATGTCTGCCCCAACAATATGCAGAAATCAGACTTTTTTGATTTGGACTTTGTTGGGCAACAGATCAAAGTACTTCAGGTTTCGGAAATGGCAACTCAGATTGCTCATTTGGACACTCTCTTAGACTATACGCCAAAACAGTTGGTTCTTCGTTATCAGTCGTTAATTCGTTTACCTAAATTTGATTTGGATGAACTATTTGAAGATGAGGATGAATATGAGCAGTCCTTGATAGCTAGAGATTGGATTGCACAATGGATCAAGCAAATGCAGTGGAATGATAAACAGATCAGGTTTGGTCAGTCGCGTGTTTGGCTTTCATTTGATCTTTGGCGAAACTTAGAGAACCAAGCTCGGTCAATGGAAAAGGAAACTCGATTGACTGAAAAACAAAAAGTGGCTCCTCCTTCTACAATTGATCTCGATCAAGAATTAAATGAAGAAGAATACATCGCTGCTCAAAGAGAAGCAGCCAGAATCAGGACAAACGAACGAGCCATGTTAAATGATCCTTGGTATACAAAAATACATGAAGATGATTTAATGTCAGATATGACACTTGAAGACAGTTATTCAGAAACAGCAACGCATACGGATCCTTATTATAGTAGAAGAAGCGATTGGGGATTGGATTCTATAAAACTGGCAGAAGGGTAAAAGAGACGAAGAAAATAGATAGAATATTCATTTGAGCTTTAGATTTGGACCTAATTTAGATATGAGTAAGATGATGGAAAACTATAGCGTACAAGCTGATGTGCAAGTTGAAGAAGTCAGTATCACTGGTATTCGTCGATGGTGGTCTCGTTTTGTTTTACTCATGACATGGTGGGCTCCTTCTTTTACCCTTAAGCATCTCGGAAAAATGTCGCGTCAAGATATCCAGATGGCTTGGCGAGAAAAAGTGACCTTATGTCTATTGATCTTTTTGTTTTCTGCTGCTATCATTTTCTTCATTGTGGGATTAAGTCCTGTTGTTTGTCCTGGCACAGACACGCTGTATACATCAGAGGACGTGTTCACTCATCAAGCTATGGATAACTTTTGGATCTCTGTTCGCGGAAAAGTATATGATGCTACTAGTTTTGTTTCCACAGATCATGGCACACCAGTTCATATGGGATCAAAACTGAATATGAATATCTTGGCTGGACATGATTTATCTTATACGTTTCCTCCGCCCTTATCTATTGCATGTACTGGTCTTGTATCTGATCCTGCTCTTTCTATTGTACCCAATGAAACGATTGCGCTTGGTCCCTTTATTCATGTATCAGGTCCTCAACAACTAGAAGCAGGCCTGGATAAACTCAAAGATCCTTACTGGCTCAACAAGTATTTTGGTTCAACCATGGCCTTGTATAGAAAAGGTGATATTGTGATTTCGATGAAGCAAATCAAAGATGATTTTGTAGGCTGGGGACGCTTGATTGCTACTATTGATGACCGAGTGTACGATATTACGGATTATATGAATACAGCACGTCGATACCCAGTGGATGTGCCTGGTGTACCTAACTATCACTTTTTGGACCCTTCTGTTGAGGCTTTGTTTACCAAGTTTGGAGGCAAAGACGTGACAGCCGAATGGAACAAATATAGTCGTGCCATGACGGAAGAAGTGCGCAGAAGAAACAAGGCTTGTCTTGACAATGTGTTTTATATTGGACGAGTGGATTATCGTGACACTTTGCGTTGTACTTTTGTCAATTACTTGTTACTGAGTTTTGCTATTGTCATGTCAGTTGTGATTTTAGTCAAGTTTTTAGCAGCATTGCAGTTTGGAAGTAGTCCAACTCCAGATGACCATGATCGATTTGTGATATGCCAAGTACCTTGTTATACAGAAGACGAAGACTCGCTGAGGAAGACAATTGACTCTTTAGCAGCCATGTCGTATGATGACAAGCACAAGCTACTGTTCTTAATTGCAGATGGTATGATTATCGGTAGTGGCAATGATAAGCCCACGCCACGTATCTTGCTTGATATTCTAGGCCATGACAAAGAAGATGACTCTGAGGCATTCATGTTTAAATCTATTGGTGAAGGCTCAAAGCAACTAAATTATGGCAAAGTCTATTCTGGCTTGTACGAATATGAAGGTCATGTTGTTCCTTATGTCGTGATTGTAAAAGTGGGCAAGTCAAGCGAAAAGAACAAACCTGGCAATCGAGGCAAACGAGACTCCCAAATTATCTGTATGAACTTTTTAAATAAGGTTCATTTCGATGCTGAGATGACTCCTCTTGAACTGGAAGTATACTATCATATCAAGCATGTTATTGGTATTGATCCTGGCCTCTATGAGTACATATTGATGGTAGATTCTGATACTGAAGTTTATTCTGACTCGCTGAACCGGCTGGTATCTTGTATGCTTCATGATAGTCGTATTATTGGATTATGCGGTGAGACTGAACTAGGTAATGAAGATCGCTCATGGATTACAATGATTCAAGTCTATGAGTACTATATTTCGCATCATCTTGTCAAGTCATTTGAGTCTCTGTTTGGATCTGTTACTTGTTTGCCTGGTTGTTTCTGCATGTATCGTATTCGAACAGCTACCAATCATCAGCCTTTGATTGTCTCTCATAGTGTCATTCAAGCTTATTCAGACAATCAAGTTGATACGTTGCACAAAAAGAACTTGTTACACTTGGGTGAAGATCGATATCTGACAACACTTATGATGAAGAACTTTCCCCAGTACAAAATGATATTTACGCCCTATGCTAAATGTAAGACAGTGGCTCCTGATAAATGGCGCGTTTTGCTTTCACAACGTAGACGTTGGATTAATTCAACCATTCATAACTTGCTGGAGCTTATTTTGTTACAAGAACTGTGTGGTTTTTGCTGTCTCTCGATGCGATTTGTTGTCTTGACAGACTTGATCGGTACAATTACCTTGCCTTCTTCTGTTATTTACTTGATGTATTTGATTTACGAGGTAATTTCAGGCTCTGGACCTGTGCCAACCATTGCCCTTGGTATGCTAGCTGGCGCATATGGTCTTCAATCCTTTATTTTCATTCTTAAACGACAATGGCAACATGTGGGATGGATGATTATTTACATTATTGCCATCCCTATTTTCAGTTTTTTTATTCCCTTGTATGCTTTCTGGCACTTTGATGACTTTTCTTGGGGTAATACACGTGTGGTAGTGGGTGATAAAAAGAAGCAAATCATCACAACAGACGACGAAAAGTTTGACGAGAGCATCATTCCGCTCAAGAAATGGTCTGTTTATGAACAAGAAATGTGGGAGACCAGAACCTTAAAATCTCATGTCACTCGATCAAGCTCTTCTGTATATTCGTATGATGATCTGCAAAGCACAAATGGATCTCGTAGATACAACTATTCTTATCAAAAGTATTACCCTCGAGAAGGCTCCTACGATGGTCGAACACTCATCAGTCACCCAAGTGCTATAACAAGCAATCCGCATTATACTAAATACCCCAACTTTGTAGACGACGAATCACTTGGGGTTTCTTTTGATTTATCGTCGGTCATGAGAAGTAGAACATCGTCAAGAAGTGAATTCAGAAAAGAAAGTGACACTCCAGAACAAAGAGTATTGGTGATACCCGAAAATGAGGATATTGAAAGAGAAATACGCAACATTCTAAGCAGTGAGAATTTAATGACATTAACAAAGAAACAAGGTATGTTCACAATAAAAATCACATTTAGATTCATTTTCGCTGCATAGTCCGGGATCAATTATCTACAAGATTTGGCGTAGATTTGACTATAAAGAAAGGGTTTATAAACGCAACAATTGAAAGATTGCTAGAGCAATACAACATTTAACTTTCTAATAAAGAATGCCGCAGTAGTGTTTGTATCACAATCAGTATGCCGCAGTAGTGTTTGTTTTGTATATAAGCTTTCCTTTGCTTTTTGTTGTTGTTGTCATTCAATGCCTCTTCAAACGTATATCATTTACCCCACACATGAATTCAATCGTCCAACTCCACCATCAAAAATAGCCCTTCATGGCTTAGATCTCTTAAGTGCTCCTATACAAATCCATCATCATCGTTTTTATCGCTCACCACCCTGTCCTACTACTGGCGTTATCGATGCATTGAAATCTTCTCTTGCTAAAGCACTTGAGTTATATCCACCTCTCACAGGCAAGATCATAACCGATGAACAGGGCCAACAATGTATCGATATGGATCCTCGTCATAGGATGGGCACACCTTTTATAGTGGACACTAAAGACATTCCTTACACAAGGGATTCGGAAAATTTGTCGCCCAGAACTGATGTCATCTTACCCCCTTCCTCCAGCATATTAGCCGTCAAAGTGACTTTGGTAAATACAAAAGCTGTTAAACACAACTCATTTTGAATCGATAGTTTTTTTGTGGAACCATAGCTATTGCTTCTTCAATCAATCATCAAGTAGCTGATCTACGTGGCTTTCTTGACTTTCTTGAACTTTGGGCTCAACTTAATCGAGAAGGAACTGTTGATTTTACACGAATCCCAGATGATTGGTCTCGCACTCCTGCTCGATTTTTTCCTAGTCCAAGCAAAGACTTCGTTCCTCCTCCATTTAAAGTACTGTCTAATTCAGCAACTGAACCACCTGCGTTTTTACTTGCACCCTCTGAAATTACTTATTGGACATTGACCAAAGACGCAATGCATCAGTTAAAAAGCGACTTTTCTCCATCAAATACATGGATTTCTTCAGGCGATGCACTTACAGCTCTTCTTTCGGGTGCTGTAACACGCGCTCGTGATAACGCTAATGTGACAAGACTAGAAGGAAGATCGGACGTAGAGTCGCAAACAGAGCAAATAGTTATGGCTGCTGACGGCCGAGAAAGAGCACCTCAAGGAAACATGGTTGGTAAATACTTTGGCAACTTCAATACGCTTTGGAGTGCTATTGTGCCTCGTTCCGATTTAATGTCTACTAGTCGAGAATCAGCTTCGCGCGTGGCTCTTGCTATCCGTAACACACTGAACCTTCAACTATCACCTGAAGCGATTGCAAACAAGATTGCATTTTTTGAATCTCTTCAAGGTAATCAGGGCTGTGTCACTTGGTCATCTGATGTTATAGTAACAAACTGGTGTCGATTTGATCTGCAAGGTCCAAAGTTGGATATTGGCTGGGGAAAACCTTTTGCTTCTACTTCTGGTGGCGGCACTGCTTTCCCGCCTGGATATGCTATTATTTCACAAGACAGAGGTACTGAAGTGATCACCATGATGTTAACCATAGAGAAAGAAGGTCTTGATCACTTGACATCTGATGTTTTACTTAACAAGTATGCAACCTTTGAATGTTAATAGAATGCTATGTTGTCAATTAGCCAATCAAATACGCTGCATAAACTTAATTTCCATAGTATAAAAAAAGTCACCTTGTCTTTTTTCTTTTTTTCTTTTTTTCCCACAAACATGTCGTCTGCTTTTATCCATACGAATTCTCATAACCTGCTTCATACAAGCAATACGATCAATGAGGAAGAAGAGGAGCAAGAGTTTCAGCAAGCAGGTAATGGTCTAGCCAATGACTTGAGAAACTGCTCTATTTCATCCACTGGCAGCATTGATATTCATGGACAACCTGTCAACTCCAATATCTTGGTGGCTCTTTTAGACAGGCCAGGAGAAATGAAAGGACTTGCTCTACACAACAGCCAATTCTATGAAGCATTGGAGCACTATATTACTGAAACACAAGGATCTCAGACATGGCAAAAATTTCAAGACATTGTTTATAAACCACGCGAGAAGATGTCAGACCGTGTTTGGATGCATCAGATCAGTCAATACTTGGCATACAATCCTGTGTTTCTAACCAAGTTTAAAGAAATTGTAGGCTATGAAGAACACGAAGATTATCCATCACCACCCAGCTCCTATACTCTTCCACCACACAGACCGTCTACATCCAAAAGTACGGGTTCAATCAGCAGTGGCAGTGGCCGTCGAAGAAGTCGAAGACTATCCAATATAAGTCTGAGTGATGCTCTGGATGAAGATGATATGATTCTAGAGGAAGCACCTCGCGTACCAGAAGGCATGTTTACGAATGAAGATCAATTTTATCATCAACAACAGCAACCCAATGATGGAAGAAGACGCCGAGCTTCTTATCACTCTATTCAATCTGAACCTCATCCAACTTTTGTTGATAAGTTTGATGAAGTAAATTTCGAAGTGGCTCAAGAAGACGAAAGTGATCATTTAGCTGATCTTCTCGATGACGATGATGACGATGACGAGCAAGACCAGGATGATGATAAAAATGACACAAATGATGTAAGAAATAGAGCTAAAGATATTGGTGCCGGATATTCAACACCGACAGGCAAAGGTCGTCAATTCAACGATATGGACTTGCTCAAATTAAGAGATCATCCTGATATTCAGGCCAATTTACCTCAAACACATCCTCAGTTTTTTCTTAAAGCCAAACAGCTCTTGTCGATTGCACCTTCATCGCGCCGCTTTTCAGACACGATTCGTCGTAACTCGATCCTGGAAGACGCCATGCCGGAGAGTCCGGTTACGGAATTGGAAGAGTTACGCTTTCAGACCTGCATGGAGGATGATGAAAAAGAAGAAACGAACCTCTTGGAACATGTCATCTGTTCTACACGACGACAGCAACCAGATGATGGTGCTTGGCTAAGCGGTGTATTGGAAGCCTTGTCTGGCTGGCCAGAATTGATTGAACGTTTACATGAAATTATTCAAGCATCTTGTTGAAAAATATATATATATTTTAATATAAATCCCTTCTTTTGCTATGTAAGCAAAAGCATGAAATTATTCTTGTTTGGTATATATAACTTATTGTCAATTACATAAAAGGAGGGGGATAGAGTATATATTGTGTATATATGGATGTTTATCTTGAGCCCATAAAGCCGGGAATCCAAGAGTTACGCTTATCACGCTTTTCAGTAGGTGAAGTGGGAGCATTGTCAACATTTTCTACAACAGCACCGCCACCACGGAGAGGTTTAGCTACACGACCAAAGTTCAATGCCATGGATGATTGAGACTTTTGAGAACGAGCTTGTTCAAGTCGTTCACGAACAGCTTGAAGTTGAGCTTCAAACTTTTGGTTTTGACTAATCAATTTCTCTTGAGCGTCTTGAAGAAGGGACTCAAGGCTTTGGATACGTTCATTACGAGCAATAAGCTTACGTTCAGCAAGGGCAACTTCTTTTTTAAGAGAAGAGTTTTGTTCCACAAGCTAGAAAATAAAGTTAGATGGTATACACACATATACACACACATGGCTGTTGTGATTTACCTGCTTTTGAACATTGGTCAATTGCTCCAAATTGCGCTCCAAGAAGGCCATCTTCTTTTGTTGGGCCTTGTTGTTACTTGCTCTCAAGACATTGTTGTATTGCTCACGAGTTTCATCTAGAGACATTTCAAGTTCAACCACCTTTTCACAGCGGGTCTGAAGATCACGCATCAAGACCTTCTTCATGGTCTCAAAGTCAGCCAATTCCTTAGCCATGCTCTTGCGCATACGTTCCAATTCCTTTTCACGCTCAGATAAATCGCTGTTTTGAGCTTGAACAGGTTGTTCTGCAAGGGCACTTTGGAGCTTATCATTAGCATCCTTAAGGTCTGACAAAGAAGCCGTGAGTTTATGGAGATTCTCGTTCTTTTGAGCGATTTCTTGCTTAAGATCTTCAATCTCCTTTTGTTGTAGTTCTTTTTTGGATGCAAATTGTGCTTCTAATTTACTCTATCATAAAAGGCATAAACATAATCATCATTGTACATCTAAGTTTACCTTGAGAGTAGAAATGGTTTCTTCCATGTCTGCGTTCTTTTGAGCAGCTGCTTCTTCTTCAGCAATTGTCTTGTCTAATAATTCTTCATATTCTTGTTCAAGGTTACTGAATTTAGCATCAAGTTCGATCTTTTTCTTTTCAAGAGACTCTTTTTCTTCATTAAGATCAGTGATCGTCTTGGTGTGTTGATCCAACAAAATCTTGGATTCAGCCAAATCACGGCGAAGAGCAACCAATTCTTCCAAGCTAAAAGAACCATGACCTTCAGATTCGATCTTGTGAAGAGAATCACGGATTTGACGCTCTTTTTCGTTGATTTCACCCTAACAGAAACATTAGATAAACAAAGCAGCATCATTCTACTTACAGAAGGATCCAGTTTGAACATGATCTGGGCCAATTTCTGTGCCTTCTTTTTTTCCTTTTCACTATCAGAACTATCCTTGTGAGCAAGGCGTACTTCAGACAAGTTCTTTTTGAGTTCTTCCAACTCGGCAATCAACTCTTGATTGGCTTCTTTAAGAGAGTCCACATTAATGGCATTCTCTTTACTTTCATAAGAAATCTTTTGCAGCTGCAATCTGAGTTCACTCAACTCGGATGTCATCTGTTGATTCTCTTTTGTGACAATAGCTTCTTGTTCTTTGTAGTATCCTACTTCTTCTTTCAGGGACTCCAAAAGCTTTTCACGGTTAGCGAGTTCTGTTTCCTTTTCGGCGATTTGATCCATCAATTCATTTTCACGCTTCAAGAGTTCTTCACGCTCGTCTTTTTCAAGCACAACAGAAGGCGTTGTGGGACGAGAGACATCTTCAGTTACAGTAGAAGCCCTAAAGTTGGATGCAGGAGGTAATGCAGAAAACTCACCCTTGGTGATCTTATCCATCGTGACCCATCTGTCTTCAGGCAGTGTTTTACCACCACGCCAGACAGTCACTTCACCTTCAAGAGCAGCAATGTAGGTCTGGAAAGTGATGGTTTCTGACTTGACTTTCTTGAGCAGAGCCTTCAGTTCGGCAGGAGATAGATCAGAATTGACTTTAGCCTTGTTCTTGATGGTCTTGGCTCTCATACCAAATCGAAGCGTAGAGATTGTTTCAGCTTCATTGTAAGAAGAAGGCGAACAGTTAATGATGAGTGTTGTACGTGAGTTACCACCAAGTGATTCTTGCAAGATACGTGTCAGTTTAGAATCACGGTAAGGGATGTGGCTTGACTATAGACAAGATAAATGATGTGCAAACAATGCATGTACTCTTTACCTTTCCGTCTGTTAAAGCATTGATGACCATACCAAGAGCAGTGAGGGATTTATTGATCTTTTTGGCTTCTTCTAATGTTTGACCAGAAGCACCTGTCTTGCCTACTTTTTCTGAACCAGCCAAATCTACTAAATAGAGTTTACCACTCTTTGCAGCACCTGTATCTAGATTCTTTTGTGTGATTGTGATGACCACAATAGAATGCGATCGAGAACTCTCAGCGTTCATTTGTGTATAAGCAACTACACGGTTACTACTGCCATTTTTCATGGCTGTATAGACTTCGTCGGAATTAGCAACATAGATTTCACACAAGTCCTTGACATAGACACCCCGTGCCTTATCTTCATGAATAGCCAAATTATCAGCAGATGCTATCAAGGGGGGTTATGTTAGTCACTAAAACAACTGTTTTAGTACTTACGGTTAAATAAATCTCTCACTTTTTCCATATAGATTTCCATATAAGATACTTTGACAGTGAATTCAAGATTACTCGGTGCATCATTGATACTTGTAAAAATTTGTTCAATAATACGAGGAATGATACCCTTTGTGTTTTCATCATCAATATCAGCACCCTATTATCATATAGGTGAGAAAATTCAGGGGGTGAATAAGGATCAATTTTTTTTTTACCATCATAGTAAATGTTTTACCGGAACCGGTTTGACCATACGCGAAGACCGTTCCGTTATAACCTGCAGTGACATCTATATATCACAAGGACTTGAGTAAAGCGTGTCATATTTGTCTTATGTATATACCATCAACAATGCTTTTTATAGAGTATTCAAATACATCTTTTTGTGGAGTGTTCATTCCAAACACTTTATCAAATGAAAAGCTGCTTGTTGCTTCACCCTAGACAAGAGTTAGGTTACCAAGTAACAAGTAGGTCATCTTACCTTCAACTGGACATTGGCCCCTTCATCATCTATTTCAATAATAGGAACACCGCCTTCTCTGTTCTCAAGTGAGTTTTGTGGACGGAAACGACACACAACTTTAATGTTGTTTCCAGACATTATAAATAAAAAGAAATACTATACAAGACGATATATATATATATATAAAGGGAAAGATATACAAGGAAGAAGAAAAAAAGAGAAAGAAAATAAAGGGGAAAGAAAACAACACAGATATACACAGTGCTTACGCATCAATTGGCGGATTTTAACAAAATCAAATGGCGAAAAAAAAAGCAGATCAAAACTATTCTGTGTAAGATCAAGAAATCGTTCTACTATTCAACAAGACCTATCGTATTTAAACAAACACATAAAGCAGTTATTTTATTTTAAAAAAAAAGGGGGGGGGAACTGTTCATTTCAATAAAATTATAATCATGACCAAAAGTAACACTTTCTATCACTTCACTTAACCCAAACATTCAACTGGACTTAAAAGTCTAGCAGTGTATACAGTCTGAAACTCAAATAGTACATAAAAACAACCATTTTTTTTGGTCATCCGAGTAAGTTATCTTATTCTAGGAACACAAACATAGAGTGAGATCCCTCTCTTCTTATCTTTTGGATCCACTTCATCTTCTGTATCTTACTCTCCTCAACTCATTTATCAAAAAAGAGTATGACAAGTTATACCTTAATTTTGTTAATATCCAGCCGGAAGGGATCCCTTAAGCATTGCAAACAAATTGAAACACAGATTTTTTTAAAAAAAAAGTGTATATTAAATTACCAACTATGCATGACTAATCATCAAAGTCCTCTCGAATACAACCACCAGGCAATAGAAACTTGTATTTCTCTGCATCTGTTAAAATAGCAGAAGGAAGACCAACACCTGATTTGGTTGATTTCATAGCACCCAACTTGGAAATCATGTCTCTATAAGTGTATGATTCTGGTGGCATGTCAAAGATATCAGTTCCATCACAGATTGTCTTTTGAATTCGATTAGGTTTCAATATGCCTTCATGTCGAACTCTGTCTGAGTGAGAATAACTTTGCATTTTAAACTGGAATTCTTTAAGTGTACGAAAACAAAAGGAGCAGTGCCAGCCTATATATCTTTATCAGCTATGATCCGCATGACATTTTACTTACCTGCATCAGCTAATAAATATTCTGTGATTTGTCCATGACTATAGAATGTTTGTCCTTCAACATATTGAACGACATGCGCTCTCCAGGATTCCATGTCTAAAAAGAACTCAAACGAATACAGATAGTTTCGAAGTTGTAAATGTAGTTTGTTAGGCACACCTTCACACATCTTGAGCATCCACAAGGACTTGTTTCTTATGATTTCATCTACATCAGACATGACTACAATATCACCTGTTTTAACTCCAGCATCTATAAGTGCCTGATCCATGGCTATCCGCATTGTTCGCTCATTATAGAACGGTCCTTCACCAGGCGGTAGTGCGTATTGGTCAATCATCACATGATGTATTTTGGAAGCTGCAAATTCAAACTGGTCTTTGTGCTGATCAAATGTCAAGTTTTTCGGCTTGCCAGTAAATGTAGCGTTGGATTCTAGGATTACAAATGTGTCTACAACGTTCCATAATTCACGAATACGGATATGAAGCAAATCAATTTCTGTACTGAATATAATGGCATCATACACTTTGGTTTGATTGAGAGTAGTTTTGTCTTTGAGTTTCCAGCCATGAAGTTGGCACAAGTCTTCCATAGGCACATTTTCAGCATAGTAATGAGGAATGGTTGTGAATACATTAGGACGTTTGTCCCATATGGGTCGAGTATAGTAACCCAGGTCAGTGACGAGTGTGGGCTGAAGTAGAAATAAGCAGAATAGACTGGATATAATGATGATCAGTATCATCATCATACGTATTGTACGATTTGTTGAACTACAGAAGGTATAATTCATTTCTTTTTAGAGTAGAAAACAAGAAAGAAAGGGGAAAAAAAGGAAATTAGATGAACAAAGAAATCAGGGAGTGCTATTATAAAGCATTACACAAATTTTGCTAAGCTTCAGGCAACACAAAGAAAAATAGTTTCTTTTTCTGGATTGAACATATTTATTATTATACGCAATTCCATTGAATTTCCTTTTATCATCTTGTCGAAAATATATATAAATCTATTCTAGGAAACCTATTTAAATAGACTATCGAAAGAGAGAGAGAAAAAAAAGAGTTGTTGGATCCGTTAGTTTTGATCCTTGTACTACTCCCAAACTAGTACCCTTTTAGAAAAAATATTCATAACCAGGTATTGGCTCATGATAGAAAAAAATCGTGTACTACTTTTATCATAAAAATATTTTAAATCATTATTTTCAATTGTCTCTAGAAAAATAATGGCAGAAAATATCGTAAATGGCTTGATGTATTTGGTGTAACCAGACAAAGAACGCCATAGTCTCTGCGTATTATTTTGATCTTCAATTGCAAGTACACTTCTTTCCTCTGGTCAACTAGAATTGGCATTGAAAGGGACACCCACTGTTTCTTTTTTTTTAAACATAATATTCAATAAAGACGACTGTACTCTATTTCTCAGAAAATAAACACTGGTATTTTTTTCTTCATTTTATTCAAACCAACCAATTCTCGTACAAGAATACATTGGTCTTGAAGGAGAATACCAATAACGAACAAATATCCCTAAACCACTGCAATTTAAGATGCATTTAACGATTGAACACCCGCAAATGAAATTTGTAATACGTCCAAAAAAAGATTCATTGTGAGCTCTACTTTAAGTTGTTGCCGAACGATTATTGGTCTGATCTCAATCAGGCACAATAAAAAAGAGAGCAACAAACTCATTCTTGTGTTTAATTACCCTTCTTCCCCCTTTTTTTTCTCTCTCTCTTTTTTTTTTTTTAATGTCAAACTACTATTATGACCATCAAAACAGCCATCAGCATGATGCTTATGCAATGCAAAACTATCCATCGTACCATGCTAAACTAGAACAACCTGATGGCTACTATCAATCACCACAACCATTATTGTATAACGAATTTAGTAGCTCAGAAAAGTTTTCTAGAGCCAACAACCGACCTCGGTCTTGTTGTGATAGAATATGTTGTGGTTGCTGTACATGTTGTCCACGTTGGTGTCGTTGGATAAGTTGTATTTTGTTACTGCTGATCATTGGATTGGCTATTGCGATAGGTGTCTTGGCTGCGTTATTTAAAGAACCTTCTGTAGAATTTACGGGAATTCAGGGCCAACCGGCATTTGGTCTGGAAGGAACAACGGCTAATTTAAATATCTCGTTGGGTTTCACGGTTAAGAATCCAAACATTGAAAGCGTCACATTCAAGACACTTACAGCTACCGTAAGCATCGTACAAGTTGAACATAAGCTGACCTAGATATAGGCTAATTATCATGGTGATACCACACAATTGGGTACTGGTACACTAAATGACCTTCATATTGGTTCCAATTCAATCACCAATATTTCATTCCCTTTTAATATTTCCTTGAATTTATTAGCCAGCGAAACACAAACAGTGGTCACTAAACTCATGTCTGATTGTGGTCTAAGTGGAGGAACAGCCAAAGATATTCAGTTGGATTATAAAGTTGTGGCTACAGTCAGTATCATTGGTATTCCTATCAGTATACCCTTTTCAAGCAGTGCTTCATTCAAATGTCCTATCGATGTAAGTCCGCAATATCTCTTTTGTTCACTAATTTGTTATTAGTCGAGCCAATCATCCATATTAAATGATATTGCAGGTTTATTGGGCGCAAGTGGCAATAATGTAATGGGTGCTATTGCAGGTGCATTGCCCAGTAACATTGCCAGTTATATACCTACGGGTACTTCAATCCCTACTCAATATACCTCACTTATTCCCACCCAATATGCTTCCATGATTCCTACCCAATATGCTTCATTAATTCCTTCTGGACTGTAAATAAATATTATTCTTTTTTTTCTCTTTTAAATGACGCGCTTGTTTCGCTTCACTACACCTTTTTTTAAATTTTCATCTGTACCCTATCGTACCATGTCTACTGCTCATAACCACCTTAAAGATGATTGTATCTTTTGTAAAATCATAAGGTAAAAAAAAACATATAAAGCGTGTTCTTTTAACTCAATCTCGACAGGAAAGAGATTCCTTCTTTCAAGTTGATCGAGACTGAAAAAAGGTAAAAATATATAATACATGTATAAATCTAATAGGTTCAAGTTATTCTTTTATGGACATTGAACCCTTAAGCGAAGGTCATTCGGTAAATGTACATTCTCTATAAGCATAGTGTTTCTTATGCTTTGTTATTTAGTTGATTATTCCCAAATGTGAGCTCTTTTTTTTTTATATGAAACCATCTCATCAAGACCAAATATAGATCATGCAGAATTTATGCATCAAGTACCCGATGAGTATTTGACTGACATATTGCCCATTGCTAAGAAAATTGCTTCCGCTGCTGGTCTAGGACAATACAATGTCTTACAGGTAAGTTTAAAGTAGATGGAAAATGATTGATAAGTGAATAGAACAATGGTCCTCTTGCAAACCAAGCAGTTCCCCATGTTCATTTCCATGTTATTCCCAAGCCAGATAAAGAAACTGGCTTGGGTGTTCGTTGGAACCCTCTCAAGAAATCATTGGATGAGATTAAAGCCGCTCATGAACGTATCATCCCTAAGCTTTAAATAAAATGACTACTGCTTTATTTCATTATTTGAGGAAACTGAATTCCTATAGATCTTAAGATAGATCCATTTACGTATTGAATGCGTTGAAAGCTATCATGCACTTTAAGTCCCCACATATTTCCTTCTTTGGTATGTATGAACGCATCCACTCAAATTTCTGGATCCAAGCCAATCAACTGTATTACTTAAGATCTGATTGTCGTCATAGCGACTATAATAAATCAAATGAACGATGCATCTCTCTTTTTTAATACCTTTCTCTCTCCCTCTCTTTCTTTCATGTCGTTACGCTTTAAAAGAACCCTTCAAGTCACAAGGGCAACAAGACCATTATGTCCCATCTATCAATCTCGGTTACAAACACGCCCACTTTCCATCTGGACTGTACCCAAAATCATCTTGGCTACCACAAGTAAAAAAAAGCGCGGTCTTATTTTGGGCACACTCGGTGCTGCTACTTTTTTAAGTTCTGTCATGGGGCCTGTTGTCTGGGTAGCCGCAGGCGGTGCTGCCTCGTTGTTTACCTGGCGATTGCTTAAAAAGACACAGAGCTGGTGGAACTATTTATCACCTATCTTGGGTTCACATCAGAAAGACCAGCCTTCGTTATCGCAAGCGCTTTTATCTCAGATTGGTACACATCGAGCAGCTGAAGTGGTGCGTATGGAAGCTATCAAGAGTTTGAAAGACTATTTTGGCAAAAACAAACAGATGCTTCAAGAATTCGGATTGGATCATCCTAATGAACTTACGTGGGAAGATGTGCATAGATCAGAAACAGTACGCTTAGACAGTGATAAGCACCAAGTGTCAGTTCAGTTCTGGTTGGAGGATCAGACGTCAAAAGGACCCAGGGGAGGAAGTTGTGAAGTCACTGCTTCTGCTGTTGTAAGTGGACAAGGCAATGTTGCATTAGAACAAGTGAAATTGAGTTCGCCTGGTTGGCATCAAGATGAAATTGTCATTGGCAATTAAAGCTTTTTTATTATTATTATTCTATAATACAAATATAAACAATTTAAAGTTTGGTTGTACAACAAGTACTTGAGTTTGTAGTGTCTTTAGCATTCACAGATTGGTTGATCTTTTTGTTGGTAGGGGGAACATCAAGTGCAGGGTTAGCAATAAAGAAGTTACAGGGCTTCATGGTAAATCCACAGTATTCCACAGGCATCAATGGGAAATCTTCCACACGAGGCAAATGCGTGATACCAAACGTATACCACAAAACAATATCTGTTTGTTCAATGTTCTTGACTTCACGATTTGCCCAGACTTCAACCGTGTTGTCGCCTGCAGATTGGTTACAATAAAAGCCACCAGCAAACATTTGATCTTCATCATAAGGTGTCACCCATAATGTCTTTTTGGCGAAACCAGCGCGTTGAGCGACCAGTGAATCATCTTGAGCATAAAAGGGACAAGTATGACCGGAAGTAATCTTCCAACCAACGGGTGTCTTGCTATAAGGATGAATACGGTCTTGATTGATGATCTTGAAGAAGCGAGAGGATTCCCAGTTGGCCATCTGTTGACCTTCTTTTGTGTTCTTGAGTGTGCTGTATTGTGTACTAAAACCATTGCCAAAGGGTTCATGGGATGACCGGTAGGATAAGGTAGAGTGTACGTATCTACTTTTTGGACCGAGTTATTCTGACCGTCAATCATAGGATCAATACGCATCGTAAAGAAGTGTTGGTGGTATTGAGCATTGATTTGAGGAGCGACGATGGTACCCATGCCTTCAGGAGATTCATCTTCAGCCAAGACGTGTGTGTTGAGCTCACCCGTAGCCTTGACTTCGTATTCAAAAGTACCGTCTTGGTAAAAGTAATAGTAAAGACCATAATCGTAATTGGCAACTATCATTGAACATAAGTCATGATTCTACCTGAGTTTTTTTTTTTCTCTTACCTGTAACAAATTGAGAAATCACCAATCTTCGAGAACGAATGGTGTGAGCACGGTTATTACGATAATCCGTATGTTTCATGAGCACACCATAATCTTCTTCATGCATACAGATAGCATTAGGAATCTCAAAGGGCTTGCCAGCATGATCATTAAAAGTAGCATCAAAGTAATAAATCGAACCCAGACAATCACAACCAAGCAATAAGCTGTTTGTACAAAGACCCATACCATATTCCCCCACATCAAAAGCGTGCTTGCGGTGATGAGGTGTGTTTGTTTCAGCATAAGGTACGACCATTTCAGATAAAGAGATACGATAGAACAAAGGACGCTTTTCAGGACCATCTTGATAACTCACATTATGAATCACAAGGCCTTCACGATAGTTCATCGAGATACGCATGTTCCATTTTTGCCAGTCAATTTCATTACCCTTGACAGTAAACGAGACACCTTGAGGTTGTTGAATGATGATGGGTTTTACGTCTTTACGGTAGTTTTGTTCGCCAATGAATTCAGGTAAAAAGTTATGCTTTTCTTGAGGAATGGTAGGACGAGTAAATTTAGTACTTCTGGGTTTGATACGTTCAATAGCAATGACTTTCATTTGACCAAGATCTATAAGAAACAACGCATGAGCCTCTATCAGACACACTCTTGATTCAACCCAACTTACCAACAATGGGAACAAAATCCAAAGGATGAGCATACTGATTGTCTTCTTCACAAGTACGCATGTACATCAAAGCTTGCATTAAACGCTTTTCACGACCCGGATGAGTAACATGACGGGCAATAGCCCATGGATCCGAAAAGACAGACGACATATCCGTAATACCCAGTTCAAGACACTCTTGACGCACTTTTTCATCCTTGATCACCAATGCTTCGACTTCAAACATTTCATCCATGGTCAAGATGGGTTGTACATCAGGAATGTATTTCCATGATTTGAGTTGACCAGCGTCCAAGGAAACAACACCTTCGTAACATTTCATGGTCACTTTCTCCAAGGCAACCACAAGTGCTTCACGTTCAACATGTGTAATGCGAGGTTTGGAAGTGTCCCAGCCGAGATAAGAAAGCATGACAGATTTCTTGGGTTCCTTTAGCGTAATGGTGTTGAAGACAAAGTCCATGTCGGATTTGGCTTGACGAGCAATGGTGGCTACTTGAACAATTTCATCCGCACTCAATTGATCGAGAGGATGAGCATGTTGATTGACAGCAGTAACAGGTTTCAGTTCTTTAGTGGTGGACATGATTAAGTTTAAGTTAAGAAAAAAAAGGGGAGAAGATAGGGTATTTCCCTTGCATTATATATATACACTTGACATGGCTAATTCAGTTACAAATCAAGACCAATGATATGATGAGAGAGAGAAACAGATAAACAGTTATTTGTCATTACTAGCCTCAGACCAGCTAAAACATAAAGAGGTACAGATTCGAAGGGCGAATGTCTTTGTTTTAGCGGAACAAGTAAAACCTTTTCTTGACCCTTTGTTTTACCAGAAAGTAGGATAGAAACCAAATAGAAATGAACTGAGCCATAGGGACCTACCTTCATGAACGATAGAACCATAGACACTTTATGCTTGTGTTCAACTCAATACACAACACAGACAGTGAGGGGAGAGGGGGGTGAGGATAGGAAAAGGTATCACAAGAGGCTTCCCAGGACTGTTTTTGACAAATCAATGACCTCTTTTTAACAAAAGCTTATCGTGCGAACATATGTCTTTATAGGGTATAAATCATAACACATGCTATTGTTTACATCTGAATATAAACAATTCATCTATGTTTCTGTATTAGCTTCTTTTTGCACAAGACATAGTGGTTTTTTGGTTGTAGTGGAGGCTCATGGATATTGTCCAATCAGATAGCATGGATGAATAATCCTTGGTGTTTGACCGAAAAAGAAAGGGTGAGAAAAAGGGCTGATGTATGTTACACCGAAACAATATCATGTAGATAAGGTAAAATGTCGGCTTCTAAATGAGCTTGAGACTCAGCTAAAAGTGAAATACTCATCTATTTCGAAACAAGTGGCCATTTATGCGTGGCGTTCAACATTGTGACAGCTTTTCTTTATTCCAGCTATTGATTCAACAAAAAAAAAGTGTTTGTTTTTTCTAGATATATTTCCCCCCCTTAAATAGAGAATGTCTGTTCAATATACAGTTGCTGATTTAAAACCTCGAATCTTGGAAAACATTGACAAGTTAGAGTACCCGGCTGCTTATACTTTCTGTCAACGTGCTTTAGAACTTGAACCACACAATGCAGAACTGTTGGAAATAACAGGCCAAGTCGAACTCGAACTTGAACAGTTTGAGTTGGCAAGAAAGGTAAGCTTGAGTTTATTGACTTTATTCTGACCAATACACATAGCACTTGTTGGAGTCGATTCAACTTGAACCCAACTCAAGTTATAGTAAATACATGTACTTGGGTCAGTTGTCTATTGAAAAAGAAGCCATTGATGCCTTTCAAAAGGGTGTTGATTTGATGGTTGCAGAAAGAAACAAATTACCTGGTGAATCAGAAGAAGCCAAATTGCTAGGATCCAAGATTTCGAGTGCATTATGTTCCATGACAGAGATTTACTTGACTGATTGTTGGTAAGTGAAACAAGTCTATGATTACCCATCTTATGAGTTTAGTTTTGAACCTGAAGCTGAACAGAGATGCGAAGCTTATTTGCAACAAGCACAACAAGTTGATGCAGACCATGCAGAATCCTACCAATTGTTAGCTTCTGTTCGATTAAGTCAACAACGCAATGAAGAAGCTGCAGCTGCCCTGAACAAATCCATGGAATTATGGATCCATAAAGAATCTGGTGATCCCACAATACCCATTTACGATACACGATTGGCCCTTGTCAAGTTATTGTTAGAGTGTGGTATGTTTGAACACGCTTTTACTGTCTTGGAGAACTTGCAAAAGGAGAATGATGAAGTAGTTGATTTGTGGTATTTGTATGGCTGGACTTATTATTGTCTGGGTGATGAAGAAGAAAGAACACAAGAGGAAAGAATAGCATTATGGGCAGATGCAAGGGACTGTTTAGAGACATCTGTCAAGGTAATACACACACACACACACACACACGCACATACAAAAAAAAAGGAGTATGCTAACTTTATTTAGTTGTATTCTATGCTTGGCTCTGATGATGATGCTATGTTTGAACATGCTAAAGAACTTATTCAAATGATAAATCAAGTTGTGCCTGCTCATGTTGAAGAACCAGAAGAAGAAATAGACGAAGAAATAGAATTTGAATCTGAAGATGAAGATGCTATGGAAGAATAATAACAACAACAACATTAACAACATTTTACACATATACATTTTATTTATACATTGGCATAATGACAGTAATTTTTATAAAGACAACGAGAACATTTGATTGGCTGAATAAATATAATTGCATTCTATTGAATTATGAGGGGGATGAATTAACATGCCACACACACACACACACACACACACACAGACTATATTAAGTTTAAATAAATAAAGAATGATGGTTTCAATAAAAAGGATCATTTATTACATTCCTTAAGCCTATTCGTTCATCTATATGTGCTTTCTATAATACAGAAAATCTGCATAATTATGTAGTCGATCAAGGGTGATAAATTTATACAGATTTGTTTCATTGTTTTTTTACTTTTTTTTTTTTTGCCCTCTCCCCCTCTCTCTCTTTTTTCTTTCTTTTGAAGCCACTCTCTTTCATTTTGAAATCAATAGTTTATTATTACTATTTTACTCCTACTTTTGACTTTGTTCTCCTAAGAATTGTTTATTGTCGTCTTCCTATCTTGCTGTCAAAAATAATAAAAAATATGAGTTGTAATTTATCAATTGACTTGAATCCCCTTTTTTTTTTCTCTGTGATTCATATAAAATGAATTCGTTTTTTAACATTCAAAAGAAAGAACATTTGAAAACTTCTTTTTCTTTCCTTACTTTATCATGAAGAGTAAGTAATAGAAATGAAAACAAAAGACAGAATGCTAAATGTTATATCTAGTCGCTGATATGTTAAATCCGGTTACTGTAAACCGTCAACTTGCTTCACCTCCACTCTCACCTCCAGAAGAAGATGATATGTATTATTCAACAAAACGAAACAACAGTATAAGTAACCATGGTAAACCTCGAAGTCGCTTTTCAGATATTGAAGATGCCATTATATGTGAGGGTGTTGCTCGAGGATTGACTTGGGGCCAAATTTCAGGCCAATTGCCACATCGCAAACGTGCCACTTGCTTTAATCGATATCGAACACTTCAAGGCATTCGTAAATCCCGAAAAAGATCTTTACCGGACATGAGATCTCCACCTATCACACCTCCTCATTCAAATGCATGGTTACCTTCTTCACCTAATTATCACCGTAAGCAATCATTACCTGTCTTGGTGGCTCCATTACCAACAAGACTACCTTTACCTCTCTATTCAGACCGTATTCATTAAGTTGATCTCATTTAAGCATTTTCATTTTATTTCTATGCCTTTTTTCTATTTTTTTTTCTACGCATATACTTTCATACAAAAATTTGCATTAAAACTTACGTATCTATTCGCATTTTGCCCCTTCCATCTCCTTTCATTCCAATCCTATAACATTGTATCATTTGCTCCTATATATACATATATATATATATATATGTATATATCTTCTCTCCTCAATTTTTATGCTTCAATAAAAAACTTAACGTTACGTAATACACTTTATTCTTGTTTAGGAACAGATTGAGTCATGACAATACCACCATCAACGATATCTCCACTTTGATAGACACAAACAACAACACTGGCAGTAATAACAATCAAAAGAACACTTGTCCAGAACAACAATTGGAAATCACTGACAGCATTCACATATTGACATGACTCACCCACATAAGAAGATTGGCATTGACAAGCATAACAGTTCTTATCGACCTTGACACATTGGCCATGACCATGGCAGTAAGATGTGTTGTTCTTACAAGCAGAAGCAGTAGCATAACATACTTGAGCATCTGTCAAGACATCACGCTTCATGCTTTGTTTCATGGCAGGTGTGAATACAAACAGAGAAACACCACGACTATACTGTTGTTGGAAGTTGGGAATCACGATAGTCTCAAAAAGATAGTTCAAAATCAATTGAGCTTCTTTGTATTGTTCTGATTCAACACCATATGTATCAGCCATAGCCTACACAAAGATATGAGTGGAATGGTTTTCATGGGGGTCCATGTTTACCTGTAAAGAGTGCACTTGAATCACGTTGACATCTTTTTGCTTTTGCTGATAGATATCTTCAACTTCATGTATCAATAACGCATCAGCTTCATGACGAACATCAAATAATTCAGTCTTGAATTGATCAAAATCATGTTGAAAGTGGGCGTCCGTCTCTTGTCGAATCTCCGTCTAAAAAAATAAATAAAATAAACGCGTTTCAAAGTTAGAGGATGATGAAACACACAAGGAACCAGTTTTTTTTTTTTTTTTTTTTTTTTGTATACCTCTTCATAGTTGTAGGTTGCAATTGTCGTATCTGTCATTTGGTATACTGTATCTTGAACCATAGAGACAAAATGGTCGGGTTCATCATCAGACACATAAAATGAAGTCTCTTGTGATAATATAGCTACCATGTCATTCAATATCTAATTTTACTATATGGTGTGTTTTTTTTGGGTTTATACCTTGAGAGTCTTGAACACCAGCAACCACCACGACCAAGCTACCATCAACTTTCTTTTCAAATACATCATTGGATGCAGGCAAAAAAGAGTGGATGGCATTATCGTCGTCTTGGAAGCGTAAAGCAGGATGAGGCTGAGTATCCATCATGTTGGCATAGAACTGAGAAAAAGTATCTAACGATACTTCGGGTGTATGGTCTACAGAAGGAACCTTGATCAAAGAGACAGAGGAACGAGCTATAAAGTTTATCAATCGAGTTTTTTATTTATTTATTTCACGCGTCTGTCTCTATTTACCAAGAACACTTGTCCATAAGCATGCAACAACAGTAGTTAATGAAAACAACTTCATGTATGCAAAAAATAAAATAATAATAAAAAAATGAAACGAAAAAGAAAAAGAAGAAAAAAAAAAGGGAAAAGGAAAAATAAAGCACTGTGACGGTATTTTATTTAACTGGCAGGATAGTTCATGGAAGGAACATAATAGAATCCAGCTACCAGCACAATATAACTAAGGATAAGAATAGATCCCTTAAAGTAATTTGACTTTCCTTCTTGATAAGTATAAGTCAATAAAAACACAGAGAAAATGACAGAAATCACATCCCACCGAGGAAACATCAAACTAAAACCAAATAATCAGTCGACATTGTATATAAAATTGGAACTTACTTGAATGTAAACTTTTTCAATTCTTCTTTACCCCAGTTAAACCAAAGTGAAAAAGCAACCATAGCCGGGATTTGCAATAAACACACTTGAAGTGCATAAGCAGAACCAATTTCCATACTCAGCACAATATTACCATACAGTGCAAACGAAATAGCATTCATAAACTCAGTAATATTAGGCACAAGAGCAAATAAAGTAAGGCCCAAGAACTTTTCATCAATCGCTACGTTTTCCATGACTAAATCGACTGTTTGAACCAGAATTTCAGCAATGATCGAGTACAGTAAAGTGCAGCCAAACAAAACGGAATAACTCATAGTTTTACCCCAATTAGGGGAATCATGACCAGCAGCTGCTTCTTCCTCTTCCTCTTCTTCTGGTTCTACCATATGAACAAAGGAAAGATGCTGGGGTGTATCTGTTTGGTTTGTCAATAAATGATGGGGTTGGATGAGACTTTTACCTATCGCAGGAGGAGATGGATGTAAAGGTGTTCGTTCATCTTCATGAGCCTCTAGGATATGAACAGGGTATATTTTCTGATGAACAGGCTCATCATGCTTGGTATGTTGACTTTTCCAGACCATGTCTGCATGCGTATGTAAACTAAACAATAAACCAATCACATAAGCAGAAGGTAAAATAGCAGCACAGATCCACATGAATGGCTTGACACTGTTTTGATAGACAGGATCATCAAAGGGATTCATTTGATCATAGTAACAATGAGAACAAGCCATGGTATCATTCAGAGTGGTTGGACAACCTGTACAATGTAATTCAAACTAATAGAAATAAATAACTATCTTATCAATATGTACTTACAGAACCAAAGAATTGATAAAATAAAGTAGGTGATAGGATACCAATGATGGCCATAATCAGCATCGTACTTGTCACACCTTTCAATTTTTTTTTTTTTTTTTTTTTTTAGCATAGGTTAGTGCTAGGCTGACTTACCTGCACTTTTAGCATTGAAACGTTGTTCTTTTCTCTTGACAGCACCACTGACCATCGAAAACCCAGGCATCAACAACACACCTGCCAAAATACTACCGATCAAAGACCCCTCCACCAACGCACTTTTACCTGCCATCAAAGCAGCACCGTACAAGATAATTTCGATAATACTACCAAAGGTGGCATTAATCACAGCACCTAACCCCATACTACTCTGAGCAGAGACGGAACTGACACCCATACCGATAAAATAAGACAACGGAATCACAGAAGCCAGCGATAAGGCAAAAATGAATTGAGGGGAGGTGAACCATGCTTGAGGAAATATGTCCTTGAGGACATAGTCATCCAATATCACAAAAAAGACTAGGGGAATCAGGTTGATAAACATAATGTTGATTCCATTAAAAGTGTATTTGTAGTATTGCCAGCCAAACGCTTGATAGGTACATAGCAAGATGACAGTGGGGTGTGTACCGGTTAAAACCGAAGGAGTGGCATGAAATCGGAGTTTGAGTGGGTGGCGACGGAGATGGCGTACAAGGATATAATTCAGTTTAGCCATCGGTACAGTAACGACACACATCCAGCAGATGGTAGACACCAGTAACAATAAGGGAGCTATATGAAATCTTGTTAGCCTTCTTTTTTTCTATTTTTTTTTTATTTTCTTTATACCAAGCACTGTATAGAACATAAAATAATACAACCAAGCAGCAGGACCTAATTTGACTGTCTCCATCACTGCATGAAACCAGTTATATCCCCTTGATGTGTGTTGCTCTTGTTCCTGTTCTTCTTCCTCTTCAATAAAGATGGAAGTAGACCTTTCTCTTTCAAGGTCGTTTAATACCTGAGGTGTAATTTCAACTAGACGTTCAACATAGCGACCAAAAGGCCATAAAAGGTATAGACCCAGCTCACGTAACACGACATCATAAGCATGATTTCTAAACACACTTAGGGGAATCGACACCATAAACACCACCAGTGCCAGCCACCAGCCAAACACGACGGACCAAAGAATATTACCTGGATTTAAAAAGAGCTCGGAAGATGAAGACGGAGATGAATGCAATGCACTATTTGCTTTACGGACAACGGATCGAGACTTTTTATAAAGTGCTGGTTTCCATAAGGGAAGACCGAAAGGATGTTGTTTATTCATAGCCTATCTCTCGTAAGTCAGCGTATAAATGGGATAGTCACTTACGTCTTGTTTGTCTTTGAGTGTGAGTTCATGGTCCAAGATATCGGTGGACACTCCTGGTTCAGAGTCACCCAAGTCTTCAAAAGCGGTGGATTTTCTTCTTGTCATTGAAGGTTCTTCATGGTTTGTTTCAGGTTGTTCTGAAATGGCTCCATATTTAGTCATTGGTGTACGACTACTTCTGATACGTGTTGAAGGTGTTGACCGAGTCTTGTGTAATTTAGGTCTATCCATCATAAAGAAAGAAAGAAGAAAACAATAGAAAAAAAAATTTTGTTTCCTATTTAAATCCACTTTGACACAACCCCGTGATTTATTATTGTTATTATTAGGCCATGAACAAAGGTGTTCTTTCGTTTTTGTTTATCGTCCATTCCTCTTTTACCTGTTGTACTTTTAAAATTGTGTCTGTCAACCAGAATTGAAGTGCATTCATGACTAAAGGAAAACTAGACTCTAGTTGAATAACAGATTGTGTTTTATAGTTGAACTTACATGAGCATCACAAACACCAGCTGAAAGTGCGGATTATCCCCTGTCCAGTCTAATGCCATTTTAGCCAATGTGATGAACCAAGGCAAATAAACAATGATCTCATATAAACATGCTTTTGTGAGGATCTCTGCAGACAGAAACACAATCAACTGACGTGTCCAGCGAGACTTCCATCTTTGGCCATAATCGCCTGTCTTGCCTATCTCGACCCCTAATCTTTCTAAGCCAGCCATGAATAATGGAAGCCAGCACCAGAGCAATAAGACACCGACAGTGGTATCCATAGCGAGGTTTAAAAAATACCATGCGCATAAATCATCGTCATTTCTCTTATCATCTTTTGCTGCGTAACTGATACTGATATTAATACAATGAAGCATACCTGCTCCTATAAATTGCTTACTGACATCCAATGCCCTAAAATCATGATATGAATGATTATCTTATTGTTTTCTTTACCATATCTTTAAGGGTCTTTGTGGTGTCTCTGTGGCTCTTTTGTACATCAAAGTGATCAATACAGTCAAGAACAAGACAGATTGAATTAGAAGACCAAACCCATCCATCAATTGACATGTCTGTTGTGCTATCATGATAAAGAAAAAGAAAAGAAAAAGAATAAAAAAAAAAAAGAAGGAGGATGATGTGTTTCGTCCTCTTTTTATTTTATTCTTTGGTCACACGCTTCTTTTCGAATAGGACCACCAATGGCCCGATAACAGAAATCAGCAAATATGTTGTCTGCTCGCTTAAGGATCTCTTTATCTTTGACTACTTCACGCACACAAAACCAATCATGAACATCTTCTTCTATCACTGTTTGCCAAGCAACATGGTCTTGTTCTGCTTTCTCGGCCAATTGGATCGCATCATCCCTTAATACTTCCAGATGACCAATGTACATCAATACTTCTGGCGATAGAAATGCTTTGAATCCAGTCTGAAGTTGAGCAATACCCAGCGTATGTTGTTCTTCCTCTTCTTCCTCTTTATCGCAAGTAGGAAAATAGTCTCGTTTGATCACTTTGGCTGTATGTTCTGTAATATAGTCATATTTCTGATTGATTTGCCATGATGCTGAATCTGTCTTGTCTGTCACAAGTGGCGATATCAAAATAGTCCCTGCTGGTCTTGGTAATTCACGCACCTTACCTTGCTCTTGTTCTTTTTCAGTGACAATGTCAAACATGCTTGGATCATGTGTGATAAACAACATTTCAAGCACAAGAGCAGCACCTGCAGAATCACCTATAGCAATGACCTTATCTGTGTGGATACCCAAAGTATGAACAAGATGTTCATAAGCACGTACCACATCCTCTATTGGACTTGGATATCGATATTCAGGTGCTAATCTATAGGATCTTAATCCAATGATGACGCAAGCCCCCTTTCTTTCCTTTTTTTTTTTTTTTTTTTACCTGTAGTCAATACTCATGATCATACATGTTAACCCATATTTCATCTGGAGTGCATGGATCCAGGCAATCATGGTATCCATATACATTGTACAACTGCCAATACGAAATCCGCCTCCTTTCCCCAAAAAAAAAAAAAAAAAAAATGAGTTAATCCATACTTGTCGAATTGAGATTTACCATGGACATAAAATAAGACAACATCAGCTTCTTGGACACGCTTGAATACATCTTGGTTCTCTATATCTTGTCCTATCCAACACCCAGACCAATCGTGTTCTTTGACTCGATAGATCCACGATTGATGACATGGTCTTGCTTTTGTGATCTCATTCAGAATAAATCGAGCTGCTGGTGCTGGTAAAGAAAACACTTTTCGAAGTATTTTGATCACAGCCTTTGGAGGTAATTTTCTTATACTTGACCGAACACTGTTCATCATGAAAAGAAAACAAGAAAGAAAAAAATATTTATATATATATATAAAAACACGTGTGGTCGCATAATATCCCCTCTTTCTCCTTTCCCTTTTTTTTTTTTTTGGTATATATATAAAATCTAAAAAGTGCCTATAGGTAAAGTGATTTTCCAATTCCACCAGCCTTCACCTTGTCCAAACGTTGCATTTGAATCTGGACGTACTTCGAATAAATGTGGTTGCTGTAAATCAATCCAACATCTTCCTTGTCCCCAATAACAAGTGGAAGAAAATAAGGCGATCAATAACAAGGTACAATAGATACTAAAGTCATGTCAGCATGACACGCACAACACTTATGCATGAGCTTACCATGGTTTTTGATGTAAAAAGAATGAAATTAGAAACAAAATAACAAAAATAGGTGGCGCATCAGGAAATGGTAATAAAAGTAATGGAACAAAATAACGCATACAGTACATAATGGAAGCAACAATAAAAAGAAAAAGACAAAAAAGCACAGCAGAAAAAAAAATAATAAGAAAAAAGGCGCGTAGGATATCATTGAATCACCGACATTTTTTATTTTTTTATTTTACTCAAAAAACTCTTCAACAACACCTGGTCGAGCTGCAGAAAGAACAGGTGAAGATCGTTCTGTGATCACTTCCTCTGATAACTGAGATATCCGCAACAACTTCAATAAGGCTTGGTTCTCTTTTTTCAATTGTGCTAACAGTTGATCTTGGGGATCGATGGATTCATATTGATAGACATCACGTAGTGATCTTGCTAATTGACGAAGTTGCGTCTGGAGAAGTGTGTTTTCCATAAACAAGGCTGCTGTTGTACCCTTTTCTGCATTCAGTAATGCTTCGTATTCTCTTTTCAGTCTGATCTGTCCTTCTGTCACTGCATTCTATACAACTACATTAGCCCTTCTCCATCAAGCCATGGTACTTACAGCATGCAGACGTAATTTAGAGGTCACTGTCTCTAAGCCTACTTCATATTCTTTTACAAGGGCTTGTAAATCATCAACTTGTTTCTCCAGTTGTTTGTTTGTTTCTAAAGCTGCTTTTTGTGCAGAGAGGGCATCTTGTAATTGGGACTTGAGTTGTTCAATCACTTCATCTCTTTGTTCTGGCACGGTAGGGTGAGGTAGGCTCACATCGTGTTCTATTTCTTACTATTAGTTTTTTCTTTGTTTCTAACGTACAATATACCATCCACTAAAGGTTTCGCATTGGTTTTTGACTAATAAACATGAGTTTATATTCCATAGCGTAATTAGGTTTACTTTAAGGTCAGACAACTGATGTGTTAAAGAAGACGCCAAGTCTTGATTATGTTGTTGCTGATGAGCTAGTTCATTGGCCAACTTGTAAATCTTTTGTAATACTTCTTCTTCCATTATTATTTTTATTTAGAAAAAAAAAAGGGGGGGAAAAGAAAGATTTTTCCTGCCTTAAAGGGAGTCTTATAAAAAAAAAAAAAATAGGAGAAAGTATGCATTTAAAGGGCTTTCTTCACTGTGATGTTTTTTTTTCTTTTAGCTTTCTTTATTCAAATGAACACATTTTTTAAAGAGAATTGCCTTGGTTTAGTCTGTGGAGGTATTGTGTTTTATCTCGGTCTTGTTCGTTATTATCGATATCAACATATTCAAGCCTTACGTCGTCAATATCCTGATCCTCAGAGCGTGTTGGAAGATATAACCATAGCAAGAGAAATCCATGCAGCTACAGTACAAAAAGAGTTTCCTTGTGAGTATCTATTCCTCTGTTGATATGCCTACTGATACAACATGCCTAGTTCTAACACTTCGAGGCACTGAACTGGCCTTGTTCAAGACATTTTCAATCCCTACCATTTCAAAACTCTTGGTGGCTACAGGTGAATTCAAGTCTCGATGTGCTCGTCGAGCAGAAGATACAGAGCTGCTGACACTGGAAATGACCGAAGTTTTTGGTCGTATTCAAAACCAACGGCTCAAATGTCCTTATACATCTCAGGCAGATATCGATCTTCAATGGACACGCGCACAAACAGCCGTGAAACGATTGAATGAGATCCATGGTAAATACAAGATTCGAAACGAGGATTTTATCTATACACTTTCCTTGTTTGTGTTTGAACCAATTGCTTGGGTCAATCAGTTTGGATATCGCGCGATGGATCCACGTGAGATCAATGTAAGTATTGACTATATGAAAACACTCTGAATAAGTATGTGTAGGCTTTGTTTCGTGTGTGGTATGATATAGGTATTCAAATGAACATCCAAGATTTACCAGAGACACCAGAAGCCTTATTTTCATTTAAACAGGCAAGTGGACACATGCAGAAGGGGGAGGGGAATAAACATAGCAATATCCCTATTTAAACTCTCATGTATAGGTTTATGCTAACCAATCCATTCGTTATTCAGTCCATAATTGGCAAGTGGCTCAACCTACTATTGATCATTTATTGACACGTTTACCTGCGTGTATGCGACATGCCTTTTATGGTTTTGTTGTCAAATTATTGCCTACCTTGATTGGACAACACGATGCTGATGCCTTGGGACTCCCTCGAGCATCCAGACTGTTGTCTTTTCTGTATTCAGTCATGATGCAAGGATACGCATGGATGGTTCGGTATTTAAGATTACCTCGGTCCTTTTTTATGATTCGAACTCCCTTTTATGCAGATCTACAAGGTCGATTTATGCCTGAATATCATGCGTATCCTATTGTCTATCAGGAAGGTTATCGTATTGTTGAATTAGGTACCAAAAAGTAGTAGTTGTATGGAGTTTAAAAATAGTTTAATTAATTTTTTTTATATATATTTTTTTTTACATATAATATATATATATACAAATTTTATAATGCTATAAAAAAAAAAAGAAAGTGTGTGTATATGCTATTGAATAACTTAAAATGAAAAGAAAAAGAGAGAGAGAGAGAGAGGGGGGTAATATATGAAAATAAATTAAAACAACCAAGGACGAAAGAAGGTCTTGCATTCGGGATTCATAGGTGGTTGGTAAGAATACTGGTGAGATAAAGAAGATAATAAAGGACAACGAGATGGTTCTGATACTACAGGTGATTCCAGATCAAACAATAGTTGGTGAGGAAGTAAACTTTCAGCATTGGAAGGCAAGAGTGAATCTTCAGGATCAGCTTCAAACCAACTTGATTCAACCTTGTCTTCCTTTTTTATATCTTCATCACCAGGGAGATTAAAGTGTCTAAAAGTACAGCGAGATCCATAAGGACAAGCACCTGTTTGATGAAAAGTACGGCATTTCTGAGTCTTGTATTTAGGATGACGGTCTACTTCACGTAAATCAGCAGCACCATGAGCATATTGACACTTGAGACCGTATCGACAATGACCTGTTTCCTCCCAATTGCGACAAAGTTCAGTCTTGTACAGGTTTTTTTGCTTCTTGTCATCTTCTGTTGGTTTCTTTTCTTCTTTTTTGTCTATGATAAAATATGTTAGTTATATATATACAGAATAAGACATATGTACTTTACGTTTTATGTCACGTCGTTTATTGTGCTTGTTCTGCTTTGGTTTACGGTATTTACAAGATGAATCACTTTCTTCTTCGGAAAGACAAGGACTGACGTCAGTGATGAAGTTGCTGCGACTTTTTTGAGATACATCGAGTGCTTCAAACAGATGTTCATCAATCTCATACGATGGTGGTGTATTCAGCTTTTGATGAGGGAAATACAAGCCAAATGTAGTTTGAGGAGAAGTTGAGAAAATGTGAGTGTTCATTAGAAAAGAAAAAAGTAAATAAAAGGTGTCATTTTGGGGTGTTCCCCCCCCCTTCTATTTATAAATCCAGGAAAATTTTTCTTTTTTTTTTGAGAGTCAGTCCACTTTTTCATGCTCGGTTTTGCCTTCCAAGGGGGCGCTGAATGAGCCGATTTTTTTTATGACTCCGATTTACTGCTGCTGCTATTACCGTCATGACTAAGCTACGGTTGGATTGTCTTAGAAATCATCCGCAGTAAAATTAAAATAAAAAGCGACACAATCACAAGAGAAAAGAGAAGAGGGAGAATAATAAATTAAAGTTCATTGATTCGTAGAAATGACAACAGGTTTAACTACGCATGGATCATGTTTACACAAGATCAAACCTTGTCTTGATGCACTCACGTGATATTGTTGTTTACTAATAGAAGAGTGATTCGTGGTGCCTATTTTATCATTGCTTAGCAAAGTGAATTATATGTACAAAAATATCATGCTAACCGAAGAGATTGATTGGTACAGTCCAAATCAAGTATATTTGTCGTCACAAGTGTGACTTGCTTTCTATTTTTTAAACAGCAAAAAAAAAAAAAAAAAAATGTACATGTCAACTTATGCTTTTCGAGAAACCCAAACACCACCACCACCACCAACGTATCAGTGAATTCCAAGCTGTTATTCTTGCAGGTTTTGGTAGTAGTAATAGGTAAATAAAATAAGTGATTTAGTTTTTTTTTTTTTTTTTTTTATACTGACGCGTATAACTTTTAGACTCTACCCTATTTCTGAAGAAGAAAACCTTCCTAAAGCACTTTTACCTGTGGGTAATAAACCTGTGATTTCATATACATTAGAATGGATTGAGAAAGCCGGTATTCATGGTATGAACCATATGGACTAGAAAATAGCACTCATATTCTGATATAGATGTTATTGTGGTGGTTCAGGCCACAGGCAATGCTCCTCAAAAGTTATCTGCCTATCTTCGTACTTTTACAGGCAATATACATCATCAAGTCGTGAGTGTGGATGAAGAAGATGAAACAGCAGATGTCTTGAGAGCCATTAAGGATAAAATTGATGTAAGTGTTTTGTTTTGTGTGCTTCACAAAAGAGACTAACAGAGTTATACAAAAAGAGAGATTTCATTGTGGTTCCTTGTGATCTGATTACTGAATTGAATCCGCGTGAGTTCATGGATGCACACCGTGTTCATGACCCTACATTCAGTGCCTTATTTTATGAACCTGGTTTGACAGATAGCAGTAAAGATGATGGTAAGTTTTGTCTCTTAGGTTCTTTGTCTAATTCAATAAGATCTTTTGCCTTATGTTGGTATTGATCCTACACAGAATGCACTTGTCTATAAAGCAACACGATCAGAAGATGATGATTTCTCTATGCGTCTTTCTTTATTAAACAAGTAAGTCTTGATCTATCTATAGTTTATTCATTCTCTAGATTTCCTCGCGTACGCGTCCATACGGATTTACAAGATGCTCACTTGTATATATTTAAACGATGGGTGATTGATTTAGTAGCAGATAAACCCAAGGTTACAAGCATTTCAAAGGATTTAATACCTTTACTTGTCAAGTGTCAATATCAAAAACCATTGGTCGAAAGAGAAGCCATAGAGCAATGTAAGTGATGAGCGTTTGATGTTATCTAATCATGAGATAGACATGACCCATAACGATTTGTTTACCAATGCACTTTCCATGTCAACAACACAGTCTGAATTAGAACAATCCATGGCTGTGCGATCCTATGTTCATATTTACCGTGGAGGATTCTGTGGTCGCGGTAATACAACAGCCAGTTATAATGAATTGAACCGATATGTAAGAGTAAAATTTATAAGCCATGAACTTATGTGAGGATAGGCCACAAAACAAGGCAATACGATCATACGCGTACCTTCTACTGCTGAAGTGGCACCTAGAACGCAAGTGGGTAATGACTCTGTGATTGGTGAATATACCAAGATTGATGAGCGATCCTCAGTCAAGAAATCATGTGTGGGTGCTCATTGTATCATTGGTAAAAATGTCAAGATTGCTAATTCAGTCATTATGGATCATGTTGTGATTGGTGACAAGTAAGTGTCGATTATTGAGTAAATCAATTGATTGATTGATTGGTGGATGATGTTAGTGTTAAACTGGATGGTTGTATTATCTGTAATAATGCACAAATCCATGAAAAGGCCAGTATGAAGGATTGTGATGTTGCTGGTGGATATATTGTGGATAAAGACAGTAAGTAGTTTACCATTGTCTATTGTTTAACCCTACTTGTTTAGGTCAACTAAAGGGTGAAAAGTTGGTTTCTTTTAGAGAAGCGATTTAAATAATAAAATTTGATATTTTAACCTAATTTTTTTTGTTTTTTTTTGTTTTTTAAAAATGTCTGGTAAGATCAAGTAGATGATGGACTTTATCTTAATCAACTCTAGACGAACCCAAATTTATTGAAGGCGCTTCTATTCACGGTCGTCATCCACTTCACTTGGTGGAAAAGATCATTCGTGAACGTATTCAAGGTTCACTTTACTGGAAAGAGAAATGTTATGGTCTATCAGGTAAAAAAAAAAAAAAAAAAAAAAAAAAAAATAGACATCACTTACCATCAATAGCTGCTACACTCATGGACAGAGCTGTTGAATTAGAATATATTGGAGGATTATATGGCAATCAACAACCTACTGAATTCCTTTGTTTGACACTCAAGTTATTACAACTCTTGCCAGAACGAGACATCATTATTACCCTGATTCAACAAGAAGATTTCAAGTAAGCATCACTTGGTAGATTGAAACAGAACTCACATCTATTTAGATATGTACGTGCTTTAGGTGCTTTTTATTTGAGATTGACAGGCAAATCAAAAGAAATCTATCAATACTTAGAACCTTTGTTGAACGATTATCGCAAATTACGCGTACGTGGTGGAGGTAAAGATAGACAGCCTTATTATGCTCATGACTAAATATGAATTAGATGGCTATGCTTTAACGTATATGGATAGTTTTATTGATGATCTGTTACATCAAAACCGTGTTTGTGATATCATTTTACCCCGTATTGCAAGTCGACATGTATTAGAACAAAATGATGAATTAGAACCAAGAGAGAGTGCATTAGAAGATGATTTGGATTAAAATAAAGCTAAGGCACCCATAGGATCATAAGCAGGCAGTACAACGGGTTCATTATCTAATAAATCCACAAGTTTTTTGGGCACAACAGATTTCTCAAGCACGACTTGATAGACAAATTCAGTAAACCAGTCGTCTGTCATGATCCAGAATCCCTTTTCACCTGAAGATTCAGACCAGCTGTTCTCAACACGCCAACGTACAGGCTTGTTGTCTTTGAGATGGACACCAGTGAAGACCATGGCATGAGTCATGGCACTCTCACCATACAATAGACGTTCTGCCTTAGACATGTTGAAGTCCACATTGAACGTGAGTTTGTAGTCAAAGACGTGGGTGTCCATAGCACCTGTATTTCTGTTACTAAACTGGCCAACATCACAGCCAAACCAGACAGGGTGACCAGACTTGAGTACATCCACTGCTAATTTCTTGATGGTCTCGATAGGCGTATTGACATATTTGATTTGATCACCACCCACAATGTTACCTAAGCGGGCAACCGTATAGACTTGAGCATACTCATTACGAGGATCATGAATCAAAGACATGGTCTCTGTAATCTAAGCAGAATGAGACATATGTGTATATAAAGATAATACTTACAGGATAGTCCACAATCTCTTTCATGAATTTCTTGGGTGTCATACGTGGCAAGGTAACACATTTACCATGCTTATCATTGGTCTCCCATTCAAATTCCTTTGGTGGTTCACCAAGATAGATAACCATGATGCGATAGATATCTTCCATCATACGTTCCTTCATACCGCGTACAGTCTGGATATCCATCTTTTGTCCCTGTATAGCCTTACGAATCTGGACAGCATATTCACGAAGCTTGACAGTCACTAACCAGTTAAGACGCGACGTGCTTGAACTAGCCACGGTTTCAGGAAAAGCAGACTTGGGTACTACACCATACTTTGTAATCAGGTTGATAAACATTTGCCACTGTCCTCCATCACCCACAGGTGAAGTCAGGAGGTATTGTACCACACGATCATGAATGTCCTCACATGCCAAGTCAATCATGTTCTCAAGGAACCAATTAGCCTTCTCGAGCTTATCTATTCTTGTTGTGTCAACTTATCTTCGTACTTTGAATCACTTACCATAGAAAAACAAGTAATTTTGACTTAATTCAAAACTATCGTCCAGCTTGTATTTACGAATCACAGCCAAGCGGAGTACATTGGTACCTGTATATTTGTTAAAAATTACTTTATATGTCTTACTTTACCTGCAAAGATCCAACAACGACCGCTGGATTTCTGATTGGTGGCACTACCCTCTAAATCCAACTTGACATTAAAGACATGACGATTCTCAATATTGGATTGAGGAGTAACGAGGATTTGAGCAGGATCATTGGCCATCATTGCCTGCATGGCAAGTTGGTTCTTTTTATCTTGCCAGAATTCTTCAGAGAACTTGTCTAGGGCTTTGGATGTCAAGTTAGAAGAACCCACATGCATAGAAGACATGGCTTGTGTCAAGTAAGTATCAACTTGTTCTTGTTCATATTTCTTTTCGTCAAAGACGATATCTTGTTTTGATTGTTGAGCACCCATAGAAGTAGAATAAAGAAAGAAAGAAAGAAAGAGAGAAAAAAAGTTTATTTATGCATTTCCCTTATCATCACGTGACCTGAGACCACCATTTTCTCTCTCTTTCTCTTATATATTCAGGACACGAAGCATTTGTTGATCATGGTTTGAACTTAATCGATTTGTACCGCGTTATATACATGTAAAGCAAGACAAAAGAATGATAAAGTACAATAAGCTCATCGTCTAATTTATTATTATTTACACATTTGAATTGTCTTAAGCATCCACAGCCAATTTAGCCTTCTTTTTAATATCACTGTAGCAATGGCCACACAAGTGATGCAAAAGCTTGTTGTTGCCACAAGCAGGACATGCAGTCACATTCTCCTTCTGTTGTAATCCCTTGTTAGAAGCACGCATACGTTTCTTGGAGTGAGAAGTCTTCTTCTTAGGTGCAGCCCAGAGAATGGATTCTAACCAGATGGGTATTTGAAAAGTGTTGCGAGTGACAGGTTCACTTATCCATGCATGTTGAAAAGTAAATGCAAATCTGTTTTGGATGTAATTGGGTTGTAAAAGAGATCGAGAAAGACGTAAACTCATCATAATAATAAAAAAAAAAATTATAATAATGAACAAGGCTTACCCTAACAGAAAAAAAAATATATAGAATGGAAAAAGGGTGGCTCATTCTATTCAAACTCCGTTACTCAATGCCAATAGTCACGCTTGGTTTGCTTTTTTTTTTCTTTCTTTCTTTCGTTCTTTTGTTGAGTATGGAACACGAAACAAAGTCAAGCGTAAGTGCTTTTTTTCTTTAAAGGAAAATAGAAAGCTAGACTCATGTATGACGATATAGCCACTTGGCATTCCTACCAAAATAGCTGCAGGTTCACCTAACATGGGTCAACCTATGAGTTCTTCTTATGAAGACCATTGGTTATCTACAGACGATGTCAAAAAAGGTTCTCCTCTTGCCAACCGCCGAAAGAGTGTGACAGAAGAAGCCAAAACAAAAGACAACAAAAAGAAGGATACACGACCTGACACACCTAAAAAATCACAAAAAGAAATGACAAAAGCAGAACGCCGTGCTCTTCAAGAAAAACAACGACAAGAGAAACAAAACAGACTGGCTGCTGGTGCACCTAAACCTAACACAAAACACACAGAAGCAGAGAAAAAGACACCACAAATTGATACAGAGGCTGCAAAGAACAAGAAGAAAGCGGCTCATAAGAACCAACAAAACCAAGTGCCTTGGCTTCTTCATTTGGATGCTCCCAAGACAACAGAAGCATCAACCAAGGATCTTCATCCTGCTGTGCTTCAATTAGGTCTGTATTTCTCTGAACATAAAATCGTAGGTTCCAATGCACGTTGTGTTGCCATGTTGGAAGTCTTTTCCAAGGTACGAGAAGACCAAAAAAAAAATCAGTTGCAAGTAGTTGTTTGATTTACCCTGTCAATATAGGTTATTTTGGACCATAAGCCTCCTTCCGATGCTACTTTCTCTAGACATATTCAAAAGCATTTGGATCCTCACATTGCTTATTTACTCAGTATTCGTCCCATGTCTCTCAGTATGCGTGAATGCATTCGTTGGTTAAAGAAAGAAATGGCAGATATTGTAGAACAGGATCCTCCACTCGGTGATGACGAAGCACGCACACGATTAACTGAACGCATCGGCCATTTTATTCGTGAACGTATCACTATGGCAGATCAACTTATCATTCAGAATGGCTTACAAAAGATTCAAGATGGTGATGTGATTTTGACATTTGCTAAATCATCTGTGGTTGAAAACCTGTTGCTTCAGACGAAAAAGAAGGGGATTGATTTCAAAGTGATTGTGGTAGACAGTCGTCCTTTGTTTGAAGGTAAACATTTGTTGCGTCGTTTGGTGGCTGCAGGTATCGATTGTTCCTACCATTTGTTATCCAGTGTTTATGTGGCACTCAAGTCAGTCACCAAGGTGATCATGGGTGCCCATGCCCTGTTAAACAATGGTGCTGTGTATTCCCGTATTGGTAGCTCTATGGTTGCCATGGCAGCCAGCGATAAGCAAATCCCAGTCATGATTTGCTGTGAAACTTATAAATTCGTCAATCGCACGCAAGTCGATTCATTCGTATTGAATGAGCTCGGTAACCCTGATGACTTGGTGAATACACAACAACAAAAGAACGAGACGGCCGTATTGGCAACTTGGAGAGACCAGCCTGATTTAAGATTGCTCAATTTGTTATATGATGTTACCCCCTCAAAATACATTACTCTGGTAGTGACTGAAGTGGGTCTTATTCCTTGTACATCTGCACCTGTGGTAAGTTTCTTTATTCGTTTACAAGATAAGTCACTCATCCTTTTTTATTATTATTAGATCTGGCGTGAATATAAGTAAGAAGTCATCATTCTGATGGACATAACTAACTGTTTTGAATAGTGAGGAATTTGGCAAGCGCGTTGCATAAATTAGAGAATAAAGAAAATAGCGGAGTATATGGCCATAAAGGAAAGGAGATATCAATGACACACTTTTGTATGACAATGGCTTAAAAATATAAATAAAAATCTGATAAAGAAATTAAAAAGGCGCTCCCTTCCTCTCTTTATGGGAAATGCATAATCGCACTTTTAAATAACCCCCCTTTTTAAGGCCAATTACAAAAAAGTACCTTTTTTTTATTTTTCTTTCTTTTTTTCTATTCTTTTTTTAAACATCTGTTCTTGCTTTCTCTTTCTTTCTTTTTCTTTTTTCTTAATATTTATAATGACACTTGAGCCTCATAAACAGGATGTACCCACAGTACTTTCTCAATCCTTTTCTAGCATAAACAATATATGGGATGCGATATTACCATTACAGTTAGATCAGAATACGTTTGCTAAGCCTATTGGGGACTCGTCACCCGATATGTATCACGAGTGCCACCCTGCAGCTTTACCAATAGGAGGACCAAGAATGGCAACCCATCATTTGATTTTAGGTCCGACACTGAACAACCTGATTAAAGACGACGTCTTCTTGGCCCAACCATACTTTAACACCATAGATCATGACGATAATGCATCACTCAGTAGCCATTCGAGTTCTTCTCAACACAGTGATAAATTAACTTCGCCTTGCTTATCGCCTGTGACTTCACCCACGAACTTCTTGCACCATGAACCATTGTTTGATGGTGGCATTGTGGAAGAATCCAAGGAGTCGTATACGCTTTATGATCAAGACTGTTTCAAGCTACCTAATGCTATCACATCTGAATCTACGGACTATCAGTTTGATTTTACAGATACTGAAGATGAGACAATGAAGCAACAAGTTAACACGGTCCAAACAGACCATCCCAAGAAACCCCGCCAAAAACGCCGCAAGAAGTGCAAGACAGCCAAGAAATGGGCTACGGTGGAAGAAAACATGAAAAAAAAGAAACTTTTGCTATGTAAGCCAATGATGCCTCGTCGCCAGCTGATAGAACCAATGTCAGCACACGACACTAAAACCGTGTTTCAATACTTTACTGAAACGAGTATTGACTGGTGTCGATACTGTGGCACGACTGAAGGTGTGAATTGGAGGCCTGGACCATGGGGTAAAAGAACACTCTGCAAGTAAGTATAGTTTGTACCTAATATGTGTGTGACTAATGTAATAGTAAACATGGCTGTGACTATAAGGGTTATGGCCTTGCAAGTCGTTTACCACGTTTAGATCTTTCTGCTTTTTCAAATGAAAAATTGGAAGATCGTTTGCGTCCTGTGGTTCAGTATTTCTGTATTGTGTGTCAATCACCAGAACAAGTAGAGGACAACCAATTGGTGCTTTGCCAAGGTGGGTGTTCTCGTGCCTATCATCAAAAATGCCATGCTCCTACTATCTCCGTCAATCCAACAAGCGATGGTTTACGTTGGTATTGTAGTACAGTATGTAAAGAAAATCTCAAACGTAACAAAGTGGGTAAAGTGTACATTGATGTTTATTATTATATTTATTATTATTATTATTATTATTGACTCAGACTTTGTAGTGGTTGAATTGCCTCGTAAACATATGCCCATGATGCATTTGTTAAATTTAGAAAGAAAAAATTAATTTAGAATGTTTATATTTCCAACGTATATATATAATTATGTAAATTTGTATAAAGTTCATCTTATTGTTGTACAACGCTTGTCATTTTAACGTCATTTTTTGTACACTTTAAAAAAATGGGATTTATATATTTAGAATCATACCCCCTCCTTATAAAACAATAAAAGTTTACTCTACAGACATTTGGTTTGCATGATAACCACGTTGATCGCTATCTTCTGGCATGTCTGTAATCAAGACTTGATCAGAACTTGCTGCATCATCAATTAGGAGCCCGCGATTGTTCCGTCCTCCCCAGTCATTTCCTGTGGACCAAGCAAATCCATCTTCATCAAATTCAGCAGTCAGAGACATACCTTCACCACCAAACATTGAGAGCAATACAGGTAATAATACAAGACCATGTAAGGCGCCCAAGACCACAATTGTTAAATCTAGTATATATGATGTAAGCACAAAACAGCCAATAGAGTTTGTAACTTACACATTCTGAAATAGTAAACTTCAAAAATCTTGGAACGAGTAAAGGCCAAGACAATAATACCAGCAAACTTGGTCAATGTAATACCACAAAACACCTAATCATATGTTCAATAAGGAATATGTATAAAAAAAAGTACTTACCGAACTTCCAACATCTACCATACTTTTACCCGCTCTTTCTTCCCAGCTTCCACTGGCCACCATAAATCCGCGAGCAATATGACAACAGAACTCAACACTGATGCCCACACAAATCACCAAATTGACCAGACTGACACCGTTCAGACTCACACCCCAGAGTGTCATCACGCCAATGACATCCACCAATATCATTACGACCACACTCATCACAATCAAGCCACATCTTAAACTGCCAAGCAAACAACTCGTCACAACAAAAATAGACAAGATGGCCAAGCCCAAGATTTCAAACGCAAGTGACGCAATCGACATGTACTGTTCAAAGTACACATAAAACAATGAATAAGGATAGACTTCCAACTCGAGTTCTTGGCTTAGCCCATCTGCAATACGTTGAGCTGAGGCATAGGCATCAATGAACTGGTCTTGGCTACGAAGAGGGGTATGGAACGTACGGAAATAAGAGGATTGGATCGTGGTATTTTGATGACTAGGTACAATAGCATCGCCATAGGCTGCTTTACCACCCAAGGGACAATCCTCATCCGGAGCCATGTTGATCCATAAGTCAAAGAAGTCTAAAAAGGCCTGTCCTTGAGGCAAAGTGTCCATAGCCACGTCCCAATGAGGACTACAGTCTGTGCATTTCTCTTCATCATCCCAAGGACCGCATAGCTCCATTTGCTCTCTATAGGGTCTTTCGAGGTTACTGAGACGACGGCGTGACATGTTCTTGTTCTTGAGTCGACAACATCCTGTATCAGGACTTAACCAATACATAAAATCATCAAACCAGACACTGGTGGGTTCTTTAATAAACGAAACTTCAGAGCGTTTACGTTCTTGTTCAAGTACGTTTGCTAAAGAGCGCTCATGACAACCAGGGAATCGTCCACAGATCTTTTGTTGTACGGAACGTTGTGTCAGATTGGCATTCTTGACAACAAAGTAAGCAGGAGGGCCTACATTAAAGTATTGATCGAGATCATTAAAGTAAGGCACAAGATAGGAATCTGAGGGTAAAGCAATGCGTTGGTCTAAACCCTTAGGTAGTTGAGGTGCCAGTGACACACCAACCATAAACAAGCCTAGAAAGACAAAGCAGACGATATAACGCACAACTCGGTTCAAAATAAAAGGAACATAATAATACTTGACTAATTGTTGTAAAATGCCTTCTTTCTCAATCACTTCGGGTGCCTTGATACGAACGCAAGGAACACAATCGACACGATTATTCTATAGGAAAAGTGTGAGTTACATGTTGATATCATTTCATACTTTACTTGTGTTCTGTGTGCATCTAATACAAGGCAGGATACAAAGCATGTTACTTGTAACACGAAATCGATAAACACAGCAATCGAGGCAACAATAGCAAAACTGCTAACAGCTGGCATAGTCACCAGTGTACCAAGCCCAAACGCAATGGTTTCACTGAGTGAACTCAAAAAGATACTAGGGCCCATTTTACCTAATGTCTTAGCTGCTCGTTCTTCAATCGATTCATCTTGGCCTAATTCGACTCTTCGTTGATATTCGTGGCATAAGATAAAGATGTTGTCAACACCGACTGCAAGAACCAAGAATGGAATCACTTCAGCAATAATCAACGTGATTTTTTTGCCCGTGAATGAAAAAATACCAACAGCAGAAGAGACAGAAAAGATGACAATCAAAATACCGCAGATACCAAGACTAAATTTAGAATCAATCAAAAGACGACGAGGATTGAGTGAAGTAAGTCGACCCAGGGCAATGGAAGCATAGATGAACATGACAAGGTAACTGATAATCACTGTACCTGCATCGGTATTACTGGACTTGTTTAGTTCTGTCTCAAGTGAGCTCTATGGACAAGTCAACAAAAAAAAAGTCTTTCCTCTCTGCTTTTACTTACTTCAGTAGAATAGCTGATACGAACACCTTCCCATTCAGGACGATTGTTAACATGCGTCAAAATATTGGCCAATAATGCCTTTTCCCATTGTTCTGATTTGGCAGTTTCTGTGGCATTCAATGAGTTTCTGAGAACAAAGGTAACGACAAATGCTCTTGCCGTCAAATAATTCTGATCTTGATAACCACCCAACAACATTTCTGGCTTAAGGGGCTGCAAGAACTCAGGCAAACAAAGCGAAGGTTGTGATGTACATTTTTCTAGTTTGCTTTCCCATTGATCTGGATCATAATTATCAATATCACTTTGCCAATAACCAGTGACAGACTGAATAATACAGGCATCACCCGTTGGATGGAAACAGATGTCTTGTAGTGTATGACCGCTGGGTGATTTCAACTGTCTGATCTCATCTTCCAATCGGAATAGATTTTCTAAGCGTTCACCAGATGCAATAGGCGCATCGGCCTCATTGACAAAAAACAGTTGGGTCGTTCGATAGAATGGCGTAAAGTTTTCATCAAAGTGTGCTTTTTGTGCTAGTGCAGTGGATGTAGGCGAGACCCATAAATGGATAGGACTACGCTCAATGGAGAAGCGAGACCAACCAAGTGAACATATCGACACAAAGACCAGCGACGTCATGATGACAGCCCAAGGATAGCGAGCACAAACGAGACCTTGGTAATAAAACCAGTTTTGTAGGCGAGAATTAAGCCAGTATCGACGTGGTGTATAGTCAGGGTCCAACAAATGATTAGCCTCATCGTCGTCTTCATCTTCAAGTGCATCTTCATCATGATCGTCTGATATCACTAAACGTTCATAAAGTCTTCTTGCCTCCATACGGTCTAGATCAACACCAAGAAAACGCTGTAACCATTGTCCAGCTTTTTTGTTTTTAGCGACCAGTAAGATGACAAAAAGCACTAAAATGGTAGCATAAGTAATCAGCATGGTGAAACTCCAGCATCTCAAGAGACCGATATAGCACTCGGGTTCTTCCTTGGGTGTAGGAGGCAAAACAGGGCACACAGCTTGACAATCTACACAAGCGCAACGGTAATCGGGATCTGTATCATTGCATGATTTTCCATCTGCATCATAACGCTCAAGACCCGTCTGATTCAATGGTGGGAAATCAATCTGAAATGGACTTCCTAGGCCTGGACGTTTTGTTCCCATATAGCTCACCATACCATACCAATTTTTGGCTCCTCCGCCAATCAAGTCCATAGCAAAGTCGTTGCTTGATGTAAATTTGATGTCTTTGCAGCTATCGTAAAACTGAGTGCCAAAATTATCTCCCACCCAATAATTTGCGTTGGATACAGCAAACATGTCATTGTCGTTAGTGGGTTCAGCAGCTGTGATATTGACAAACGTTGATTGATTGGGTGAGCATGTAAATGAACACCAAAACTGGAGAAAGTTCTTCCAACAAGCGGGGCATGAGCCAATAATGGCTTTGGCTTGTTTGACTTGAGAAACAAGACTGTCGAGTTGCGACTCGTCGCAGCAGGTAGGACCTGTCATGTATTCAACGCCACATGTATTGACTAGCAATTTTCGAAAGCTACTAGATTCTGGTGCAGTAGCAGGTACGTTGTTGACATAAGGTAGCTTTGTGAAAAAGTCTTTATCGTATTGGCCACGCATAGCGCAGTAACCCTCTTTATGAATAGGTGTAAATGATTTTGCTGTCACGGATAACAACAGTAGTATAGATATAGACCACCATAATATATGTCGCATTGAAATGTATCTGATCAAAAGATGAAAAAGAAAAAAGGAAAAAAGAGAGTGAGATATTTCGGCGAAATTGAGGTGCCTGTGCAACTTGCATCACGATCATGCGGTGCCTTGCCAGTCACTTTATCATTTTAGCATAGCAACCAGCATAGCAACCAGCATAGCAACCAGCATAGCAACCAGCATAGCCGCCATGCATGAAACTAGCTTCTTTATATCAAACGCATCTCTGAACAACGATTGTATGTTATTTATCGGTGAGTTTTTTTTATTCTTTTTCGACATGCATATAACACTCAACATCTTTAAAAGGAAATTATGAAAATATTTTTCTTCAGTTCTTTTTCTCTATTTTTTTTTAAAGTATGGATGCGCCCTGGAGTAACAAAGAAACACTTAAAAAATCAAACAAGTTAGAACGGTAAGGCTGCGATCAAGGACGATTTACAGTTTTCTAACGAATCGTAGCTTGTCAAACGAGATCAAGGACTTTGAAAGCTATATTGCACCTACAAAGAAAGAACAGCTCAATAGAGATACATTATTGTATTCCATTACACAATTGGTCGATTCTTTATGGCCAGGCAATACGGTCACTCCATTTGGTTCTAGTGTTACAGGTCTACAGTTTCCAGCAAGGTAAGTTTATGATTTGTTTACGTAACCTTATACGATGTAGTGATATTGATCTCAATGTCAACTTTGAAGTCTTACCAAAAAATAATCCAATTGATGTACTCAAAGTGATTCGAAAACAAGCTGTTTCACGCCATATCTTACCAAACTATTCGACGCGACTTGTGGCGAATGCTAAGGTGCCTGTTTTGATGGCTACAGATGAAAATCAAGTTTCCATCGATATTACAGTACAGAATGAATGTTTTAGTTCTGATCGTACAGCTGTTTGGCTTAAAGAATACCCCATGCTAAAGCCGTTGTTTATGGTGCTTAAACTATCAATAGCAAACTACCGAATCTCAAGTTTACCTACATTTGAGCCCATGTCTGCCAAAACAGCAGGACTTGCAAGTTATTCACTGATATGTATGATTGTGAGTTATATTCAGGTAATGTATCAATGCATAAAAGTGTGCAGTTTATTGAGTTGGTACGATTAGCTTCAAGCATCATCACAACATCCTTCTGATCCAGAATATTATGCAAATCTCTTGCTTGGATTCCTGGATTTTTATACTGAATTTGAGAACACACGTCAAGCTATTTCATTAGAGGGTAAAGGAGCTTATCTCGCCAAGAATCAGACAGACATTAAGATTGATACAAAGCCAGGAAGACTCACCATCATTGATCCAGATGTGTCAAGTAAATACGGATTTTGATGAAATACCCTACTTATTGTTTTTATGATAGATGCCAATGTGGCTCGTAGTACATTTCGATTTGACACATTAAAAACTATCTTTGCTAAAGCACGTGACGACTTGCGCAAACGCATATCCAACAGTACAAAAGGAGAGTCAATTCTGTCTTCTATTCTCCAGGTTCAATCTCATTACTTTGGTGAACCAAGAAGTGAAGGTGCACGATTTAGAGTAAGACAGATCTGGATCAACACAGGCGAAGCACCAGTTAAATTTCCCCGGAAGAGATTTAATCAGGCTTATCGTCCTAACCTTCATGTTGCTGGCCACCGTTATGAAGATGAAAGAAAGCCATATAGAGGCGAAAGACGTTACAATCCATACAACAATAACAATAACAGTCCACAACGATCGTATAACAATTCAAGAGAAGAAAGTTATGATCGAGAGTATCAGCGCCATAAGAAGAACAACAATTCTCATTTAGCTCAACATTACAAAAACAAAGCAGATCGAGCCAAGAGAAGATGATGGACTGTAATGGCAATAAATCTTGACTGAATGAAATATTAAAACGAGACTTGTGCATTTGAATACAGTTTGAGAGCAATCTGTCTTTCCTGCATAGGATGAGGAGAAGAATTCCAGCTTATCATGTATTGAAACATCTTTTTCTCCCTGGTCTTTGTTCTTTAGGGAGGAAAGGCTAAAGAGAGATTGATATGATTGATGTGTGCTTTATTTGACAGTATTTCGAATGCATTCAGTGTAAATACATTGCAGAAATTATCAAATTTATTTGTTTGTCAAAATGATTAAGTAAAGCCTAACTATAGTCAAAAGAAAAAAAAATGATCTGTATGAATCAACAGTCATGAATTAAGGGAAAATTATAGAATGGCCGGAAACATACATTAAAGCTTCATCATCTTTTTGCAAATGCAAGTATCAGGAGAAAATAAAAGATTTTAATAGGGAGAAATACAGTATTAGGAGCAAAAGATACAAAATCTATAAATTCAATTGAATGCAGAGCAATCTGTCTCTTTATTTATTAGAATCATGAAATTTTTCACTTTTGCTTTGGTTGGTGCCCTTGCTACCATGGTTACTGCTTTGCCTACTTTTCAAAAAAGAGCTGACTTTATAAATGATGCTGATGCATCTTTTTATATCACTTCACCTTTAGATGGCGAGTCCTATACTGCTGGTTCTGAGTAAGTACTACCTAACAAAACATACATTAATACTGATTGGAATTTATAGTGCTACGACAAGTAAATACGCTTTATAGACGAGTTTGAGCGATTTTATTAATTTTTCTCTATCTAGAATGGAACAATGGTGTTCCTGGTCCGTTTACTATCATTGTTTTAAAGGGAAAGAATCCTGATACCATGCAACCCACTGGTATCACTTTAAATGCTGAAGGTAATGCTGGAAAATATACTTGGAAGGTAAATGAATCTCATAGATGTAGTATTGTATTGACATAAAAAAAAGATCCCTGAAGATATTCCTGAAGGTGTGTATGCTTTTGAATATCAATTTACAGATAACGGTGCTAGGTAATTGTATCATTCCGAGGTATTTCAATTATTAAAACAATCACAATAGTAAGGAAGTGTATTCGAGTCAATTCAAAATCAAGGCTGCCAAGGCATCTGCTCCTCCTTCTCCCTCTACTCCCTCTACTGTTAAAGACAATGCTCCTATTGAAAAAGACTTTGGTAAAGGCGAACAAGACTTGTTTGATTCAACCTCGGCTGAAGGCACAAATGATTACCCATCAAATTTTGACCAAGGTTTCAATAACGGATTTTAGTTTTCTATATTGAAATAAATGCATTTTCTATTTCATTTCATAATCTAAACAAGTTATGTAAAAAGAAAAATAACCAGAAAAGGAAGTATACTCTTTTTAAATCACTCATACTAACCAAAAAAATGAAACATTCAAGGAATTAATGAGGTAGGTTTATTTCATTAGAGTAAGATTAATAGTGAGGCTTGTGTTGGGCAGGATTAGCATAGATCTTGAAATCTTGGGTATATGACCAAGAAGAAGAGTCGTTCTTCTTGCCGATACGGAGCATGTAATCTTCACCTTGGAAGAAAGGCAAGGTATCAGTGGTAAAAACATTGACAGAACAAGGTACACTTCTGTTAGCGGAAAGAACAAGAGCAACGTTTTCGTTGTGAACATTAATGAGTTCAATGGTACAGTCAACACCAAATTCAGAAGCAGAAGAAGACCATTGCACTAAGCCTTTAGAGCCAGAGACCCAGACAGAATCTTTATCAGGAAGAGTGACATACAACTTGGCAAATGTATTGGCAATGAGACAGAAGAATAAGACAAGAGTAGCAGCAAAGAACTTCATTTTTTGAGATATATAGACAGGTATAATAAGAAAAAAAGAAGAAATCAAAGAGCCCTTTTTATTTAAATAAAATCATGCTAGAAGGGATACACAAGATGTCATGGTTGTTTTGGTGGTGCCATTTCGTAAAAATTCAATCATAGTACAGATCCATTGTTACACATAAGAAGTATTCTGCTTTCTGTATTTATCCGGAATGATGTTATGCTTTTGTTTTTTTTTAACTTTCATACACAGTGTGTTTTTCATTGAATATCACACATTGTTGTTTTCAATGAGTGAGCTTTCAAATGAGCATGTAATATGCAAGTTTAAAAAAAAGATGCAATGAGTAGTATATGATACAATCACTTAAAAACATGACATATTTGTACTGGTCAAATATAAGATTTTGTAACATCAACAAAGCATCAGTTACTTGAAAACAACTAATGAAATCATACATATTGTCTCATTTTTTTATAGTGATATCTTTCTTTATCATGATACTACTTCTATGTTGAGTTCTTACAAATACAGCACTACAAAAAAATAGATTTAAGAAATAAAAGCTGCAGTAAACTAAAGCTTCATATCTTGTATTTGAAAGAGTCTGGTTTTCGAGCTTTGAATACTTTAAGAGCTATTTTTTCTAAGACTCACTTGTAGATTGTCTTTGTCTTTCTCCTAAAAGGAAACTTGTTCTAATTTCAGAGATAATTTGCGATGCTCTGATCTCCTTCTCAACTTTTTATGAGCCGAGGAATGAAGCTACTGATACACTGCAACATTCAAGACTACAGCTTTCAATGAGAAGTTTCACTTCACGATTGTGCTACCAAATGTGGCATGATATAGCTCAACCCGCCAAAAACTAAACAATTTTTTCTTCTTTAGACTTTAACAACAGAAATGTCGCGTGCTTTACATCATTGCTTTTGAAAACAGCTTTAAAGAAATAAGGTTTCCTCTTAGTATTTGCTAAAGTAGAAAAGAAAGTAGACTTTGTAGCATGTCTTTGGTATCATAATTGGCTGATAAGTGCTTTTATTGTCTATCCTATATTTTGTCGCATAAGAAATATTTGAGTTAATGGAACTCTCCACCTTATCCATTTCTTTCTACCTCAATTCAATGAAAGCGGTCATCCTTACGTAAACGTATCGACTTTGAAGAAATAATTGCTACAAGCAATTGCTCATTAAAGAATGGCGTGTAGTCAAGACTATACTATCTTCTTTAAAGCCTTAGGTTCTTGCACCTATAATAGACACATTGATGTATTTTTACTATTTGATGTAGCTTTATTTACTACTTATAATCCCTGAGTAGCATCGAAGCATCATTATACACACACACACACACACACACACACACACACACACACACACACACACACACACACACACACACACACACACACACACACACACACACACACACACACACAAAATGATTAGAGTAGAAGATTGAGAGTGAAGCATCAAAAGCAAGTTTTCAAGTGATCATGGCTCTTTCACATAAAGAACAGACCCATACTATGACTCCCTCTAACACGGGGCGTCGTCAAACCGAAAACACTGCAAAGACTTGGTCACAAGTTGCTGCTTGTAACATCGTGTCCTGGCGTAGCACTTCACCTCGCACGAACTCTCCATCAGCCACTAACAACACATCTCCTTCATCTAATTCTCGATGGGCATCAGCCTTAGATGTTGCTTTTACCAGCACCATCACACCTTTTATTGTTGGACTCGAGCTAGACAGCATCTTGATCGACATCACCAACATCCGAGATGTTGACCGCCTGAAACAGTTTTTGGGATCTCAAAATGATACAAACATTTATCATTTTTCGGGCACTTTGCTTGTAGAGCGAAAGTACTTGCAACGCAGATTTATCGAAACTTGCTGGAATCTTGAGTCTCCCATCTGCCAGTCATTATTGAACGAAGGATTGACTCTTGATGACAAAATAGTAATTAAAGGTTATCGCAGTCTTCCAACAGACGCAAAGATTGTTAGAGTAAAAGTTGAGCGCCTTTCTTTGATTCATCCCTTACATTTGCGTGAACAGATGGTGAAACGTTTTTTCCTATTTTCGTGAAGTCTTGGATGCTGGGCTTCACATGGATGGTAGTGTCTTTTTCGGACAAGGTTATGTGGTCCTTAACGTGAACAAGCCCCATCCTACCGACCCTCAAACTCTTAGCAGAGCTATTGACTGGGGGAATAAAGAGAAAGATGTTCTTCTTACTCGGGATGAAATGCCTCCCCCCCCTTCTGTCGTTTTTGTCAAAAGTACGACCACTGCCGAGCTGACTGTGTTGAGTTCATTGTTGAACATGGTCTGTTGACTTAAATGATTATGGAAAACACTGCCTTCAATTACATGAAGATAATCAAGGTCTAGGACTACTACTAGACCAAGAAAAGGCATACAATCGGGTTAGTCTAGAATACTTATCTCTTGTCTTGCGACATCTTAGTTTTCCTGAACCTTTGGTTGATTGTTTGTATTTTCTTTTCCAGCAAAACAAAATTCGCATCAACATGAATGGTTGGTTGTCTTCTACTCTAGTACCCAAACGTCGTGGTCTAAAGCAAGGTGATCCTATTTCTTGTATTCTTTACAATTTCGCTCTTGAGCCTCTGCTGCAAACCATTCTCATGGATAATCAGTTTACTGGATATTGTTTTAAATCCAACCTGATTGATATTCAACCGAACCTGCTACATATCAAGCTTCTCAGTTATGCTGATGATACTATGGTATTCCTCCAAAATGTTGATGATTTACTTAGGCTGCATGTTCACCTTCGCACCTACTTGAGAAAGCATATACAATGTCTATGTAATTTTTTTTAGCTGATCGTAAATGATATAGGCATACATTTTCTGTTTGGGTTGTACTCAACAGTCTTTTTTTCTTCCCTTAAAATTTTCCATCTGGGATTACGGGTAGGCGCAGTAAATTACAAACTTGCAGTCTTCCCGTCAACGGGAACATTAATTGATAGTAATTTGAAGAAAAGGATTTGGTCCCAGTAATTATTAATAGACAGAATTGTGAATTGATTTACTTATTTATTATATTAATTAAATATAGAGGATGATAGGGGGAAATATATCAGCAAACCTGGCTGACAAAGAGAAAATATATAGAAACATTAATTATAAAAAAAAGGTAGTATACAGAGGGGGATTATAGAGCTGCATTAGGCTAGGATGATTTAAAGAGAACCTTTCTTTTCATCAACAGAGATAACTTCTTCGGCAATGAAAGGCTTGTTCTTGAAGGCAAAGACGCTACCACCAAAGACAACATCCATTTCTTCAAGAGAACGACCCTTGGTTTCAGGGAAGAAAATGTAAACAACGACAGACATGATGATACAGCAACAACCAAAGAAAATGTAAGTACCCCAAGTGATGGAAGCCAACATGACAGGACAGATTTCAGAAATGACAAAGTTGAAGAGCCAGTTAGCAGAGGTGGTGATAGAAGTACCCTTGGCACGAACACTGAGAGGATAGATTTCAGCAGGATAAATCCAACCGACAGGACCCCAAGAGTAAGCAAAACCAGCGACGAAGAGATAAATCATAACAATACAGAAGTAAGAAGCGTGAATGTTGCCAGACATATCAACATTGTGCTTTCCGGTAGTGACATCCAAGGTAACCTTACCAGTGGCAGCCATAACAATACCACAAAGAAGCATAGAAGTAGCCATGAAGAGAGCACCAGAGATCAAGATCTTACGACGACCGAAACGATCAACGAAAAGAACAGCAGGAATGGTAGCAAACATGTTAAGGACACCATTGACACCAGAGGCAATCAAAGTAGCAGAGTGAGCACCAATACCAGCTTGTTTGAAAATAGTGGGAGCATAGTACATGATGGAGTTGATACCAGTAAATTGTTGGAAGATTTGTGTAAGAACACCAAGAACCAATCTACGACGGAGCTTGGGCTTCAAGAGTTCAACATAGCTACCGACAGCAACAGAGCGTTCAAGTTCGATTTGAGCAACAATGTCTTCGTATTCAGCAACAACACGAGGGTTAGTGGCATCACCATCACCGTGCAATCTGGCCAAGACATTCAAAGCTTCTTCATTGCGACCCTTGGAGACCAACCAACGAGGAGAGTAAGGCAAGAACATGGCACCAAAGAACAAGACAATAGCAGGTGCGATTTGGATACCGAGAGGAATTCTCCATTGAGCGTCGTTAGTGTAAGGATCAGTACCAACACCAACCCAGAAAGCAACCATGATACCAGCAGTACACATGAGTTGTTGAAGAGCAATAAGACGACCACGGATTTCTTTAGGAGCCAATTCGGATTGGTAAAGAGGCACAATCATTGAGATACAACCAATACCCAAACCAGCAATAGCACGACCAACGACCATCATAGCATAACCATTGGCACCACATTGGAGTGCAGCACCAATCATAAAGACACCAGTACCAATGATAATTGTTATTTTACGACTAAGTCTTTCAGCAGAAGGAGCTACATTCAGTGTTAATAAACGTTAATCATTAATTGATATAGACTTACCAGCCAAAAGAGAACCAACGAAACAACCAGCCAATAAAAGACCAGTAATAGTACCTTCTTGAAGAGAAGTGAGGCTTTCAACGCCTGCCATTTTAACTTGGAAACGGTTCATAGTCAAGATACTAGAAATGACACCAGTATCATAACCAAACAAGAAACCACCAATGGCTGCAAAGGCACAAACGCCATATAAGAGAAGATTACTGCCCATTAAAAAATGAATATATATAGAGAAGTGTTTAGAAGAGAAGTAAAGTAAAGGGAATTAACAGAATTTCATTCTTTATATATACTTTTTCCTTAATCCTCCCAAAGTGGGAATCTTATGAATATTGAGACCTATTTGTGTTTATTTGGTGTAACTTGCTGTTTTCCCAGTTTGTATGGCCAGATCTCGGAGTAAACTTTAAATTGCCCTTGAATCCAATGGAGTGAGTTACTACACAACTCCGAAGCGCTTCAATTGTAATCGCATCAAGCCTGTTTGACCAGAATAAAGAAAAAGAAAAGAGAAATACAATAAGGAGACAATTGACGGCTTGTGTATCTCTAGACATATACTTTCAAAGAGTTTCAGTAACCCTTTTTCTGTATATATTTGGAAGAATTGTGAATAAAAGGAACAAATCTTCATGTTTTTCTTGCTTTTACCCAATCACAAGGAAAAATCTTGAATAGGAAGAATCGACGCTGATTCGCCCAGTAAAACGCGGGGAAGTTTGGTATGGAAAATTCGAACAATATAACATCCGGCTATTCAAAATACCCTATATCCTTCTCCCCGCCCTTCATTCTTTTTTCTTCAAAAAAAAAGCATGGCATGATATCAAAGAAGTAACCGAGGAATCATGAAATAATGTCACAAGATTTGAGAAATAGTCGGAGTCTTGTTTATTTTTATAAATAAGCAACAATACAATTAAAGGCGTAAGTGAGATGTGGAACCAATGAAAGGATGGACGATCTTTGTGCTGATTTTCTCTATACACCTATTTTATTTTTGCTCTCACTTTTGACATTTTCTGCTCTAATAGGCAAAGAAGACAGAAAATGCTTTTTTCAAACAATTTTTCTTTATTGAGATGTATTTCAAGGTTTTGTGAGAGAAAGGGAAAGGAGGAAAAGAGCAGTAGAATATTGGTAAAGTATGAAATTTCCATAAAGAGTAATTATTTCACCAAATGCCCGTCCAATAGCAATCTGTGTGAAAAAATGAAAAAGTGGGGTATTCAACAAGGAAACCACGGTAACCAAGACATTAAGGGTTGCCATATTGGTTGGTTGTAAAATAAGAAATTATTAATCATATCTAGGGTCTGAGTAGACTTGTTTTGATTGGTGTGTGTTATATTCTGCGCTGACTTGAGGCTCTATTTAGATGTACAGTTTGTTGAGGTTCATGGGAACCATAATATCTGTTGCGCCAACCAGTAGGTGCTGTCTTGCTTCTGCGTAAATTCGAAGCGAAAGGTGGCAGACTGCCCTGTTGATCTGTTGTTATGTGAATCGACTCAATGCCAGAGCCAGAATAAGACCCTGCAGTACAAGAATAAATGGTAGGCGCTCTATGTAATTTTGAATTGCTACTTGGCCTGTTTAGGTCTATATACACAATAAGCCATCATTGACGCAACGAATCAACTCACTTTTGTTTTGTGTCACATTGTCTCGTGAGACAACAGGTCCTGATTTCACATCAACAGCTCTTGGCATTGAGAACCGTTCTTGGAATTCAATTAAGAATAACAGAGCTTTTTGAGATTTTAAATATTCAGTAGGATTCATTGCATCGTCAGGATGCGATAGTATTCCCTACACCATGTTAGTTTATAAACTATTGGACATCATTTACGTACAGGCGCAAAGACTGACGCTAGACACGCTGTATCCATGCGTGTATATTCCTGTGTTGTCGTAAACATACCCAACATGTCTAATAGATACAAGAGTAGGTACTGATGTGCCACAGGGAGGCATTCTATGATTCGCTGTATGTCTTGTATCTTTTGGTCCAAGTTCGAGTAGCTCGCCACTAAAAAACAAGTAAGTTCTTCTTGCCTGTACGCTGCTCATACTCATTACGTGTTGTTGTTTTCATCTTTCTGTAACAATTCAATGTGATCACAGGCTCGGGTAAAAAGTTCAAGAACCGCTTCATGACGTTGGCTGCATCGTGCACTGTGTACCCTCTCCAATCCAATTGTGCGCCATAATTGTCTGGTGTATCAAATATTGATTGAAGCATTTTTATTCTTCGCGTGCTTCCAGAAACACGAAAAATACCTTCCGTAGTCATGGCTAGGTTTATTAAGTAATATTACTTCTTTTTTTTGCTACTACCTTCTTCTTTTAAAAATGCTCCACATTTTGCAACGACAGTAGGAATAACACCAAAGCACTGTCCACCTGTTAAGTCGTCAATATAAGAAATACTCGAGCTAGCATAGTTGATAGAGTCTGTTAATGGGATACCAAATACACCTTTCTCTAAGCAAGTGTTACAACAAGAACAAAATCAGATCGTTCCAGTTACCAACAACGGGAACTCTCATCTCTTTAAACTTCCGTGCTGAAGGATGAGCAGCAGTAACTTTTTTCCACCAACCTCGAATAAGAGCTTTTTGGCTAGGAGTAAACACTCCAAGCATTTCAAAAGAAGACATTATAGTAAAAAAAAGTAAGTAGGTATAGAATTTATGAACTGTGCGTCATCTATACAAAAACGAGCTGTTCCACGGAGATTAAAAAGTTACTTGGTCTTGTTTAAGATGCTTCAGAGCTGTTCTTTCATGATAAAGAAAGGAAAAAGGGAGAATTTTATTTTGTATTTATGCGTTTCAATTGAATTCTATGTTTAAATGCTCATTTAGTCAATATTTCTTGTTTTGCTCTTCATATTTCGTTAAAAAATGAGAAAGATAAGTTCCTTAAATTTGCTGTCTTTGGTAGGAGTTTAGCAACAGATTTGTTCATACCATCCACTATAGTTTTCATGTTTTCAATTTTCTTTTTTATTTGAGCTATTCTGGATTGTCTTTGCAATTGGTAGTAGTAGCTCACTAACTGCGAAGATACTTATTTATTGTAAATTTAATCTAGTAACAAGAGTCATGCATGACATAGATAGGATTTTAATTAGTTTGATCTTAAGAGCGCTTTGTAGAAAATATTTTGTCAGTTTTTTGTATGTAATTGTACATTTCTCGAATAGAATGACAGGTTCCTGTTGTAACTTTGGTTTTTATACGTAATGTGACAGTGTGGAGTGATTTACGAAAAAAAGTCTCTCTATAACTAGTACATGTTGAGGTAGAACTATGTATTTCTTTGCTTTTTAAATTCTCTTTTTGTGCAGGGTCAACAACATGTTTCTATTATTATTATATTAAAACAGAGTAATATATCAAGAAGAATCCAAAATGCGAGCTTTACACCATCAATAGTATAGGAAACGGTAATAAAATGATTATGACAGTCTATAAATCTAATGGTTTTTTTTTATGATTTTTTCTTATGCATTGAGAAGTAGAAGGCACAAAAAAGAAGATGACGTTCATATACACTATTCTTCTTCTTTTTGTTTCTAGATCATTGGTAATTCTCTTTCCATTCACAATTTGGCAAAAAAAAATACCGATAGTTTTGTATGAAAATACTATTTGTAACAGAACAGTAGCGACCAGAGAGACAAAAGTAGTTTGTAAACACATTGCCCTGAACACAACGCGTCTAAGGATCCTTGCGGTAGAAACAGCTTTTTAGTTGAGAAACGCTTGGTTTTGATCATTGATCACTGTTTTCAAAAGGAAGCTTTTTCGTAAATGACTTGCATTAAGATCCAAGATTTTCTTGAAGTACTTCTTTGGACAGAATATGATTTGGGCAATTACTAGAGCTCACAGATTTGTGTCTCACTTGCTTAAAATTTTTACAACTGATCAAGAACTTGAAGCAGTCTTTTGTCTTTTTTTTATCCTATTTTCTTGCTTGATGCTTACACAGTGTTTTCTTTTTCTCACAGTGGATGCTCTTATTGCGTACGATTTAGTTTCAAATGCTTGAGGAACGTACAACAATTTTTTCTACTATCATACTAGACTTTGCTGTTATGACCTCTTTTCTGGCAGTCTTTACATTGTATATTTAGGCGGATAATCAAAAGGTAGAGCTTAATTATGTATATGCATGATGCTTTCTAGCCTCTAAAATGATGACATGTATCTTCCGTCCCATTTCTTCTATTAATAATCGATTGTTTTTTAACTTCTTATGATGACTTTAAATACATATAAAGTGTTGTGAAAAGGTCCAAAAACTAAGCTCATTCTACACTTTCCTTACAATGAATGTCAAAAAATAACCGCAGTCATTCAAAGAGTACCACCAACTATAAGGCCGTTAGAGAGATTTGAATTTAGAGATATGTTGCCACTTACTATCCATATCGATAGTAGCAGAACTATCATCAGCCTTACGTACTCTTCGATTTAGGAAGGACGTGGTGAACTGTTTGAAATCATCTTCAGTGTAGTATTGACTGGGTTTATGGGAAAATGCGGGGAACGTTCTACCAAACAAGATTGTAGAGAGACCGACAATACCAGAGTTGACAATCGGTCACAAGACATAGTTGCCTTGTTCTTTACGGAAATACAGTCCTTATTCAAGCAATAGAAAGCACCTTTCACTGTTGTTATTCGCTCCTCAGTTCTGTTGACTGGGTGGGCTAATTTCTGGAAACAAAAGACACAAGTCTGGGATGTATTATACTCGTTTGTGATTATACAATACTTCTGCTTCCGAGAAGTTTCTGCTTCCATTTTCCTCCATATCGTCTATTCCCTTTTATCCTTGAACTAACAGCAGAGCCTCGATTTCCAACAAACAAACAAGCTTTTGACTTCTTAAGACCTATTCAAAATGACATAATTAATACCAACCACACGCTATCATGAGTAGTTATTACCTTTTTTTCTTTTCTTGATTACAGATTTTTAGGCGGACTCGGGTATTCTGCAGATCACTCCTTCTGATAGCATTGGCTTTTTTATTAGAAGCATAAAAATCACGTAATTGTTTTCTATGGCTTAAATGAACTTTGTATATTTGTTTGAGCTTTACAGGACATCACAAGCTGTTTTCAAAGAGAATATAGCTATTCTAAATATCTCACATTATGCATAATAAACATTGTTTGTAGTAAGGAGTATGAGAAAGTATTCATTCATATTGATGATTATCAGCGTAGAGATGTCCTTATAAGTCACCATACTTGTAAACTCAATTATCAACATTGCTTTGAAAATTACAGCGCGACAAAAAGAAATAGATGGATAACCCTTCAGTATCGAATAAGACACAAGTAACTTTTGCTGACAGTGGCTACTAAATTTTTGTGGGTATTTAGCATCAACGTAGCACAATTCAATCGGCAATAGAAATACAAAAGCCAAAATTTTTTCGAAGAATTTTGCTTGTTTAACCCAGTGGCTTACTAGAAGTGATAGATATTTGAATTGCGCGTCTTCTGATATAGAAAATAGATAAGCTTTACTTTTAAGATTTTGAGAAAAAATAAAATCCTTTTTACTGTTTTCCGAGCCTAGTGCTATATTTCTATAGCAAAATTTGCACAAAGACACAATAATGGTAAAATATAGCCTTTTGCGCTTCTTCTGAGTACTTAAGCATGCTTTTGTCTTCATTTTCAAGCGAGTAACGTTGAACAAAAGACAAGAAGCGGGAATTTAAATCACAATAAAAGGTAAACCCCTTTGACCAAATTGCAATTTTTGACTTTTTCAAAATTGTCATATCTTTATGCTCAAATGACTTCCTATGTGTTCTGTAGTCTAGTAGAAATAGTATTTAGATTCATTGATGACTTGAGAGCGTTCTAGAATACTAAAATCTGCTACTATGCATGCTGCTATTAAGGCATTAACATGCTTTTTTGTCACCATCATTTGAAAGGTCACAAAGCAAATTTCCCAAATACAAAGATAGCCAATCTCACTTTTAAAACTATAATATTTATTCATTCCATTGAGTGTTTGATTACTGCTTTACGAAATAAGCCACAAATATTCAGGGACGTACAGTTGAATTATGTTTTCTAAAATAAGAAATGTTACAATTGACAATCTGAAAAGGGTATATTAACAGATTGTACTCGTCTTAATGGCTAATTGTCTCTATGGCAACGATAGAGTTGAAGTCAATGTATTTCGAAACAACTTTATATGATCGGATGAGCGGAAACATGACGCCCATTTCATGTATGTCGTGTAACCGACAGTTTAAGAAGACTTTTTATGATGTTATATAACCCAAAAAAACGTTTTTCTTTTTTTTTCTTGTTTTCTTTTCTCTTGCTATGCGATCCATAGAAACTAGAGTAGAGCAAATTGTTCACGATTCAACTCCGGCCCACTATACCAGACGTTGGGTCAAGAAGATCAAGACTTACCCTGATCACCTTCGGTAACAACTCGGAAGTCATAAAAAGCAAAACTAACCTTTTATTTTCTTTAGAGTGAAAGGATCGGTAACAAAATGAACAGGAATAAAGAAACATACATTAATGCAAACAGTAGGTTTTGCCTTCTATTTTACCTCTTGTTGTGTTAACTGGTCTTTATGCTTACTTTGTTGCTGTCATGTATATTTCATGGGGTTGGAAAAGCATTGCCCTGAGTAACTCCATTGGTAAGTCAATCGATTCATGCGAAAATTCTCATACGCGCGTCAATTAGTGCCTGTTTTATCTGTTGTTCTCGGTCTTTTGTTAGCTTTCAGAGCAAACACGTCTTATGCTCGTTATTATGAAGGCCGACAATTATGGCAAGATCTCTCCAGCAATACCAGAAACTTGGCTCGTCTTGTTTGGTGCAGTATTCCCGAGCGCACACAAAATGATCATTTGGAAAAAATGAGATGCATGAAACTCTTGCTTGCGTTTGCAGTAGCCACGAAACACTACCTTCGTCGTGAGTTAGGTATTGATTATTATGATTTGGATTACTTATTACCACCCAACTGGATTCCTGCTGCTGCTGATGACCGATTGTTTATCATTAAAGATGAAAGTTCAGATGATGAAGGCATTGTTGTAAGTACATTGAAACATAATGGAACAAAAGCCTTGTTGGATGTCAATCAAGGTGGTGATGACATTCATGATATTGAGAATCAACCCTGCCCTTCTACTGGACCTTCTTCTTCTGCTGTCTCTACTATTGAAAACAGTCACACGTCTACTATCAACAATGACGAGGATGACCATCATCAACCACGTCGCAACTTGCCCCATAAGAAAAAAAGAAGAGAAAGTTTGTTTCTGATGAAGATTTACCTGATGAAGGAAATTCTGATATGTCCTTGCCTTTGGAAATTATCTTTCGCCTCAGTCTTTACATGGAACAAGCAAAGCAATCTGGCAAGATTGATGGTCAATTCTCCAATGTCATCATTACTCACTTGAACAACTTGAATGACTGTTTATCTGGTATGGAGCGTATTGTTAATACACCTATTCCTGCTGTCTATGTGGTTCATTTGTAAGTATTATTCAGAGCACGCATAAAATGTTCATACTTCTATAGAAAACAATCCGTCGTACTCTATATTTTAGCTATACCATTTACTCTGATTGACCAACTTAATTGGTGGATTATACCTACGCTTGTTTTAGCTGCCTTTGTTCTTTTTGGTATTGATGCCATTGGTGCACAAATCGGTATGTCATGTTAATAACGAGCAATAAGCTCATTTTCGTATTAGATAACCCATTTGGCTACAACAGCAACGATTTCCCCTTGAATACCTTCTGTGATGCCCTTCGAAAAGAAATTGAATTTATTGTCTACCATTTGCCTTGCGAAACAGAAAACGCCATGATGATATAATAAAAGGACGCACAGACTATATGCATTCTCGTTATCGTGACTTTATCTCTTATTCAACCACAGAAATTAAGCTTCTTTTTGGTTTGGCTCCGATGTACTACAATGCATATATATGTGTGTATATATATATAGCAGATCAACAAGCCATCACCAGTCAATGAACATGGGAATAAGAGTATCGGGCAACCAGACCGCAAAGTGAAATAAAGTTGGTCAAAGTGATGGGGATTGGCTTGATTTTCTTATCCGCCTTTCCCGATAGTGGGGCCCAAAAAAGATTTACCCATGTCTTTTTATTTGCCCTGGAAGAAACCAATACCAAATCAGGATTCCCCCCCCCCTTTTTTTTCTCACATATCCAGCCTATTCGCTACTTGAAATAGTCATTGACGCACGGAGTGAACACCGATAAATTATCATCCTTTTTTCTTCTTTTCTTTCGTCCTTTTTTTCGTTTTTGTTTTTTTTTTTTTTACCACACAAAAAAAAGTTTGTATTTTAACTATTTTTAATTTTCTTTTCTGTTTGTATCTATAAATACACTACATACGTATATAAAAAACAAATACTTGAAACAAGAAAAAGAAAGGCGAAAAAAAAAATAGAAAGCGAGTGAGATTCTTATCTACCAATTACATAGAGATCAAGTATGCCTCTATCATCCACCAATCGCAAATTATCCAATCCCAGCCCTACCCGAAATCAACTTGTGGAACGATCTTCAACACTCCGAGGATGCGAGCCATGTAAAAGTCGAAAGCAAATATGCAATGGACAACGCCCTTGTACACACTGTAAAGCAAGACAACAAGATTGTGTCTATAGTGTCGTTTCCGATCACCCAAGAAGTGTGTTTACTACCAACACAGCTCGCCGTTTAAGCTCGGGCTCTGCTTGTGAAACATGCCGAAGACGAAAAACAAAGTGTGATGGTGGTAGTCCTTGCAGTTTTTGTGCTAGTAGTGGCATTGAATGTATCAATAATTCTGAACGAAGAAAACGCTCTGTGTCTTCCTCTTCTCCACTCAGTTCGCCTTCTATCACGAACACAACATCAACAGACAACACAAGTAATAATGAAGCTATTGATCGTATTGAAGATCGTTTACGTCGTATCGAGAAGCTCATGACAGCATTTACACCCAGCCCCTTATCTTCTCCTTTTACAAAAGAAATTCATGATTTGAAGCGTGCTGCTACTGGATTTCGAAAATTATCTTCCCCTCATTTACAAAGACCCTCACTTGTCGCAACACGTCAACATAGACACTCTATACAAAGCATTTCTCCTGCACCATCATCTAAAGAAAAGAGTAAGTAAACCGTATCTATTGTATGCTGTATTAATCTTGTGCCATAGAAGACAACAATGCACCCAATACAGAACAGCAGTCTTCCCCTTCACCCCCTCTTTCACCACACAGTGCTAAAACTATATCTCAGTCTACAAATGCCATGGCTTCTTCTATGTTAAATCTATCACTATCCCCTTCCTCCTCATCTACTTCTTCTTCATCTTATATACAGCCTTCTGCCTCTACACCTACATCGACTTTTGTACCTATGAAACAATCCAACGAAGCTAATGAATGGAAACAACCAGCACCTATTCCAAGCTTAATGGGTAAGCATCTACGCTGCACTTTATTCTTTTATTTACCTTTCTCTCTTTTTCTTTATAGATCAACTTTCTAAATGCACTTTTGTAACAACAGCCATGAACTATAGTACAGTTCATTATCCTATTTATCCAATCTCCACTGCTCCTTCTACACCAAACACGATGGGATCACCTCAATAATCTATTTATTTTTCTATATGTATATTTTTCTTTACTCTCTCTTTCTCTTTTTTTTTAAATTGTTCTGAATAAAAAGAATCCTCTTCTTCTTTATGCCAACACAAAGAAAAAAGACAAACACTCAACAAGACTCTGATAAAGAAGATCATGAACAAGCTGAACAAGCAATGCCTATAGACGAACTAAACGAACAAGAAGGAGAAGAGGTGTCTGAAGGCTCTTCTGCTCTTGTTGTCACTGAGCTTGAAGTAACCTCAAATAATTCCATTGTATAGCACTAATGGATTTTAGAAACATGGTATTCACAAGACAGACATTAAGCGTCTTCAAGAAGCAGGATTCTATACATTAGATTCCATTGCTTATTCTCCTCGAAAAGCACTGTTGGCCATTAAAGGTCTATCTGAAGCTAAAGTAGACAAAATCATGAAAGAAGGTAAGTGAATCAAAATGCATGATATCTGTTGATGCATGAACAAGTGAGCCTGGTGATTGACATTGGATTCACAACCGCATTGGATATTCAAACAAGAAGAAGTGAACTGATCTATATTACCAGTGGCTCCAAAGATCTGGATCAACTCTTGGGTGGAGGCATTGAGACTGGATCCATTACAGAACTGTTTGGCGAATTTCGCTGTGGTAAGACACAACTCTGTCATACTTTAGCAGTATCATGTCAGGTATACAACTGTGTTCATTTGATGAGATTGACATATCTATAGCTTGCTTTGGAGAATGGTGGAGCAGAAGGTAAATGTCTTTACATTGATACAGAAGGAACATTTAGACCAAGTAGAATCTTATCCATTGCTTCAAGGTAACAAAGAGACAGACACGAAGCACATTCTCATACAACCATAGATTTGGTTTAGATACAGAGACTTGCCTAAATAACATTGCTTATGCCAGAGCTTACAATACAGATCATCAAACTTCTCTTCTAGCCCAAGCATGTGCAATGATGGCAGAGACAAGGCAGGTACAAAAGACATATATCATATTGACAATACATGTAGATTTGCCCTGTTGATTGTTGATAGTGCTATTTCTCTTTATCGTACTGATTTCCCTGGTCGCGGTGAACTTTCTGCTCGCCAAATGCACTTGGCTCGGTTCTTGCGTAACTTACAACGTATTGCTGATGAATTTGGTGTGGCAGTAGTGATCACAAATCAAATGTTGGCTACAGTAGACAGTGGTGCAAACATGTTTAATACAGACCCCAAGAAACCTACAGGTGGCAACATTATGGCTCATGCATGTTGTACAAGACTCCAGTTTCGTAAAGGAAGAGGAGAGAATCGTATCTGTAAGATTTATGATTCACCTTCCTTACCTGAAAGTGAAGTTATGTTCTCTATCTCTGAAGAAGGCATTGTAGATGCTCAAGAGTAGTTTTTATTATTATTATAGCTTGCTCCAAACAACCAACACAATAAGAACAATTAAAATAACAATAATAGCAGCCGTAATGAGTTTGTTGGTAGCCATACTAAAAGAAGCTTCCTTAATAAACTAAAAAAAAAAAAAAATGGGATGCTTATTGACTTACCGGCGTGCCATGCCTTTCAATGTCTTACTGGCCTTGTCAATATGAGAATCAGCTTCAGCAAGCTAAATGGTATGAGTACATATAATTGTGACATGTTCACTTACTGTATCTCTGGCTCTAACAATCGTCTCACGTTGTCCTTTTAATGTACTTAGGATGTTGATGCCAATGCCTTCTGTTTCTAAAGCCAGACGGTGACTATCTTCCAAACGACGACTTGATTGTCCGAGTCTTTCTGTGCCACTCAAGAGTCTTTGACGTTGATCCATTGTTGAAGCGTCGTAATCATTGACATCTTCATTACTGCCTGTACCATATCCACCAAATAATTCTTCTCTGTCTGTATTTTTAGTTAAAATAGATGTGTTTCTTCTCTACGTATGGTAGGTTAGTATGAACAGTTTATAAAGCACACTCGTTTACCAAGTCTCTTTTCAACTTTTCAGCGTCAGACTTGTAGAGTCTTAGCTTAGCTTGTAAACGAGTACGAGAAGGAGTAGGAATATTAAGTATTTCCATTTCCATTTGGCCAAGCTAAGTGGTGTTAAAACAAAATTCTCTATACAAAAAAGCTTACAATCTCGTCTGCTTCGTCAATCTCTCTTTCTGCTGCACGAATAACAGCCTTTCTTTCCTCTATAAACGGGTGAGAATCATCTTTTTTATTTTCTTATCTTACCTCCTTTCTGGTTTGGAATTTGTTGGTCTATCTTGATTTGAATAGACTCTTTAATAGAAGTAAAGTCTTGTTCATAGCTAGCAAAAAGTTCAGAACCACCCGTTGAAGAAGCCATGGTGAATGAGAAACGAAAAAAGAAAATGATGCAGTTTGTGTTCCCTTTCTTTTTTTTTTACCCCTCGAGAGTAAAAACTCCGATACACCCCGACAATAGGAAAGACTATTGAAGCAGCCCAAAAGGTATTGTAGCTGGCTTTTTTTTATATAAATAAACAAGAAAAGCAATCCAAAACAAAACAAAATCGCCTTACCTATCCTTCAATAGAACAGAGTCATCAAGAAGACAAATGGAACCAACATGTTCTTTCACAAAATATCCATATTTGTGAGAAATAAACGTTTTATTTTCTTAACTATATCTTTCTTGATCTCAATAACCTGCCCAACAAACAGATAATGGTATAGCCATTCTTGTGAACAAGTAAGCAAAGGAAAAAAGAAGAAGAGACAAGCTTTCTTTCTTGTTCTTGTATCTATTTTGTTCCTGAATTTTAGTTTATCTCATTTTTTTTTCAATACCAATCGAAACAAGGTTCTCGGTTCTTCTTCACTCCAAACGAATCGAAAGACGCTAGTTTTTGTTGTTCCTCAATTTACAGAAAAGAAAGTGACTATCAATTTCGATTGAGAGGATCACGTTGTTCAACTTTCGAGCAAGTCTATTTATTTTCTTCTTTTTTTTTTCTCTTCGTTTCTCAATGACAATACACAAAGAAGAAGTGGCATCTGATGTAGATGCGATACAGGCAAATGTCAACTATGAGATAAACCATGAAAAAAAAACTAATATATACTATTTAGGTATGGAGTGTCAAAGAGCTAGAGGCAGAATTCACTCCTATGTTGAAAGCATATCATGACAAAGAAACGGAGTTTAACTGGGAAGCAAGAGAAAAATCGATAACACGTATAAGAGGTCTACTTCGAGGCAACGCTGTGGAGCCTCCATACCTAGAGGTGTTATTGCCCTGTATTAAACAAATGGTAGATGGTATCATTAAAGCCGTAAGTGTGCTATATACATATATATATACATTACATGTTTATTAAATATTTTAAGGTCGAAAGCCTACGTACACAATTGGCAGTGAAAGCCCTTTTGCTGGTTGGAGAAATTGGGGTTTTTATTGGTAAACATGTAGATGCGTATATTACTGAACACTTATTAATGTGCATGATGCGCTGTGCAAGTTTGACCAAGAAAATGGTGGCCAATGCTTCCTTGGAAGCAACCAAAACTTTTCTTAAGCATACGCATTTCTATCCTAAGTTTATGAGCATGTTACTCTTGTCTATGGCAGATAAGAACAGCCAAGTACGTCTGTATGTGGTTCTGTATACCAAAACACTCTTACAAGCCCATGCTCACCGTGAACACACCCGTATGATCATGGATCGTACAAATTCAACTGATCATTTTGAGACGATTATTACCAAGGGCCTGAACGATGCTACGCCTATTGTGAAAGAATCTTGCCGAGAAGCCTTCTGGATCTTTTGGGAATACTGGCGAGAAAGAGGAGATCAGTAAGTATAAAAGACAGAGCATCACAATGTTCTAAACCTTCTATTAGTGTCCTAAGACAATTGCCAGCCATTGCTCAGAAACAACTAGAGAAATCAAAGACAGTGAAACCACAAATGAGCAAAAGCACACATAGTCCAACTGAATCACATTCTTCAGGCAGGCATGATTTGAACGTATCTCCTTCAAATTCAAGCCATATCGAGATCAAACGCTCTTTGTCTCCTAGAGCATCTTCACCACATCTTAGATCGAATTATGGATCACCTCCTGCCCAAATACCTACTTCCGCTTCCACATCACCTCCACCTCCCTCCTCACTTCGAAAGACACGCGTACCTGCACTCAATCGTAAGAAATCAGCCATATCTCTTGTCAAACGCAAGGCACCTGCTAATTTCATGATACTCTTGACCAGTGAGGACCCATTACAACGCATGGAAGGCTTGATTCAGCTTGCAAAGAAACTGTCCGCATTTGATTACATGACAGATGTAGCTAGTATTCAGTTAGATGTGCCCAATGCACCACCTGTTGATGGTCCTGTCTTGAAAGCAACGGTCACTCAACTATGGGATGATGGTTATGAAGTATTGTCTAGTTGGGATGGTATTTCTCATATTATCATGCGATTGTTTAGTTTTGAAGAATGCATCCCTAAACTGATTCTTGATGCCAATATGGATGAGACAGCACGTAGAACAGAAGCCGATATAGCTAAATCTCAATTTGCTCAACTTGGATTTATACGTGCCAAAGTGTTCCTTGAGTCGCAACATCCTGATCTTGTGGATACACTCTTTACCAATCTTGTCCAATACGGTGGCTTTGTTCAACAAGTACGCAGTGTCAAAAAGGACAACACGCGCTTACCTGCCAATCGTCGTAAGCTGACAAAGCAGTTTTTGGAATGGTTGGATGAATTAGTGACACCTTTGATTGGGCTGAATGAAGATGTGGATTATGGATCCAAGGCTTATGAAGGCATACCCAAAGAGTTTTTGCAGCCTGCGGATACAGTAATTCAATGGTTTGAGTCAGACGATAATGTGCGACACCTATTGGCAATTCTATTGCCTTTGATTACAACATCGACTTCAGGCACATTATGGCATGCTCCTCTTGTGACATTTATCAAACATATCCGATTGTTGAATCAAAGACTCTTTGAAATGGTTACTGCTACATATGATGAATATTCTGTCAACAAGATTTGTCGTGTGTTGGGTATTCATATTCGTGTTGAACCTATTGCGAATGTAGTTACAGTGCCATTGATTCCTGAACAACAACAACAACAACAACAACAAGAAGAAGAAGAAGAAGAAGATTTAATGGCACAGGCAGAAGAAGAAGAGGATTTGATTCCTGCCATTTTACAAGAGGAGCCTGTTCCTACTATTTCACAAGAAGAGCCTAGCATTCTGCCAGAAGAGAAAGAGGAGGAGGAAAAGCCTACTTTTCAACAGCAAGAAGAACCTATTCCACAACATAAAGAATCTATTCCTATCATTCAACATGAGCCAGAACCTATTCCTACTATTGTAACCCCAGAACAACAACCCATTTCTAACACTACACAAGAACAAGAATCCGTTTCTAGCATCACACTAAAACAAGAGTCAATCCCTAGTACAACAAAAGAACAAGAATTAATTCCTACAACACAACAACAAGAACAGGAATCTACGCCTCCTGTTATTGAAGCAAAAGAAGAACAAGAATCTATTCCTACCCTTAGCACGCAAAAACCTATTCTCTCTATGACACAAGAAGAACAAGAACCTGTTCCTACTATGATACAAAAAGAATCTATGTCCACTCCTGGGCATCAAGAGCCTCCTATTCCCAATACTGATTTACTTACCGTACATGAACAAGTGGTACAAGAACCCTCTCCTCCTGTTCCACAAGAAACCAAAGAAAGCTATTTTGAGAAACAAGATTACTTTGAAAAGCCAATTAAACCAGAACTATATCCTACTTCAGAGCCACCTGTAGCTGTTGATGAAGTATTGTATCAAGACCCTAATGATACCATACAAGAACAACCACTTGTTGACAAACTACAATACTTGGAAAAGCAATCCACAGAAAAACAAACACCACTTCCTGATCGTTTTACGCCACCTCAAGAAAAACAACAACAACAACAACAAGTAAGTTAAATAGAACAGAATAGAACAATAAGACTCACAAACAAAAAAGTATGACGCATTTATCAGCACGGGCTTACCTGCAGAAACCAAGAAAGAATCACTGGTAGCGAGTAAACCCAATCCAGAAAAATATCCTTTGCCTACTCATGTTCCTTTTTTTGCACCCGAGAAAGTCAATTTTCCCAATCCTGTCTTTAAACAAAATGTACGAACATTGTTTGCCTCGCCCAGTACAAGTACGAGCAATATAAACAGGAATGCTAAAGACAAAACCATGTTGCTGTATGCATTGATTGATAAATTAAAAACATCGCCATCAGACCATCAAACCACATTCCGTAAAATGACACGATTATTTAAAGAAGTCCCGATTCGAAGAAGATGGGATCAAGGCGGAATTGAGGAAAATGGCAGTGAGACATGGGCTGGTGCTCAGGGGGATGCTGGTAACTTTGTTGAGGTTGTCCAGACAGTGCTACCTTATCTTGACGATAAAAAATCGGTTTTGGCTAGTATCGAATGCATGCGACAATTGGCTGTAACACAAGCAGGTCTGTTTCGTTTCTTTGAAAGAAAAGTAGACGAAAAAGGAAGAACCTTAGAGTCACAATTATTGGAGAAATTACTCTTGATCCGATCAAGCGATCATCCTACAGTAAGCACCTGTTTGAATTGCTTTTTGACTCATTCTCTATATAGATCTGTATTGCAGCTGAAGATACATTAGATGCAGTCTTAGGCACCCTTAACCCACCCACTGTATTTGAAATGTTGATGGCCTTTATTATCTATCGTTTATTAATATCGCCTCTTGAACATTACTCAGCCGATACACGATACCACCCAGTTGGATCTGCTTTTATGTATCTAGGCAAATGGGTCAAGGAAGTAAACGATAATTTCTATATTGATGAATGGTTAAGCAAAGGTGGTGTCAACGCCTTTTTTGAAGTAAGCAAAATGGCAAATAATCAACACAATCTCAACCTTAGTTTTTAGGGCATAAACCATCCTTTGATAAACATTCGTAAATCATGTGTAGAAGCTATTGTTGCATTTCAAGAAGTCATGGGAGATGATATATATGTACTTTTAGCAGATCTAAGAGAAGATCAAATGAACTTGGTGAAGCACTATGTTGCGAAAGCATTGAAAAAGAAAGCAAGCCTTCGGAATCTAAGAGACAACGGTCAATTTTAGAAAAGGGACAAATAACAAACAAATCATTTGTCCTTTTTAGATATGTATACCCTCTTTCTTTCTTACCACAAAGAGACTTATGTACAAATAAATATATACATATATGAATCACTTTAGATAAATATTTGTTGTTGTATACATGTATATTCCCGCCTTCATATTTAACTTTAAAATTTTTCAGTATAATGACATAGCCGCACAAACCTTTTTTTTTTTATTATTATTATTATTATTATTATTACGTTTGATTCCTTAACAATGAATGAATCATAATACAGACATATGAAATAGAAAAAAAAAAGAATGTATATATAGACTACCCTGCATTTAAATAAATTACGACGACAAGTTATCATTCATAAAAAAAAAAAAAATAAAATACTCATTGTAATAAAAAAGGGTTTAATACTTCTTTATATAGAAAAAATCGTTCTTGAACTTATGATCGAAAAGAAAAAAAACTCTTTTTTAATTTGCATAAACTCTTTTTGTTCATTCCCAAGAATTTCTATTTAATTTTTCCATCGTCTGTTAGTGAGATAAATATAGTTATGCGTTCTTCCAATGGCGTATAAAGCACTGATATTTCGTAAGAGAGAGAAAAAAAACAAGGTCATTATTTATGTTTATCTTTTTTTTTAATTAAAACAAGCAAATAACAAAGAGTTTCATGGAAGGAAAAAAAATCGTTTCAATATGAATATAAAAAGCTCAAAGAAAATATAAAGCAGAGCACATACAGAAAGCACGTTTCAATTAATAAATCCTTTCTTTACTTTAATCAATCTTTTGTGCCCTGATTTTTTTTATTTATATTTATTCTTTCCCCTTTTTACTCTGATTTTATAAATTATCAAACTTTTCTTCTTCTTTCCCTTTCCTTTTTCTCTCTCTCTCTTTTTTGTTCTATTCCCCTTTTTTTCATTCAATCCTTTTTTTTTTCACATGTTGGCTTGTCCTCAAGATTTATTTTTTCATAATGGCAATTACCAAAAAGTAATTCATAATCAAGCACTTTTGATGGACAAAGACAAAAAAATAAAACAGAGAAAAGATTCAATGAAAGAATTTGATCTCCATGGTAATGATCTGTCAAGCAGTGCTGGTCTTAAAGACAAAGAAGAACAAGTTTGGCCACCGGATGTTGAGTCTGCCTTTATTGAAGGTAAAAAGCGTTATTTATGCTCATACATGCTTATCGTTACTTTGTAGCACTCGAATCAATTCCTAAATTGGGAAGAAGAAAAATACTTGTCAATGGCAAACCCTGTGGTAAATCATTGTCAACTATTTATGCATTTTTACTAATTTATATGTCTAGGTCGCAATGAATTAATTTCGGATTATATTTATCGCAAAACATGCAAAGTCAGGACAAGAAAGCAAGTCTCTTCTCATATTCAAGTCTTGAAAAATACTCGTAAAGGCGATTCTCACTGTAAGCCGGACATTGCATCATGCATAACATACTGACTTCCTTTTTTGTACTTAGTCATGCGTCTTTTGACAGATTCTGTTGATGTGGATGATAGCAATGCCACTACTAACAGCACTACAGCCAATACTAGCAGAAACAATTTGAAAAGACCCAGAAACACCATGCATCATCACCACCATCACCATGCTCGCCCTCATCGTTCTCACCCATACCATCATCCAGGCAAGGCAATGCTGAATAACCCTAAATACCTTCAAGATTCCTCTGATGAATCTTCTATCAACTCATCACCTTCACCTACTGACTATGTGTTTGATATTATGTATGGTGATCCTTCCCAACAACAAGCACTCTCTATGCTTCAATTCAAAGACTTTTATGACCCCTTTCAACAATCAGTATTCAATCATGATATGGTTAGCCAGAACTTGGATGCACTTAACTTGGATACAAAGCTTATCACTGACCCTTTCTTTGGTTCAGAAAACATGTTCAGTTCAAATGATTTCTTTACGTCTAATATGCTAAACCCATTAGAAGACAATGATGCATTAGTTCCCAACACTTTGACAGAAGAAGAGATGCTTATGAATAGCCTTACAATGTTGACAAATAAGACAAAGGCACCTCGCATGAAATCAATCAAGAGAAATGCTGAGGATAGCAATGATATGGAATATGCTCTCTGGCCTAACTATTTATGCTTGTACCTTGAATACGCTTTACCTTATGATCCTGCATGCCGTGTCCTATCGCATAATCTATCCCAACTGCCTCATTGCCACTCAAACTCATTAATGAATTCATCGTGTTCTGATGCAATTGCCAAGGAAAAATGCCCTCCTATTACTTCTCTCACACAAGACTCGGACCCTTATGCTTTATTGTTGGCCAAGGTAAGACAAGCTTAATTTGATGTTTTCTCATTCTTTTATAGACCAAGCTCGACTTGAACCTAAGCATCTCTGATTTTACATTTAATAATACTTCGTTTTTTGAAACACAAACACGTCGTACGATTGAATGTACTACCACTATCTACTCTTTTGGCAATGTGGTACTTGAATCTAAAGAAGTCCAACAAGCACTTTGGGTTAATGAAGGCAAATATATGTACAGCTTCGTGTTTGTCAATCAATTCTTTGATGCCTTTATGAAGGGTATCCGGTCTCTTCAATCTTGGGATGAAGTGGATATTGCCATCAATAATTTATGTATTGTTCAGGTAAAATTGTCAATAAGTATATACTTATATATTAACTTTCTATATATAGTCGTTCAATGATATGGACACAACTCAATCTTCATCACCTTTATTGGTCATGATCTATGAATTCGAAAGAGGCGATGGTACTATGGAAGTGATCAATATTGAAAAGAAACATACCAAAGCTGAACCAGAGGGTTCGCTTGAATTTTTGGACCATGATATCTAATTCTACTATACATCTTTTCTTTCTTAATTATATACCCAAAAACACACGCTCTCACATATATATATGTATTTACAACCATTTTGACTTTATTGCTTTGACTAGCTTATAAAGACATACATATATATATATATACATATTAATGGCATTTCCTCCTTTTTTTATTTATTTATTTATTTATTTCCCCCTTTACGCTCGCTTCATATAAACCACCAGAAATTTCTTTTTATATATGACTTTTATATCGACAATCTATGGCTTTCTTTTTTCTTCTTTTTTTTTCCAAGTAAATATATTCATTGACTGTAAATATATATACATATTTTATTATTTCTGTACAACTAATTCATGAAAACAATCATCACACACTCTGCTCCATTTACCCCTTGAGGAAGAATTAAACAATGGTAATCGATTTGCGCTATGTCTTTGACAAATAACAAAACCGCATTTACGACAATGATGCCTACGTTGGAAAAACCCAAATCGAACTGAACATCGATTTTTGGGATCATCTTGTTGAAATTGACATTGATCTGCTTGATGATCAGGCACCCAAAGACGTTTGGGTAAGATATGGAAGCGTGTTTTTCTATCAGTGTTGTTTAAATGTAAGATATATTGATGTTGGTATAACTGGAGATGTTGAATGGATGGGGATATAGAACAAGACTAAATTGAACGTTAATGTGAACCATGTATGTATATTTACTTGCCTTGTTTGGGTAATGAAGATGAAAAGAAGAAGAGGACATATGCTTACTACTTGTATTGCTAACCATGCTCTGTAGGCTGCTGTTTCTAAAATGATAAGGAGGAGAAGAAGTGGTGCCTGTACCAGCAATCATCATATCAATGCCATTCAATTTATCCTCAAATGTATGAATAACATGGCCCGTGCCAACACCACCACCTACAAACATGCCAATTTCCCATCGCATCTTTTGGACAACATCATACTTGTCGTCCATATGCATAAGATCAGCCACAGACTTTTGAAAACTCCAACGATGAGGTTCTTCTTGATCTTTTTTTTGTCCATTCAATACAAGCAGTGCTTCTGTTCGATGTTGTTCGCGTTGAAAAGATTCAATTTTTATGTTGATATCGGCTGTCAATTCTTCCAGTGAGTCAATCATTATGAGTTGTTGTTGAGCTACTTCTTGACATTCTCGAATACGTTCTTCGTACTGTTTTTCTCGTTCCTGGAACTGCTCATGAATAGTTTTATTGATCAACATGAGTTCTCTTACTCGGTGTTCTGTCGCCAGCACATCAGTCGAAAGAGATTCAAGTGCTTCAGATTGATGAATACAGCTTGTGACAAGGTTGAGAAATTGTTTTTGCCATTCAAGTAAATCTGTCGCATTCTCGTTATTAGATTTAATAGAGGCAGTTTCTGACAATTCGTCTAGCCGAGAATTAATTAGATTGTTTGTTGTAAGAAACAATGCTGATAGATTGGGGCTGGTGAGTAACCGACTTTTCTCTTCTTCTTCATCATCTTCTGTGTCTTGAATGCATGGTTTAATATCTGGTGATTCAAATGAAGAATATAAAAAACTCTGTGATCGGATACGACGGTGACCTTTAGGTTGTATCTCTGACAAATTAGCTAAGCTAGACCGCCTTGTTGGAATGGAAGGACTTTTGTTCAAAATAAGTGGAGAAGAGGTGGTTGTTTTCGGAAGATAAGAAGAGGTACGCTTTCTTCGTTCTTCTGCTAATAATTCGTCCTGAAAAAGTTCCTGAACGTGAAACTCTTGCATGGATCGCGTGATGCCAGTGATTTTAGCTCTGAGAATTTCGAAAGCATCTATGTGTGGATCCCATTGAACCCCTGCCTCTGTTTCTTCTAACATGTATCGTCTTGTGTAATTTCGTTTGGGTGATTGATGTAATATAGAAGACTTGGTTAGCCTCGGTGTAATCGATCCCCTTCGAGTGGATATAACCTCGCCTACACTTTCTCTTCGCTTTTTTTGTGATTTTAACGCTTGTTTCATTAAAACACTGGTATTTTCTATACGAGAAGAAGGGAATAGATTGTATGAATGATCCGTAGGATTGCACGAATTGAAGGATATCACATCTGTTGATATATGTCCTGTGATATCTTCTTTTTGGTTTGGTTGAGGGTTCATGTTGACCTGGTTATTGTTATCGCTGTTGGTGTCTTGTTTGTACTGATCGTGAGTGTTCATAATCTGAAGTTGTGTGAAAAGGAAAAAGCATAATTTGAGAATATTTATATGTTTGTGTATGTGTGTGTGTGTGTGTGATATTAGACTGATGATGATGATTTTTGTACTTCCTTCACACTGTTTTTCCCCTCTAAAAAAAGGAAAAAAAAAGTGATAGTACCTTTTTTGATAATGCTTTAAAAAAAGCTTTTCACTTGAGTTTTGTGTAACTATTGATGATGTGCATCTTTTATCTAGTAAGAAGATGAGAGGGACAAAGAAATATAGACTTATTTGGCTGAGTGGTATGATTACTTTGACATCTCTTGATCAAGAAGCCGAGTATACTTGAAACAATTCGAAAGCTTAATTAATGACAGCTGGCAAAGCTTATTTCGTTCAATGATTGTGTATCACAAGTCTTTTATTCAAAAACTACTATATTCTAAATAAAAAAGAATGCATGTGGCTGAAAACTTAAAATGAACAACGAATCCTTACAAGAAATCAATAGATTGTAAGATGATGTATTTTGTTTTAACCTATTATTTGCTTACGTTTTAATAAATATTTCTCAAAAAGCTTGTTTATATGTTTTATAGCCAAACAAAAAAAAAAAAAAGAATAAGTTCTTAGCATAAAAATAGTGACATCTAATGATGATAATGTGTGAGTAGGACTGCTTTATCTAGCTTGCCCGGAATAAATAGGAAAAAAAATTCGTTTGCTTTTTGATTACTTTACACTTGTTTCCTCAACTTTTGTTATATCATTTAAGAATTAAGAAAGAAAAAGAAAAATAAGTTTTATTGGATTTTGAATTATGATGATTACAAGTGGTAAAGAAGAGTAAATAATAATAGCGCAGTAAATTAATAAGAGAATAAAAGTGCAGAGTTCTGGAAAGAATGGAATTTACAAGTTGGAGAGAATCTTTCTGGCAAAGTCATCATGATCCCAGTTGGTGTTACAGTTCTTGAGACCAGCTTGGATGGACTCATTGACAGTCGTCTTGGCATCGAAACTAGCACTTAAGGTAGACTTGAGGTTGGAGTTGTCAACACCAGAGTCACGCTTGCTCTTGACGTGAGTAGAGGCACTAGCAGAACCTGAACCATTGAGACTAACATCGATTGATCCAGAGACATCACCGTTTCCAGAAGTACCGGCAGAGGCAGAGGCCTTACCTTTACCAGAGGCTTCACCAGAAACACTTGCATGACCTTTTCCACCAAGGTTAGAGTCAGCGGAAGCACTACCATCACCAGAAGCACCAGCAGTGATTCCAGTAGCACCGTTACCAGAATCATAGCTAGAAAGATGGCCAGATCCAGAGACATGAGCAGATCCTGAGGCACCAGCAGATCCTGAGGCATGTCCAGAGCCAGAGACACCGCCGGAAACACCAGCATGTCCAGAGCCTGACACACCAGCATGGCCAGAGCCTGACACACCGCCAGAGACGCCGCCAGAAACACCAGCATGGCCAGAGCCAGAAACACCAGCATGGCCAGAGCCAGAAACACCAGCATGGCCAGAGCCTGACACACCGCCAGAGACGCCGCCGGAAACACCAGCATGGCCAGAGCCAGAAACACCAGCATGGCCAGAGCCAGAAACACCAGCATGGCCAGAGCCAGAAACACCAGCATGGCCAGAGCCAGAAACACCAGCATGGCCAGAGCCTGACACACCGCCAGAGACGCCGCCGGAAACACCAGCATGGCCAGAGCCAGAAACACCAGCATGGCCAGAGCCTGACACACCAGCATGGCCAGAGCCAGAAACACCAGCATGGCCAGAGCCTGACACACCGCCAGAGACGCCGCCGGAAACACCAGCATGGCCAGAGCCAGAAACACCAGCATGTCCAGAGCCTGACACACCAGCATGGCCAGAGCCTGACACACCGCCAGAGACGCCGCCAGAAACACCAGCATGGCCAGAGCCTGACACACCAGCATGGCCAGAGCCAGAAACACCAGCATGGCCAGAGCCTGACACACCGCCAGAGACGCCGCCAGAAACACCAGCATGGCCAGAGCCTGACACACCAGCATGGCCAGAGCCAGAAACACCAGCATGGCCAGAGCCTGACACACCGCCAGAGACGCCGCCGGAAACACCAGCATGGCCAGAGCCTGACACACCAGCATGGCCAGAGCCTGACACACCGCCAGAGACGCCGCCAGAAACACCAGCATGGCCAGAGCCTGACACACCGCCAGAGACGCCGCCGGAAACACCAGCATGGCCAGAGCCAGAAACACCAGCATGGCCAGAGCCTGACACACCAGCATGGCCAGAGCCTGACACACCAGCATGGCCAGAGCCAGAAACACCAGCATGGCCAGAGCCTGACACACCGCCAGAGACGCCGCCGGAAACACCAGCATGGCCAGAGCCAGAAACACCAGCATGGCCACGAATATCACCAGAGGCGCCGGCAGATCCAGAAGCATGTCCAGAGCCTGAAACACTGCCGGATACACCATCGGAGACACCGCCATGGCCTGAACCGGAGACCTTACCACCAACACCAGCAGAAGTACCAGCGTGACCTGAGCCAGAAACCTTTCCGCCTACACTAGCAGAACCATGTCCAGAGCCAGAAACATGGCCAGAAACATGGCCAGAAACATGGCCAGAAACATGGCCAGAAACATGGCCAGAAACATGGCCAGAAGCATGGCCAGAAGCATGTCTAGAAGCATGTCCAGAGCCAGAAACCTTTCCACCAGCATATCCAGAGCCAGAAGCATGACCTGAACTAGAAGCATGTCCAGAGCCAGAAACCTTTCCACCAGCATGTCCTGAGCCAGAAACATGGCCAGAGCCAGAAACCTTTCCGCCTACACTAGCAGAACCATGTCCAGAGCCAGAAGCATGGCCAGAACCAGAAGCATGACCAGAGCCAGAAACCTTTCCACCAGCATGACCTGAGCCAGAGGCATGGCCAGAAGCATGACCTGAACTAGAAGCATGTCCAGAGCCAGAAACCTTTCCCCCTACACTAGCAGAACCATGTCCAGAGCCAGAAGCATGGCCAGAGCCAGAAGCATGGCCAGAACCAGAAGCATGACCAGAGCCAGAAACCTTTCCACCAGCATGACCTGAGCCAGAGGCATGGCCAGAAGCATGGCCAGAAGCATGTCTAGAAGCATGTCCAGAGCCAGAAACCTTTCCACCAGCATGTCCTGAGCCAGAAACATGGCCAGAGCCAGAAACCTTTCCGCCTACACTAGTAGAACCATGTCCAGAGCCAGAAGCATGGCCAGAGCCAGAAACCTTTCCACAAGCATGACCTGAGCCAGAAGCATGACCTGAACCAGAAGCATGTCCAGAGCCAGAAACCTTTCCCCCTACACTAGCAGAACCATGGCCTGAACCAGAAACTTTTCCTTCAATATCGACAATAGTAGAGCTAACACATTTTTTGGCCTTGACGCGCAAACTGTTACCAATCTTGGGAAGTTCAGTTTGAATCAATGACTTGGCTTCAGCATGGATTTCAGCCACAATAACAGCAAGTTTGTTATTTGATAAGGTCTTTCCTCCACACTTTTTACGAAGTTTAGCTTCAAGCTTAGCATAAATCTTGGAGTTGACTTGTGTGTCCAAGCTAGCGCCAAAAGAGGATCTCAAATTAGCAACAGCAGCAGCTTCGATTGACTTGAGACCAGATGTGCCAATATCGAAAACGCCTCCAAGGAATGAGTAAATATCAAGGGAACCAGCAGCCTTTTCAGAGAACTATATAAAAGAAGAATGAGAAATGATTGTTCAGATAGAGAAGCAAATACTTACAGTAACTGAAACTGGTGTAAAGATACGAGCATTAAGGTCAGTTTTGATTGAACTCATGAGTTTGTCAATGAGGTCGTCATTTGCTTGACAGGGACAGCCGAATGTTCTTTTTTGAAGTAATGGTGTTTCAACGTTAGATGTTTCAATATATCTTGTTTCGAGAGAGTTATTTCTTGTGATAGGAGAAGCAGAAACTGTAGAAGTACAAATAGCAGCCAAGAAGAGTAAGGAAGCAACAGAGATTCTCATTTTTAAAGAAGTTTGTGTATGTGTGTTTGCAAGAATGAATGGGTTGGAGATTAGTAAAATACTAATGTAAAAGAGAGGAAGTAGTTATGAAAAATAATAATAAAAAAGAATTTCTCAAATACTCAAGTGTATTTATATGAAATTGATTAGAAGACTTTTTTACATATGTAATTATGTATATGAATAAATGACAAGTGCTTGTGTTCCACATCAAAAATTAATTTTTTTTGGGTAAAGAATAGACTTATTTTGAGAAACAAACATGTTGTACCACATTGAAGTCGAATTCATTTATATTTTTCTAAAATAGAATCATTCCTGACAATGATGAGCGATCTTCAGAGATAATCGAGATGGAGATAAACTTGCATGTCACAATCTGTCTTGAATGTAAACGAAAAACGTTCCTGTTTTCTCTATTCGTTTTAAGAGCCGCAACTTATCAAAGCGACGCTGTAGGCCATGTTAAAAATAGAATCCCGCAATTAATAAAATGAAATCTTGTATGTGCATAATGCTTGAAAGGTAGTGCGTTTGAATAAAGATGTTAATAGATTGGACATCTATTTCTTCACAAGTTTCTTCTATGCCCATCATCAAAAACAATTATTTATATGCTTTAATGGATTCATAAAGAAGGCTTTTGCGTGTATTTCAACTTGACCATGAGCATACAGTTTTTGTGTAGCTATAAATACCCAATGTAAGTCTTTATGCAAATTGTGATATTTAATTTCAGTAAATATATCAAATATAAATTTAATCCAAGCTCAAAATACTGTCTATTGTAAATTATTAATACTTGAGCAAGGCATATAGGAATAGTAGCAATGCTTCAATCAATGCACAATTATTGAATATTATAACCTTATTTTTTCTTTTCCTTTTTTCGTTCATGCATTTGGAAATTAACGTTGAAACAGAAATAGAGCAAAGTAGAAGATTTATTGTCACACCAAATCTTTTACATCTAGAATCTCAAGTAAACAGATTGGCACTCTCTAAAAGGAACACTTTTTTCTTTAAGAGTCGTATAAGAATAAAGGCTCAAAAACTTTTAAGATGATCAGGGAAGATCAAATTTTTTGACTTTCAGAAAAATGCTCTGACTGTAAAATCCGAAATGATTAAAGAGATCGCAACAATGCGCAGAGCACTTTATAAAAATATCAATTCACAATAGGCGCTTCAAATCACCATTTTTGCAGAGAAAGTTCAACTTCGTAATTAATTGAAGGTGTACGCCAAGACCGTCCGAACTTAAAACGAATTCAGCTCGGTTTGACTTGCTCATCTCAAGACAAGCACAAGTTTAATCGCTTACCTAGATAGCTTCAAACTAGAATGCTATATGACTTTAAAACTATGAAGGTTTTAAGTGCTTAGTGTTTTCTTCAATAAAGTATCTACAGGTCTTTTCAAAATGAAGGGGGTTTTCTTTTGCTAACAATAAAGGGATTTTCGTGCTGCTGATCATTTCATATATAGCTAGGTAAGTTTTTTCTTCTTGCAGGTAGTTGAGTATGCTTAGTTATTTGACTTTGTATTGCAACATTAATAGATTGATACAAGCATTAGATCTTTCTAATGTGTTGCGCTTCTTTATCATTGACTGCCATTAAGTTAGTATCTATTCTGTGTTGTTATATACAAGGAAATATTTGCCGCTTTTTTTTTAACTTGCAGGATGATGATGGTCATTTTCACTTGGCAATGCTTGGTTTATGCAAAGATCTGATTTACATGAACTATTCAATCTGTCCTGTTATCTAATTAATTTCTTGGTATGTACCACAGCTACCCAAGTTTTAATAAAATCACAAAATGGATTGCGGAACAACAGGCATAGCAATAGCTAGTTCTCAACAATTTATATACTAAAGCTACTCTACAGGAAGAAAGAATATAGTTTGTAGTAGTAAACATATTCATTTTATTTCAAGTATAGACTAGTTTATAAGCCCGCTTTGTCATTTTCGTTGATATTGCCAAGCTATTTCCGTGATAAGCTGCATAGTTTGATCTGAATACAATACGAAAAAGGCTGCTTCCTCCTCCCCCTCACGTCGAGGTTTTCAATTTCCATAAAAAGTAGTAAGGCGCAATAGGTCATGGAAACGCCAATATTATCCTCTTTTAGGTCATATTAAAAACAATAGAAAAAGGTACAATATGTCAAGAAGAATATTAATTTTTATTATGGTTGATACTCGCTCTATACTATAGTTTGCCACATTTTGATTTTTTAGACATGTTAGTAGAATTATACTCCTTATAACGAATAAAAGAGATATGTAAGTATTTCTTTATATGGTATAATATCAGTGCTTTATTTTAATTGTTGATCTAACCAGCCTACTTTGTTTTGTTTGATGGGATATACAAAAATGCAGTTTGACTTGTACATAAGATTTTTTTCTGAAAATTTTACCATGAGAATTTGAGCCCTGTTTTTATAAAGTGCATCACTCAATCATAAACCATGTCCAAAAAACAATAGTCATAATGTGCGTTTAATAGAAAATAAATAAAAAAAGAAGAAGAAATCAATAGCCTTTGGCATCAATTACTGCTTGGAATCGGCTAGTCATGCTATCCACTAAAAACCAGGTTTCTTATGCACTTATACTGTAATATATATACCTGAAGTTAGAAACAAATAAAGCTCATCTTTCTCGCTTTTGATTGCTATTGTCTTACATATCCCACAGATACTACAATATAAGTAATAGTCATAGGCATGATGCCTTCAACATATTATATATGTATAGTCACCCCGAAATAATCCGATTTATAACGTAAACCAAGAAACACAATAAAATAAATAAGTAGTTGACGTTAAGTTATTATTCTGTCATATGCAATTAATTCACCAGATATATTCGCACTACATATCCCAACACTTAAACATTTACAACAAAATTCAATTGCCTTATCATGTTAAGCAGCAATGTAGAGACTACGCTCAGACATTGGCACTCTGCAATTCAGAGACATCCAGTTGAAAAAATCTGATGAAAGCACCCTTTAAGAAGTCATGCTCTTCATTCGTGCTCCCAAGGAAACACAAGTGAAGCATTCCATTCTGGAAATTCCTGAAGATGAAACAATGTGTCCTATCCAACCACTTCAACTTTTCATGGACCTTCGAACATCGTAACCGACCATACAGCATTTCTTACTTATATTGGAAATAGGAAGCAAGTCCGTTCAACAAAACCTACTACAGTAGCAAGCAGCTTAAAGAACATCATGGCTAATGCTATAATTGACACAGACAAATTTGACCCTCACTCTATTTGGTCGGCCTCCAGTACAAGAGCATTTCAATTGGGTCATAAAATTGAGGAAGTAAAGAAACATGTCAATTGGAGTCTATCAGCAGATACATTTAAACGATTCTATTTTAAACCTTCCTATCAAGACCGAAGCAGCAACAAAATTATGACATCAATTTTTTCTGATACTGCAAACAATGAAGATTGGATTAGGAACGACATCCGATTATTTTTGGTTACGGACATTTAATTTTCGGAGTGACAAAATTTATCGTTCTTATTGTAGATTTAAGACTCCTCAGAACAATTTTCTTTCTTTTTTCTGGTCATTTTTTTAATTAAAAACATACTTTTTATATATATATATATATATACATACACTTTTTTATGGCTGATTTTATTTGTTTGGCAATGGCAACTCAGTATACCGAGGATAACAATGGCGCTACTACAAGCAATAGTCATCATCATAATAATATTGGAAATTCCCTTAGAAGATCGTTAGGTGGGTCTACATTGTTTGGCAGAAGATCCTCCAGATCAAATCCAACTAGCCCACCAATAACAAGACCCACAAGCGACTCATCGTTACTTGAAGAAGAGGAAGAAAAAAAGATACATATCCGCATTGTGCCTAGTATTGAAAACCCTAGTCGAAGCTTAGTGTTTAGCATTATAGAACGTGATCTGGAAGCTGGTCGTATTATCAAAATAGGAAGATTTACAGACAGATCCTCTATCCAAAACCATATATCATTCAAAAGCAAAGTGGTGTCCAGATCACATTGTGAAATTTGGCTTCATCCTGATGGAAAGGTAAAAGCTTGTTTATCATTTTTATGGGAATATTTCATGGTTGTGCAAACAAGCCATGTGAACAATGGGGGAAGGAGGGATTTCTATAGGAGAAAAAAAATATTATCACACATATTCTAACACGTTACATAGGTCTTGCTTAAAGATACCAAGTCATCATCTGGTACATTTGTTAACCATGTCCGTCTGAGCCCTGCAAACACAGAAAGTAGACCTGTGGAAATACGCGATGGAGATTTAGTCCAGTTGGGTGTTGACTATCAAGGAGGATATGAAGAAATTTACAGGGCTGTAAAGATGCGGTTTGAAGTAAATCGACCTGAGCAACCTCGACCCATATCTTACAGCATGTCAGCCTTCAATAATCTTCGAAATCTGACTCATGTACACCCTCAAACAGATCAACAAGAATCTCAGGTGATAAAGACATCACCTTCATGTGATAGTGGACAAATCGAAGTGGAAGAGTGTTGTATTTGTCTCTACGCTTTAGCACCATTCCAAGCTTTATTTGTTGCTCCTTGTTCTCATTCATATCACTTTAAATGTATCAGACCATTGTTTGACAGTTACCCAGGATTTCAATGTCCTATTTGTCGCACTTATTCTGATTTGGATGCCAGTGTAGCCATTGAAGCGGAAGAGGTCATTGAAAAATTCGGACTCAAAAAATCTCCAACAGCTACGACAACAACAACAACTTCCTTACCTCAAAAACATCAGCCACAACAAGTGCTTAGTGAAGATGATGAAGATGATAGCAGTAGCAATGACAGTGGTAGTGATAATGAACGCCTTACTTCTTCACCTAGTCATGTCAATCCCACAAATAGTTCTCCTACAACACCAACAGCAGCTGAACCGCATTTATCTACAACCTTAGTAGCTTGTACTACAAGTTTATCTGGCATGATTCCTACTTCCTCAGAAACACCTATTTCGATAGAAGAAGGTAATGACACTTTCTAAAATAAAATAAAATTACATCTGCTGATCTTTCTTTTTTTTAAGCATAATATCATAGGGCCGCTTCTGTTATAAAGTATTATATCCTTGTTATATCTCTTATTCACAATGTATAAAATATTATGTATATTTCCTTTTTGGTTCATATTGATCATATTATAGACTGTTTAGAACTGCATGTGTAGATGTCTATTTATTGTACGACTTTCCTCATATACTTTTTTTTTCAAAAAAAAAAAGAAGACTACTGTCAATACACTTGGAATTGTCTCCAGGGTTAGGAATGTTGACAAGTATAATATGTTGAACAATAAGAGTATTTTTTATACGACCCATTAATATATACAAAAAAGGGAGAAAGCACTTATGGAACGATAAAGCTTTCAATGCACAGATATGTAATAAGAGAAACATGACTACCATTGCATTGTTTTTTTTAATGCAACTGAAATCTCTTGCATGCTTGGAAAAAGCAAAAAAACCATTTATGCGTGTAACAAAACGTAAATCTGTTATTTTATGATACGGAGTAATTTATGAACTTGAGAAGAATTAATTCTTGAAGCGAAAATATTTCTCGTATTCGTTTCAACACATTCAACAAAAATCCCTTATAGAAAAGTAGAACATCACACGGAGTCTAACTCAGGAAAATCTTGATTAATGCTGCTGTTTATGGAATATATTAAATAGAAAGACAGGTTCTTCGCAGTATATTCGAAATTTCTTCATAATGACCATGTTTTGGTGGAGCGTGTCTATTCTGAAAGTGACTAGAGACGCTCCTTTTCTCAGCATACTTGAATCTCTAAAGGCTTCCATGGTTTTATGTTTTCATATACTATATTAGTACTTTTTCGCTCAAAGATGCTTTGCTCAATCTCTATTTTGTTCTTTTCTTTTCTTTTTTCCTTGCTTTTATTATACTCATTGGTCTCATAAGCAAAGACAATGACCAACTGACTTACTGCTGATTAAATTTACATAAAAATAATAAACAAGCAAGATTTAGCGATGGAGAAGACATGAAACAAATTTTCCCTCTCTCTTTTTTTTTCTTTTGTATTTATCGACGTTGGACAGTCAAGCGCTCAAGGTACAAGCAATTTATAGATTCTTTTGATGCTTTTGATGAATTTTTATTGAATGTTGCATATCTAATCTTTTCAAGTAAGACCACAATGTGCTGGATATTTATTCTAGTAAAGGTGTCTTTACAGACTAAAACAAATATCCAAAAAATGAGAAGGAAAGGATAAACTTATTAAATCGAGTAATTTGCTAAATGGCAGCACGAAACGAAATCTATGCAGTAAAAAAAAATTTGACGTGTTGAGGATCAGGAACAAAAAAAAATTATGAGTCAAAATGTTGAAAAACAAAACAATACCTTTTCTAATTTGAATAGCTTTGCTCCGAGAACCTTTTTCATCATGTATGACAAATTCTCGGATCAACGAAAAAATAAAAAGATTAGGAAAAAAACTACCTTTGACTTTATGAGTCAAATAAAGAAAACAAACTCATTTAAAAACCATGTTGCTCAAATGCTAGTTATTAAATAAAGGTCACTCCTTTTTTTTCTGTCTCAACTCAATACACACATACGTCAAACCTTTCAGTCTCGTTGATTCGGAGATCCAAGGCACCTTTGACCCCCCGCTTGTAGATTACATATATTTTTTTTCAGCTACTCATAGTTTTTTTTTTTTTTTTTTTTTTTTTTTTTTTTTTTTTTTTTTTATCAACCTCTTTCTTTCTCTAAAAAAAACTTTTCCCTCTTTCCTTTTTCATGAACAACTTGATAGAGCTCACAAATAAACTTCAAACTGTAGTTTCTTCAGTTGGAGCAGACAGTACACTTGACTTACCTCTTATCACTGTCGTGGGTTCCCAATCCTCTGGTAAGTCCTCTGTTCTCGAGACACTAGTCCAACGTGACTTTCTGCCTCGCGGCAGCGGTATTGTCACTCGTCGTCCTTTGATACTTCAATTGGTGACACTTCAGCAACCCGACGCTCTCGAGTATGGCGAGTTTCTGCATATCAAGGACAAGAAGTTTTTTGAATTTACAGAGATTCGCGAAGAAATCGAACGTGAAACAAGTCGTTTGGCAGGTGGCAATAAGGGCATCTCTCGTATGCCTATTCATCTTCGTATATATTCACCCAAGGTACTCAACTTGACTCTCGTCGATTTGCCTGGTCTGACAAAGGTATGGCCAGAATAATGATATTTACAAGAGCTAAATAGGTATCTACAAGTAGATTCCTATAGGAGATCAGCCCAATGATATTGAGAAACAAATTCGCAGCTTGGTAATGGATTTCATTTCAAATCCAAACAGGTAAGACGGGTCTTTTTTTTTGAGACAACAAGCTCATGTTTTGTAACAGTATCATTTTGGCTGTCACACCTGCTAATTCAGATTTGGTCAATTCAGACAGCTTAAAGATTGCAAGACAAGTTGATCCTGAAGGAAAGAGAACCATTGGTGTATTGACAAAATTAGATTTGATGGATGCTGGTACCAATGCTTTGGATATCTTGTCAGGTCGATCCTATCCTTTGAAGCTTGGGTTCATTGGTGTGGTCAACAGAAGTCAACAAGATATTCTGACAAACAAGCCAATGTCAACTGCTATTGAAGCCGAAAACCAATTCTTTCAACAACACCCTGCTTACCGAAGTGTTGCTGTCAAATGTGGTACACAATATTTGAGCAAACAACTCAATACAGTAAGTGAAAAATCTATGTGTTGTTATAACTGACATGATGGTAGATTTTACTTGCACATATCAAAGAAAAGTTACCTGAACTGAAGACTAAATTAAGCCAATTGATCAGTCAAAAACAGCAAGAACTAAGTCAATATGGTGAACCTACAGTCTCTGCTGAACCATTGCATCGAGGTCCACTTATTTTAAGAATGTTGACCAAATTCTCGAATGATTTTGTGGCAGCTATCGATGGTACATCCTCTGAAATGTCTACAAAAGAACTCTGTGGAGGTGCTCGTATTTATTATATATTTAATAATGTGTTTGGACAAGCATTAGATGCGATACCCGCTTGTGCTAATCTCACAAATCATGATATCCGCACTGCCATTCGTAATTCAACAGGTCCTCGTCCTTCTTTGTTTGTTCCTGAATTGGCATTTGACTTACTTGTCAGACCACAAATCAAATTATTAGAGGCACCTAGTTTAAGATGTGTGGAATTAGTGTATGAAGAGTTAATGAAAGTTTGTCATAGCTCAGATACAAAGGTAGAAAAAAAAGAAAACGTATAGGCAGGAAAATAGATACTGATTCGAATAGGAACTATTGCGATACCCAAGACTTCATCAACGATTGATTGAAGTTGTTTCAGAACTATTAAGAGAAAGACTTAGTCCTACTTCGTCTTATGTTGAAAGCTTAATAGCTATCGAAAGAGCTTATATCAACACAAACCATCCAGACTTTTTAGGTGCTGCTGGTGCCATGGCTAACTTGGAGTCTGAATCAAAGAAGAAAAAGAAAATAGACACAAAGCGCAGGAACCGAGTTTCACCACCCAATTCACTTGACATCACAAGAACCAGTATAAATGGTGTTAGTGATACTGCATCCGTTGTTGAGAGTGAAGAATCAGTACCCAAAGAGTCTTTCTTGACTTACTTCTTTGGAGGTGCTGGCAAGAATGAAAGACCTGCCTTGGGATCACAAGAGATGATGACGAAAACCCAATATGCACCGCCTATGTCTGTTAATAGTATGATGGAAAGCGAAATGGTCAAAAAATTAGAACAAGCTTCATTGAATAATGAAGGCCCTACTTTGGCTACAGATAGAGAAGAATTGGAAACTCAACTGATCCGTATGTTCACTACAGAGTTATATTGTGCGATAACTAACAATATATAGGTACTCTGATCACAAGTTATTTTAATATTGTTAGAAAGAATATCCAAGATTTGGTGCCCAAGTCTGTGATGCACTTGTTGGTGAATTATTCTCGAGAATCAGTTCAAAATCGTCTAGTGGCAGCTCTTTACAAGGAAGAATACTTTGATGAGCTATTACAAGAAGACGATGTTATTGCTACTGAAAGAGAAAAGTGTAAGACTATGTTGAATGTCTACAAGCAGGCATTTGAAATCATTAAAAATTCCATGTAATTTTATAAAAATACATATTTTTTGGTATGATTGTATGACAAACGACTTTTAGCATAAAGCGGATTTTCTATATCCGAATTTTCCTCTTACTAATGAAACTGGGGCTGTTTCTCACACAATGACAGGCCCTGGTCGATTGGTGTGCGGCTATTTAAAAAACCCTTCTTCAGATCCACTATTTTTTTGTCCTTTTTTTCTTTTTTGTATATATTAGAATGTCAGTGTCAAAAAAGACAATTGTTATTGGTACTCGTAAATCACCACTTGCCCTTGTTCAAACATACCTTGTTCGTGACATACTTGAGAGTACTTATCCAGAATATGAATTCAAAATTGAAGCCATGTCTACCACTGGTGACAAGATATTAAATCAAGCACTTAGCAAAATTGGTGAAAAGGCTCTTTTTACAAAAGAACTTGAGGTTGCTTTGCAAAATGGCACTGTGGATCTAGTTATCCATTGTCTCAAGGACTTGCCAACTGTATTGCCAGAAGGCATGTTCTTGGGTGCTATTATGGAAAGAGAAGATCCTAGTGACGCCCTTGTGTTGAACGAAAGAAATAAAGGAAAGACCTTGGCTACTTTGCCTCCAGGATCTGTTGTCGGTACAAGCTCACTTAGAAGAGTGGCTCAAATAAAGAGAAGACACCCTCATTTGAATGTGATGGATGTGGTATGTATATATCTATATTTTGTGTGTACCGTTAATAACGATTTTGTATATATAGAGAGGCAACTTGTAAGCTAAAGGATTGTGTAAAATAGAAAGAAAGGTACTAACCATGTCGTAGAAATACTCGTTTGGCAAAATTAGATGACCCTGAAGGACCTTTTAGTGGTATTATTTTGGCCGTCGCTGGCCTCGTACGTCTTGGCCAAGCTCATCGTATATCACAAGTCTTGACTCCATATGAATCCCTTCATGCTGTGTCTCAAGGTGCTTTAGGCATCGAGTGCCGTGAAACAGATAAAGATATTCAAGATTTATTAAAACCTTTGAATCACACCAACACACGTATTGCTTGTCTAAGCGAGCGTTCTTTGATGCGTACACTTGAAGGCGGTTGTAGTGTACCCATTGGTGTAAACACAAAACTGGAAAATGACACACTTTGGTTACATGGTTTAGTAGCAAGTTTAGATGGACAAAACGTTGTCGAACACAGAGATCAAATTGATCTTTCAAGTGCTGATACCTTAGAGAAAAAAGAGCAGCTGGCTGTTGAGCTGGGTCAAAATGTTGCCAACGTACTTTACAAGAATGGTGCTGATAAAATCTTGCAAGAATTAGGTCATCGTTAGGATATGAATAAATCAAGTTTAAAAAAAACGTTTATTTTTTCAACAAGCTATGCACAACATGAGATACTTTGAGGTTTTTAAGATCGGTATATGTTTGGCCAGTGCCCACAAAATAAATGGGTTGACCAGTAATATAAGTCATGGAAAGGGCAGCACCCACTTTGTCGTCGATGGTATCAAACTTGGTTAAAATCATACCGTCAATATGTCTAGGATTCTGTAGACCAGAGAAATCCTTTAGGGCTTGATTAAATTTGCTAAGCTGGTCGACAGCTTCGTTACCCACAAGGGCTTCTCCCACAAAGATGATTTTATCAGGCTGATTAACTGAAACTAATTTTGACAAGGCACGCATCAAGGGTTCATTGTCTTGCATACGGCCAGCTGTGTCGATCAAGACAACATCAAAATGATTTACAGTAGCATAATTAATAGCATCTTTTGCAATACCAGCTGAATCTTTACCATAACCACGTTCAAATAGTTCAACAACACCGCCACCACTGGTTTGAAGGGCACGCAGATTACGTGCATGAACACGTAGTTGTTCAACAGCACCACTACGGAAAGTATCACAAGCGGCAATCAAAATCTTGTAGTTGTTCTGAAGCAGCCAAAAGCACACTTTGCTGAGATTGGTTGACTATGAAAACATCAATAAGTTGTCTCTTTGATTAAATCTTACCTTGCCAACACCATTCACGCCAATAAAGCACATTGTATAAGGTCTTTTTTCAACCTTTGCTTGCTCGATATCTCGTAGAATATCAAGTGATGTCTTGGGTGTTAAAATACGCTTTAAAGCAGCTTCCATACTATTTCTGACAGCAGTAGAGATACGCTCGAAACTACCGAGTTTTTTACCCAACAAACTTGTCTTTACACTTTGGCATAAATGTTCTGCAATATCAGAGGCAACGTTTTGTCTAATCAAATGCTCTTTAATAGTAGCAATAACAGGGTCCAATGTCTCGGCAGTGATTTCACGCTGACCAGTAAATGATTTAAGGTAAGAAAACAAGCCTCCTGATTTTTGGTTTCTGCTAGATGAAGTATCTTGATCCTCATCAAAGTCAAGTTCATCGTCCATTTTTTCTTCTTCTTCTTCCTGAATAACATCTTGAACTTCATACACACCTTTTTCGTTCTTTTGACCAAGCTTTGTCTCGTCTACAAATTGAGCAGCAATAACTTCAGGATCATCGTCATTGTCGTTTTTGTTGCTTGAATAATCAAGTGCTTCCATCTCTCCTTTAGCAATCTGACCATCCCATACACGAGCTTGTTTTTGTGATTTCTTCTTCTTTTCTTCCGTCTGAGGCGATGCTGTTGCTGATTTATTATTTGATTTCACGGATTTTCGACCCTTTGCAGCGGTTCTCGGACTTCCTTGTAGTTTAAGCGCTCTGATGTTTTTTGTAATTTCATCTTCGTCTACTGTACTGTTGCTTGTATTCACCACAAGAAGTTCTCCCTCTATAGAATCCTGTCAATATTTTTTTATAAAGTATTGTCCACTTTACTGTTTTGTGCTTGAGATCCTTTTAATGAGTTTTCAAATTTCTTGGTATTTTCGAATTTTCTAGGCACCCGTTGACGCTGACTGGCATACTTTTCTTCCACTTGTGCTAATGTCTTGTCAAAAATAGGTCCAAACCCTTCATAATCTTGATCAATCAGATGACCTTGTGCTATAGCTTCCTTATTCATGTCTAGAAACATACGTTTCACGGTCTCCAAGAGTTCCTCAATATAACCAAGCTGCAAAATCTTTTGATAAGTTGCCACAAACACCAAATCATGTTCATTGGCAAACGTCCATTTTAAAGCATAATTATCTTTGATATATGAGTTAGTACCTGCGCGTTCTTCAATAAGGATGTTGCGTATCAAGTCTTCTACAGGTGAGCCAGAGATAGAAGCAAACTTCTTTTGCCATAAAACGAAGCCACCTTTAGTCAAGATAGTAAATAAGTCGAGCATTTGATATAGAATACAAAAGAAAGGAAAAAAAGGGAAAGAATACGTTCAAACCAATGATTGAACAATTACTTTTTAAAGTTAGAGCGGAGACAGTTCTTTGTCCAGTTGATAGGAGAGAAGTCATGGTTTTATTTAAGAAAAGGATGTGTGTGGTATATAGAGATGAAGGGTTATTTTTGAGTAATTCTATAAGGATCAGTCTTGTTTTTGTACACAGATTCAGTCCAAGCAAAATCTGGACGAATCTTGTGATAACGTGTAGCACAACTCCAGTCTGTCCAATCTATACAATGATTAAGAACAAGATACATAGATAATTAATTTTATGCTTACCAAAGTTATCTTTTTCATTGCACCAGCAATTCTTTTGATGCCATGGTTCGATAGGACAGTGCATCAATGGATTGTGCTTGTAACCAATATCATTAAAGAAATGGACTTCAGAAGACTTGAGCATCATAGCAACAGCCAATGAATGAACTGGAGCATCTCCCCATCGTTCATAAAAGAAGCCACCTTCTTTATCCAGGAATTCAAAAAACTTGAGATACTTCTCACTTCTAAAGAAATCTAAGGAACCAATCTAGAGATCGTCAATAAAATTCCTCTTTAAAGACATTCTTACTTCAAAATTTGACCAGAAATGGCAACCATTATAAGTCGCGTAACCATCGTCTGTCAACCAAGACAATAAGCTTCCTTCGCCATGATTAATATATTCAGGATATTTCTCGATAAACTTTTGTGTTGTCTTCCAAAGTGTTGGAATGGTTTCCTTGTACTCAGTCAATGAGAGGGTCCAGCCTAGACAGTTATTAGGATGATATAAAATCAGAGATTTCTCATACCATATTTAAACTTGTTATCCTTCATCATTTGAAACACATCATAGTCAACATCACAGAAGTATTGTACATCTGGTTCAACACGCCAATAATATTCATAAGGATCTAATAAAGGATGTCTGAAGAAAAAGCCAGATTGGAATCTATAGAACATATTAATACATAAAATAATAGAAAAAAAGTATGTTTTACCTGCACATGTGTCTATAAGATTCACTGCCACCATAAATAATTTTATTCTCTTCCATGGCCTTTCTGCACTCGGCGGCATAGGTTTGATTGATATACTCAGGATAACCCCACATAGATTCGTCAATTTTACCATAGAATGTCTGTGCTTTTGTCAAATCACTTGTCTTTCTTTTGAATTCATCTGTAAAATATTCTTCATTCAAAAAAACATAAGGGTAATTAAAGTGTCTATTAAATCGATCTTCCATTTGACGTATGGATTGACGAATGCCTTGCAAATCAGAATTTCTTGCCAAGATCACAAATGCAGCTTTGACACGGTTAGGATCAGCTACAGACACATGAGCAGTGTCATGCTTGGATGCAACTCCAGCAGCAGCAGCCAAAGCAGCCATTTGTTGATTTGAATGAGGTTCAAACCCTGTCAAGTTGGCTTGGTCGTACCAATAATCTGACAATAGCTTCTGATTAGGAGGCGTGTCGGACAAGAAAAGGTATCCAATCAGGCCGACGAATGCAATGATAGCCAGGACTTGAAGACCCATTGTTTGTCTTCGTTTGGTCATCATCTTGTCGATCTAAAAAATAAAGAAAAGGTGAAAAAGAAAAGTGTCTAAACGACAATAACTTGTGCGTATTTATTGGAAACAACATATTTCTTTGTTATGCATTAAGAATTAATAGTCAAACAAGATTAGACACCAGCGAGAAAAATTTTTGGTATCAGGACTATCTTTTTTTACAGTCTATAAAATGGCCCACTAAAAAAAATTTTTCTTTTTCCCTTTATGTTTCTCTTTACTTCTCTTTCCTTGTAAGTTGTTTGATTGTCGAAGCCTGTTTGTGGTAGACAAAAGTGTTTCTTTTGTTTTTCTATTTTATTTTACAAACAAAGCAAGACGCAGTCATTTGATTTGAGGAATGATAATAGAGAGGATTCTTTATTTATGAAACAAGGAATTTTGATATAGTCTAAAAAGTAAGTTATTCATGTCAATTTATGACGTTTGTGTGTACTTCTTTTTATGATGATTAAGTGCTTTACTGAAGAAGGTCTCACTATACGCAACAGAGGCCTTCTAACTTTATGAGCGATTTTTTTACTTGCCCTCTCTGAAAGAAATACGCATAGACATCATAAATAGTTGTTTATATAACACTTTTTACTAACAACACTTTGTTTAGGCATTCATGTTTTTTAAATTAAATCAATAAAAACTTTTTTTTTGTTTTATTTGTATATTGTGGCTTATTAAACTTTATAAAAATGTATTCAAACAAATGTACATACCATGTCAATGAGACAAATGTGTTTTATGACATCTTCATATTCACCGAATCCCCCCCCCCTTTTTTTTTTTACCAAAAAAGACTTCTGATTTTGAAAGCAAATCAGTACAAATCCTTTCAAGAGAAAGGGATTGTACAGTGGCGACTTTTGTATGATAGCATTGCCAATGGAGGCAAGGTCAATTCTTGGAAAGTAACTACATTTACTTCGTCTGCTTTTAGTATTTGTGGTATGATAGAGGAAAGTAGCTATCACTTTTTTGTTGATTGCCCGGTTAAATGGTCATACTGGCAACAAGTATTGACTTCTGTCCAACTAGATCGTCAATTTGAAAATCCTAGTGATCTATGGCTAACACTTACTTTGCTGGCAGACGAAGCCAACAAACTGCTGCCCTCAAAGACCTTAGAGATATTAGGAAATGGTTTGGCTGTGCTCTGGAGGTACTACTACAAATGCATCTTTGACAAGGAGTTATGGCACCCATCAGCGCCATTCAATCTATTTTTGACCGAACACCAGTTCTTCAATATGTAAATCAATTTTGATAAATAAAGTAATACAAAAAAGAAAAGAAAAGAAAGGGATTGTACCTGCAGTACAATATCACGTTCTGGCGAATGATTCGATCATTCGGAGATGTAACCCAGAAAGAAACTTGACGTATTTGACTTCCTGGAGTATTTTTTTTTCTTTTTTTTTTTTTTAATTTGTTTATTCAACTATGTCTACTAGTGTCTTGTTTGTCTGTCTTGGTAAACAATTCATATACACAATTAAAGGAATATTACTAACATTATTGTGATAGGTAATATCTGTCGTTCACCTATGGCCGAGGCAGTTTTTGCCCATACTGTCAAACAACATAACCTTGAGGACAAGTTTAGCAAGATAGACTCAGCAGGTACTGCTTCTTATCATGTAAGTCATTTTGTTTTATGATGGTATTTAACATGTCTCTAGGTTGGTAGTTCTCCAGATAGTCGTAGCGTTTCTACCTGTAAATCCCATGGTGTACCTGTAAAACACAAAGCAAGAAAGGTATGAATCTATCTCTAGATTGCCTGCTTATTTTTTTATGCAATATAGGTGACAAAGAAAGACTTTGAAGAATTTGATTATGTTCTCTGTATGGATGAATCCAATTTGAGTGATTTGAAGGTATAGATGTTATCTAGAGGACCATGACTAAATATATCATTATTAGCGTATTCAACCAAGTGGATCCAAGGCAGTACTCAAATTGTTTGGTGAATATGATCCTCAGGGTGAGCTGATCATTGAAGACCCTTATTATGGTGGAAATGATGGTTTTGAACACAATTTTAGACAAGTAACCAGAGCAAGCGAAGGGCTTTTAAAGTCACTTGAATTAATCTGATAATAATAATAATAAAACATTGATCTACAAGTTCCTATTCTTATTCGATCGCGACTCACAAGACTCAAACCCATCACTCTTTACCTGCGATTTTCGTGATCCGATCTTAAAACGCGATACATAAATAAGACAGCGCAGCATACTCTTTTCCGTGTTTCTTTATTGCTTAAACATGTCAAGCTCAATTAACATTTGCTTTTTTCGGAATATTCTGCGTGTCCATGACAACCAGTCATTGCATGCTGCACTCAAAGGCAATGCTCATTTATTGCCTGTTGTTTGCATTGATCCACGCATGATTGATATCACTCTTTTAAATAACAAAGTCCATCAGAAATTTAAAGTGCCCAAGACGTATTATTTCAAGTTTGATCGTGTCTCTGATTTCCGTGCACACTTTTTGTACGAGACTATTTTGGCCTTAAAGGAAGAACTCAAAAAACGCCATACTGACCTTATGATTCTCTATGGTAAACCCGAAGAACTGTTTCCTCGATTAAAGGAACATCTTGCTGAAAACAATCTCAAGTTAGACAAGATACATACAAATAAAGAGGTAAACTGTCATATCAATTGCGATGAATCACTCACATGGTATTAGTATGCCTATGAAGAATTGCTTGTTGAAAAAGACTTGTCCAAAGCCATGGATGATGATGTGGTCTATCATCATGATGCCTTGATGGTAAACCCCGAAGACTTGGATTTTGCAGGTGAACACACTTATAAGGTCTACACGCATTTCCGAAAGCGTATTGAAAAAATGACAGATCCTGTACGGCCTCCTTTGGAAATTCCTGACAAGTTGCCCTCATTCCCTTCCATTGCTTGGGAATTTGACCATGCCAAACAAGGAGAAGCATTCCTGAAAGAGCTTTATGAACATGTGCCTATCAAGAAAGACGAAAGAACTGCATTTCCTTGGAAAGGTGGCGAACAGTCTGCTTTGGAAAGACTCCACCAATATCTGTTCAAATCAGATGGCGTAGCCAACTACAAGCATACACGCAACGGTTTGATCGGGACCGAATATTCTACTAAATTCTCTGCCTTTCTGGCCAATGGCTGCCTTTCGCCTCGTGTGATTTGGCATGAAATGGATCGTTTCGATAAGGAAGAAAATAGGAAAAGAAAGCGCAGTATCAAGTCACAAAGCGATGATGATGGTGTTTACTGGGTCAAGTTTGAGCTCTTATGGAGAGACTTCTTCCGTATGTTGACTGTAGGCTATGGTACGCGTATCTTTATGCTTCATGGATTCAGAAATCTTGAAAATCCTAATATCGCTAAAGAAGACGCAAAGAAAAAGGTAGATGAAAAGCCTCGCCCTAAGAATAGCTATGTAGATAAGGTTTGGAGATCAGACGATGAACAGTTCAAAAAATGGAAAGAAGGGGATACAGGCATTCCATTTGTAGATGCATCTATGAGAGAACTCAAGTATACTGGCTTCATGAACAACCGTGGACGTCAAAATGTAGCTAGTTTCCTTGCCAAGGATCTAGAAATTGATTGGCGCATTGGTGCAGAATATTTTGAATATATGCTTCGTGATCACGATGTTTATTCAAACTATGGCAACTGGCAATATGGTAGGTTGTATTGGTGTTACTGTTGATATATACTTATCTTTGTCTTTTTAGTGGCTGGCGTTGGTTGTGATCCCCGCGAAGGTTTTAGACACTTTAACATTCTAAAGCAAGGATTAGATTATGACAAAGACGGTGATTATATCAAGTTGTGGTGTCCCGAACTTGCAAAATTACCTATTAAATATGTACACTGCCCATGGCTTATGTCTGAAGAAGAACAAACGAAATATAATTGTAAGATTGGCAAGGACTATCCTAAACCTATGGCTATTTTTGATAACTGGAAGCGTTATTATCCTACCGGTAAAACCAATGAAACTCTTGACAAGTATATCAAGTCTGAAGGCAAGAACAAAAAGACAAAGACCTCAAAGCATTAAAGTAAATTATGCTTGTTGTATATGCAAAATAAATTCATTTCTTCAGTGTAAATAATGATAATAACACAATGATAGTTCTAACTTGTCAGGATACAATATGGTTTAGAACAATCGCTATGCATGTTGTCAATCATAGATAAGTCAGAAATACAAGTTGACATGTAAACATATCAATATGTATAGATAAACTTGCTCCTTTCCGAGCATCAGACAAACAATTATGCCATTTACACAAACACAGAAGTACGTAGTTTGTTTTATTTTATGAGTGATTTTCAAGGGGAACGAAAAAAGGCTTGTTATCTTTCAACACTCCTAATACTGGCTGATCATGTCAAGAACAACAAAAGAAAATAAATTATATCTAGTTTATTATATACTATTTACAGTCGTGTTGACAAGATTACAATCGTCACTCTCCATGCTTTAAAATACGAACAAAATCTCTATAGTTAAAGTTCCCTTCCTCATCAACTACCGACCCTTTAAACATAATATCAACCTAATCACAAATGAGTCTCTATATAAACCGAAATAACCTTCTCTTTTTTTTTACCTCTTCATCAGTAAATCTATCTCCCATTGTCGTCATGCATTCTCTTAGATAAGCTGCATTTATCTTTCCATTTCTACTCTCATCAAAAGCGGAGAATGCCTTTAAAATTGTATTCTCGGGATCAGTGTCTGCTAATTTATCTGCCATGAGCGTCAAGAACACAGTAAAATTGATGGGACCAGTCGCATCGCCCATCATTGCTTCGATTTCTTCAGTTGTTGCAGGCTGGCCTAGATCAGCGCATGAGAATCGAAATGTATGTCCGTTCATGCATCTTACCTAAGCGTTCGAATGTTACTTTAAGGTCATTGATATCCACTAAACCATCGCTATTTGTGTCCATTATGCTAAAGGCATCTTTAAATTCCATGACTTGTGCTTTGTCAAACATAGCAAATACGTTTGAATTTTGACGTCGTTTGTTCTATAGGAAAATTTTAACCTTTATATTGATCGTTTCTAAAACTTACAATAGGTGCCATTGTATTAAACAAGTATATAACAAAAAAGAAAATAAAAAAACGAGAGAAGAAAAAATATACCAAAAGAATGTCCCATTATAGAAATGAATAACAAAATACCTTTTTTAAATTAAATAATCTCCGCCATTGTTACAATTACCTCCAGTCCTTAGAAAACTTTAAATACATCATTCTCAAGTATTCTCCTTTGTAAAAAGATATAAAGCATCTGACTCTATATACGCATACAAAATTCATTATCATGTTTGGTCCGACTTGCATTTAAAGGAGATGCTTTTCCAAGGGGTATTACTTTTAAGGGCCTCTTTTTTTTCTCCTCTGTTGTTCTCCGTGTCTGAAAAACAGTGATGGAATTACATAGTCATTAGATTGAGAATTTATGGAATTAATATGTTGTAGATCATGCAAACAAGAACAGTCTTGCTATCTGCAAGAAAGTTCCATGTAGCAAAAGTAAAAACATACCCCGCGCTTTAAGGTATGTTTGTATTCGGTCATTCAGCTGTGTCTTGCACAGTTTATGATTTTCCCTGTCTCCTCTATGTGAAGCATCTCTCTCTCTCTTACTCCGTTTATATGAAAAGCTTATAACAGAGTCAACTTTACTTGTGTCCCCCCCTAAAGTATCAATACATCGCAGCTGCACATTGAAAAAAAAACACATATAATCAAGTACTTTTTTGATAATTCAATTCTATTGTCTTTTTCTTTTTCTCTATAACTTATTTGTACCATACTAATTCCTCAAGAAAGAATATTCTCTTTATCCCTTTTTTTTTCTAACCATTTTCTTTCTTTCTCTATTTAAAATAAAATTCAATAAGAAAGAAGATGGCTCATCATCATATCGATCTAGCCAGTGAAGACCCGACTATCATTGGTACACCTAATCCCTCTGCATTTTTAGATGATGAAAAAGCAGCACACGATGTCAAAATTGATTTGAGAGACAATCTTTCACCACATAATGATCCATCGAATCCATTTGCATTTACACCTGAACAATTGTCGTCTTTGATGGACCCAAAGAATTTGCCTTTATTACGTAGTTATGGTGGCCTTGAAGGTGTTGCTCGTGGTCTACATGTGGATCTTAAGGCAGGCCTAACACCCAATGCTCCCAAGCATCCTCATATCACATTAGATCAAGTCATAAAAGAAAAGGACGATTCTATCTATGTCGAAGAAATCGATGTGAAGAGAACACCTACGATTCATTCGATAGGTAGACAATTGACTCACAGAACAGATACAACTGTGCCTGTGCCTGATGCTTCTGCCTTTCCTCAAAGAAAAGCTATCTTTGGCTCTAATGTACTTCCAGAAACAGAAACAAAAAGTATCTTTCAACTAATGTGGATCGCATTTCAAGACAAGACTTTGGTAAAGATCACAAGAAAAAGAAGTACATAGCTCATTCTCTCTTTTTTTTAGATTCTTTTGGCTATTGCTGCTGTCGTTTCTTTGGGTGTTGGTCTTTATGAAGATATTGCTGTTCCAGAATACGATACACTCGGCAATCGTATCCCTGGTGTTAAATGGGTCGAAGGTGTGGCTATTATTGTTGCTATCATGATGGTTGTTCTTGTGGGCAGTGTAAATGACTATCAGAAAGAAAAACAATTCCGCAAGTTGAATGCAAAAAAGGATGATCGCGCTGTCAAGGTAAACAAACAAAGAGCAACATCTTGAATTAAACTAACCCCTAAAAAAATAAAGGCAACGCGTGAGTCTACTGTGAGTATGATCTCTGTTCATGATATTCAAGTGGGTGATATTCTTCATCTTGAACCAGGAGACATTGTTGCTGCTGATGGTGTTTTTATTGAAGGTCATAATCTCAAATGTGACGAGTCTGCTGCTACTGGTGAATCTGATGCTGTTCGTAAACAAAACTGGCAAACATGTGAACGTTTAGCTGCTGCTGAAGACAAGACCTTGGAATCCCCTTCTTCTGAATCTGGTTTCAAAACTAAAAAGACAACTCAACCCACAGAGCACAAGTCCGTTTCAGATCCTTTTATTATCTCTGGTTCCAAAATTCTGGAAGGTGTATGCACTTATCTTGTTACTAGCATTGGTGAAAACTCTTACTATGGCCGCACTATGATGGCACTTCGTTCAGAACCTGAAAGTACTCCTCTTCAAGAAAAACTTAATGATCTAGCTGAATTGATTGCCAAAATGGGTTCCGCTGCTGGTTTACTGATGCTGATTGTATTATTGATTCGCTATTTTGTAAGCTGGAGATATGGAGTCCCTGATCAGCCTACCGAAATTGTGATGGATATCATGAAGATCTTAATTGTTGTTGTAACTATTGTTGTTGTCGCTGTACCTGAAGGATTACCATTGGCTGTTACACTAGGTATAGAAATAGAATGTTCTGTTTGTTTATTTACTTATTTGCTCCTATTTTAGCACTTGCTTATGCAACACAACGCATGCTTAAAGATAATAACTTGGTGCGTGTATTAGCTGCATGCGAGACGATGGGTAATGCAACTACTGTATGCTCAGATAAGACGGGTACCTTAACTCAGAATAAAATGACAGTAGTCGCTGGTACATTTGGCTCCTCCTTCCGCTTTATCAAGAATCCACCCGCATCGCGCTCAGACTTGTTTGATATCAAATTGGTTGCATCCAACGCACCCAAGCAAGTTTTGAATATTATCAACCAATCGATTGCTGTAAACTCAACTGCTTTTGAGGGTGAGAATGAAAAGGGAGAACCTTGCTTTGTTGGTAACAAGACTGAAACTGCTCTCTTGCAATTCTCCCGTGACGTCAAGGCTGAACATTACGATACGCTTCGTACGCGTTGGCCTATTGAACAAGTCTATCCTTTCAGTTCAGAACGTAAGGCCATGGCTACTGTGATTCAAGTTCCTCATCCTACACATCCAAATCAAACTGTCTATCGTGTTCATGTCAAAGGTGCATCTGAAATTATTTTAGGACTCTGTGGCTATACACTTACGCTTCAAAAGTCATCCAATGATGATTATCATGGTGCCACGACTCGAAAAATGACTGATGAAGATGTAGACCGTATTAATCGCATTATACAGAGCTATGCTACTCGCAGTTTAAGAACACTCGGTCTTGCCTATATTGACTTTGAACAATGGCCACCTAGAGGTCCACTAGCAAACACTGACGATGATGTTCCTTATGATGATATTGTTCGAGACAAGAACTTGAATTTCCTTGGTGTCGTTGGTATCGAAGATCCCCTTCGTGAAGGCGTACCTGAAGCTGTCCAAGCATGTCAAAGAGCAGGTGTGTTTGTACGTATGGTGACTGGTGATAACATTGTTACCGCTAAATCAATTGCTAAGCAATGTGGTATCTATACTCCTGGTGGTATCGTCATGGAAGGACCTGCATTCCGCAACTTGCCTCAATCTGAAATGGATTCTGTCTTGCCTCGTCTTCAAGTATTGGCTCGTTCTAGTCCTGAAGATAAGCGAATTTTAGTGAGTCGTCTTCGTGAATTGGGTGAAATTGTTGCAGTCACTGGTGATGGTACAAACGATGGCCCCGCTCTTAAAATGGCAGATGTTGGCTTTTCTATGGGTATTGCTGGTACTGAGGTAGCCAAAGAAGCCTCTAGTATTATTTTGATGGACGATAACTTTTCTAGTATTGTCAAGGCTATCATGTGGGGTCGTTGTGTGAACGATGCTGTAAAGAAGTTTTTGGAATTCCAACTTACGGTCAATATTACAGCAGTCATTCTTACTTTCATTTCTGCAGTAGCAAGTACAGAACAGAAATCTGTCTTGACTGCTGTTCAATTGCTATGGGTTAATTTGATCATGGATACTTTTGCCGCTCTTGCATTGGCTACAGACCCCCCTACCGAAGAATTATTGAACCGTCGTCCTGAACCTCGATCTGCACCTTTAATTACGTTCAAGATGTGGAAGATGATTATCGGCCAAGCCATTTTCCAAATCACAGTAACGCTGGTGCTTCTGTATAGTGGTGTTCTACAATATCCACAAGAAAGTGCTCTTTTACAAACAGTCGTCTTCAACACATTTGTTTTCTGTCAAATCTTTAACGAAGTCAAGTAAGTATTGAATGCTATATTTTGAACAATACTGACTAATTCTTTGTAGTTGTCGAAGAATTGATAGTCACCTTAATATCTTCAGCAATATTCTTGCCAACAAATTCTTTATTGCCATCTTCTTTATTTGCGTCCTTGGTCAAGTCGTCATTGTGCAATTTGGTGGAGCCGCTTTCCAAGTGGTTCCTTTAGACGGAGCTCATTGGGGTATCGCCATTGTGATTGGTTTCCTTTCACTGCCTATTGGTGTTGTTATACGTCTTATCCCTGATAACATCTTTGGTTTCCTCTTCTTTAGTTCTTCTGCACGTGAAAAATATCTGGGGGGCAATGAGAGTGCTATCCCATCTGTATACGTTGCAGGCAATGAACGCATGCCCTGGAACTCTAACGAGAGATCAAATACCATGCACTCTAGAAATGATCATCGCTCCTTTGCATCAGAATCCATCCATAGTCTTGAATAATCATACATGTACATCTTAATACAATAAAATAAAAAAATACTAAGCATTTCCATACTTAGCCTTGGTGTACTACAATGAGCTCTATTTGATAAAATAATGAAGCATTTATGATGAATAACAGGAAGTCTATTGCTACAGTAAAAGTCTTTTCTTATCTATGCCAAACAATGCTATCGTTTTCAATATTCTTCGGATAATGTACAGATATATGACCGAGATTTTTGGATGGCTTGATAATAAATAGCTCTGGTAACAGATCAGCCTCTGTCACCGAGCAATTCTTGATAAAGATATAGTTTCCATATTTCTGCAGAAAAATACTAGAGGTTATTGATATTCATCATCATAAATGTTTCATTGCTCCATATTCAATCTCAAAGTACTTAGCCTATTAGAACCCAGACTTTTGTCTAGTGGTTCCCAGAAAAAATTTAGTTTTATGCAAATTTGATACTATATTTCTTTTTTTAGTGTATCTTTCTTTAGTCTCATGAGTATTCACAAGATGACTGCTCGAGCACTGGAATCACTTCCTTCTTTACCAAGCAAGTTCACCAAGGCACTGCCTTGCGACATCTACACTGCCAATCTAAAAGAATCTACCAATAACCTTATGAGAACACCAAGACCAGTTCATAACGCTGTCTATTCTCACGTTCTTCCCGAGCAAGCACCTGATCCTCGACTACTGGCTATTTCCAGACCTGCTCTTCAAGAACTCGAGTTAGATGAGCAAGAGACCAAGACAGACGACTTTGTATCTGTTTTTTCTGGTAACAAAGTGCTTCCCGAGACACGTCCCTGGTCCCTTTGCTACGCAGGCCATCAATTTGGGTAAGCAAGAAGCTGCAAACAATGAGAAGTGTAATGATGTATTTAGTTTTTTTGCTGGTCAGTTGGGTGATGGTAGAGCTATCTCTCTTTTTGAGACAGTCAATAGCCGTGGTGAATCATGGGAGCTACAATTAAAAGGTGCTGGTCGTACACCTTATTCTCGATTTGGTGATGGATATGCTGTGTTGAGATCCAGTATTCGAGAGGTAAAGAGATATTTTGCAATAGCATTAGCTAATCTTTCAGTTCTTAATGTCTGAACATATGCATGCATTAGGCATACCTACTACGCGTGCTCTTGCACTGATTGAGACTTCGCGAGATGTTTACCGAGAAGATGGTCCCCGAGGAGGTAAGAAAAAAAAAAGTGATTTGGACACTGGACTAATGGCAATCATAGGTCAGCCAGAAATAGGCGCTATTGTAGTTCGTATGGCTCCCTCTTGGCTACGTTTTGGCAATTTTGAAATCTTTTATTCTCGAGACGATATGAACAATGTCAAGTTACTTGCTGATTACGCTATTGAACAAGTAGTTGGAGACATTCAAAATGGTACTGGAAACAAGTATGCAAGAATGTTTAGAAATGTAACCAAGAAAACTGCTGAAATGGTAGCTGAATGGCAGGCTATTGGGTTTAATCATGGTGTGATGAACACAGACAATATGTCTATCTTGGGATTGACAATGGATTATGGACCATTCCAAATCATGGATTATTACAACCCTCTTTATGTATGCAACCATTCTGATGAAACAGGCCGTAAAGTGCAACAGTCAACAAGAAGAATAAGAGAAGACTTACTTTTGAATAGGCTATGCTTTCCATCGTCAACCTTCTGCGGCCATCTTCAATCTCGTCAAGTTGAGTGTACCTTTATTTGAATTGATTGGTGCTGGTGAAGATGTACACTCTCTTGAGTTCTCTGACAAAGACAATGAGCTTAAAGAAGGTGTCACAGATGAAAAAGTCTTGGAAGGTTATAGAGACGAAGGCAAAATGTTTGTTCAAGACTTGTTGAATACTGAGTTCAAACAATACTTTATGGAACACTTGATTAAGAAGATGAAATCCAAAATTGGATTGTATGAGAGCAGCCATGAAACGGATATGGACGATGTAATCATCCCCTTGTTAGACTGGATGACAACTTACCGTGTAGACTATCATCGCTTCTATAGATCATTAAGCAACTATCAAATCACTTCTGCCGGGGAAGAGGCAGATGCTGAAAAAGCAGTAGAAGAATGGCTTGAGATTGTGACTGAAGAAAGTTCAGAGACAGAAGCAAGCAAAACAGCATTGAAGCCTTGGTTATCTATTTATCGTCATAGATTACTTAAAGATAATATGGATCATCAGGAACGCAAGCAGCGCATGAATTCTGTCAATCCTCGATTTGTTCTTCGAAATTCTATTGCAGAAAGTGTAATTAAGGTCTTTGAAGATGAAGATGAAGAGGAAGCTAAAGAGATACTGAATGCTTGTCTTGATGCTTGTATTCATCCTTTCAGAGATAATTATGAAGATGAACGTGTAGAAACATGGATCAATAGCCCTGTTCCCGTAAGTATTTACCCATACTGAATTATAATTACTTATTCATTGAATAGGCTAAGGATATGAGATGTTCTTGTAGCTCCTAAGCCTATGTAGTTGCATAATTGTAAAATAAAGAAAAAAAAAAGTTTGTGCGACTGCTGAATTAAGCTTTTTTGATGTCGCATTACCTGATAAAACATGCCTTTGTTTCTCTCTTTTTTTCTTCTCTTAAAACATGGTGACAGCCATACGCAAAAGAAAACAAGGTAAAAAACGCGAAAAAATCTCAAGACGTGCTATTAACTTTAAGAAGCTTCCTATCAAGAAAGCGATAGTGACTTCATGAGCGAGCCAGAATTGCGCAGCAGCGCTAACATTTCAAAAAAGAAGCTTAACAAGAAGCGCGCCAAGATAGAGGGCGAAAGCAACAATGAAGAAACAAACAAAAAGACCAAAACAGTACCAAAACAAAAAAAGAGAGCTTCCAAAGATAAACAAAACGATACTAAAAGGAAAAAGTCAAAGAAAGAAGTTTCTGAAGAAGAGGAAAGTGAATATGAGCAACAACAAGAAGAAAGCGACTATGAGGATAAGAAGAAATCAAAAGCAATACAAGAAAGCAATGGAGAATCAAGTGATTCAGAAACAGTTAATTCAAATCAAATCAACCCTGTCAAAATCAAAATTCCTCGTCCTAAAGGCTCTCCTTTCGCAGACTCTCTTTCGCCAGACACACTTCAATTCCTTGCTGAATTAGCCGAGAACAATGAAAGAGAATTTATGCTACTTAAAAACAAAGAATTCAAAGAAGCCAAGAAAGACTTCACTGATTTTTGCGGGCTGATAATGGGCGAATTGGCTCAAATTGATCCTACGATTCGAGTAGAAGACGCCAAAAATGCAGTATATCGTCAAAACCGCGATTTGCGTTTTTCAAATGATAAGAGGCCTTACAAACAAAACTTGAGTGCAAGCTTTTCAAGAACAGGGCGCAAATTTTTGGATGCTGGTTACTTTTTATCCATTCGTCCCGGCAATCACTCTATAGTTGCAGCAGGCATATGGCAGCCAGACAAGGATCGATTGGCTAGAATGAGATCCAGTATCATTCGCAATGGAGATCTTTTAAGAGAATCACTGTCCACGGATGCTTTGAAAGAAGTGTTTGATGGAAAATTTGGTATCGATATTTTAGAGACAGAAGATAAACTCAAAGTAGCGCCAAAAAACATAGCTAAAGATCATCCAGAGATTGAATTGTTACGATTTCGCAGTTTTGCTATTCAAAAAAAATTTACAGATGAAGAAGTTGTGAGCGAAGGGTTTGCTGAAAAAGTGCTAGACTTTCTTGAAGCGTCTGTGCCTTTTGTAGCCGTTGTTAACTCTTGGGTCTAATAGATCCTTTTTTTTTGCCTTTTATGTGATCTTTACAAATTAGCTGTATCATTTACATCACATGACTATCTTTTGGAATAAACTTTTTCTGAATTCTTGGCCATTCTCTGGCAGATTTAGCGACTATCTAATTTTTGATTTAAATGCATGCCAAAGCATTATAAAGCTACTCTTCCGATCAAAAAGTACATCCAAGCTGATTTTTGGATAGCCGATGTGCTCTAAGTACATAAACCAATACTTGGATAGCATCGAACTCACAAAAGGTGCAAAATTATGACTCTATAAAGATTGAAGATGATAGCTTTTTGGCTTAAAGAAATCTTTATGTTGAATAAATCCAAATATACTTTTACTGAAAATTAAAAGGCTATCATAAGACATGAAAAAAAAAAAAAAAAAAAAAAAAAAAGTCAGGGTTCCGAAAAAAAGTTCTTTTTTCCTTTTTGTACTGCGCAACAATGACAACGATAGAAGGCACCACAGGAAAAGCCCAAGCTCTCTTTGATTTTCTCGAAAAACTTCAAGTGGAGGCCACACTTTTTGAAAGCGACCACCAAGATAGAAAGAAGCGAAAGCTAGATCACGATCAGTCAGTCTCTGATAAACCTTTATTCAACTATACCATTGAGCTCCCTTTGACATTGCATAATGTCGACCGTGAACTAGTTGAGCAGCTTGCTTCAGCATTCTCGAACAATTTTGACCAAAAACTCGTTTCTGAATGGAGCTACATGACGTTAGAAGATACTATCTTTGCTTCGATGAAAATAGTATCAGATCATACTCTACTAGCAGAGAATGAATGTATGCTCATGAGTAACCAGTTCAAGCAAGCCAATACCGAGATTATTGAAGGTCAAACGCAATTACTTGTAGCCATCATTTATGCAGCATCCATGCAGTTTATTGAAGCAACGGATATTCAGATTCGTGGATCAAATACCAAACTCAGTGTATTTGTGCGCTTTGTTCAAAAGAAAAAAAATACAAATAAATTGATACGCGCCTTATCAGATCATGTACACATCGAACAACTAACACGTATAGAGAAGGCTTGTACATCAAAGACACTACCTGCACTTGTTTCTCCACCTTCAACAGCACCTGCATCTTTACCACCACCACCATCTTATCCTTCTTTTGTGCCTGTGCCAAACAATACTTCCATAGATGCATTTTATCAGTACTTGCAACCACCTGTGTCCAACACACGCTTAAAACCATATTTATCACCTCGTATCTCTGCTCAATTAACACCATTTCAGTCTCAAAATGTAGAATGGATGATGTTACGCGAAGGCCATTATGCTGATACAAAGGGAGATGTGTATCCTAACCATAATATTTTGGATGGCTTACCCCTTTTGTATGCCAATGATCAAAAGGGCAACTATCTCAATGTGTTCAATCATCAAACAGTCACTGAAAGATCGGATATCATGGACCTGATTCAACAGTCGTTTCGAGGTGGCATTCTTGCTGATGAAATGGGCTTAGGAAAGACAATCAGGTAAGCTAGGATCAAGTAAGTCCAGTATCTTACTTATGCATAACCTATAGTGTGTTAGGCCTCATTGCAAAGCATACATGGAATAAACATGATCCATTTCACCCTCCAATCAATCATTCAGACCTTGTGTCATCCAAGACAACCCTGATTATTGCACCTTCTCCTATCATCTCGCAGTGGTGTTCTGAAATAGAGAAGCATGCACCGCAATTAAGCTACTTTGTATATGAAGGTCGTCGTTCTCAACCTCATATCGGAAAAGAGCAACTTTTAGCCTATGATATTGTCTTGACACATTATGAAGCATTTCGATCTGAAATTTATTACACAAAACCACCTCCTGATCGACCTCATAGAGCAGGTATGGCTATATTTTATGATAGTGAAGCAAAGTAACAAACGATAGGTGTCAACTATAAACAAAGCTATCGTATGAGTCCACTGGTTTCTATTCATTGGTTTCGTTGTATTTTAGATGAGGTAAGATAGACTTATATCCTTTCCTTTTTTTTTTTATTGATCATCATTTAGGCGCAAATGATTGAAGCCAATGTGTCTCGTGTTGCAGCTGTCGCCAAGTGTATCCCTGCTTGGTATCGCTGGGCAGTAACGGGCACACCATTAAAAAACGATTTGAGTCAACTGTACGGTCTTTACGATTTCCTTGGCCTTGAAAAGTCTATTCATAGCCCTCAACAATTTCAAAAACTCTGCAAAGATCCTGAATACAAATCTGTGTTTTATGAATTTGCAAGAGCGACAATGCGAAGAAACATGAAGGCAGCACTCCATAACCAAGTCCATATTCCTAAACAGCATCGACATGTGGTCCGTATTCCTTTTGGCACCATTGAGCAACATTATTATGAAGATCTTTGGCGTGCTTGTCAAAGCCAACTTAAATTAGAATGGCTAGATAGCATCAACTGGACGTTGTCTGACACAGCGTCAGAAGAACAAATCAATGAGTTTAATGCATCCAGACAGAAAATGAGACTATGGCTTTTAGCCTTAAGACAAGGCTGTATTCATCCTTCCATGATTTCAAACACAACATTAGGATTAGGCAATCAACAGCCGGGTAATACCTCTAAAAAGACACACTCGTTAGATAATGTACTTCAATACATGAGTAAAAGTGCGGAAGACCGTTTAGATACGGAACAACATGCTTATTACTCAATGCAATTGAAACGAGGTGGTATGCATGAAGTTTTAAAGCAATGGCAAGAAGCTGTTGATGTCTACACAAAACATATTCTTGATGTGGAGAAGCAAGTAGAGACTTATCTCCAGGGTAAATCAAGCACAGAGGAACAGGAAAAGAACGCTGCACAACATTTGTATAAGTGGCAAATATTGTTGCATCGCTATTATTTCTATACAGCTGGTGTGTATCATATGCTAGAATCGAAGGATTTAGAAGAAGCCTGTTATGATAAAGCAAGCCAGTTGCGTCAGTTGATTATGGATAGCTATACAACACGGGTGAATGAGTCAACACTAGAAATGGACAAGGCAGCAGCACGCGTACAACTAACACCTGAATACAGACTAGGCCCTCGAGTTATTGATACAAGCTTTATTGATCAATTGGAATATGAAGACGAGATTAAAGATAACGAAGAAGAAGAAGAGGAGGAGGATTTGTTCGCCATGAAGGGACAACGTGCTGCAGACAAAAACATCCTAGAAAACGTAAAGCAACTAGGTTTTATTTTGGATGAACAGTTAAAGAAAATTATGTATTTGCGAAAGAAAATCTTGCCTATTTTAAGAAAGCCTTTGGTAGACAGTAATAATGAAGAAACAGAAGTAACAGGTGATGAATATGAAGAGTCTCTGAATGAACAAGAGGTAAAAGAGAAATGAAAAGAATACATGATTTACGTATTATTATTGTATTGCCCTTAGATGTGTCAAGTTTATTTAGCAGCATATCAAGCTCTTTTACAGGACAGAAAATTCATAATTAAAGGTACGTAATGAAAACAAGAGCAACATATACTGATGCAGGTCTATAGGTACCATAGCCACTTCTAGCGACATTGAGCCTGTGGGATCCGAGAGTTCTATGAGTGAGGTTTGTAGCATCCATAGGCATAGGAAAATTACGAACGATTTCCATAGGAAGCAAAAAATGTCGAGAGAGTTGAAAAGATATTCAGAAAGCAAACTAGAGAACCTGGCTTTGAAGTGGAGCATATCAAAGATGTTGAGTACTCTTTAAAAGCACTCAAGGAGCGATTCCACAACAATCCAAACCATACTGATATATACAACATTCTGGATACTGAACAACGAAACATAGCTTCGTGTTTACCACATCAAAATAAGCTTATTGATCATTTAGACAAGTAAGTCCTGAGAATATCTTATCAAAGGTTTAGTTTTCTATCTGATAGTGATTTTAAGAAGATCAATCAATTGTTTAATAGCAGGGTTGCCTATTACAAATATCTTCAAAATATCTCTGACACTTTAACCGTATGCATAAGGTCTTTATATCACATGCCTTGCTTATGCTGTTCCTATAGGAATGGAAGCACAGGAATCCAAGAGAAGAACTTGCTCGTATGGATATTGAACAAGAGAAAAACAAAGATCTTATTGCTCAATGCAAATCCCGTGCTCAATATTTCAAGACATTAATGGAAGAACAAAAAGAACTTGAGAAGGCACCTAAAAGGTGCTTGGTTTGTCAAGAACATTTTGAAAAGGGTATGATCACTTACTGTGGCCATACCTGTTGTTATGACTGCGGTATTCGATGGTTTAAGACAAGTCAACGATGCCATACGTGTAATTCGCGTGTCAAACTAAATGAATGGTACACCATTTGTAAGTCATTCGATATCTCTGGTTTCTTTAGCTTATACCATGAATAGCTTACAAATCAATGGAGATGCATAACAAAGATGGCTCTTATGCTACACACCAGGTAAATGCCTCTATGCATCAAGAACCAGATACGGTAAAGCTCATTAAGGAAATTGGCACGCAAGGTATCATTGAAGGGCAAGGTGCTAAATTAGATGCTATTATTCGTCATGTAAAACATATCAAGACAATGAGCAATGGTAAATGTGTTATCTTTTCGCAATGGTCTAAAGCACTCGACATGCTCAAGGCTGGTTTAGCTGCCAATGACATCAAGTACTTGAGTTTGAATACAGGTGCTGCACTCAATAGAAAAAATGTTATCCACTTTCAGAATGACCCTACTATCAATGTCATTTTGCTCGATGCACGTAGTCAGTCAAGTGGCCTTACTTTGGTTGCTGCTCACACAGTGTTTATTGTTGAACCTGTGATTAATGAGTCTATAGAAAAGCAAGCCATTAATCGTATCCATCGTATTGGACAAACAAAAGAAGTAAGTATCAAACTCCCCCTTTTTTTTTTACATGCTCAACATAAAATAGACACATGTATTTTGGTATATCGTACAGGATACGATTGAAGAACGCATCCAGGCTATTCATGACATGAAAAGAGACAACAAAAACCTACAAGACACACAATTGGCTAAAATATCAGATGGTGGTGGTGAATTTGTCAACAATGATGACTTGCGTAAATGCTTTACAATGAATAGTTTATATTAATCAAAATCTGCTTCAAATAAAACTTCTCGTTCTGCTCTCACTTCACCAGCAGGCACAAGATCCCATAGTTGGTTCATATTATCAAAACCTAGTTTTTTGTGGTATAAAATAATGCGTGTGCCATCTGCTGCTTGATTCCCTCGTACATCTAATACTAAATGTGGTTCTGCTAAGGGATAGATATAGCCTTCATGATATCCCCAACGTTGGTTCTGTGCTTCTGAGACTAGTTTGCGATCATATTGACATATCCATGCATCTTCTACTAAGGGACCTCCTCGAACATCCAGTACTTTGCCTGAGCATTTATTGACAATAAACCCATCCTTATGACTCCCATAAGTACATTGTATCTACACATTGAGTCATACCTGATAATACCAGAGTTGGTTGTCTCTATCGTCGTTGTGTTTAGGAGGCCATATTAATATTTTTGCATCATTCTGTGCTTTGATAAGTAATAAGAAGTTTCGCTATATGCTTTCTACCTTTCTTGAAGCACCGTCCACTGTCAAATAATTTAGTACTATAGTCACGATAGGCCAACTTACCATCCACCACTTTGCCAGAGTTACGAGACTTGATATAAAAATAACCTGAAGGAAACTCGTTCATGTAACAAAAGTAAAAAGAAATACTATCTGATTTAAAAAAAAAAAAAAAGATTTCGGCGGAGTCTAAAATGAACTACCCCCTTTCAACCATAGCAACAACCCCCTCTTTATTTTTTTTTCTTTTTTCGCTAAAAAAATTCTTTACTTTATGAACCGATCTTTGGTTGTACTCAAGGCACCATTTCGACAAAGTGTTCGTCATGTACACGGTGGTGTTATGGATCCCTTAAGATTACGTGCATCTCGATATCCTACTGAAATATCAGCCAAACTCTTGTCTGCTATTCGTAAACAAAACCCACCTGCTGTTTGGAAAGCTTATATGGAATTAAGCGACCATGACCATCTCAATCAACTACCAGCTGAATATCATACAATGACACTTCAATCGTTTCAAATCAAGAACCTCGGTTCATATAGTTATGAAGAAATCAAATTTTATCGCAAGTGTTTGTCCCATGTGTTGGAAACCATGAAGACCTTGGGCCATTCACCCGATGTACGTGATTATAATGTCATGCTTGATTTCTATGGCCGATCAGGCGACTGGCAGTCTGCACAAGCACTATGGCACGATATTCGACACCCTACTATTTACAGTTACAACTTGTATTTGTATGCTGCTATTCAATGTAAAAAATATGAAGATGCTTTCCGTATCTTCCATCAGCTCAAGGCATCTTCTATTGAACCTAACGAAGTCACTTACAACGCGATGATTGAATTAAATGGATGTTTGGGCCATATCACAGAAGCAGACAAAATCTTTCAGGACCATTTTACACCTCAAGTGCAGAAACCTAATACATCCATTCTTAACTTGCTTCATCATCAAAAACAGACCAACAAACAGTACCCTTCGTATGCTTCTACTGTGGCACCCCTGGGTCGTATTATACCTCCTCAGAAAAAAGCACTTGATCCTACATTAGACACCTTCAAGGCATTGATCCGTGCTCATGGCCGTAAAAAGAACACGATTGGTCTTCACCACATTTACACCAAAATGATGCCTAAATATGGTGTGAAGCCTGACCTCAAGATCTATAACGCGTTGGTGGAATGGTATTGTTATAGTGAAAATGTAGATGCTGCAAGAAAGATTGTGTTAGATATGGAAAAAGCAAATGTGAAGCCTAACATTGTTACATTTAACCATCTTTTCCGTCATGAAGCAATCAAGAGAAACAGACCTAAAGTAGCAGAGGCATTGATGGACTATATGAAGAATGAATATGGTATTCCACCTCTTTTAACTATGTATCGTACTCTTATTCGTATTCATAACAAACATAACCGTGAAGATGAAGCCAAGCGATTGTTTAATGAATACATGGCATTCAAGACAAGTAAACTTAAAGAACAATAGAATCTCTTTATATATAAAATAAAACTCTGTATGTATATATATATATATATTAAATGGGTATAGTTATAGAATAGTAGTAATAGTAGAATAAGAGCCTACAAGTACAATTAGAATATGAATTAATGCCCATAAGAAGGGAATCCAGGTAGACATGACAAAGAAGCCAGAATTATATACAAAAGCAAGTGCAACACCTATGGATCATATGAGCTAATCTATATATGTGTTTGTACAACAATTTACCCATAATACTCCCAGTGACAAAAGAAGCAATGCAACCTCCAAGTACAAAAATAAAAGGTATGATGATCAAAACATACCATTTTAATGTACGAGATTTGGCTAACATTAAAAAAGCCCAAATGCCTTAAAGAGAATCAGTATGTTATTGTTGAATAGCCATAGCTTACCTGCTGGTAAATAGATCAAGAGTGATAGAATCAGACACCAAACTGTTGTAAATCGCCATATATCTTTTCTACAAATAAATAAATAAATAAAGACAAGAGTTGTTTACCATTCAAATAATAAAGTGAATGAGGAATGTCAGCAACGAGATTCAGTGGGTCAAAATCAGGTCCAAAAGGCCAATAAAGTGAAGGCCATGGTGGTGCACTTCTATAACCATAAGGAAGTCGAAAAGAAGTAGACATAGTTAAAAAGAAAGCAAAAATATGTGGAAACTCGATTTTTATCGTAGGAGCCAATCACACCCTACTGCCAATGATATTCTTGTCAAACACTTTACATAAAATTATTTTTTTCCCCCTTTGTTTCTCTTTTCTTTTCTTTTCTTTTCTTTATGACAAACTTAGATATTAAAGTAAAGTTAGCAAACACACTTGCTACTATCTTATTGATAGGCACACAAGGATTTAGTTATTCAAATTGGTATATATCATATGCTTTTACTGGTCTTTAAAATGATAATAGGGTCTTGAGACATTCATATGAATTTGGTCCCAAGGACTTTGTTCTTATTTTGAATGGTGTTTTGCAGTTATTATTGATAGGATTCACTATTTATCAATACCTTCCTAGCGCACCTCGAGGTAAATCATAAAAGAATAGGATGTCATCAGTTTATATATGCTATTTAGATGTATATGAGTCCATTGGCTATTGGTATCTTTTAGTAGCTGTAGTCAACAGTGGAATTAATCTTTTATGGGTAAAAAGATAGATCAATACATATTTATCTAACATAGACTAAGGTATCTCATCTTGACGTATTTGCTTTTGTTGGTCTTCTTTGGCAATTAGCAACACTTGTGTTTATCTATCATCGTCTTCGTGATTATCCTCCTCGTAATGGTACTGACCATACCTTTGTTAATGCTCCCTTTTCAATCTATACTGCCTATTCTTTCTTTCTTGTTCTTTGGCAAGTATTCCAGTTCAGTGATCATACCAAACACAATGGCATTGTAAGTGTATGTATATGTCGACACTACTTAACATGTATAGATCCATACTCTTATTTTGATTGCTATCGGATTTGTGGCTCTTCATTTAGTCGATTATTCTCACCGAAAAGACTGGGTTTATGCTTTGACGACGGCATGGTACGTGTTTCATGTTTGTTCCCCCCTTCCTTTTTTTGACAATGTTTTAGGATTTTATTGGGTGCTGCTGTCTTCTTGACAGATACACCTCATACTACTTCTTTGATCGTGGTTGGTATTCTTATTAGTGCAGTTGCCAGAACATTGATTCCCAACTGGTTGGAGCGTATCAATAGACGCTTTAGTTCCTGGGCCAATCGTCTCGGTGAAAGAACACCTTTGCTCTCTCATCACTAAGCCACAGCATGGATGCGGTGTGGGAATTATAAACTCAATAAACTTCTTTTTTTCTCTGCTTCCTTTTCTTTATTTTTTATTTTTATGAACCGTTTGCCAAAGAACACTATTGAGAAAATAGCGACTTTATTAGATATAAAGGATGCTATTGTATTTGGTTCATGTTCGAAACGATATCAAAATGCTATTCTGAAAAATGAGTCATTTTGGAGAAAGTAAAGTATCATGTCTATGAAATGCATGCGAGCTAATAAAAAAAAAAAAAAAAAAATAGCAAGACACTAAAAGACTTTGGCAACTTATTTCGACTATATCAGATTTTTATTACTTCTACTGGACTAGAATTACCCAGCGATCTATCCGAAAAGTTTGCTAAACGACCTCATCATTGGTTTCAATACTATATTTACAAACACACATCGCTTAAGCGAGTAGACAATGATATTCTGTTGGATCAGTGCGATAAAGAATACAAAGAAGCGCAAAGATACCTCACGGCATTTCAAGATGAGATTGATTATTCACTCTTGACGCAATTAGCATCCAGAATGTTTTGGATCTTGGACATATTCCCTACTTATGCTGGGTGTTATTATATCTTGGGATATATTCTGTTCTTTCTAAAGCAGTTTGGTGATGCGCTTGATATTTTAGATATGGGACGATGTGTAGACGCTTCATTTCAACAGTTTGATGGTAAGCCATAACATCAGTGAAGTGTTGGTAACAGTAGATAGAGCTTGAGAAAGACATTATATCGACCATGCAAACAGAGAAAAGGGCAAGGACAGATGTACCTCTACTTGTGAATGAAAATCTTTCGCCAGAATTAATTGCTGTTTTGCTGGAAATCTTTCATCGATTTGATAAGGATCAGGACAATTGTCTTAATTTTGAAGAACTGGATTTCTTTGTATACTCGACAAATGGACAACACCCACCTACATCGTTTTTAGAGCAAATGGGTCAAAGATACGGCTCAAATAATCAAGGCTGGTTAACAAAAGAAGGGTTCTTGGTAAGAAAGCATCGCTTTTTTTTTTCATCTATTCATGCTTAATTTTAGGCATTTTACTTGGAACAAACACTAGATGATGTACATGAGACGCGAAAAGATATTCGTGCTCATGGATATGACTGTAGTAAATTGAGAAAGAGAGATGCTAATAACGCATAATTTTTTATGATGACAAGTCTATTATCACTTTTTATAACTAAACAAGCTCTTTGTTGCTTGCATGGGAATCATTGTATGGCATACTATCAATGCTTTGGACGATCATTAAACTGTTATCAGTGTGTTCTGTCGCACCTGAAACAGGCCTTGATGATTGCGGTGTACCATGGTGTAATGAAAAGGGCAGCTGAGAAATAGATGACATGTAGCCTGTTGGGTAACTTCCTGACAAAGCAATGTGTGTCTCTTTTTCTTTTTCTGCTTTATACTTTTTGAGTTGCTTCAGTGCATTTGTGATTTGGGTATCGTAACCAATCAGCGTGACAAAAAGAATATTGGCAAAGGGCCAAATGACAAAAGAAGTAAACGGATTATCGCTAATCTGTTATCAATATGTGTGTGTGTGTGTGTGTGTGTGTGTGTGTGTGTGTGTGTGTGTGTGTGTGTGTGTGTGTGTGTGTGTTAGCGATGGTTACACAAATCATGTAGACTTACGTAAATGTAGCTCAAAGCGGAAGCCAAGTTAGTGACAGATAGAATCGCAGCTCGAATTACGTTGGATAAAATGACAGATGTACACATGTTCATGCTTTCATTATAGCCTGATATATTCAGTTTTTTAATGTGTTGGTATAAAAGTAAAGATACTAGGACACTGACATAGATATCAACGGCTGAATCATACGCATTGTAGAGTAAGCCAACCTATGCAACTAGTTAATTCACGTCGAGTAAGAGCTTCTTGTACTTACTGCATGCACGTATTGGAAGCGGCAAATACCGGCAACTTTATCTTCAACTACATGAATGGTCATGACATCTGCCAGGCCAATAACAGCTCGACAGAAGAGCAAAAACACATGAAATGACATGATATAGGTCTGATATTGAATGGGTGCAATGGCAATAATTCTTAAGAGTAAGATGGCTAATCCAGCAGTGGCACTTGTATGCAAGAATAAATCACCTATTCTACCCACTATTAAGCAATGCATTTGGAGTGATCTAAGCTGATTGTTAGACATCTCATCTCTTCCCCCTTTTTTTTTCTGTAAGTTACCTTGAGTTGAATGCTGAAAAAATCCCGGTTTTTATCAACATAGATACTGCCATAATGATTTTTAGAATTCGCAATGTCCATGATTTTTGATTGACAAGTATAAAGACGACTCGAATGATGAGTTCTACACATAAACACAAGACTGCTCCACATAGCAGTAAGCTCACTAATTGCAAATCATAGACGTGGTCTTCCATTGTAATTGAAAAAGTGAGGAAGAAAGAAGAAAAGTGGCTCAAGGTCGATTTTCTATTCTTAACTATAGTTTTCTGTCTGCACAAGATGGTTTCAGTTTCATACTTCGGAGCTCTGCAATCAGAAAATTTAGATGCAATACATTTGCTTTCGTGTTGAAAGAACCAAAAATATTTCTCGATTTTTGGGTCTCTTCTTGTTTTCTAATACTGGCTAGTATACACAAAAGAAATGTCTTTTGATAGACATTATACTTCAAAGATTTAAAAAGATGGCCTAAAGAGATGTAACGTTGAAACGTTACATTATTATTTGCAAATTGGTTTTGCTTGGCCTCTGAACATTTGTGATACATAATACGCATCTAAAGTAGAAGCAAATAGAGATCTAAATGGCATCTATAAATATGAAGCTAATAAATAGGTTACATAAAAATGGGACTCTAAGATCTGTGTTATTCATATGAAATTTAGTTTTTCAACTCTGTTTCAAGTGAAAGAGTTGATATTGGGGCTAATCGGCCTCATACAAAGTTTGTCTTCAAAACTACCTCGAGAAAGATTTGAATAGATTAAGAGTTGTAATTCATAGCAACTGTTCTTCATTCAATCGTGTTGATAAATGCACTTCTTACCTGTTTACCTGTGCATATATGAAAAAAAAAAGGGAGGGAGCTTCTATCGTGTTTTTTTCCATCTAGTGAATGGTCGTTATAATATTTCAAAGACCTCAGTCCTAGATACTCTTTTTTTTTTTGATCTTTACTACCAATATAGACTGTAAGTGTCTTGCAAATTGTACTACATCAATTAGCATATAAGCATCTTAGTCAAATATAGTTGATATTTCAAAATGCCACATGTCATAAACATACAATGCCTTATTTATTCATATGTTATGACTGTCATCCTTTTTCTGGGCAAAAGACATATTCATTCCAGCTTTCAGGAACACAAAGTCTTGTTTCCAAACTCATGAACACTATTGATTTTATTGACAATGCTTTATATTCTCAAGCTTATTTTATATAGTCCATGATGACACTAAAGAATCATGATGGGCCAATATCTCTGAAACTTCATGCTTTAGTCGTGTATTTTCATTTGCTATACTATCTGTCAGCTGAACCATGAACACTTTATCACTGCACTTTTGAAAAATGGCATAGATAAATTTTGAGGCACATATCATCTGCATAAATTTTCCAATCGACATTATTATAAGATGTCAAAACCAAATAATAATATAAACAAGCATAGACAACGATTTTAACCCTCTTCATGATAACAATCGTGTGAATCATTGACTTAGTAATGATGAACATAATTTGGAAAAGTCTGTTTATAGAGAAAATCATGCGTACGTAATATTCTAGAAAAAAAAAAGTAGTAGCAAATACATATCCAGTATTAAACCAGGGATCTACATGTTTTGAAACAAGCTTATTTAAGCGCGATGAGAACATTTTGATAAAGAGGATATATGTACAAATAGTTTAATATGATATAAATATGTATATATACAAGGTTTTAAGAAACAAAAGCCATTTGATTAGCAGCAGCAGCAGAAGCAGCAGCAGCAGAAGCAGCAGCTTGTGCTTGTTGTTGGCATCCATTTTCTACTCTAAGATGACGATTTAAAGCATCCATGCGAGCAAATGGTTTGTTGCAATGCATACAGGCATAAGGCTTAATGCCCCAATGTAACTTTTCATGTCTGTTACGATCATGCTGACGAGCAAATTTACGACCACATTGAGAACAAGCAAAAGGACGATCGGCAGTATGAGTACGCATATGTGAAGTCAAGTTATAAGGACGAGTGAAGGATTTACCACAACCAGGATGAGAACACATATGAAGGCCAGGTGCAGATGCTGAAGAGTGGCTTCTTGGTCGTTTCCTGCTAGTACGAGCAGGAGGTGGGGGAACACTGGTTTGTTGTAAAAGTTCTTGAAATGAATCAGACAATTTAGGTGGTTCTGAAACTCTTCGTGATCTATTAGGTTTTTTCACAGTCAAGGTATTGCTTTCAAATCCCATATCAAAATACGAAGAGGAAGAAGGTGAGGGATGACCTGTGCTGTAAGTCATGAATACATCTTGAGATGAGCTTGAATAGCTTGAGAATTGATCGTCGAATGAGTTACTGCCAACTGAGATAGGTGAGCCATTAGCAGGTGTCCAGCTCAACCAGTCTACTGTATCATTCTGTGCCATTAAGAGATCGTCTAATATTGAAGCTGGGTCCATGATTTGATTTAGAATGGCTTCATTAGACAATGGCTGTAATGGTCTATGTTGAATAGGCGTAGGTTCTGTAATTGAAATACAAGGTTGAATATCCAAGCTCAAATCTACTGGTCTTTGTTGCATATTCGTATTGGAAGAAGGCACCAAAGGAGCAATTAAAGGAATAAAATCAGGTTGAGAATAGTCCTGATAAAGAGCTCCAAAAAACTGCATATCATCTTGTGCTGAATTTGACCAAAGATTGTCATTCATTTGATATTGTTGTGATTGCATAATGATTAATTCCGGGAAAAAAAAGAGAGTTGTTTCTTTCTCTTTTTATATCTTTTTTAAAAAGATATTTTTAGAATTTCTATTGTCGCACTTTGTGCTTGCTTAGCAATGTGACCTTTTTCTTTTTTTTTTTTCGTTTCTTAGATACCTATAAAAGGATTTCTCCTTACTGTTTCTTGTTTGAATGATAAAATAGAAAAAAAGATTTATCTATTCCTATGAGTTAAAGTTTAAGGTGTTGTTTCATTGGCCATAATTTCCTCTTTTGATCTTGATAAAACTTCATTTCTATATTAGGCAATATTAGAGTTTGAGCCCTGAAACGTTATCAAAGGGATTCAATTACTCTACTGAAGCATATAGACCTTACTCTACGCGTATGATAGGTAACGTTTCTGTTTTCTCTATTTTTCTATAGAAAATAAAACGAATGATTCATATATACACTTCTTTCTTTTTTCTAATGTACAACAATAAAGAACTGCGCATTGAAGTACAAAATACGTAAACAAACGCATTCAAGAAAACAAATCCCATTTTTTTAGCTTTTTGTATAGACATCACTTTTGATCTATTGTTATTTTACGTAAGCTATATCCATGTAGTTTATTACAAGATGGTCCACTTCTCTGTTTAATGAAAGAAACCTCCCTGGTTCATTCTTGAATTATCTTCATTCTATTTTTACATTTGTCAAGCCATGATTACACGAGTACCACCTTGGTCATTTATATAAAGATGATGTCTGTCTATATTGAAGAGCGCCATGTTGTCATTGTCACACCCTACAATTATTTTTAGAGAAGGAAGCCACAAACCCTGAAAATTCTGTTTTATTTACATTCTATTTATTAGATAAATGTCTTGTATGAGCCATCCACTTGCTTTTGGATAGAGACACTATTCAATCGTTCCACAATCACAGTTGCACCTGCCTTTTCTAATTGCTCAACAGTGTGTGTTGTAGTACAAGCAATGCATTGCATACCAGCCGCAATAGCCGCTTCAACGCCAGCTGGTGCATCTTCAAAAACGATACAGTCCTTTGGATCTCTTTTGAGCATCTTGGCTGCCAACAAATAACCTTCAGGATGAGGCTTGCCAAATTTCAGCTATATATGGTTAGATGATTTGATATCAGTTTTTTTTTCTGTACCTTATCACCGGTAGCCATTTCTTTAGGAACTTGGATACCAAATTGAGACAAACGGGTCGCTGCCATGAGTTGAGTACCGGCAGTATTGATTGTCCAATCTTGAAAATCGATGCTGTTTAACAAATCAAGTACACCGGGCAAGATAGTAACGCCTTCTTTTTCCATGGCCAGTTTGCCTTCCAATTCATTCACATGCTCAGGAGTGGCTAGTTCAGGTATCCAACGCTCTAATGTCTCAATGGTTCGACGTCCGTGAGATGTAGCGAGGATCTAATATACATGAGTCACGGTTATGTCATGGATTCGCTTTTGTACCTGAGCAGGTTCAATGTTATATTTGACAGCTAAATCCGTCCAAAATTTGATGACTTGAGGTGTCGTATCTATAAGAGTACCATCAAGATCAAAAACAAATGCGCTTGATTCTAAAGTGGTTTTGAAAGTCATGATAAAGATACAAAAAAAAAAAAAAAAAAGAAAAAAAAGAAAAGAAGAGAAAAAAAAGATAGATAATACGTTGAATTTATAGCATGAAACAACAATAGCATTTTTTCCGCGGTAATGGGGTTTTTCCACTGACTTTTTTTTTAAAAAAAAGCATACATTTCCCGAGTTTTCCATTCTCGTTGTCGTCATTACAGTTCTCCTATTGCTTCTTTTTGTGACACTTTACATGCTAATGATTTACATACATTCTGAAATAGAGAATGATCCCAAAGTTTTGCAAATACCCATCTTTGGATACTGTATGTTTATTATCATTTTTTCATTTATTTACAATTTGCTATCACGAGCATTCTTGAGTTCAACTGCAGCATTTGAAATAGCAATCACATCACGCTCAACAACACGGGTCTGGAAAATAACCTTGTTGCCTTCCTTCCACATGGAAGTTTCAAGTGTTTCACCAGGGAAGACATGCTTGGCAAATCGCGCCTTGATGTTACTGAATGTCTCGGGATCATTGTTACCAAAGGTCTTCAATACATGTTTACCAGAAATACCAAATGAACAAAGACCATGGAGGATAGGAACATCAAAGCCGCCCATAGAAGACATTTCAGGGTCAATATGCAAAGGATTATAATCACCACTCAAACGATAGAGAGCAGCTTGATCTTCATGTGTCTTTTCAGTTACAACAGCATCGGGTTTACGATTAGGAACAGCATTTGTGGCCGTAGCAGCACCGCGATCAGCACCCTTGGAGTTACCACCAAAGCCACCACTGCCACGAATAAACAAAGTGAATTCGTTTTCAAACACAACTTCACCTGATTCATCGGTGGTAGTGACGCCAATAATGACAGAAGCACCTTTACCCTTATCCAAAATATCAATCAAACGAGCCTTGGATTTTAATGTCCCACTGGTAGGAATAGGTTTCTTGAGCGACAAGAATTGTTCGCCGTGCAACAACATCATAGGATTGAAATTGGGAAGGAATTCATCAAAAGGCACAGAGTTCATAGCAGTGAAAGAAGGAATGACACCAAAGGTAGGCAAGACACTAAAGTTAGCATCGTTTTCATAGACAAAGCGGGTATCTGTACGCTTGCAACCTACACCCAAGGCATATAAGATAGCTTCACGCTCACCATAAGTAAATTCAAGTGTTTCAAATTCGAGTTTCTTGGCAGCTTCAACATCAAGGCCGCCTTTTTCTTCTTTTGACTTGTTTTCTTCAGTTACATTACTAAAGTTTTCCATAAAACCTTGGAAAGAATCTTGAGTACTGTTGGGATTTGTAGCACGGCCATCTTCAAAGTCAATGACCTTAGACCAGGCTTGAGCGACTTGTTCAGGTGTCAATTCACGGTTGGCAGGGAAGCCAACACCACCTGTTCTTTGCCAACGTACTTGAGCAACCCAACCACTACCAACTTCAAAGATACCGCCGGTTTCTTCGTTACTGTTATGACCCAAATAAGCAACAAGTGGAGCAACATATTCAGGCTTAAAGGCTTCAACCATTTCAGGAGGCATCACTGTAGCTGTCATACGAGTGCCTGCATTAGGAGCAATGACATTGGCAATGATGTTCTTGCTTTGCCCCTCAAGAGCCAAGGTACGAGTAAGGCCCACAATACCAAGTTTGGCAGCACTGTAGTTTGTCTGACCAAAATTACCATACAAACCAACAGCAGAGGCAGTGTTGATGATACGACCGTACTTTTGCTTGACAAAATGAGGCCAGGCAGCCTTGATAACTTTGTAGGTGCCTCTCAAGTGAACTCGATGAACAAGGTCCCAATCAGCATCTGTCATACGAGCAAAGGACTTATCGCGAAGAATACCAGCATTGTTGACAATGATATCAACACGACCAAAGGCCTTCAAAGCAGTTTCTACGACTTTTTCACCGTCTTCCACAGAGTCATAATTAGCAACGGCCTTACCGCCTGCTTTACGGATTTCGTCCACAACAAGATCAGCAGCGCGACTATCAGCACCTTGACCAGTAGCAGATCCACCAAGATCGTTCACGACAACAGAGGCACCCAATTTGGCAAAGAGCAAAGCATAGGCCTTACCAAGACCACCACCAGCACCGGTAACAATGGCTACTTGACCATCAAATCTTAAAGGTTCAGCCTTGGGATTAGCATCTGCTTGTTTAGCACGTTCCAGAAGGGCCAAGAAGTCAGTGTCCATGACAGAGGTAGGATATTCATTGGCTTTTTCAAAATCAGTGACTTCGTTCCATTTGGCACCCACAGCAGCGGGTGTGAAGGACTCGTCTGCCTTAAAAACAGCACCAGCAGAGCGTTCCCATCTTAATTTAGAAACAAAACCACCACCTACTTCAAAAACACCACCATTATCTTCAGTATCTTCATGACAGAGATAACCAACAACAGGTGTTACAAATTCAGGTTTAAGAGAAGCAAGAATTTCAGGAGGTAAGACAGTTTCGGTCCTAAAGACGGGAGAGAAAAATTGAGCATGATTTTCCAACATCAAGTAGCTTACATTCTAGAAGCAGCCATAGGAGCAATTGTGTTACAATGGATATTATCTTTGGCACCTTCTTTAGCTAAAGAGTTACTGAAACTAGCAAGAGCAAGTTTAGCTATGAAAGCATCATGAGTTATGCATATTGACATCAATCCTATCTTTACCAGCACTATAGTTAGCTTGACCAAAGTTACCATAAAGACCAGCAGCAGAAGCAGTCATGATAATTCTACCATATTTTTGCTTTCTCATGATAGGCCAAGCAGCCTTAGTCACAGCATAAGAGCCTTTGACGTGAACAGCGTGAATAAGGTCCCAATCTGCATCTGTCATACGAGCAAAGGACTTGTCACGAAGAATACCAGCGTTGTTAATGATGATATCCACGCGTCCAAAGGCTTTCATGGCAGTTTCGACGATCTTGTCGCCATCAGTGACCGAATTGTAGTTGGCAACGGCTTTACCACCTAACTTTTGAATTTCTTCTACAACGACGTCAGCAGCTTTAGAGCTAGAACCGTCACCCGTATGAGATACGCCGAGGTCATTTACGACAATGCTGGCACCACGCTTAGCAAAAAAGAGAGCATAGGCTTTACCCAAACCTAAAAAAAAAAAAATAAAAAAAATTGATGAACAAGAATTTCATGTAAAATTGACATTACCTCCACCAGCACCAGTGACAATGGCGACTTTTCCATCAAAGCGAATATCTTTAGTCATGACTATAAAGTAAGAAAAGAGTGAAGAAAAGAAAAGAAAAAGAAAAAGAAAAAGAGAGAGAGGGAGAGAAAAAAAAGGAAAGATTGAATTTAAAAGCGAGTTTTCACATGCAAAATGTAGCGAATACAGAATTGAACCAGTGAGAATCATCATGTGATACTTGAGCTTCTTTGCAGGTATACTTGACGTTACTAATCCGCTTTATAAAACCACGGGTCAATTAAGGCCTTGTACAGACTCCGATACAATTCTGGCTTCTTAAAGACGATGACTAAGTTGGTTTAAATTAAAGTGTGGGGCTCCACATAAACATGTACGTTTGGGCTTTTCACATGATTGTTCTATTACTTGCAATCTGACTGGATAAAGTCTTGAATGATATACTAAGTTTCTTTAGAGAGTTTGTATAGCTGTTTCTCTAGAATCATGCTTAAAATCATTCTCTTTTGTTTATTCCGACGGCGTGTTTAAAGGAACCCTAGATGACTAGATATGTTTGAAAAAAGAAAGGAAAGCAGTAGTCAAGGTGTTTTTTATCACTCATATCTATCCTTGCTAGTGCTATTCATGATTAAAGAATGCACTGACTGATTTATTAGGATATCTCAACTCTCTACAGAGCTTTTATTGAAAACAAAGAGATCCTACCAAGCCTATAGCTGTCTATTTATGAAAGTGTAATGTTATTTGGACCATAAAAGTAAATATCCTTTTAAAGCGGCATTTCTAATGCTAAAATGCAGGATTATACATTAGTTTTTTTTTTTTTATCACTCAAACTCAACAACAAAGGTATCCTAATCCAAGAGCCCTTTGATATGCTAAGATAATACTTGAACGCACTCAATTCTTTGTGAATTATCTGTTGATATGTTTATTTTAAGATAATATAAACAAAAAGGGAACAGTACTTGATGGTACAGCCTGGCATCAATCACAGCTTGGTATTGGTTGGTTATATTGTGTAGTAGTAGGGGAGGTATTCAACTACCTCCCCTCTATCTTTCCTGAGATGAATTAACACAAAACATTTCTTTTGAACTGCTTGAAAGTCCCTTTTTTTGGCTTAGATTTCCTAGCATATTCAATGATGGGGCATCTTTATTTCTCTTAAAGAATTTACATAATAGTAATGACCTACACACAATGATATTTCTTTGATAGCATCAATAGTAAATTAGCTCTGTATCACATAGAATTTTTTTATAGCCCTTGTTCCTCTCATCCTTTTCTTGGTAAACCGCATAGCCATAAAATCAATCTTTCTCTTAGGACATCAACTGCAAATGGCATTATGTATTTGAAATAACTGACCTATAGATTTCTATCAACTTTGATGTTGGAATGAAAAAACCAGATTCTAAAGCTGGCTGAATCCCGACTGACAAACCTAGTGTATTTTCTATTGAGTGTACAAAGCAGCAATCCTGTTTACATGCGGCATGGAATGTGGTGCTTGATGTACCAGAATTAAGTGCACGAATCAGAATATGTCTATATCTATCTGAGATTGAAATACTGTATGTAGAGAGACAGAGAAAGAGAGAGGAGAGAGCCATTTTAAAGAACGAAGTTGCTTGTGACAGGCCTATTCCTTTCTTTTTCTTTCATTTTTTATATCTCTATGCTTAGAGCTGGCTTACCACATAAAGGTATAAACGCAACAAGAAGAAAGGTAATATTAAACTAAAAGAGAATGCTTTCTTATTTTGTCTTTGGATAGACATCAACAGATAATGTAAGCAAGAAACCAGAGAGCAAATCAACAACAAATCGTGGTGCAAAAATACGCTCTACAAGTCTGGCGAGATCCTCTCAACCATCTATTGATAATACCCATCGAACCAACACAACGACACCACGAAAAAGGCCATTATCTGACACTTTTAAAGAACCAGCGTAATGTGTATATAGATAGTAAAGCCAGTGTATACTCACTCTTTTTAAAAAGACCTTTAAAACATTGGACCTTAAAAGACTTTGAGATCGGCAAGGCACTTGGAAAAGGTAACTTTGGTCATGTGTATCTTGCTAGAGAAAAGGCTAGTGGGTTTATTGTTGCACTCAAAGTCCTTTATAAATCTGAGCTGGCAAAAACAGGTATTGAGAAGCAACTGAGACGTGAAGTAGAAATCCAAGGCAATTTAAGGTACCCAATATATATATATATGTACATATATACATACATAAATGGGTCACTTAAGTTATACTAGACATCCTAATATTCTGCGTCTGTATGGCTACTTTCATGATGAAACCCGTGTTTTTCTAATATTGGAATATGCAGCAAAAGGAGAACTTTATACAGAATTAAAGAATCGCATCAAATTCACAGAGCCTGAAGCAGCCAAAGTAAAGATATTGCATCTCTATATACTTTCTCTAATACCCTATGTCAATAGTATGTAGCACAAATGACCAATGCCTTGGTCTATTTACACAGCAAAAGAGTCATTCATCGTGATATTAAGCCTGAAAATCTCATGTTGGGTTTAAATGGAGAGCTAAAAATTGGTGATTTTGGCTGGTCAGTGAGGACAGGTAGATTAGAGTAAGTCAGGCATGCGTACATTGGATGGGTTATTGACGATGATTTTTACAGCAATAGAAGAAGTACGTTGTGCGGCACCTTAGATTATCTACCTCCAGAAATGGTAGAAGGTCGAGTTCATAATGAAAATGTGGATTTATGGTCCTTGGGTATCCTTCTCTATGAACTTATTGTTGGCAACCCTCCATTTGAAAACAAATCAGGCGGAAGCGGAGAGACCTATGAGCGTATTCGTAGTGTTGACCTGCATTTTCCTAAACATGTTAGTAGAGATGCTGTGGATCTCATTAGTAAGGTAATATATTCATGCAAAACAGAATTGTACCTACTCAATCATGATATTAGCTTCTAAAATACAGCGCAGCAGAACGACTACCACTTAGACAAGTTATGCATCATCCTTTTATTGTTAAACATGTCAAACACGGAAGTACTTAGTGCTTCTAAAGAAAAAAAAAGTATAATTTGGTTTTATGTATTAAACTTGTTGTGATATGGCATACCCAACTCTATGCATCATTTAGATTGACTGAGATTAGAACAGAGAGAAAGAGAGAGAAATGTCCCTCCCCTAGAAGAGCAGAGGAGCTATGTATAACTTAGCGATTACTGACATTCTTTTGCTTGAAAGATTTTAATGTCTTCAAAACATGTTCATACTTTTCTCTTTTTGTCTTTATGGCTTATTTACACCAACAAAACTAGTTCAAGTCTCATTGAGAAATTGAAAAATTAGATGATAAAAAATGCATGTCTAAAGAGATTGTACTTTTTGAACTCACTCATTCTACTATAAAGAAGTTGCAAGTGCTAGGTCAAAAAAAAAATACGATCTACCAACTAAATAAGCTCAAAAAAGAGGATGCAAATAGTGAAAGTGACTCTATTTTATTGAAAAAAACAGCATTGACTCGCAAGATATGTTTACTAGCATCAGAGATCATGAAGAGACATGTTTACACCATTAAAACATGAAAATGATTTTTGGTCCATTTTGTCTTGAGATACTCTTACGCTTTTACATGAAAAAAAAAAAAAAAAAATTGAAACCTATATGAAAAGTGTACGCGACGGGTACAAAATGGTTTAAGCTATTTTACATGTTAGATGGTTAATGTACTTAATAGACAGTACATTTTTTTTTTTTGCATTTTTAAGCTCTACGCATTAAAACAAACTACTTTACTTAGAACGCCAAGTCAATTCGACCTCATCTTACTGTACTTTTGGATCATTTCTTGCTTTTTTGATCAAAGCACTGCCCATGAAATACCCAAATACCTTCATAATTTAAAAGTGCTATAGAAATATTTTTTAGATGGCCATGGCACTCTAGATACATGATTCCATACTCAAATAGCATCAAACTCACAAAAATCGCAAGATGATCATCTTAAAAGACTAAAAATCTTGACTTTTGGGCTGTAAACAGGTTCTGTTTTCAGAAAGTAACAGTATCTATTGGTCTAATTGAAAGTATATCGATGCCAGAAAGACATCCATAGAAAATCCCCTTTCATTTCAGAGGTCAGCATAAACGGACTTGGGTTCCTATTGACCAAGAGAGAAATCCTAAACGCAGAGTGATGTACGCAAGACTCTTATGGATGAGCCCCTTCCAATCACAGAGCATTCATTGCGTGCATGATGCTCCATGGCCTGCTACTATTCTTTTCATTATTACATCCATTTACTCGACGCTAAATACACTTGATACAAGGCTATGGACTGCATCACGTGACTTCCGTAGTGCGTCGACCATGGAGGATAAAAAAAACAAAGTCCTTTTTTTTTTCTGTTCCATACACATTATGTCTTATCATCGTTCTAGAAGTAGACATCGTTCACCTTCACCACAAAGCAGTAAGAGACAAAGACATGCGTATCGCTCCCATGAAAGAAGTCGTTCTCGCGACAGACATCGTTCTTCTCGTCATCGCTCTTCCCGCTACGAAGACAGATCTTCTTACCACGGCTCTTCTTCAAGGCATTACGATAATGTAAGTGCAAATGATAAAAGAACTCATTCACGTGAGCCAACATCAAGACATGATGCTGTAGGCACCACTGTAGCCTCTTTGGCGCAAGAAACAGCCACGGTAAGTGAAGGCGTTGCATGGCGGTTGCATGTATTCATCTTTATATAGAAACCCACGCCTACTACACCTGAATCGCCTAATGTGGATGCAGATGAAGCTTTACGTAAAAAGCAAGAACGCGTTCGTAAATGGAAAGAAGCAAAACGGTTAGAGCAAGAAGCCAAAAAGAAAGCAGCAGAACAAGTGGAGGCTCCAGTCAATGACGACGACGATGATGAAGAAGCAAAAAAGAAATTGGCTATTACTGCTGGTGAAAAAGAAGCTGAAGCGATGAGAAAGAAGCAGCAAGAAAGAGAAGCACTTGAGAAAAAACAAAAAGAAGAAGCAGAAGCTGCAGCTAAAACAGAGCAAGAACCTCAATTGTTGCAACAGTTTGCTGCCATGCGAAAAGCGGCTGCTGAAGCAGCTGCTAAAGAAGAACAAGATCAACAAGAACAGCCTGAACCCGATACGGAAATGAAGGAACAAGAACAACAAAACGAAACCAATGGCAAGCAATGGAGTTTAGAAGATGATTTGGAATTGGACGAAGAAGAGATGGAAATAGACGACACATCCAACAAGGAAAACCACGATGAGGACGCTGAACGCACATTTAAACCACTTCAGAAACCCAAGACAAAAGAAGAAGACTCTATCCTTGTCAAGCCAAAAAAGACGTTTTTAATGTCCAACATGTCTACAAAGCCCAAGAATGCTATGAAAATGGGTTTTGGTCTGGGCAAATCGTCGATGACCATTAAAAAATCGACACCTACTGTCAAGAAACAAGAGCCAAAGCCAACCATACCTGAGCCTGTTGATACCGTCATGCAAGATTCAGACGATATTGATCCTTTAGAAGCTTATATGCTTGATGTGCATGCAGAGACCAAAAAGATCAATGAGCTCGACAGACAACGCATGGACCAGATGAACAAATCGGCTAACAAGAAGCGCCGTGGTTCTCTTGTTCAGGATGACGATGAAGAAGCACAGGACGATGCCCAAGCAGGCGAGGATAATGATATCGGTAGTGATCCTGAAGATATCCTTGCGCTTGCTGCTAAGAAAGTCAAGCGAAAAGACATTGCACCTGTGGATCACAGTAAAATGGATTATGAACATTTCCGTAAAGACTTTTATATCGAACCCCCTGAACTACGTGATATGACACCAGATCAAGTGGACTTGTTGCGTATCGAACTCGATGGTATCAAGATCCGAGGCGTCCATTGCCCTAAGCCCATTACCAAATGGACTCATTGTGGTCTGCCTGCTGGTTGTTTGGAGGTGATTCGCAAACTCAAATATGAAAAACCAACGGCTATTCAGGCACAAGCCATTCCTGCTATCATGAATGGTCGTGATGTGATTGGTGTTGCCAAGACAGGTTCTGGTAAGACGATTGCGTTTCTTTTACCCATGTTCCGTCATATCAAGGACCAGAGACCTCTGGAAGCAGGCGAAGGTCCCATTGCGATCATCATGACACCCACGCGTGAATTGGCTACACAGATCCATCGTGAATGTAAGCCATTCTTAAAGGTGTTGAATTTAAGGGTAAGCATCATTACATGGACATCTTTAACTGATAAACCTAGGCTGTATGCGCTTATGGTGGTAGTCCTATCAAGGATCAAATTGCAGACCTGAAAAGAGGATGTGAAATCATTGTATGTACACCAGGACGTATGATTGATTTACTCTGCGCCAATTCAGGTCGTGTCACTAACCTAAAGCGAGCCACTTATATGGTCATGGATGAAGCAGATCGTATGTTTGATATGGGGTTTGAACCTCAAGTCATGAAAATTGTGAATAATGTTCGTCCTAGTCGTCAAACCGTTTTGTTCTCAGCCACTTTTCCTCGACAGATGGAAGCCTTGGCTCGTAAAGTCTTGAAGAAGCCTTTGGAAATCACTGTTGGTGGCCGTAGTGTCGTATGTGACGATGTGAACCAGATTGTTGAAGTGCGTGAAGAAGACACCAAGTTTGTTCGTCTGCTCGAAATCCTAGGCAAATTGTTTCATGATGAAGGTGAAGAAGAAGCAAGCGCGATTATTTTTGTAGACAGACATGAAGCAGCAGACAATCTTCTTCGGGATCTCATACGTCGTGGCTATCCTTGCCAGTCCCTGCATGGTGGTAAAGATCAGGCGGATAGAGATAGTACCATTGCCGACTTTAAATCAGGTGTGACCAATGTGCTGATTGCTACCTCTGTTGCTGCTCGTGGCTTGGATGTCAAGAAACTGAAAATGGTCATTAACTATGAATGTCCTAATCATATGGAAGATTATGTCCATCGTGTAGGACGTACTGGTCGTGCAGGAAACAAAGGTACTGCCTATACATTCATCACACCAGATCAAGACCGGTATGCGATGGATATCTGTAAAGCACTTAAACTAAGTGGTCAACCTGTGCCTCCTGATTTGCAGGCACTCTCGGACTCTTTCCAGAACAAGGTCAAGGAAGGCAAAGAACGTGCTTCAGGATCAGGTTTTGGTGGTAAAGGTCTTGAGCGTCTTGATAAAGACCGTGATTTGGTCAAGAAGCTTCAAAAGAAGGCGTATGGTGGGGATGAAGATTCAGACGACGAAGAGATCGAACTGGAAAGTAATGCGGTCCCTGCTGGTATGGCTGCTGGTCAAAGTGCAGCTAAACCCATGGATGTGGATACGCCCAAGGACAATGGTAAAGATGACAGTTTATCAGCTGCTCTACTTGCTGCCAAAAAAGCTGCGATGGTTGCTGCACGTATCACTGCTTTAGGTGGTTCCACTGTTCAACAGGTTGTTACAGAAGACGGTGAAACACGCCCTATTTATGCTGAAGAAATCGTCATTAATGACTACCCACAAAAAGCAAGATGGAGAGTCACCAATAAGGTAAAAGACATAGGTCGATATCTATTGATATACTCACATTATTATTACTAGGAACAAATCTCACAAATCACAGATATCTCAGGTGCTGCTATCACAACGCGTGGTTCTTACTTTCCTCCTGGTAAAAACCCTGTTGGCAATGAACGTAAACTATATTTGTTTATCGAAGGTGACTCTGAAATGGTGGTTGAAAAGGCAAAGAATGAAATCAAACGTATTTTAGTAGAAGCCACTGCTGCACAAATGGAAGCAGATGCTAGAGGCGGTGGTGTTGGTAGATATCAAGTCGTTTAAAAAAATAAATGTTTATTGAAGTGCATAATGCTTTAAAGTGTAGAGTAACACAATACCTCTTGTATTAGACACAGCAAGATAGTCACTGTTGGGTGAAAATGCAACTGCAACGACATCATTTAAAGGTGTTCTGTCTGTTGGCCAATTACTATAAGCAGTGCCAGTCGGTACATGAATGATTCGAAGTTGATCTCGCTTCAATTGACTTGAGATCACCATCAGTTGTGAATCATGGTTAAATACAATATTGTTAATGCGTGTTGTTAAGTTCTGGATGGCTTTGATGGGTTGAGGATGTGTTTGTTGAGGATCAAGTACAGATCTATCATATAGATTGACAACACCAGTAGATGAACTAACAAGCAAGTTAATACTAGGCAAACATCACTCAAAACTTACCCAGTAGCATAGTATCTTTCACTAGGACTGACACGAACCACAGAGGGACCAATACAGCCATCATCAACCCAACGTTTCACGCATTCTTTTTGTTCAACATCAAATTGATAGACTTGGCCTTCTCCACTGAATCCAAAGATATATTTGCCATCTGAAGACCAATCCACAGACTCTGCAGACTTGTTCATCTTCAGATCACAATACCACTTCTTTGTCAAATAACTCACGATAATGATAGTGCCACTGGTACCTAAAAATGCAATGTATCGACCACAAGGACTAATGGAGAATTTCTCGAGTGATTTTTCGTCTTTGCCCCAAATACCAGGACATCGGTCAATCACACCCGATTGGATATCATAGATATAAAAGAATTTACGTCGACCACTGGCAATGATTTGATTACCTGAGGGATGAAATTCAGCATGGTAGATGGGCATATCCTTAAACACGACGGATTGAATCTTGGGGTTGATTTTACCGTCAATCTGGAATAATCGTAATGTCTTATCTAAGCCGGCTGTCAACATGACTTGAGCATTTGGGTGGAAAGCAATGCAGGTAATGAGTGCCTAATACATTGTTAGTTCCTCATAAGAGATGGATGTCATACTTTAGATCGAGGCACGGCTCGATTCGCATTCTTTAGACGTAAAATGTCTATCTTCTTGGGTGAAATACTAGTTTTTTTAGTTCGTTTGTCTAAGATGCCCATGGTGCTCTTTAGTAAATCAAGTCGAGTTTCTTCGTCTAATTGGTCCTCATCCTTGATATCGTCATTGTCTTCATCATCACTGTCTGAAGCTTTACGCTTTCTATCTTCTGCCTGAATTTCTGAGGGCAGTCTAGCCCAGTCTGGCTTGGGATAAATCTTGTTGAATCTAGGATGGATGAGTTACGTTCGATAGACAGAAATAAACTTACTGTTTACGCAATCGACGAGTATATTCAACACCATCAACAATATCTTCATCAGTATCATTGCGAAGTTTTTTAGTGATATTTGTTGCAGTTAATGAAATCTTGAGGTTTTTATCATCTTCGTCTTCCCATGCAGCCGTATCGTCTTGGTCCTCTTCACTCTCCTCCTCCTCTTCTTCTTCTTCGCCTTCTTCGTCGTTGTCGTCTTCTTGTTGTGCTTCATAATCTATTTCATTGTCCGAATGATTGATAGTAGGTGCATCCATAGTAAAAGTGACAGGTCCAGCATCGAAAAAAAAAGCCTATAGAAATAGGTCAATAACAAAAAAAAACTCTAGGTTCGATTCAAATGTACTTGGTCGTCTGTTTCTTCTTGTTCTTCCTCTTCACTTGCTTGTTCAAAGTCTGAATCAAACTCATGGCCTGTTTTATCCCATAAGTCGTCTGTAGCATCAGCAAACAGGAAACTTTCTAATTCTTTCTCTGAGGCTTCTTTCTTGGCTTTCTTATTCACAGGAGACATAGTACTTTGGAAAAAGAAAAAAAACAAAAACAAAAAGGACCTATCCAAAAAAGAAACAAGACACTTTATGAAAGCGCGTCACATGGCTTAAAGCCACTGGGTTTTTATTATTATGATACAAATTTCTTTTTCTGTATAGATTGTATGTTTGTTTGTTTTTTAACAGCCCAGATGATCTCCAAAGCCATCTTTTCTGATATCAAATAGCCTGCCTAGATCCTTTCCTGCACGAATCAGGCGGATACTTTTAAAAGCGTTTCCATTTGGACGCTTATCCTTGGTCACCTTACCATGGTGATCCAGAATTTTGGTTTCTAGGGCAGTCGGGGTTTCAAAATCTTCAAAGATTTCTTCGTCTAATTGTATGGAGATGCCAGATAGACCACACGCCTTGACAACCTAAATCATCAACATCAATATCAACGCAAGACATATGTGTGTTTTACTTACTGTCATGGATTTAGATACAACTACTTTACATGCGCTAAAGTTGCGCTTATATACAATGACATCTTGTTCGCGAATCAAGCCTTTACGGCACATGTCTTTTAATGTAATGCTTTTAGAGTCACTAAAAATAAAATGTGAGTATATCAATAAACAATATACGTCACAAGTTTACCCTGCAACATTATGGGCTCTTTCTTTATCAATCAAGTCTCCCCAATAAGACTCAAAGGGCTCATCCTAATAGATACATGTGAATATGAGTCTATGGTTAAAAAAAAAAAAAAAAAGAGACATACCTTTTTGTGAGAAGACAAAGAACAAGCAGAGGATTTGCTAGATTTAGGTGTTTTGGTTTTATAGCTTGATTTACTACTGCTACTTAAATGATGGATAGGAGAAAGTGGCAATGGGGGTGAATCCGGATGGTCTAGAAATTCGCCCTGTCCAAGCATTGTTTGCCATTCTGTCAGTGTGTTCCACAACATCGGATTCTCTGTTTTTGAAAAGAAAGAAGGTTGTGGGTATATGAATGAATCAGAGCAAGTAGGGTAATAACCATCTTCATGGTCAAATGGGTAATGATTGAGTAATGGAGTTTGATCTTCTGGTAACAAGGAATACAGTTCTTCTCTCTTGTCTTGAGAAAGCAATTGAAATGTAGACAAGTTGAAAATAGACTTTATCAAAATGAGTTAAGCGCATAAAGAAAGCATGGACTAAATATACCTCTAGATCAATTGTGGCAAGTGGACTACAGGGATGTGTACATAAATTATCAAATGTCCAAGATGGTTCATGACGAGGTCTTTTGTTTGGTGAGCAAATCATAAGTTGGCTTGTTTCCAATGCAATATCATGCTCCTCATTTTCTAAAACTGAAAAGCTTTTTCTTTTACTAACAATAGGTGATAACATCATATTGGGTGAGGAGAATTGATTATACATAAGAGTTGAAAAGAAGTGAGAAAATTAGAATTAAGGAGAAATAATTTATATACAGAATTAAATAACAATAAAATAGAAAGCGAAACAAAGAAGGAGAAAAAAAAAAGAGAGAGAGAAAAAGAAGAAAAAGATGTAAACTTAAGGGTGAAAGGGGGGAGAGAGAGAAAGAGAAAGAGCGTGTGATCGATGTCATCTCCATGTTATATGGAATGTGTATCTTTAAACTGTGTTTCAAATGCATAAGATATATACAAATAACTTATTTCCCTCCCTTTTTTTTTTTATGAGTGGCACAAAAAAGCATGGCATCTCCCTTATAGAAAAGCTTGGGTGGCCTCCTTGTAATAAAAATAACCCCCTTATTTTTCTAATTTTAATATTCCTTATTTATGATCCATATCGGCTTTGTTCATATTCGCCTTGATAGACCACAAGTGATACAGAAAGAAGCGCATATTAGCCTTTTTCGATCTTGTACCGAAGAGTCATACAAACTAGATTTAATCGAACGACTTTTACATGTTATTGAAGTAGATATTCAATTTGTGGATTCACTTCATATTCTTTGTTCTATTCAAGTCGGTACTCAACTAGGTTCAGACAGTTCTTTGTTTTTAGATCTCTTGTGTTTAACAAGTACTGATCCCGATCAGTTTAAACCTGTCTTGCCATCCTATTCAACTCGTCTGATTGATGTCTTTCTTCAGTTAAATTCACCCAAGATACATAGGAATCTTCAGCCGGATATTTTAGGTTATTTGGCAAACAAAGCAGAAGCACCTATTCCAGGCATGAAGACCACACTCTATAGTTATCAAAAGGTAAAAAAAAAAATAAGTCTATGGACCTATGGTTACTCAAAAGAATTTTTTTGCATAATAAGCATTCTTTATGGAAAATACTTCAAAGAGAATTAGTACCCATGCAAATCCGTCCTTATTCAGTGGTGGCACTCAGAGATAGACATGACTCGGTCTATTACTTGAACCAGCTTACAGGGGAAATTTCCCGTAGTGTGGATACAGTGCATGATGCTAAAGGTGGTATTATTTGCGAAGATATGGTACGACAATAACAACTAATACACACATTAAATTCTGAAATCTGTCTAATAATAGGGGACTGGCAAAACGTGTATTTGTTTGGCTACTGTGATGATTTCAAAAGATTTTTCAGATGCAGTTGAGCACCCACATACTAAAACAGACCTAGAAAGATCATCTGTTCAAACCTTAAAAGCCATTTCAGCCAGCTGGATACTCAAGTATGGTATCAATTGGAAGCCTGTCAAACACCAACTGCCTTTGGATGTGATTGAGTGGTTTCAGCATTATCCTCTTTATTATGAATGGACAGATATACCTTATCTGGCTGAAAGACCTCGTCGTACTCAACCTATATTCAATACACTGACAATATACTTGTCGAATGCAACACTCGTTGTTGGTATATATATATATATATATATGTATATATATTTATTGTTTATTTATGATTGATATAGTGCCTGATAATCTGGTAGCACAATGGACAGGAGAGATTTATAAACACATCAAGGACGGTCAATTAAATTTTATAGTTTATGATGACACAAAGCAAAAGATAGCACCACCTACACAACTCATAGACTATGATTTAGTATTAATCAGTCAAACTCGCTTCTCTTTTGAGAACAGCCAAGGGGGACTTGATTTCAAAAGTAAACAAGTCATGATTATAATGGTTACTGACGATTTAAAGGTTATCCTTGTCAATGTCCTTTGATGGCAGAAGAAAATGCTTGCATTTGTTCCATGACAAGAACACAAAGTTATATATCACCCTTATTACAAGTGCACTGGAAGCGCTTCATCATCGGTAAAAAAAAAAAAAAAAAAATTAATTAGACCTAAAACAGACATTCACAACAAATAAGATGAAGGCCATAAGCTATCATCAAAAAATAGACAATCCGAACTCTCTAGTAAACTATTCTCTAACTGGAAATGGATCTGTACGGGTACACCTACACAGAACCTAACTGAATCTGCTGCTTCACATACAAGAAGAGAAAGTGAAATGGATGATTTGAACAGGTACAGTTTTTTCTTTGTTTGTTTGGTTCATAACAAAAAAAAAAGGCTAGGCATTTTATGTGGACAAGTCTTACAGATAGAACCATTCAAGTCAGACAAAAAAGCATGGACAACATGGATCAGTAAACCCTTTTTAGAGAGAAAGCCATGGGCTATCATTCAATTGACTGAGATGTTGGATCGTATCATGATACGAAATCAACGTAAGGACATTGAAAAAGAAGTGACTTTGCCTCCACTCTATCAAAAGACAGTCTACCTCGATTTTGACTATTATCAATGGCTAGTAAGTGATATCGCTATCTATAGGTGGTTTAATAGAGAGTTAGGCACATAATTGTCAAATTGCTATGATTAGCCTGAATGCCATTTTGTCCAAAAGAGAAGGTCCAGATTATTTATTTGCACCCAAGAACTTTAAATCGCTGAAAGAAACCGTCCATAATCTATGGCAGAGTTGTCTTTGGCATTCAGTCAATCCAGGACTACTCCAGGCATCCCATGATAATTGTGTAGAGAAACTACATCAAGTAAGCTTAGGCATTGAAGACTACGGGGATGAAAATCAAGATTTAGTCCAAATAGAACAAGTATTAGCGCATGCACTCCAAACAAACATGTTTATCTGTATGATGAGTCAGCACTCACCTTCCTATGTTGTGCAAGGATTGCCTAATTTGTTTAAAGAGAAGTGGGGCTGGTTAAAAGGAGACCATGGTGCCTATATTCCCTTAGGTCAGGATTGGCATGATCATTGCATGATGGGCGCACAACAACTGTATGATGCTATGACGACTGTTTGGCATACAAAAGATGCGGCTCAACACTTGTTCGTCTATCATGGATCAGATAAGACACTGTTGCCAGTCCAAGAGAACACCACACACAGTGATGATGGCCAACTGACTTTTTATACGCGCAATGCCTTTTCGGATGCACGCGTATTGTCCAGTTCAAGTGTCAAGCTAAACTATCTTGTAGATCAGATAAGCAACTATCGATTGACCGAGAAATGTGTTGTGTTTTCACAGCATGCCAATGAAATGTACGAAATCTATTTTGCTCTTCAACTGGCTAGAATTAGAGTCTTGTTATACCAAGACAGTCGTATGGTAAGTAGCTTCTATGTCTTCTGTCCATAACATCCATTCAGAACAATACGCAACGATCAAACATGATTTTGACATTTAATACATCAGATAATGCGAATGTCATGATCATGGCTGTTCAAAAAGCGGCTTATGGTATTGATTTGTCCACAGCAACCCGCGTTTATTTTGTCAGTCCTGTATGGCAACCTGCCATGGAACAGCAGGCGATTAAAAGAGCCCATCGTATTGGACAGACAAAGCCAGTCTATGTCGAGACACTGGTGATTCGAAATACCATTGAAGACGAATTACTCAAGAGAAGAAACCAAGTGGTTCAAGGACAAGGTAATACAACGCAATGGTCACATCTCATCTCATATCATATGTAGGGTTGGCGGATGATAAGGAAAACTTGAAAAGAGGGGATTTCTTTGCAGATTCAAAATTAAGACATATTCTAAATCATGCTGCATTTGTACCTCTACCGCCCTTGGTTTCTCAAGATAAACAAACAGGTCTTTATTACCAACCTATTCAGTCACTCAAGACGCCTCTTTTGTTTATGCCTCCTCAAAAAATCAAGTCGAGTCCAATAGTTGAAACTGAAGAGGTGGTTTTGGATATTGAAGGTGATCAAGACACAACAGACACCACGCCTTCCTATAAAGCAAGACAAGCATCAAACAAAAAAAGAAAAACAGTTCAATTTGCTTCATAATACATTTCTTTTAAATTTTTTTTTATTCCTCTTTCTTTTCTTCTTCTTCATCAGCAGCAGCCTTAGCAGCCAAGGCAGCAGCTCTTTCAGCCTTCTTCTTTTCCTTCTTTTCCTTCTTGGGATTGACTTTTTCAACAGGCTTAGGGGCAGGATAAGCCAATTCAGTCAATTTCTTGAACTCAGGATCTTCAAATGCTTTACGAATAGGATCTAATAACTCGTTGATAGCAGCAATCACACCGGCCTTCAAGTCACCAGGATGCACTTTCTTATCAGCAAAGTCTTTTTCTAAAGCTTCGTAGGTATCATAGACCATATTACCACCGTATTGTTCAGGACGAATACAGGTAAATGTAGGCTTGTTGCCATTCAATGACTTGAGAGGGAAATAGACAGACTTGACAAACGACAAAATACCGTTTTCTTCAATATTGCCTTCTTCACAAAACGCCTTTTTGATCTTCTTTTGTACATCTTTAGGACTGTCCAAGAAATCAATCTTGGAATCAGGATCCGAGGAAGACATTTTGGAACCAGCCAAACCGGGCACCATAGGGTTCATCAAGTGAGACCGCTTCTTGTAACCCAACATGGGCATGTATTTCTCAGCCATTACAAAAATCTTGCGTTGATCCACACCACCGAACTGAGCATCGACACCCAAGTATTCTTCATCCAAGGCTTGCATACCGGGGTACAACAAACCACTCAACAGAGGTGAAGCGACTTGCTTGACGACTTCAGCACCAGCTTTTTTTGCATCGTGTTCCGTGATCATGGCACTGAGACGCAAGTTGTCCATCGAGTATTCTTTTGAGAGTTCGTAACTGGAACCAATCACAAAATGAAGCTTTTCGATAGGTACGCCGAGTGAGGTCAAGATAGTCTTGATCATGGCCTCGTAATACTTGACACGGTGATGGACCAATTCAAGAGGTGCTTTCATGTTGTCAAGGAAAGCATGGAGATCGGCCAAAAGGATTTTCATCTAAAAACAAAGAGGGCATAAGATGAGATGACATGCTGTGGTAAATGTGTTTGATTACCTCAACACCAGCAGACAAAAAGTCGGCAATCTTTGTCATGGGCACAAAGTAACCTACATGAGGTTTACCCGTAGGAGCAGTACCCCAGTACATTTTAAGGTCACGTTCAGCAAGAATCTTTTTGATTTCATCACCGCCAAGTACTTCTTGAAGGTTACGTGTGATAAGGTTGTATTTCTCTTCTGCTGTAAGTGGACTCATGGTTTCTAATAAAGAAAATAAAAAAAGGAAAAGAAAGAAAAAAAGATAGGGCAAGATAATTCATGAGTCATGCTAAGCCACGACGACGTGTTTTTTTTTATTTGTATACAGATTAAATTATGAAATAAGCAGTTTAACGAAGACGACGAGCTTCACGTTCAGATTCCAAAAGACAGAGAATGTCGTTTTCACGAACAGGACCCTTGACATTACGAATGATGGAACGGTTGGTATCATCCATGAATTCAACACGGACTTGAGTAACACCACCACGAGAACCAGTACGGCCGAGAACCTTTGTCACTCTAGCGAGCTTAACAGGTGTCTTTGAGGAATCCTATGCAATCTTTCAGTGACATGGTTCGTAATGGGAATGTCATGATCGAAATGATGTTGAACTATGTCTATCGTTTATTTTTAACGCATTCATCCATCCATTTCTCTCTATTGACAATAACAAAAGTGAAAGAAAAAAATAGATAAATACAATACCATATTTATTGATGATAGGAAAGGAAGGATGCTTCTCTTTGAGCTTCAGTACACACACATCGATGAGTATGCACATTGGCATCTATCCCCCCCCACAAGGTACATCCACCCACACACCCACACACACACACACACACACATGCACCCCCTCATAAATTCAACTTCCGATAACATAGTCGACGTCACCTTTTATATTTTTTTTTTCCTATCATTACCACTCCACGCGTTATTTTATCCATGGACATTTCCTCTACTGTCAGTACATTGGCCATGGAAAATATAGAAGAAACCACACGACAAAGTTCCAAGTTATCTCTAGGCTCTTCACCTTCCATGTTGAGTGCAGACGATCAACTGGACGGTGATGGTCCTCTCACACCTACCGATAAAATACATGACGATGATGATGATGACTTGTCAGCCTTGAACAGTATATTACAAGCAGGCTCAGCTGGTTCTTTATCTGACGAAGAAGAAGAAGAAGAGGATGAACAAGACTCTGCTTCTCCACTGTCTTCTGTGCCTGATGACTTTCCTCTCTCTCGATCTGCATCTCCTGAATTACCTTTAGTAGAGCCTTTAAAGAAACCAGAAGAGCAAGAAAAGAAGCCTAGTACACGAAAGCGTCGAAAAGACAGCTTGAAAAAGACCAAGCACGAAAGCAGTGATGTCGAATCCAAAAAACCTGATGAAAAAGAAGAAGAAGCAGGCGAACTTCAGACAAAAAGACGACGCGTATCTCGATCCTCTGTGTCAGAAGATCGTAGAAGACAGAGTAAAGATGAAGATACTAAACAAGAAGAGACCATCATAGCAACAACAAGTACAACACTAACAGAAACGGTAGAAGAACAAGGGAAACCAGTAACACAACAACAAGAACAACAAGAACAAGAACAAGAACCACATGAAGAATACAGTCTTGTTCATTCGCCTAAAGTTATTCAGGCAGAACAAGAAGAACAACCCAATCATCATGAAGCACAAGGTAAATGTCATACAAACAAATGGTTTGCATTCATGTGTCTGTATAGATGATCATGATTATCAACAACGACATAAAGAAGCCTTAGATGCATTGACGCATATTGAAGTTGAATTTGCTAGATTAAGAGACAAGTAAGTTGAAGTGTTTGACAGAGTTATTGATTATTGTTATTATTATTTTGTGGATAGAATGTACCAAGAGAAAATGTCAGAATTAAATGAAGAAGCCATGATGATTGCTAATGGAACACACCCTGAATTAGTGACATTGATGGCTGAGATTGAAGAAAAGAAAGGAAGGCGAATTCATAGTGCAGAAGCGTGGCGTAGACATCAACATGCTAATTTTAAACAACAATTTGAAGGGTTTGAATATCAAGCTAATATTCATTTTATTGTAATGTATATTGTGTTATTATCTCATTTAAACTGATGATGATGATGATGATAATTATAGTCACAGAGAAATGCACTTCGACGTCAATTACTAGAACATATCAATGGTAAACGATGGAGTATGGAAGATGAGCGTACTCGACTGAATGATCAATCCAAAAGTAAGTGACCAATTAAACCATGCTTATATTGAACACACCAGATAAACTATGCCCTGATGGCCGTGATATGATGGCTCATAAAAGAGAACAAAAAGAAGAAACAGGTGAATTACAAGACATAAAAGAAGCCATTGGATTTCCTATGGCACCTAATCCAACTGGCTTAAATTCACATGATATAGATCAAGATTTAAAGCTATTGGGTATTCATCGGCACATTTAATGATCTTTTTTTTTTTTTTTGATTTATACCCTTTTGTAACATATTATGCAAAATACTAAAAGAGAGAGACACACACGTGCATGGATATATAAAAGCATGTCAACCTTGTCTTTTTTTTTTTTTTTTTCCTTTTCTTTTTTTTTTTTTTCCTTTTTTTTCAAACGTGTTTATATGACAAGTCTACATAAGCTGTCATTGCCAAATAGCATTACAAGTGATCATGATGAAGCATTCTCTAAAGATCTTTTACGTCAATTTGACCAAAAACGATTTGAACTAGGATTTACATCGCAAGTAAGTTTTTTTTTTATTAGCGTGGAGTGCAGCCAATTAAGGCAATTTCATGACTGGGTTTAGGAACCATCACCAGAATCAAGTTTTCAAGAACCTATTCAACTCGACTATGTAGATGAACCAGAACCAAGTCACAGTAAACGATCTTCTTCAGCTAGTGATTTACTAAGACGATCGTCTGCTTATCTCAAGTCAAAACTAGACTTATTAAAGAAAAAAGAAGAAGAGAAACCGACCAAGATGTTGATGAAAACAACCATTTCCATACCCACTGCAGCCAAACTCAGAACAACATCTATGCCTACACCACCTACTATCACTCAATACCCTCCTAAACCCCTTGTTTATTCACCCATTGAACCCATTGTTCAACAGACACCTCAAGATCATAAACGATTATTACATCGTATTTCAATGCCTTTAATGCGTGTCTATGATCATCAGAGTATTCCAAGAAACAAATCTATTACTTCGTTTGTTACGCGTAGAAGGAAATCAGAACCAGATGACCATACAAAGCGAAAATTAAGAAGAGGAAAATAATGATTATGTTTATGCTACCCTTTTTATATATATATATATGTGTATATATGCCACTACTACTATCCCCTCCCCCTCCCATTTACTTTCATTTATATTAGTTTTTTTTTTTATAAGCCAAAACCCTATGATGGAGGGTTTTCCAAAAATTGATTAGAAAACAAAAACAAGTGTCTTCTAATCGAATATACATTACAATATTGCAATGTTTGGGTTCGGCATTTACCCATCAGTAATAACCTTCACTTGGATAAGCATCTCCCCTTTGAAAAGGACAAAGGAGAAAAAAAAAGGCAATAGAGAAAAAATAAAATCTACTTTTTTATAGAGGATACGTTGCAAGTATTTGCTGTCACGAGAGGCTTATTTAGTCATAGACCAATAAAGTCATTTCTATTGATTATGTCAAAGAGTACATATAAACAATAGAAAATCTGTCTAAACACTCCAAACCATGTTTACTAACATATAAGGTACTCTGGAGTTGATTTGGACAAAAAAAAAGCGACTTGTAAAAAATGGTCATTTTCGACTCTGGTCCAAAGAGTACTACTCATGGAAAAGGCTAGTTTGACAAGTCTTTGATCTTCTTTTTGATATTATAGAGCTATCAACCAGATTAAATACTTGAAATGACCGTCAAAAGCTACAGTTTTTGGTCAACATATTTGTTTATGAAATTGATGAGATATGTATGAAAAACCTAGTAAACATTTCTGTCTGTTTGCTCAATACTTTAGGAACAAAGCTAATAATTTCTCTACAGCAATAGACTTGCAAAGTCAATAGCTGTAGCTTTTGTCACTACACCAAAGCCCAATAACTGCGTCTTTATGCAGTTCTCAGCAAAAAGTCGATTTTGGATGCGACGGGAAGAAGAATTGGAATCATTCTATTTCAAACTTCGTGTGTAGTCATCCTGTATCTCTTTTCTCCGTTTGCTCTCACTTTTACACTATAAGATAACCATGTTTCTATTTCTCTATGTTATTTAATACTTTAAATGACATAGTATGCTTCAGAAAGATTTGTTTCTAGTACATTTATATGACACACAGGGCAATAATGCTCAAAGCACTGTTTAAATGCACTATTCTTTGATGCATTATGACTCGACAACCAGACTACTAAAATGGCCTCTTTTTTCATTTAAGACATGTTTTGAATCAAGGAATCAAATGGTACTATGGGCTTGGTAGTGATGTGAAATTCATTTTTTTTGGGTCATGGAGGATCACGAGAGGTCCGTGAAGATGAATGACTCAATATAAGTTTAATTCAACCCAAATCAGATGAGACCATCACTAGATACTTCTGAAAAAAAAACAAAGCGAGTTTTCTGAGATGAAAAGGTCGAGTTCATTTGAACATTGTTTTCGAATCTGACCTTCTTGTTTCAAAGTCGTCCCCGCCTAGTGTCGTCTGAGTTCGAATTCTTCGTTCCATCTGCAACACTGCTCTTCCGTTTTTTCTCTTTCTTCTTTTGTAAAGCACGCATGATTGGGCCCGATATTCCTAAAGAACTGTTAGAGAAGAAACGTCAGAACGAAGCAGAAATAGAAGTTTCACTCTCTGACGAAGAACTCGATGTCCCTGCTGGTCCACTCATCCCCGCTCATCTCTTAAAGCAACGTCAAGCCAATGCGATGGCTGATCAAGACGTGATGGGTCCTTCCACGCCACTTCCAAAGACAGCAGGACCCGAAATCCCTGCCCATCTGCTTGAGGAAAAAAGAAATAATGTAGACGAGATCGCAATTTCTGACGGAGATGACAACATGGCTGGACCTGCTATTCCACCTCATATTCTGGAAAAGAGGAAGCAGCAAAAAGAAGAAGAAAAGGAGGAAGTTGATCCAGACGAATTTGCACCAGCGCTTCCTCCTGACTTGTTAGCACAGCGCCAACAGCAACAAGTAACAGAACCCCAAGCAGGCAAAAGAAGACGTAGACCTGTTGGGCCCAGTTTCCCTACTGGTCCTTTACCTTCAGAGCAAGACAACAATGATATCGTAGGCCCTAGTTTGCCAACAAATTATGATCCTGAACAAGAATCTAAATATTCTGCTATTCAAGCTATTGAAGAGCGCGCTCGTCAAGCAAGAGAGGCTATGGAAAATGTAAAAAAATATGAAATAAGCACTTATTAACAAGATGCTATAGAAAGAAACAAAATCCGATAAAGTAGAGAGACCAGAATGGATGATTATGCCACCTGAAATTGATTATTTAAAAGCAGCTCAATCAGGCAAATCAAGACAATTTAGTAACAGAACCATGACAGATACAGAAAGAGACAACACCGGCTGGGTTGAGACACCTGCTGAAAGAGAACGCCGCTTGCAAGAAGAACAAAAATCAGGCGGAAAAAGAAAAGCTGTTGAACAAGACCCTGCTGTCATAAGAGCAGAGATAGAAATGAGACGCAATGTGCAAGAGTACAATGTATGTTGTTCTATATATCGCATCCGTACTAACATAGAATAGATGCAAACAAGACCTATGACGCTATTAGAAATGCATAAACAGAATAGAAAGAAGGCTAAAAATCTATCAGCTGTAGAAGATGTTACAAAGCGTGCATTTGACCGAGAAAAGGATCTATTGGGTGGAAAGAGACTTGACAAGAAGCAGAAGAATCAACTGTTCCAAAGCTCTTCTGATTTAGGATCCAAGTTTGGATATGGCAAAAGCTCATTTTTGTAATAAACTTATTGTGACTGGCTACAAGATGTGTGTGGGAATTGTACAGTGTAGTTCATTGATATTGATAGTTCTCTACAATGTCTACCGTGGGAAAGAAACTGACCTGTGTCTGTTCTATGTATTTTCAGGACCTAAAAAAACTATAAAAATGCTCACACATAAACAAGCTCGCCTTTCTTCTTCTTTGTTTTCTTTATCCCTTTAACCATGCAAAGATTCACTCAACGTCTTCCCCAACTCGCTGCTCGTTCTCCTTTCTCTCATTTGGCTCGTCAAGCTGCTAAGCGGTATGTTTTCTATAAGCGATATATTTTTAAAACTCACGCGTTCTAACAGTAACTACGCCGCCTTGACTTTCTCTGTTCCTACTGCACATGAAGCCCCTACTTCTTTGCAATCATTTACTGAAGAAGAATTAATGCTCAAGGATACAGGTACGTTCCTAAACTACTCTCTTAGTATGATTAAATAGGCATTTTTTTAGTTGCTAGATTTGCTCGTGATGTTGTTCAACCCAAGGTCAGAGACATGGACGAAGCTGAATTAATGGATAAAGATATCATCAAGGCCATGTTTGAGAACGGTGTATGTACCTAAACCTTATTGTTTTCTGTGTTCTCACATTTCTTAATTAGTTGATGGGTCTCGAAACTCCTTCAGAATATGGTGGTGCTGAATGTTCTTTTACTGCTGCCATTTTGGCCGTTGAAGAACTCGCCAAAATTGACCCTTCTATCAGTGCTTTGTGTGATATTCACGTAAGTCGAACAGAAAAAGAAAAGAGCAAAATATATTCATGATATCATAGAATACTTTGACCAACACCATGATTCGTAAATGGGGCTCTCCTGAACTCAAGGAAAAATACCTGACTCGTCTTGCCACTGACACTGTTGGAAGTTTTGCTATTTCTGAAGCTGGTGCTGGTTCTGATGCTTTTGCTCTTCAAACACGCGCTGAGGATAAGGGTGATCACTACCTCTTGAACGGTGGTAAGATGTGGATCAGTAACTCTGGTGAAGCCGACATCTTTGTTATTTTTGCCAATGTGTAAGTGATTGTGTTACCTTATTTATTTATCTTTTACTCATCTTATTTACAGCGATCCTTCCAAGGGCTACAAGGGTATCACTGCCTTTGTTGTTGAAAAGGAATGGGGTGTGGAAATCGCTAAGAAGGAAAAGAAGCTCGGTATTCGTTCCTCATCTACTTGTGTTTTGAACTTTGACGATGTTCGTATTCCCAAGGAAAACGTGCTCGGTAAAGTAGGAGATGGTTACAAGTACGCCATTGATTCCTTGAACGAAGGTCGTATTGGCATTGCTGCTCAAATGATTGGTTGTGCTCAAGGTGCTTATGATATTGCTTTGCCTTACATGATGGAACGTAAGCAATTTGGTCAACCTATTGGTACTTTCCAAGCTATGCAACATCAATTTGCTGAAGTCGCTGTTGAGATTGAAGCTGCTAAACTCTTGACCTATAATGCTGCTCGTTTAAAAGAAGAAGGTAAACCTTTTGTGATGGAAGCTGCTATGGCTAAGTGGTACGCTGCTAAGGTTGCTGAAAAGTCCAGTTCTTATGCTGTTGAATGGATGGGTGGTAATGGTTTTGTACGTGAAACTGGTGTTGAAAAGTTCTACCGTGATGCCAAGATTGGTTCTATTTATGAAGGTACAAACAACATTCAACTTCAAACTATTGCCAAGATCATTGGTAGCAAGTACAAGTAAAAAAAAAAAAAAGAATAAGAAAAAAAGCGTGTATATTATAATAAAAAGCAACTGTGTATTTAAACAATGACAAGAGGATCCTTGTCTACTTTAGACACAACGACTTGAATCGTTTCACCTTCTTCTGATTTCTCATTTGCTAACTCTTTTTCTAAAGCGGGTTTCAAGACAGCAGAGAGATAACCACGTTCTGTATTTGAATGTTCACCTTTTAAGTGGGTTAGTTTAATACATTGATATAATTCACTTACATAAAATAACACTAGTATTCTTTGCCAAAGCAGCCAATACATCATGATGACCCATTTCACCTGTGAAATAAAGATCAGCATCGACTGGGCCAAGGACTGATGAACCAGAGCCTGCACAAATAGCCACTGTCTTGATCATTTGATTGTTTTCAGCCGTAGCCAAACGCACTATCAATCGAGTCAGTCAACATATAGAATTAATGCGAATTTACAATAAGGTAAGCCAATCAACTTTTTAACGCGTTCAACAATCGTGCTTAAATGTGTGGGTTCATCCAAAGTAAACAAACGACCAGAGCCTGACCCTTCTTGACCCTCGGGAGGATTATCAGCAGGTGTAATGGGCTGATTGTTGCCTTGGCCGAGACCACTTGCTAACCAGTCATTCACTATACAAAGGAAATCAATACATAAAAAAATTTACGTGATACACACTATACCTCCATTGACACAATTATCACAAGCAGTATGAGGAGAATAGATACCAACACCACGAGCAATAGCCTTCAAAACAATATCTTGCTTGACGTCTTGAGAAGTCAATCGTTTCATGGCTCTAAAAATAGGTGGGTGATAGGAAACAATAGTACCAATCTATCACGTATAAGCTAAATTTTAATAATAATAAAAAAAAATTTACCTTTGGATCAGCAAGGGCTTCTTCAAGAACTTGGTGAGTCAAGTCGATCGTCAACAAGACCTTGTTTTGTTTAGAAGAGGGAAAAGGAGGTTCTAAACACGGTCAACACAGGTTATTGACAAGTACACAACTTACCAACCAATACACCCACATTATCCCATGAAGCTTCAGCAAGCTCTAAAGGAGCAATAGTTCTCATACAACGAGTGACCTTGGATAAAAGTGACATACTAAGTTGATTAAAGCAAGAAAAAAAAAAGCAGAAAAAAATATTTGAAATTCAAATATAAAAACCATGTTTTGTCCTACGCGTTTTTTTATTTTTGTTATGGGCAAGAAAAACTCAATTGTGATCACCAACGTGGATTCTTTACTCGGTTATGCCGTTAGTTATCGCTTTTTGCAAGACTGGAACCGAGAGCAAAGTCAATCCAAAGGCCCTACTGAATTTAAGCTCTTGTGTAAAAACACAGAAGGACTAGAGGACCTAACTCGTCTGGGTGGTAAAATAATTCAAGTGCAACGCTATGACGATATTCATGCGATGAATCAAATTATGCAAGGCGTGTATTATGTCATGTTTATTCCTGAAGCCTCTGATAGCCGTATACAAGAAGGGCAAGCTGTTCTCCAGTGTGCTAAAGAACAAGATGTTGACTATGTAGCCATGTTCTCCTAGTATAAGTTTAAGCTCTAAACTCACATTGAAACTAACACTTTATAGTCTTGGTCTTGGAGCTATTGAAAAAAGCGTGGTAGAAAACAGAAATATAGCCAAATTTATGCATTTGAAACAATTTTTATGCCTTGAGCAACAACTAAATAAGCTTTTTGATCAAAGCAAATATTGTATCTTTCGTACTCCTTTGTGGCATCAATTTTTTTTCTATTTGGGGCCAATGATGGATGATGAAAATGCCATCCAACTTCCTATTGGTGAACACACAAAATGGCAGACTATTGATTTGGCTGATCTGGTAGATGCTGTTTATCGTCTCTCCTTGCCAGGCAAGCGTGACGAGAACAAGACATTGTTTGAATTCACACTTGACCATAATATGACTAGCAAGGAAATAGTGGAAGCTGCTCAAAAGGGACTTGATCAACAAATTAAATTCAAACAAGTCGATCCAAATGTATTCAAGGACTATTTGAAGCGTATGCACCATGACAATCGCTTTAAAAAAAGACCCTTTTCAGGTTCAGATCGTCCCTATACCTTTCCGTTGGGTCAATACTTGCATCATGAAACCATTGAGACATTGGTTGAATGGTTTGAGTTGATGGAACAAGAAGAAATCAAGCCTACTTCTGACCTTCAAGACGCTATTGAAACAAGACCTCAATCAATTCAAGATTTTTTTAAGCAGAATCGTAACCAATTTCGTCGTCTTCGTTAAATGAATTACTATGTCTTTTTTGGAAATGAAAAAAAAAGCCTCGATCTGTTGATAAGATTTATCTTGAAAGCTTAAAAAAAAATTAAACACTAAACTTAAAATATACATTCCCTTCTAATCCATGAATGGAAGCGTGTTCCCATCATTTAGGATCGTAGTTTCTTTAAAAGGCAACTATGATGCTATTCCTACTTTGTTTAAGTAGACCTACTACGAGCTTTTTTTTTTTTTTTTTTTTTTTTTTTTCTTATCATTTTGCTTTTTTGTTTTCTTCTTCAAAACATGAGCACCACATTCGAATCACCTACAAAATATGATAACAACAATATGCTTTCACCCAATAACAATAGCAACAGCAACAGCAAGAACACCACACCTATCAAGAATATCAAGGATATCAATCACGACGGATTTAAAGACTTCATGAATGCTATTCAATCTCGTCAATTGAACTGGTCAACACAGACTGCGCCATCAATTTATCGACATAGACAGATAGAAGATTTAGCACCAATGGAATGCCAATTGCTGAGCGAATTAATGACGAAATATTCTGAGCAGCAAATCCTCATCGTGGATGTGCGATCCTTTGCTTACTATTCAAAGAGCCGAATTCAATCAGCCATTCACCTTTCCATTCCTTCTGTCTTATTGAAAAGAGCATCTTATACATTAGATAAAGTATGTGATTCTATTTCAATTCCAGAAGCAGCTGAACGTCTTAGACACTGGCAACAAGTGACACATGTTGTCTTTTATGACCATTCAGCTTATAAGCCCACTGACTCTGGCAATTCAGCTACAGCTATTCTGTTGGGATCCAAGCTACGTAAAGAAGGCTATAAAGGTCAATTGAATCATTTGCAAGGTAAACTATACTTTGTGCGTTTCAGCAGTCCTACTCACTATATCATGATATAGGTGGTTTCCAAAGCTTTAGTCAACGCTATGCTGATCAATGCGATTTTGAGTCCATGGAAGAATTGAGCACGTCTATTAAGCGAGAAAACAGACCGACCAGCATTGCATTACCTACCTCAAAAGACCTGGATCCAAATCCCTTTTTCTCTAATATTCGACAGAACCTTGAACTTGCTCATGGTCCTATTCAAGAGCGTTTTGATATTCGATTACCCTATGGATTCCATCATCAAGATGGTATTGTGTACTGCAGTCGATCTCCTTCTTCTCAAACAAGCGGTGGCAGTGTTCAAGCCAATACACACTATCATCCACGCTTTGGTCTTGCTGGAAGTTCGGTAGACCATGAAGGAAATTTTGAGTTACCTGTCTGGTTACAAAAAGTAATGTATGCAGCCCATGGTCCTAAATTATTAGCAGATATGTACGAGGTAAGTTTCCTATTTCATTTAAACATATTTGTCATATGACATCATTAGCAATTGGAACGTACCGAGCAAAAGCGACTTTCAACTATCCTTCAGTACCATTCAAATAGAGAACAAGAACCCAAGTCTAAATTCCCACTCTCCATTACTTCGTCAATAGAAAAAGGCACACTAAATCGATATGATAACATTTGGCCTTACGGTAAAGCAAAGCAAACCATTGAAAAAGATAGAATGACTCACTTTTTTTTTTAAATAGAATATTCACGCGTTAAACTCAATGAACATGACTATATCAATGCAAACTATGTTCAGTTTGCCAATATTAAAAAGGATATTACACAAGGACCCATGCTTCAATCTTCTCAAGAAGCATCACTCCAAGAAAATGGACTCCTAAGTCAAGCCTCTGTACAGACTATGAATCCATCTGATCAAGTTGATCTCGTAACCACACGTCCCTATATTTCCACGCAAGGCCCTTTACCCACTACTTTTCATGACTTTTGGAAAATGATTTGGGATCACCAGTCTTTTGTGATTGTCATGTTAACTCAGGAAATAGAAATGAATAAGGTAAGCATCAATGCAGACACTTTTTTTTTTTTCACTCATTACTTGCTAGATGAAATGTCATCGATATTGGCCAAGTCTTCACACCTCAGAAACCTATGGTCTGTTCACTGTCTCACTTGTGTCTGAATCAAAACAAGCTGTGATAAATATGAATGATAAACGAGAACCTATTCATGGTGATGATGATGAATGGATCATGATACGCACATTGCGTTTAAGACACAATCCCACAGGTCAAGAACGTACGTTGTCACATTTACAATATACTGGCTGGACTGATTTTGGTGTACCTGATCACCCTATTGGTATTTTACAACTTGTGCATGAAGCAGATGAAGCGTATACAAGACATAAACAAACAGGTCCTATGGTTGTCCATTGCTCCGCAGGCTGTGGTCGATCAGGCACATTTTGTGTGATTGATACCATGATTCAGAGACTCTGGCACGAACGAGATGTCTATACATGTTCTAAGCAAGACAAGATATGGGAAACCGTAGATCGGTTTAGAGAACAACGCATGAGCATGGTGCAAACACACCGTCAATTTGTATTTTGCTATGAAGCTATTCTTTGGTGGTTATTAGGTTATGGTAATTTACCTACCAGTCCTAATGATTCAGATTTGATGCTGATGGTAAGAAATTCAGCTAGTTATTCTCCTGTACATAACCAAGTTCTCTCACCACTGAATAATCAATCTTATTTCAATAGTAATAGTACCAATGCAGATAAGAGTCCTAATTCAGTGGGAAGTGTTGTAGATGATTTTGAAAAAATGTAAATAAAAGAAATGTAAATGTTACTTTTATTTTTTCTTTAAAGACGAGGAATAGAGACATTCAGTCGTGTCACACGTCTCTTGGGCACTTTTCTTTTGTTCAGTGGCATGGATTTTTTAGCATAGGGTAAACTACGGAAAGTGAAATGAGAGATATTTTCTGTCAATGGAGACAAGGTATAATGGGTGCTCATCAACTGGGATAGGCGAGCGGCCATAAGGTTTTCTGAGGGTTTAAGGATAATGTCTTCCTCTTCGGATAATGATAATGCTATATCAGACTGTGTGTCTTGAGGTGGTTGCATCATCATCAAAGGATGATAGTCTTTGTACAAGGGAATGCCTAGGGCTGTATTGAATTGTCGATTATGCGTAAAGAGATTGGCGGTTGTGATCGGTGCGATGTAGTCCGAATAAGAACCGAGAGGTGTAGAAGGTGTTGAACAAAAATCATCATAGTCGTCAAAACTATCATGAAGATCAAACGAGCTTGAAATAGGCGTGTTTAGACTACTGGGCAAAGATCGGGGTGAAAGAGGATAGACTAGATCGGGTAAACTCAGTTGACTGTTGATGATGCTACTATTACTGCTATAGATTGATGAATTACTTCTACTCAATCTTAATTGGCGTTCTTCTTGTTCGCGTTTCTTTTTCTTTTCTTCTTCTGATTGAATATAGCGTAAACTTAAATTATGAATCATGACTGGTAAATCTTCTTGAAGCATGTTCCGCAATTGTCTTTCAATCTGGCGTTGTAAGAAATCTCGAAGCATCGAGATACTGTCGAATGTAGAACTAATACGAATACTTTCTAATGGATCGTTTTTAAATACAAGTGTCACACCTTTTGTCTTGGACACAACAAGGACAACAATGCCTCTCAATTTAAGGTCACTGATACGGAGAATCATTGGCACAACCAGTGGTTGATCAGCAGCCAAAATACTTGGACGAGAATGCCGTGGTAAGCTAGATGTTTTAGCATGCATTGGATTTGCCTAATAATTTGTTGTTAAGACGATCATCATACGAACATGAGAGAGCTTACTTGAACTTTGGTTTGTATTTCTATATACGCATCGCCAGCATACGTTAGTTTAAAAATACCCCGGAATTTATCATTGCCAAGTTCACCAATCTCAAGGATTTCCAAGTCGGGTGGCTATGATTACAAAAGTGAGTAGGCATGATAATAATAGGAGTCATATTTTTTTTTCTTTACCTTGGTACCCATATGCAATTCTTTCACAGTAATATGGTCAACAATGACAGAAGGTTTATTTTCTTTATTGAGTGCAGATTCAAGTTGTGTCTTTGCTTCTTCATAAAACTCTTGATCGAATTCTGGCCAACTGAAACGAAACGCCATAGTAGTAAGGCTATTTAATAAATTTATGTACAATAAAAGAAAAAGAAAGAAGAATTGAAATTGCGGGGGGTATTATATACCAAAAAAATTTTTTTTTCTCCATCCGAAAACTTCCATTTGGTGAGAATAGGCTAAAATAAATGAATAAAATAGCCCATAGAAAAAAGAAAGAAAGCAAAGTGTCTTCTTCTACCAATAATTCAAGTCAAAATTTATCTCAGGTGAGGCCATGTCTTGCTTTTTGTTTTGCCGTGTGTTTAAATTCTTGATCAAGTGTCACTTCCCAAATAGTAGGAGGACATTGAATATTTGTTTTTGACTCATCTTTTCTCCATCTCATCATGTGACCTCTGGTATTTAGCTGTGTTGTCAATAGCTTGATGTTGATCTGTGCTTTAGAAAAGACTATTTTTAGCACATAATGTAAGTGGTATGATGAAAAGAAAAGGCCGTGTTGCACAATACGAAATGCGAAATGTTCTTTTCTGTACTTTGTGATGGTAAGCTGTATCACTTATATCTCCCAGGAACAACTTTGATCCAATCAAATTATTATTTGACGTGTAGATACAGTAAATTCGAATTAAAAAAAAAAGTAAATGTGAATCAAGCAAAAGCTGAGAAAAAGTTTGGTCAAAAGTACTCTATCCTTTAGTTCAACTTTGACATCTACACATAGCTGAAAATGAGTAGCTTCATTTATGAAAACGGAAATGGAAGAAAATGGAGAATAGCATTTCGTATTTACTATCAAAGTAGATGACGAAGCTTACCCTTTAGGAGATGTTACAGACTTTGGCATGTATCCAGAAAGAAAAGCTAACTATTGAGCAGTCTGCGTTGGTTTTTAAGACACTTAGGGATTTGTCTATTGTTTTATTCGTCACTATCAAAAATAGCTCTACATTAAAAGACAATGAGGAATTTAGAGTTGTTGATAATTTGAATCTAAGTTTTAGGGCAGCAAACGCTTTTTGTTTTGTTTCTCTCTGGTGATTTAGTCAATGCGAATATAGTTAGTGTAACATTTGCATTGTAACATTCTATATCCAATAACTTATCCTGTATATAACAAACATCTTATCTGGTTCATTAAATAAACATAGCTTTTGCAGATAAGCATCCTATTTACTTGCGCTGGTAGTGCTGAGTGCTACTCATTAACCCATAGTTTTTTTTTAACCTAGTGGTGCAGTCCTTGGTGTGATTCAAAAAGAAGCAAGACAATAGTTTCAGAATGGATTTTTACATGGCCAGTATCCTTTTAGACTATAGCTCTCTATTGAAAAAGCAAATATTGTTCCATATCGTTTTTGAGCTAACAACGTAGCAGCAATGGTTAAACAGCAGAAGAAATAGTATTGAACAAACCTCAAACAATGAAAAATCAGCTATATATCTCATTCAAAGGTTCATAATTAATGTTTGTTACTTCTTTATCAGTCTACGCCCTTGAACAAGAAGCTAAAGTAAGGATTAAGAAATTCAACCGATTCCTTCACTGACTATCCAAGCGCATTTTGTTGACTAACTTTCGTTTATTCTATAAGCGAAAGCTGCTGAATTTACATGACTGAGGTCCTTTTCAAGCTATCTTCCTTTCCCAAAAAATTAGCTTGTCATTTCCTCTTTTGTCTCCCTTATACTTAAGGTATTTTTTCGTCTCCCAAAAACTCCCTCTACTTATAGAAGTGTCTTGTGTGACATATACTATAAATGGCATCTCCCCGATTTTGGGGAGACAGCTTGAAAAGGACCTAAATACTGCAAAAACTAGCAGAACAGCATATTAATTAAGATTTCAGCTACTGAAATATCCATATGAGATTCTGTATTTGGTTATAAAATTCCCTCAATATCATGCTCTGATATCGACTGTCTATAATGACGCTTTGCAGAAGAATAAGTTTCCCCAGTCATGGAATGAATCAGTCATGTGTCTGCTGTACAAGAAAGGTGATCCTGCGGATATGAAGAACTATCGTCCTTTGTCCTTAGCAAATACGGATTACAAACTGTTCACACGTATCGTCAATTGTCGAATCGTGGAGGTCTCTTCTCGTCTTATTAGCCGTCATTAATTGGGGTTTATTCCTGGACGGTTTATCGCTGAAAATGGTATGATCTGTCAATTGCTAATGGAAGACGCTCAAAGGAAATGGTCGATCGCTGAACAACTGGATAATGATCCTGATTTTAGTACCTTGAATGCTGATATTGGTCTTCTCTTGGATCAAGAAAAGGCTTACGACAGAGTGAATTTACACTACCTGAAGAAAGCGATGAAAAAGTTTGGCTTCCCTTCCCCACTGATTAAACACATTTACAAGTTAATGGGCGATAATCTTATCCGAATCAACATCAATGGACATCTCTCCTCCGAAGTTGCTAAATTACGCGGATTGAAACAGGGTGATCCTCTTTCGCCTATTTTGTATAATTTGGTTTTTGAACCTTTCTTGCTCTCCATTCTCCATGATCGTCAATTTCAAGGCTACATAATGGGTACTGAACGGACGAAGCTTCTATGTTACGCTGACGATGCTCTGGTCTTTGTACATAATTCCACTGATCTTGCTCGGCTACAACTGCATATGACTCGATATTGCGAAGCCTCGAATGCAAAGTTCAACCATGAAAAGGTGGAAGCCTTCTCGGTGTCTGGCAGAAATACATGGACTTATTGGGAAGCTCCACTCTCTCAAATGGGTATCAAGCATTTGCACTCTGTCGAAGATGATGAACTCTTAATTTATTTGGGTTTTCCATTGATACAAAGCCGTATTCAAAGAGTCAATTTTATGGGTTCAATGATAACAAAGGTTAAGGCTGCCATACAAATCCACTCTACACGTTTATTGTCTGTGGTTGGCCGAGCCACTGTCTTGAATTCACTGATATTGTCTAAACTATGGTATATCTTGCGGGTTACTCCGTTGACACTTGCTGATCTCAAACAATTGAAATCTTTGGCCATTCGATTCTTGCGTAAGAATATAGTTCCTGTTGTTCCTTGAAAAGTATGGACGCTGCCAAAAGAAAAAGGTGGACTTGGAGTAATTAATATTCAGGTTCAGGCCTCAGCTTTATGTTTTCGCTGGCTGCATCCTTTGTTGGCGTATAATCAAGATACTATTGATGCTCATCCGGTCTCGTACTTACTTAGCCTTCATATTCGTAATATCAATGACTGCAAATATCATTAGGTTCCATTGTTGTTTCCTTCTTCTCGTACACAAGGGCTGAAAAAACAAAGAACTGGCACTATTAATATGCTATATCGTGCCATTGATTGTCTTCCTCGATCATTTGCTAATGCTCGTCTTAATACTGCTACCGCTATGGTCCTACCTTTGCAAGCTGTGCTTTACGTTCCTCCTTCTTCGTCCTTCGTTGTCCCCCTACGTGTCAAGAAAATGATGGTGTCAGATGTCTTTCAAGTTGATGCTAGACTCAACTTTGTTCACTGGAAAGATACTCGTGATCATTCATTACTTCATTGGAAGCGTACTCCCTCCACAGTCTTCAAAGGTCTTGCATCTGGGAGTTTGAAACTTCAGCCATTTTTTAGCTCTGTATGTAGTCCTGCTCCACTTGAAGACTCGACGGTCTCATTTGCGCCTTTGATCAACCAATTTCGGTTTCAAGATGATCAAGGTATTTGTAATGTCAAGGTATCGGCTAAGACATTTCGTCAGTCAGTTCTCTCGTCTATGGCTCCTCCTTTGGCTTTGAGAAATATTACAGAAGTGAAATGGAAATTCTTTTGGTCTCTGTCTCTTACCACCATTCAACGTAATGTGACATACCAGTATATCTTGGGGTGTGTTCCTCATCGTCGATTCTTACAGTTTATTATGCCTCATGTGTTTGACTCTCCCTTCTGTCCGGTGTGCTTAACTACCACTGACTCTATTAACCATATGCTCTTTCATTGTCCAACTAAAGAGAAGGTATGGCAGAAAATCATCTTTGAGTTTCTTTGGCCTACCACTTCAATATCTGATATCCAAGAGGCTCTTCTGTCCCTGGACTTCTCGTACATCTGGTACTGCCAACGGAAAGGAATCAAACCATACAGAATCCTCATAATTACTCTTTCACAAATCTGGCTTGCTCATATGAGATTTATCTTTGACAAGACCCCCATTGTACCCACGGCCATATTAGCAAGCATCCGATTCAATGTTCGTCAGACTATTGAAGAGGATCAATGCCATTCAATCATGTAACTTTTTTTTCTTTCTTTCTATATATTTTATTTTAGTTTAGTTTATTTTGTCTAGTGTATTTCGCTTTATTTTATTAACTTTCATTTTAATTGCACCCGCCTCTTCACTTTGACTATTACTCTTAGTGTACGCGGCTCAATCAATAAACACATTAAAAAAAAAGCTACTGAAATACAAGGTTGGAGCTATCTCCATAAATGTACTTACCATCATTTTCCTATAAATAAATCAAACTATAACATATAATCAGTCTATAAAAAAAGAGGCCACATCAAACTGTTTCAATCTCGAATCAGACCGTAAGATCTTGAAGCAATTAGCCATTTTTCTTTTCATTTACATCAATTGTTTTATAAGTCAAATTAAAGACTTCAGTTAACGTTTTGGAGCTAACTTCGTAAAGAAGGGCCCGTCAAGCCTTGTGGAAAGACACTGACATTGTCTGTCTTCAGCAAATACGAAACGGAAGCTATAAAAACAGTATTCCCCAAGTATAGTCAAAACAGAAACGTTTATTAGCTCAATATACATATTGTAGTCTATATGATAATGGTGCTGCTTATTTATGCCTCGTCCATATTGGCATCTTCTTCTTCTTTAGTGGTCTTTATGCCATGTTCACTGATATGTACTGCACTACATTCTAATGTACTTAAATTTACCAAGACAACAATGCCAGTCTTTGCAAAGGAAGGTACAAGTACTACCCGTGTCTTTTGTCCATTGGGTCCTTTAAGTTTGTTAATACATCATATAACATAGTAGCTAGCTATTTTACCTTGTAAAAGACTATCTTCAAAATGAGGCTGATTGCCCACAAAATATACATGTGGACTCTTTTCAATAATAAAAGGATCACTGCTTTCAAACGGATAGGACCACAAAGTGTCTGGAGCAGAAGGTGCCATATGTCTCCAATACAAGCATTTTTCTGCCATTTTAAGTCGATCTTCAGACGTCACATATTTATAGATATCATCAATGTTTTGTCCAGAGGTGCCTAAGAAACTATAGTGATTGTTAATAGAGCATACAAACAAATAAGCACTACTTACGTAGCTTGGTCTATTTTACACCAGTAGGGATTAGTAACACTATGAAAAGTGGATAACCGATGAGCATTGGCAAATATAGAAGGGTACATAGGCTGTTGTGGCATATGCAAAGGAGAAGGATCAGTGGGACCTGCCATAATATCCAAATCCACTGTACTGCAAATTTCCTCTAACATATCGTCTAATTGGATCACAGGAGAAGCATTGAAAGTGGAGGCATCATAGCCATATTTTTTCTATTAGAGAAACATCAGCAACATTCATTCTATTCTGTCAACATGATGCCTTACGGGCGCAGTTGATTTTTCTGCAATTTTTGTAGGCTTAGAAAGCGAATTACCAGCTACAATAACTCTAGAAATTTTGGAGCTGGATTGCTCATCTACTGAACTGCCTAATTCACCTGTCAAGAAGTCTACTAGCAGTTGTGTCCTCAGATCAATTTGATCCTCGGCTCCAATATGAAGACCAGACAATAAGGCTACATATTTGGGGTCTTTGTTTTCTAATTAAGCACTTAGACCAATGCGTGTACTTAATGTGCTTACTTTCTTCTACAAATGGTTCTTGTTCTGCCATGCCTGGTAAGCAGATATCCATCACCTCAAATGATCCTCTTGTTACTTCTTTACCCAAAACACCAATAATAGTCCCTGTGACCAAGAACTCTTTGTTCAAGCAACTACCAGTGATCTCTATACGACCAGATTCATCTTCTAGAGAAATAACATCATTGTCAGTTCTGTATTTAGCGGGTGTAGGGGGTCTCAACATGGATTCCTGTGTGCATATTAGACATGGCTATCATTCATAATGCTTTCTTACTTCGTCTTCCAAGTCATGCATAACATTAGGCTTTGCTTTCATTTCTAAGTAAACAGTACCAAGCATATAACACAATTGGCCAGGCTGAACATCTAGCATCTTGGTCACAAACTTGGGTTTCTCGGGCACAGAACTCCAGCGCGCTTTAGCTGTTTCTTCCAAAGCTTTCCTTAGTTTAAGAAGTCGAACATAATAGATAGACGCATATTGTTGTTGAAAAGAAGGCTTCTTGACTAACAATGATTCTTTGAGGGTTGACAATTCGTCGTAAGCAGAAGGATGACGATCAAGTGTTGTATGATTGGTGGTAGGTGAGCTGCAAAATTGCAATCTAGATAGGCTTGTTAGTACAAGCGATAGAACAAGAATAGCTTACACTTGATCTTTTGTAGACATGATCTTTTTTTCAAAGGAAAAAAAATCACCAACTGAATTTCGCGACGCGAATTCGCTTCGCGCTTGAACGCGATTCTTGTGGCTTTTCAAAGCCTGAGCTGCATGAAATTATCCTTGTCTATGGACGCAAGTGCATTTTAGCAATGATTTCTGTAACTACTACAACTAACAATGTCATAATAATAGAATATCTTTTTGTGCTAATATGGTTTCACGTTAACTAAACTGTCTTCAATAATTGAATAAATTATTTGTATTTCTCTAACAGAAGATGACAAATTTTTATTTGTTCATGTAAGCAGTTTCCGGATATACAAATGCGATTGTTTGCTATTTATAGGAAAATCACTACAAATAGTAAAAGAAAAAAGGTAGATCAAATAGAGCATTGTTCTTTTGTTAAACACAGTGCTATATTTGGCTTAAAGACATGATGTTTAGAATGTCTACCAAGACAATTGGGCGGGAGATTTACAAAACATGTGATTTAAATATTGTTTAAATATAAAGTAGAAGTGTCTAAAAATGGATAGTATAAATATAAAAAAAAAATGTACAAAAAAAGGGATTCTGCTTGTAGCACAACTTTTTGTATTTAAATATCAATATATTGAGGTTTTACCTTGCTACTCACTTACTTTCCCTTTCCTCTCCTTTCGATTCCATGAAGAAAAAGCCACTTTCTGTCCTTTCAATTGCCATTACTGGTATCTGTATGGCAGTATTTGTGATTACTGCAGAAGCTGCCAAGATCAATCATCCTAAACTTGCTCGGAGTACAAAGGACACAATCCCGGGCCGATACATTGTTCGTTTTACTGAAAGCAAAATTGCTGCTGATCGACTCTTTGGCTCGTCTTTAATCAAAGACATTACTAATGATGATGATATTCAAATCAAACAGAAATTCAACCATCGTCTCTTTAGTGGAGTCACTATTAACATGAATCACGGTAATGAGCAACAAGAAGATGCTGTTTTACAAAAGATTCTCGACAACCCTGATGTTAAAAAAGTGTATCCTGTCCGTGTGATTCCTCTCCCCAAAACTACTTTCAAGAAAAGCGGTAGTAAAGATGACAATGTCAATGCCCCTTCTATATTACCCCATGGTGTGACACAAGTCAATCTTGTTCATTCAGTGCTGAAGAATAAGGGCAAAGGTATCCTTGTTGGTGTCCTTGATTCAGGTAGATTGTATACCTATATGCATTATTCAATCCTGACTTGACATAAATTATGTAGGCATTGATTACAAACATCCTGCATTTGGAGGTGGCTTTGGTGAAGGCTACAAGGTTTCTGTAGGCTATGACTTGGTTGGTAATGATTTCAATGGTTACAATACGCCTAATCCTAGTACTGATCCTCTTGATGACTGTGGTGCTAACTCTGGTGCTAACGGTATATAAACATACAACTAAAAAAAAAAAAACTAGATGCTAACTCAAATAGGTCATGGCACTCATGTCTCTGGTATTATTGCTGGATATGACAAGTCTAAAAATTTCACTGGTGTTGCTCCTGAAGCTAACCTTGGTATGTGGCGTGTTTTTGGCTGTACTGGTATTACTTCAACCGATATCGTTGTTAAGGCTCTTTTAATGGCTTATGATGCTGGTGTTGATGTGATCAACATGAGCATAGTTCTAGAAAATCCTTGGGACAATCCTGATAACGCTGAAATCGAAGTTTCCAATCAATTGGCTGCTAAGGGTGTCACGAGTAAGTGATATCATATCAATGTACTGCGTACTTACTTCATTCATAGTTGTTATTGCTGGTGGTAACAATGGCGGCGATGGTTTACAAAGTATCAATACACCTGGAACTGCTCCCAATGCCATCACAGCCGCATCTATTAATAATAACTATCACTATGCTCCATACATTGAAGCTACAGGAGTAGGTGCCATTGAGTATAGTGCTAGTGATGAGTTGCCTGCGTCTAGTACACTTGTTTTAGGTACTCGCAATATCAGTAGTGACGCTCAAGCCTGTACTGCTGACGATGTTCCTGGTGATGTGAAAGGAAAGCTTGCTCTTATTCAGCGTGATGATGCCTGTGCTGTCAAGACCAAGACCGAAAATGCTGCTGCTGCTGGTGCCGTTGGTGTTGTATTTTATGATCAATACGACGATAACATCTCAGACTTTCCTCCTTATCTTCCTACCATTCCTTCTCTTGTTGTTGGAAAAAGGGATGGTCAAAAGCTTATCGCTGCTGTCAAGGCTGGTACTGTCGATGTTACTGTTTATTCCAAAGAAGGTCTTATTCCTACTTCTACAGGTGGCACTGTGTCTGATTTTTCTTCTCGCGGCCCCACTGCTGAACTCGAATTCAAGCCTAATATTGCAGCCACTGGTGGTCAAGTGTATTCTACCTTGCCTCGTTATTTAGATAGCTATGGTTTCATGTCTGGTACTTCTATGGCCACACCTTACATTGCTGGTTCTGTTGCTCTTTATCTCCATGCTCATGAGAACAAAAAAGGTGCAGTCAAATATATTCGAGAACAATTCCAAAACTACGCTCTCCCTGTCAGTGTCAGTCATTCTGGCACGATTGACTCTCCTGTTCGTCAAGGTGCTGGTCTTGTTCAAGTGTATGATGCTATTACTCAAAACATTCATGTTTCTCCTTCTCAGATCAGTTTCAATGATACTGCCAATACTAAGTATCGAACCCAAACAATCACTGTCACCAACAATGGCCCAAACACTATTCAATTTCAAGTGGTAAATGATGTTGCCACAGGTATTGCTCCTTATGATTACGATGAGACTGGCTATAAATATCTTATGCCTGAAAAAGACGCCAATGTCACTGCTTCTTTGCGTTTCTCCAAAAAGACATTTAAACTTGCTTCTGGTCAATCTCAAGACATCACTGTCACTGTTACGCCTCCTACTAAAGAGGCCAAGAATCATATTGCTTATGGTGGATTTATTCGCTTCCGGTCTTTACAGCAAGAAAAAAATGTGGATCTCAAGGTTCCTTATATTGGTATCAATGCCAAGCAAAGTGATCTCCCAATCCTTGGTGAAGGCTCTCCTTCTTTTGTTGGCACAGACTCTAAACCACTTCTGTTTGATCATGCTTATGAATTCAATTTAACTTCTGACAGATGGAACTTGGAATACACAATTATCAATCCCACTCGTCTTATCAAGGGAGAAGTATTAGATGCCAAGACAGAAAAAGTCCTCGGCCGATTCCAACCTTCGCTTGAATACAAACGTCCAAATTCTTATGGAGATGATCAAGCATATAGCTATCTTCTCCTTGGTACCTATATTCCAGTAGACTCGACGGAAGATGTTTATGTTGATTTACCTGAAGGTTCTTATAAACTTCGTCTTAGTGCTCAAAAAATGTTTTCTGATCCTAACAGCAAGGACGGTTGGTACACATGGACAATTGGTCCTGTAAAGGCCTACAAATAACTCAAATAAAATCTTGTTTAAAGCGAAGAACTTGTATTTTATATAACTATTGGTGGGTATTACTAATGAAAACAACTAGCAGCGTACCATGGAAAGAATGTGTGCCTGAACTTTTTTTTTTTTTTTTTTTAAATGATTTTATTTGCCGCACGTATTAGTGGTCTCGAGAGGGACCCACTAAAAGAGGTGCTCGACAATTATTTATTATAAGAGGATTAAAAGAAACAAAAAGGGTACTACAATTTCAAAAAACAAAGAAATCAAGAAAAAAAAGGACAGCTACTACGAGAAATGTGCCTGAACTTTTAATTTCCTTTTTAAGAGAAAAGCAATAAGGAACGTGACTTGCCCTGAACAATGGGCTGTTTGTCTGGACAATTAGAATGAGCGAATGAAAAATAAGGAGCATATTAACTTCTTTTTTGTACCCTTTACGCTTTCTTTGGTCATCATGTCCATCAACTCACCTTTATACCCACCAAGTTCAGCTACAGCAACTCAACAACCACCAGGTCTGTACGAGTATCTTGCAGAACTAGTTTCGAAGCGTGTTGCGACTCTAAACTATATTCGAAAGACACACGAAGGCACAACGCACTGGTTCAACACTATTTTGTTAACAAAAGAGAACCTTGTCAATATGTATCCAAACTCAAAAATGGCAAAAAGGTAACAAACAAGAAAGAAACAGGTTGACTGATATCTATTAGAACGTATAATTTTTATGCGCTGGGTTTATCTTTAGGAGCTATTTTAGACATCACAAATCCTGTGGATTATATCAAAGCTTTAAATCAAATCATGAATGAGTTTGAGAGACACACAAATGAAGAGCCCAACAAAAAAATGGTAAACGTTTATTGTGTTATCAACAAGTCCGCCTTATGCTTTCATCTTTTTTAGAAAAACATATTCAGAAAGGCAAAATCAAAAGACGAGAACAGTTCTTTTGATAACACAGGAGATTATGCGTATTTAATGATACCGCATATTCCGTTTGAAATGGACTATTTCGAGACATTTTTTACGTTGATTGATATTATGGCAGAAGCATATTATAAACTGTTAGTGGGCACAGAAGGTCCTATTTGTACACAGGCTTATTTTGAGCTGGTTCTCAAATGTGATGCAAAGTTCAAGGTAAGCCTCCCCCCAAAAAACAAAGACGATGACAAAACCACTCATTCGCTCTATAGAAAATCGTGACAACAATCACAAAAGAATTGGATGTGTTGGCAAGAAATGCAATCAAGGACGAACTTAAACTCATTGATCCGCTCTCTCACCTATCAAAGATTTCTTCTATTGAATTAGACTCTGCCGATATATAAGGAAAGTTTGATTTATACGTGTCATCAAGGAGTTTCAAACATAAAAAAAAGGGCTACTAAATGGCTCATCATTTTTTCCCTTTCTCTCTTTTTTTGTTTTTGTTTTATTCTTCTTTTTTTTCCCTTAAAATAAAATATATGGGCTATATCGGGAATCTCATTTCGTCCCTTAATAGTTTTTATAATGAAATCAATCCTGCAACACTTTCAGGAGCAATTGATATTATTGTTGTAGAACAAGAAAATGGGGATTTAGCAAGCTCACCTTTTCATGTTCGATTTGGTAAACTATCGTTACTTTTGCCACAAGAGAAAAAGGTAAATGGCTCGGACGGATAGATTGACAGATGTTGGGGAGAAGTGGGGGAAGAGAGGCAACTACATCATCTGTCAATGCAGAAATTCGGAGTTATGGATTGAATTTGTGGTTGGGGTGAAAGCTAATTTTATATCTCCACAGGTTGAAATCGAAGTGAATGGAAATGCTGTCCCTTATTTCATGAAAGTAGGTGAGGCGGGGGAAGCCTTTTTTGTGTTTGAAACAGAGCATGAAGTACCTGAAGAATATCAGACATCACCTATCTTACAAGCATTGGCAGAGAATGGCAGTAGAGCTGATTTCGAGGTAATCAATCAATTCAAAACAATCGATTCTGATTCAAATAGGAACCTTCATTTTTGGATATCAGTGAAAAAAGAGATGACAAAGGTATTTTAACCGAAAATAGCAGTAGTAATATGATCATTAACTAAGTTAGTCCCCATATCCACTGCTGAAAAGAAAGAAGATTGGCTAGACGAAGACGAAGATGACACAAAGGAACATATGCCAGCAGAATTACAGTCGCCAAAAATGATCATTGAGGAACAACTTGATAAAGTGGTGACAAAGATTGAACAGCAAAAAACCCAGACGAAAAACAATCTATACTCAATGGAGGATGGGTCACATTTACTTGAGCGTGTTGTACCTGAATCAATTATGACAACCATTATTGCTAAAGAGAGATTTATTGTGCGACCTTTGAATGGTGACATCCATGGCTTGTGGATGGATGTGACACACACTGCACTGGAGGATGTAGATGAAGCATCGGAAGAAAGGCAAGCGACAAGCGAGCCAGTGCACGAAGATAAGGAATCCATTGTACTTGATATTTCTGGTTATAAGACACAACGAATCAACAAAGATGAAAATTCAGACGAAGGAAAGGAAGCCAAAAAACTAGTCAGTGTCAATGCAGATACAGAAAGTGCTCCACCTATCAAAGAATACAAGGCAGACAAACCAACAGTCTTAGAAGAATACGACCTAGAAAACATTGATGGTGATGTAGTTCAAATTGAAGCGGGCAAAACATATCGCATTGAAATGAGTTTATGTGGATTTTCTGCTTTGGGGTACGATCAGGACGAGAACCGCCTTTTGTTCAATGACAAGCAAGTCAGCTACGATACATTTGTGCATAATCCTAGCATTTTGAATGACCCAAAACTTGTCTTTCGTTACAATGACCATTATTTTGCTGCCAGTAACAACAGTCCACTGTTCACCTCTTTGCTCATCTTTAAAAAACCATTGGACCATAAAGATGCATCTAATCATAAATCATCTGATAGTCGAGACACATACTCTTATGGTCGGGGATGGAGACAATGGTTAAGTCGGTCTTCGTCCGCCGAAGCTGTATCACACCAAAAGAATGAACAGCAAGAACAACCTATGGATCAGCACGGGACAGGGAAAGACTATCAAGAACAAACGACATTTACAACGACCATGAAGACCACTTCTGTTGGATGGACAAAAGAGCAAGAACAAGAAAGCTCGGTCATCTTCGCCAAACGCAAAAACTACGCCAAGACTCTCCGTTTAACCTCAGATCAACTTAAAAACTTTAATTTGAAGAAGGGCGTCAATACCATTAGTTTTTCTGTCAGCTCAGCTTATCAGGGTAAAGCCACTTGTGTGGCTAAAGTCTTTTATTGGGACTGTGATACCAAAGTAGTTATTTCTGATATCGATGGTACTATCACTAAATCAGACGCTATGGGACATTTGATGACGATGATCGGCAAGGATTGGACACATGCAGGTGTTGCACAGCTCTATACAGACATTGCTAATAATGGTTACCATTTCCTCTATTTGACAAGTCGTGCAATTGGTCAAGCAGACTATACAAGAGATTACTTGAAGAATATTTTGCAAGACAACTATCAATTGCCTGAAGGACCAGTAATCATGTCCCCTGATCGTTTGTTTACTTCTCTTCATCGAGAAGTAATCATTCGAAAGCCAGAAGTGTTTAAAATGGCTTGTTTAAAGGATATTCAGCGTTTGTTTGGTGATCGTGGTACATTTTATGCTGGTTTTGGTAATCGTATTACAGACGCCATCTCTTATCGCAGTGTCAATGTGCCTTCATCTCGCATTTTTACAATTGATCCTCAAGGTGATGTCAAAATGGGGCGCGTGGCTGGATTCAAATCATCCTATGTGCTCTTGAACGATCTAGTAGATCAAATATTTCCTCCCATCAACAAGACTATTAAAGAAGAATACAGTGATTACAATTTCTGGAAGTCGCCTGTGCCCAAGATTGATATTCCAGAACTAGAAGAAGAAGGTCCAATTCCAACATCTCCCAAGCCAAAGCCTATCAAACCAGATCCCATCAATAGTCTTCCTAAAGAATCCATTGTGGATTATGAGCCTGAGCCAAAACGAGGTCTGTTGCGCAGCTTTACTTCAAGATCATCTCAACAGAAACCTGTAAAAAAGTCTTCTATATCCTCCCTATCATCTACTAGCAAAGTACCTGCATTCCATAGTGCGCCTAATCTTACTGAAACCAAGGATCTAAGTAAAAGATCAGTAGGAACAGAAAACAAAGAAGATGTCTTACCTTCAGCTCGATCTCTGCCTGACGATATGATTGTCCCAGCCATAAGCCAAAATAATGCTGCTAATTCGCATTTTCAACCTGCCAGTGCAAGTTCAGGTGGTATTATGAGTAAAGTAATGGGCGGTGTATTCTCAAGAAAACCCACGCCTGAACCAGTTACAAAATCCAACAAGCCTAATGATATAAACTATTACAAGAATGACGATGAAATAGATGATTTGGATGAATTAGACTTGGATGACATTCCTTTTATTTATGATTAGAATAATTACTTTTTAATAACAAATATGGTTATTCCATTGGTATCAAATAAAAGCAGTAAACGCGTCCATTTATTCGTTAAGAGGAGTCGTCATCAAGAGCTTCGCCATGTCATCTTCATGAAATCCATTGATAAAAAGGTTGTCTATCCTATTTGTGTATCTTTTAAATTTCTCCAAGACGCGAGACGAAAACAGAGAATTTGCTGGTATATAGGCTGATTCAAAGAAGAGTAATGTCAAATTTGGGAATTTGTGCATCAGATAAACAAGCGTATCTTGCGATAATTCAATACCCACTACATATAGTCTGAGGACACGCAAGTTTGGGATTATTGACGTATGATCAAGCTGGCTGCAAAGAGTTGATTTGGGAACAATTTCTTTTCTAAAATGATGAATACAGAGTTCTTCCAGTTCTGAACAAGAATCAATGATAGTGTTGTATTCAAACAATGATCTGATGTTGTATAACCAAATATCAAGAAATTGAAGACACTCAAATTGTTTTAGTCTACTGATGATCATATCAAAAGGACTGTTGAGCATTTGGTGGTTTGAGACGGGTGTACAATCACCCACATATAATTTTCTGATTCTGTTCTGGAGGGCCATCGCAGTAAAACAATAGCTGTGAAGTTCGTTGTTTTCTCGGGGGTATGGGATGACATTCAAATACTTCCAATTTCCTTCTAGAAGTTCATATAGGAGTCGAGTCCAAAGCAGACGACAAGTATAGCTCAGTTTCAACTCTTCTAAATTAGGGCAATGCTTGACAAGTTGGCTGAATAAACCTTGGTTTTCGATGCTGCTGAAATCTGTATCAAACACATTGTTTATTTCCAAGGTCTTGACATAGCCGCCCAAGAAGGAATTTAGAGTAGTAATTGTACGAATGAATTGATGAACATGATTTCGGTTTTTGATGCATATCATGCTATAGAGTTCTCTTTGGGCGGGCTGCATCCAGTTCCGACATACGAGTGTAAGTTGTGTTCGTGATTTGGTACGACGTATATCAGCGCTAGCAAATTTTATAATGTAGTCAATTATCTCTAGAGGCAAATGATTTATTGGAGACATGTAAACCAATGAAGAAAGAAAGAAAGAAAGAAAGAAAGAAAGAAAGAAAAAAGGGTTATGGAGAAAATATTAGGATTTTAAATATGTGCATGATATTGTCATATGTCTCTAAATGAAATAAAAGGGGTAATTAGCCATTGAAAACAATCATTTGCATAAACAATAAAAAGCAAAGATGTGTCTTCTTTCTTTTAATGATTGGTTAAAACAAACCTATCAAGCTTAAAATATCGATATTGACTCTGTTGTGGTTTGGCCTTGAACATACTTGCTTCAAGAACGTTCTTATAGGATCTTTTTCTTTTAAAAATGTCTGTCTTTCATCTCAATTACGCGATTAAATGGATATGGCAGTCAACGAAGTAGCTTTGAAGACATACAGTCATATCGAAAGACGTTTTCTACTAGGCTTGTATAATCACATAAGTAAATGAGCTTATTCTCAAGATAGTTTGCTAGTTTTTCATCAAATTATTCCCATATGTGGATCAAAAAATGAATTTCACATCACTACCAAGCCCATAGTACCATTTGATTCCTTGATTCAAAACATGTCTTAAATGAAAAAAGAGGCCATTTTAGTAGTCTGGTTGTCGAGTCATAATGCATCAAAGAATAGTGCATTTAAACAGTGTTTTGAGCATTATTGCCCTGTGTGTCATATAAATGTACTAGAAACAAATCTTTCTGAAGCATACTATGTCATTTAAAGTATTAAATAACATAGAGAAATAGAAACATGGTTATCTTATAATGTAAAAGTGAGAGCAAACGAAGAAAAGAGATACAGGATGACTACACACGAAGTTTGAAATAGAATGATTCCAATTCTTCTTCCCGCCGCATCCAAAATCGACCTTTTGCTGAGAACTGCATAAAGACGCAGTTATTGGGCTTTGGTGTAGTGACAAAAGCTACAGCTATTGACTTTGCAAGTCTATTGCTGTAGAGAAATTATTAGCTTTGTTCCTAAAGTATTGAGCAAACAGACAGAAATGTTTACTAGGTTTTTCATACATATCTCATCAATTTCATAAACAAATATGTTGACCAAAAACTGTAGCTTTTGACGGTCATTTCAAGTATTTAATCTGGTTGATAGCTCTATAATATCAAAAAGAAGATCAAAGACTTGTCAAACTAGCCTTTTCCATGAGTAGTACTCTTTGGATCAGAGTCGAAAATGACCATTTTTTACAAGTCGCTTTTTTTGGTTCGAATCAACTCCAGAGTACCTTATATGTTAGTAAACATGGTTTGTAGGTATTTGAAGCATTTATATGAGCATAAACAGACTCTATGCTATCTTTATATGCCTAAGAAAAAAGAAGAAGGTATACATGGATTTTTGCTTTCTCCACTCTTGAAGCATATGTTTATTTGGTGCATCTGTTGCACGAATAATTTATGTACTACCAGAAGGCTTATCCGCATAAAGCGAACATTTACTTCTTCAAAGGAAAGTAATGTTTGTCTATGAAAAATGACAAAGTGCCAATAAACTTAATGAGGCATCGTATATCAAAGGTGGCTTTCAAAACATACAAAATAAAATAACACAAGCTACAATGTATTCATAGCTCGAAATCAATTACTCACTTTTTGTGCAGTAAAAGATATACCCAGCTTAAAGGGTACAATACTGTTTGTATAATTTCATGTAATCAATAACATATTGTCTCGAAAGAGCCCTAAATCATGAACGAGGATTTTTTTTTTTATTGTATTTATATTAGACTATAGTTTGACTTTATAATGTATATTAAATTCATATATATATATATATATATATATATAGTATTTCTTCATGTATTTTGAAGAAAACACTCTCTTTCAATCTTTTTGGTTATCCTTTTTCTTACATTGGAACCCATACACTTACGCTTTATCCATTTAGGAAAGCTATTTGAAAATTGATACAAGAAAAAGAAAAGATTAAAGTGCTTTTGGTGCGGTTTTATTATTGATTACAGATAGCAGCCAAAAAGAAAGTACCACTATGGCTTTATCATTTTTACTGCCACTATATTTTTTTTCGCATGTACTGAATGCCATATTTATGATAGCAAAGGGTATATAGTATATTACTGGGAAAATATTGCTACCATGTTACACTGTCAAGCTTGCATGATGAGAATTCAAGGAGAATTTTTGTTGTAATCTTGACAGTTCTACACAAATTATTCAGGCAACAAAGTCTCCACCTTATTACGATTGGCTACAAATGCCTTTCGATTATATTTATACTGTTGTGAGATATATGATTACAATAGGACTAGTGTTATTCCGGATGTTTCTGAAAAGAAATCGCCCGAAAGGAAAATAAGGCCTTCATTGTACTGTGATCTTGAGAATTCATTTCAAATCTTGATAATTTATTTCATGTGTAGCCATTATGATTTTCCTTGCTGTCGAACTCAGTTGCAGGTTTCATGCTAGTCTAATTATTTGTATTGTAAAATGAAACAGAGCATTTTGTGGTCGTATCATTTGTAGAAAAGTGTTATTTTTGTCAGGTACATTTGATGCCCTGAATGTTTACAACGTAATATTTTACTCAATCGGGTAAAACCCTCAATAGAATTCCCTTGTATAGCTTGGTCGAATGGACGAGTTTTTTTTTTCTCACACACAGAGACAAGTGTGTGGGGAAGACAATCTTAAAGTTAGCCCTGTCCTTTCCTTTATCGTTATGGATGCTCTTTTTCTTTTTCATATCCAACAATATATACTTGCAGATAAAGAAACAACTATTATTGTTATCAAAAAAATAAGAAGGAGATGAGACGTAAAATCTGGTTTTTCATTTCACTTATCAATAAACACTTTATTGGTAAGTTGGTGTAAATTGATGGAGCACAAACCTTAAATCTCGCATGTTTTACATTATATAAGAAACTGATCAAGTCAATCTCTCTCACTCTCTCACTCTCTTTCTTTATATTATATCCAGATGCGTTTGTCATTAGGACCCATTCTTGCGCTTGCTTCCTCTGCTGCTTTTGCTTTAGTTTCTGCAGACACAACTGTCAATGTCTGTTCTTCATGTGATTATACAACTATTTCTGATGCTCTAAGTGGCCTTCCTAGTGGTTCCACTGCTTATACCATTGCCATTGCCCCAGGTACTTATAATGAAAGAGTTACTGTCAACCGTTCCAATGTTGTCCTGAAGAGTTCTGGTAGCAGTAATGTCTATATCCAATATGCAATTGATCACAACACACAAGATCCCAACAGCCATGCTGGTGATAAAGCTGTCGTGACAGTCAATGGTAGTAATGTGCGTTTCTACGATCTTATCATTGTCAACAGTTATAAACAAACCGTCAATATTGCCACTGTTGCTCTCAATGTTCAAGGTCAACAAGTCGCTTTCTACAATACCAAATTTTATGGCTTTCAAGATACTCTCTTGGTCAATTCTGGTGGTACTGCCTTCTTCAAGAATTGTTACATTGAAGGCTCTGTGGATTATATCTTTGGTTATGGTATTGGTTATTTCCAAGATTGTATCATTGCTTCGAATGCTAAAGGTTATGTTACTGCTTCAAACCGAGTCAATGCTGACCAAGCAGGTGGCTTCTACTTTAATCAATGCCAATTGAAGGCTACTGTTCCTTCTGGCCCTATTGCTTTTAATGCCAATGCCTCCCTCTCCTTCACTTCTGTTTCTCAATCCACCGATACTTGCTACCTTGGTCGTCCTTGGAGTCAATATGCTCGTGTTGTCTACATGACCTCTACATTTGGTACTCATATCAACCCTGCTGGTTGGAGTGTCTGGAAATCCACAGACCCTCGCACTGCGAATGTGCTCTTTGCTGAATACCAGAACGGCGGTGCCCGTGGTACTTTTACTGACCAACGAGCTTCATTTGCTACCTTACTAAACGAGTCTCAAGCTACTCAATACACTGTTAGCAAGGTCTTTGGTTCTACTTCTTGGATTGATTCTTCTGTATAAAAATAAAAATAAAAGGGGGGATTTATTTGTGTCCAAAGTTTTAGGTATCTTTTTGCTTTTCAGAGGGAAAATTGTGTTTATCGTCTGAATAAGCAGGAGGTATTTCAGCATAGTATTCTCTTTTCTCGTCAAATGCATGCTGAAATTCAACATAGGAACGGTTGTGTTGTTGGATAGGATGCTTTTTATGCTGGGAAATGTGATGATGAAGTTGATGGCAATAAGTATCTTTTGTTGAGGGTAATTCAAGTTCGTTTGGATCCACATTCTCCAATACCACAGCATCAGGCTCTTCTTCTTCTATCTCCAATTCTTTTGTGATTGTCTCTCTTTGATCCTTTGGTTTCCATCCATCAATTGACAATAAAGCATCAGTCAAAATCATTTGAGAGTTACTGCTTGCATGTTGATCATCGTCCAACAAGTCCACAATGTATTTGCCAAATCCAGCCAACATAGCCGTCTTTTCAGCATATGCTTGTAGTGCATTGAACTTGAGATAAAAGGCTTCTTTAAGAACAATACGCTTAAATGCATTGGTCTGGCGTTCTTGTTCTTTTGTGTCTGATCCAGCCAATGCTTGCTCAAACTCGCTTATTTTTTTGGATTTAGGATTGGATTTCTGAAGGTGAACAAGGCGATCTTGGATAGACTGTTGTTTAGCACATAAATCAGCCAATGCTTGTTCTTTCTCGCGTAAGGATTTGATAGCACGTCGATAGAGTTGATATTGGCTTGCATATTCCTGTTCCAACTGCACTTGTTTCTCCAAAATTGAAGCAAGGGCTTCTCCAATATCTTGCATGTCTTCACTATAGTTGAGATCACTGTTCTTGTAGACATCATCATGTATCCATTCAAGGAATGCCTTGTTTGTTTCCCCATGATGATAAGCTGTCTTTTTCATAAAAGCAAGGTCATTGCACTCTTCAAACAACCACAAGTTAAGTGAGCGTGTATCTTGACTCTGAAGTGGGTTGTTTCGAGCCACTTGAGACTTAACATTGGTTGTGAGTTTACCTATATTGTATTGCAAGTCTTTAAAGTTCATGAGGAAAAAAAAGACGGCTTTATTTACAAATCATTTTCTATCCATCTTTCTTGTACATCACTCACATCTTCATGGTAACCTGCTTTCATGGCAGTTAACATGATGGACTCATTTCCTTCTGTCAGACCACCAAAGATAAAGCCACCTGCTTTATCAATCACTTGTTGTAACTTGGTCATTGAATCCTTGTCTTCAACACACAAAGTATAAAAACCAACAAGTGAAAAATCCTGAATCAAGTCGCACAATGCTTCATTTAGTTTTTTGTATTTGGAGCCAAAAGGATCTTCATTCAAGGAATCCAGTAAATAAGACAAATCCATCACTTCTGTATAATATTGTAGATTGAATCCTGTATTTCAAATAAGAACCCATAAGCGAAATAGTGTCTATCTACTTACGTAGTTTTCCATACGATTCTATCAGATCTACTTTAGACAACACATTCACATGGGGTAGTTCTAGTTGTATCATTGTCTTTAATGCAAGTAGTAAGACTGAGATGTATTTAGCAGGGTCTGTGCAGTAATGAGCATCCACCATATTGACTGCTACCAGACGATAGTCTATCTTTTCAAGTGCATGTAACAAGTCCTTGACAGCTGAATGGTGTGTGAATAGTTCTACTTGACCTGGAAAGTCAAACAGGATATAATGGTCGTCCAGCTCTTTTAGTTTGTCTGTCAACCAATCCATGTTCTTTAACAGGTATTCAATGCAAAACATGATGCCACCATTAGGTCCAAGTGAAAGTTCATTCATCGTGTCTTCAAGTGTGATGAGATCGAATATGTTGATGGCACAAGGATAAGGTATATTGTCATTGGCAGGATCTAGATTGACAATCGCCACTTTTCTATATACCATTTAGATCTAATTCTGTTTTTGTTTGTTCATTACCTTCCAATCGCAGTCAAATATTGATAAGCACCCCAACAATACGTTGTCTTTCCTGAACCAGGAGGACCTACAATAACCTATGATGGATTGAGTATTGACACTGTATCTATCTATATCTATTTTACTTGTCCAAAGGGCATTTCCTTGTTTATTTGTAAGTAAAGAGAAAAAAAAAGCAACTCAGCAAATAATCATTTTTTGTGCCATCTTTAAGCCAACAGCACAAACATAGTCCACAATGATCTTTTTAAATGCAGGAGAATCAAACTTGACAAGGTAATTGACAGGTGCAACTCTGTCTTGTCCAAGTAGCACAAGTACCTTTTCCAATGCTTGTTTTGTGATTGTGCTTGGATCAGCCCATCCTGCTGGATAATTGCGCGTTTCTTTTACAAAAGTGACAAAGGATTGCTGTTCGAATTCTTTACGAAAATCTTCTATAGGATGCCAAGTATAGTCAATAGGATCTAATAAGTCTGAAGGAGCATATTGTCCCTTGTAATTCATTTTAGGACATGTATGGATATAGAAGCCTAAAATAGATGGTCAATCTAGCGTATAGATATTGATGCACTTACCCATATAATAATACTGAAGTGAATCCATTTTATCATGGTATTCTTGTACTAGACTGATTTCTCGAAAAGCACTGTATTTCCCTAGACTAAGAAAGCTATAGTCTGGGTCATACAAGAAATAGACAGAAGAGACACATTTGGGCAAGATATCAATGACTGCTAAAGCAACCAGTTTACCATCCAAAATATACTTTTGATGAAAGGATCCAAACATGTTCTTTTCAGGTTTTAAGGGTGAATCAATCAAGAACCGTTTGAACCCACTCTTGCTAATATCTTCTTCTTTATCGTGGTGTATACTCTTTTGATACTTGGCATATAGCTCAAATTTCTCTTGAGTAAAGGAAGAAGGCTCTAGCTCAACCTATGTCCACGTAAGTAGATAGACATCACTTTGTTTACATACCTTAAAATTATATTTACTATTCTCTGTCACTTCAGATTCATGGATATAGTCTCGTAAGGATTTGATTTGAACATAGTTATCTGGTTTAGATACTTGCTCCTGTTTGCCTTTTGGTACATCTTTATCGGTCCTTTTTGGATCCCATGTTCCCTTGATATACTTGTTGAATTTGGTGATAATCTTCTTTTGACTCTTTGTTGTATTAAACCGAGAAGCATCAAGTCGAATCGTGTATTGAGGACAACAACTCTTTTCCAAGTCTGGTTTATAGAGATACTTTCCAGATCGTCTCCAGCCTCTGTCGATCAAGTCTTGATAATCAGTGCAAGTCATACTATGCGCCCATATACCGAATGAGATGGACGTGTCTTTGCCTTTACAATAACCGCAGTTATGTTGGCTGTCTCCTGTGATAGAAACAACAGAAACACCGAGGCTTTGCATCATATCCTCCTCTTCTTCCTCTATTTCTTCCTCTATTTCTTCCTCTGTGCTGCTATCGTATTCTTTATCTTTTGAACTCATAAGGGAAAGAGAAAATAAATCTTATGCAACCTTTTTTCGAACTAAGCCGAGATTCAGGACGAAGATGTTTTCGGCCCGCGCAAAATAATACACAACATTTGGCTTAAGTGTGATCACATTTTTTTTTTTTTTTTTTTTTTTTTTCAGGAAGTGCACAAGCTCTCTTTGGTTTGGTCAAAAAAGATGGACTCCCTCTTTGTGTTTTCATGTCATACATTGTGTCTATTATTATGTCAAAAAAGAAGGCCTTTCAATATTTGAAGCATATTATCAAATCACTATCAAATCCCGTGCCATTGTGCCATGAATGCTTCTGTTAAAGTTCAGTTGTATAAACCTATCTTTCATGTGGCCATTTCTTTTCTCTTACTAATGACACCATTGAATACAATAACATTCAAATCATTTAAATGCATCAAGCAAATGATTCATTATTCATATCAGCTGATTTCTTCTTGTCTCCTCGGTAAAGACATCTCTTTCTCGGAGGAGCAATGTGCCTCCCTCTTTGTGATAATCATAAAAAAAAAGCGACATCTTCTCTAGTCAGTCTTTAGTGACATGGACTAGCGTTCATGAAAACAACTAAGAACTACATGCTACGATTTGTAATTTTGTCGTCATTATCAGGTGGGCAACTTTTTTTTTTTGACGCCATTTCTCTTTTATTATTATTATTATGCAGATGTCTTATGACTACTCAAAAGATCAAGGTATTCCGTTTTTGCTGTTGTACACTCAAGTTCTTCTTTAGATGTACTGTAAAGTTTCTCACTGACTTTTTCTGCTTGTAAAGACTAATGTAACAATTAAGCACATGTACACTATTCAATTCAGACTTACATTTTCATCATAATACACAATAGGTTGCCAATCTTCTTCTTCGGCATTACGAACAGCCATAGAATACAGGTTTCTTCTGATGCCTTGAGGCTCAGCATTCTTCACAGAGACTTGAAGGGTTTGTGCTTTTTCTGGGTCTGTATTTCTCTTTTTTTCTTCTTGCTTTTCAACATCTTGAATACGCTTATTAGCTGCCTTCCATTTTTCATCAATCTTGTCAATGTATTTGAATCCAGGACGTAATTGTACTGTTGTGCTGATGGGTGTGACGTGTAGTTCCTCTAAACAGTCATTAGCACATAGAATGAGGATTCGATTTTACCATTTCGAATAACACCAATCACATATTTAGTTTGAGTTGGCACTTCAGTTGAAGTCAATGTCATTTTATCTAGTAATTCTTCTTCCTTTTTCTTTTGTCCTCGATTGTAATTATGTCCCATACTCAATTCTTCTTCGTGTTCTTCCATACGTCTGTCATAAGCTGTCTTGATGGCTTTATCGTTTAAACCCATAGCAAAATCTTCACCTCTCTCGGTACTATAGTTGGTAGAGCGTGTGTCGAGAGGTAAGTCGAGTTCAACCATTTTTGCTTTAGGTTTGATGCGTGCAGCGTTAGGTCCGTTTCTGCCGTTGAAAGGTATGGATCGCATAGGAAATTGAAACATGTACAGATATTTACTGAGTTCGTTGGTTAAATAGATGGGATATTCAGCCAAGACTTCGTCGTCTTCTTCCAAGTGAGCATAAGTCATAGTTTCATCCATATCAGACATGATTTTTTCTAAAGAAAAAAGTGAAAAGAAAAATGACATTTTTAAAGACGTGTGACGGTTTTTACTCAAAAGGACGGACTTCAGTAAGGTCTGTTGGGGGTCTTGCTTACCTAAGAGTGTCATTCATGGTATTGAGGTTGACTACAGAAAAGTATTCCATTTTAATTAGAATATTTTACTTGTTAGGACTTTGAGGGGTTGATATGAACATGAGTGGCGTATCTTTTTAATCAATACTTGCTAAAAGAGAATGTCCCTTAAAAAAATCTGAGTTCAAATGAGTAGACTCTTGTCAGAAACTAAAAATCAGAAAAATGAAGAGTTTTAGAAATTCATCACCTTTCTTTCATCTAAAGAATTTTTTAATACGTTGGCCTGGTCACTCTTGGTGGTGCTCCAGATTTTGCTATAATCCCTTGTGGGAGATTGTATCTCTTAGGTATCAACAATTGTGTCAAGTGCCAAGTAATTGAAAACATTTTGGAATGGTGTCCTTTACTTGTGGTATTGGTATAGCCATCTGTAACATTGAGCAAGACAAGATATAAAGAGTACTGACTCTCAGGAGCAACGAACGAAACACTTAATATATCCTTTTTAGGACATATTGAGGGGTAGCCCAGATGACGGCTATTTTATTGGGATTATATAAGACCCATACAATCGTACTGAATGCTTCCACAAAAGCATTGTTTTAAAGATATTTCATATGACTAGTCACTTTGCTTCACATACACTGGTTCCTATTTATACGATGATTTTATTTTTTTTTAAAAATAAAACTTTCATCCAACACAAAGAGAAATGATGGACAAAAAGTGTTTAAAAGCAAAGAGTAATCAAGAAAGTGTATTAGAAAAGTTATTAGGTAAAAATAAGGCGCGTTGAATTGTGTAAAGAACACAGGATATTGATTATTAGTATTTTGTACTATCTTTTAAAAATGTATTCTCTGTTTTAGAGCTCTGGTGTACATTTTTCATGGTATTTTTGCAGATCCAACATTTTGAATGTGTTTTATAAACTTTGAGAAACAAATCATGCTAAGATATGTTATGCCTACAACGTCTCTATCGCTCACCAATCGTAAAATAGTGAAAATTGAAGGTTTGTAAAAGGAATCATAAGAGCAAAATGACGATTTTTGAACTCTTTCAAAACTTGCTCTATTTTTGCATACATATATTCTTTTTTGGATGCTCAAACATAGGAAATTTAAAAAAGGGGAATCAGAAGGCAGAAATGATGGTTTATTTCGATAAATACTCTTACCTGCAGCGGGCTGCTAATACACTTTTGGGGCTATGATGCTTATCAGTTCTATTCAAAAAATGAGCTGTTAGGAAAGTCAGTTTATAAACTAAGATTGTATCATAAGTTTGATACTCAAAAAAGACACACATTGTGGATTAAAAGGCATGCTAAATGTGCCAAATGAAATCAAAAGTGAGTATATTGATTCAATGAATTGACTTTTTCGGACCCAAGTATCCCTTCATACTCGAATTCACTACTTTTTAGCTTATATAACAGAAACGTTTTATACTGCAATCAAAAGCTATCAAGCAAAGAAAAGACTACATATTCATAAAGAAATTCTTATAGAAATCACAAAGGTAAGATCGTCCAAACTCAAACATACAGCGACTGTTTTATTCAAAAAAAGAATCTAATTTCATTGCCTTCTAAAACAAGGCTGGATCTACTAATTATTAAAGTAGCAATGTTAATTAATGATTCGACTCATAAACCAAGAAATAAACTCGTACATTATGTTTCGATGGTATGATTGAATACGAGAAAGGAGTCTTTACATCAACTGTTACTGACCACTTCATATGTGATGCATGCCATGATGGTATTTAGTTGCCATGCATCTTTGCGCTGTTTTCAAAATACAAGTGCATACATTTTTCAAATTGATATTTAATAAGCTATTTCAATATACAGGCAGCATGATGATGAATAGTAATTATGATGACTAGGTGCATAAAATAAAAAGGAATGAGTATGAGGGAACATAAAAGTACTGACAGCATAACTATATGTAGGTAAGTAGAAGCATATTTCATAAAGTAAAGGCTTATTTTTTTTTCTAATTTTTAACGGATTTGCTATGAGGTCGATTAATTCTCCAAGGTCTTTGGCAAACTCGATGTTGATAGACTTCTATGACATTTTTGTTCTGCAATGTCTTGAATCGTCCCCAGCAGCAACCTCGTGAACGATGTGGCAAGAAATTAAACGAGATCATGGCCCATGATAAGCCTTGTTCATATCCCTTTTGTAAAAGATCATCTTCTTCAGGAGTCCAAGGCACTCTTGTCTGAATCATGGATGTTGAGTTTGATCTGTTACGACGTGTAGATTGTTTGCTTTGAACCATAATAAACTTGCTATCGCTGTTGATTCGCTTACGATAGTTAGGCTTGGGTTTATCTTCGCTTGAACTGCTACTATTGCTTGCTGTACTCAAAGAGCGGTTATGCTTCCAGAATTCCGTATCGTTAAACATAATAGGAACAGGACGTTGAATAAAAATCTGATTGTTTACAGGTGGTGGCGAGTGATATATATAGTTTTTTGAAACGTAAGGATCACAAGGATGGCATAGCAAGTGGTTGATATCCATGACTCCTAACATTTAATATAAGCAAAAATATAGACTAGCTTGTTTATTAACTTACCGGACATAATGACAAGTTTAACTATAATACAAAAATATAAGAGAAAAAAGAGTTTTTTTTTTCCTTTTCAAAGTTTCTTAAGATCCCTTATTATATATTTATGTGTTAAAAAAGGGGAGACAAAAAGAATATGATAAAGTATAATAGGGGCTTAATCTTTCTCTCTCTTTCTCTCTTTAAAGTATGATGCACATCCATTTATGAGATCTCTCTCACTAGTGTAAAAAAAGGTAATGATCTGCCGCCAAAACTTAAAAAAAAAGAAGAAATAACAAGAAAGAGAACAACGCTATTGTCAATATGTTCATACTGCTCCACAGTCATTTCTCTCTCTCTCTCTCTCTCTCTCTCTCTCTCTCTCTCTCTTCATTTATAAAATTGACACTCTAATGGATCGACATCATCCCCGTTGTTCTTTCCATCATTCTCCTCAACAGAGAATAAATGCATGTAACATGCATGTCAACACTTTATTTATCTGTTTCCATACATGTACAAATGATGAGAAACAGTTTTTATGATTTGTCTTTTTATAGGTATTTTGATATTTTCTCAATTTGAACTGCACTAATTCAATGGGCGTACATATTCCCCTCCCCCCTTTTTTCTATCTAGTATGAGTGATATGGTAAATTTAAAATATCGAAAAACAAAAGACTCAATCCATAAGAATAGCATGGTAGAAAACGCGAAAAGACAACCGAGGAAATTGTCAAGGCACGAAAACTAAAAGAAGCAACCAAAATTAAAGAATACAACACATTGGTTGAACAATGTAGAGCCAAAGTAAGATGGACTGCTTCATGTGTACAAACCCTTAACCAACCATAGATGGACAAAGAAGAATACGATAATGATGCATTCAGTTTGACAACGCAAATTGTCCAATGGAATCCCGACTATTACACTGTATGGAACTATCGTCGCGTGATCTTGCGTGAATATGTTCTTCACAATCGAGATGAAGATGAGCAACAAAAAATATATCAAAAAGAACTGTTGTTGTTTATGCAGCTTATCAGGGTCAACCCCAAGTCCTATTGGCTTTGGAACCATCGTTTTTGGTGTTTACAACATATGCCAAAACCAGACTGGGAAGCTGAACTCGGTCTCGTTGAGAAAATGTTGACCATGGATGCCAGAAACTGTAAGCAAAAGAGTTATGTGAGCCATGTCTTATTCGATAGTTTATAGTTCATGGTTGGGATTATAGACGCTATGTTGTGAGTCACTTGAGAAAGAATGCAAAAGATGAACAAGAGATAGCCAAGATTGTTCAGCATGAATATGAATTTACTACACGCAAAATCAACCAAAGCTTTAGTAATTATTCAGCTTGGCATCAACGTTCAAAGCTTTTACCTGAAATTGTGATGCATATGACAACGGAGGAAAAGAATGTTATTGCCATGAATGGTAAAGACATACAAAATAAAAGGAGGGGGATTGTACTGATGATGATATAAATAGAGTTGGATCTAGTCAAAAACGCTATTTATACAGACCCAGAAGATCAATCTGCATGGTTATACTACTGGTGGTTACTTGGAAGAGCTCCTGATTATGTTGAATGTATGGGTGCATATTCCCTTGAAAGCAAGCCAACTGCTATCTATCTTGGATTCAACGATATGATCAAGTTCATTGAACCACCTACTGTGTTAGATGAACAAAGCAATAGGGTCCCCAGTCGACTCTATCCCTTGTGCAGCAAAAATGGTGAGAGCGCATCTACTTGGATGCTTGCAGTTGATGTTGCCAACGCAAAAACAATCTCTTTACAATCAAATGCTATCTTGCCTAGTACAAGTGCCAAGTCCATTTCTCAAAAAACATGGCAAGTAGAGATCAAAAAAATGATGCAAGGATCTGGTAAAGTTGCATGGGTGTATGTATCCAAACTAACCCTAAGACCACAGTTATTCAGGAACGTGTGGCTTTGGTCAAGTCAAGGGAGTGGCAGCCAGTATCAATCAAAATGTATAAGGATCCTATTTTAGAAGATCAGTCTGCTTGGTTTGCTCTGGATAAAGTGCAATTACTTAAAGATGAGATAGAGACAGTGCGTGAGTTACTAGAAATTGAGCCTGATAGTGCATGTAAGTTCAAAGTGAAGCTTGATTTTGGTATTCACTGAATAGGGGCTATGCAAACACTTGTACACTTTTTGAGCCAAATGCAACTACGTTCACAGATTGATAAGGAATCCATCTATGCTGAGATTGCAGACATCTTGGACAAATTAATGGATATTGATAAAGATAGAAGATTTCGGTACCAAGACCAGAGTAAGTGAACAAGAATGTCTTGAAAAATATTGATTCTGTATAATAGAGAACAAGCTGTTGTTTGATCAAGCAACACAAGGACCTTTGAAAGATGAAAGTATTGCCACGTACAATGAAATACTAGACTTGGATCAAGTGGAAGGACATGTTCCTTTGCTCTCAAAATTGTTATTTCTATGAATAAAATATCGCTAGTTATTATAAAGAGTAAAGATATGTATTCCTACAAGAAGAAAAGTGCTATCAAAGAGAAACGATTTACTAATTGGAATTCTCAATTAGTATCTTGAGAGTGAAATTCTATCAGCAATTACAGCTTATCTGAAAAAAAAAAAAAAAAAAAAAAAAAAAAAAAACTCAATAGGACTATATGCTATGGAATGTGTTACCTTCTAACATTGGGTTTGATCAAAACATTCGATGAACACTTGGTCACATTGCTTTATATTTAATAGCACATTTTAAACACTGAATTTGATTTTCATAAAGAGAAGCATACCTACAGGAAAGGGCTTGCTCCTTCTGTTTCCTCTACTGTTTTAAGACAATCACTGACTAAATGGCAGTGATGAAATCTCTCTATTTAAACGTGTAACGCAGTAAGGTTATTTTGGACCAAGAAAACTAGGAGTGTGGTTCAAGTCAGCAGTGATATGCAGAGTAAAACAATAGAAACAGAAAAAATAAGATGGTAACTAATGACTCTAATTGATGCAATCATGGCTTTAGTAATTTGATCATTAATTTTTTTAGAAACTTCTATTCAACTGGCCATTCTTTATGTTAGGTCATTTAGTTTTTAAATGCATACTTTAAAGGAAATTCAAAATCTCAAATACGCAATTTCATGGCTTATTTGGCTATTTATATACACCTGCTTCCAAGCCATCCATTGACAAGACATTTTTTTTTTAATTGTTTCAAATGTTTTTATAGTAACATTGGCATTTTAGCTTGGGAAAAAAAAGGTGTAAGCAAATGCTATTTAAAGAAATAGGCCATAAAAAAATGTATTATGAATATAGTAACAGTGTATTTTATTAATGTTTGAGTATGTATGATTGATATAAACATAGATGTAAAATGAATGACAGATTTTTTTTTCTTTATAGATATATGCGATATGTACATTTTTTTTGGGGATATGTAGATTACATTTAGGGTTCATGTAGGTTTACAACAACATGCATCCATTCATGATGGTGAGTAGAGAAATGGGTACTGATCCACTTGTAGACAAAAGAGCCATTGATTCGGACCAACAATCGCTGAGAACAAATGGGACATGTGCGGTATGAGTATCGAGTCGTTGTATTCTTCATGGCTGTTGTTCTTGCCAAATTGCTTCTCTTTCGAGTGATTTTGTTTGCATTTGTAGTCACTTGTGATGTCTTTTCACAGAATAAAGATTGGTTCAAGAGTAAGCGAGAAGCAGTACTTGCAAGTTCCAAAGACATTTTTAAAAAGAGAGAGAGAGAGAGATAATGTGCTGAATTGAGAAAGAAAATGCATTCGTATTTAAATAGTGTTTTGGCGTTTTACAAGCGACTAGCCGATTTCAGTAGAAAAAAAAAGCATGATTTGAAAAAGTCCCCCTGATCAGTTTTGGGTACACAACATCATCACCTCCTTTCGAAAAAGAATGAAAAAGAAGTCCTGCTTGTCAAGTAACACATAATCGATCGCACTGACCATTATTTATATGTACAAAAGGGTGTATTGAATAAAATCATACCTCTTGTCTATGCATTTATTCTCGAGAAATTCATTTCATTCTTGGGCGTATACTCATGTAAAGACCCCTAAATGGTAATGTTTGAATCTGACAATTATGGCAATGCTTTACATGAGTAGCACTTTTCTTTCTCCACTGTATGACTGTTTGACTTGGTAATATATCCTTTTTTTCATAAAAAAAGTTACACGAAAAAATGACTGGCGTGCCTTAAACAAACCTCTCACTCTGATTGCATTAAGATCAGTTGGCAATACGCCAAACTTTGTTCGTTTGTGCCTGTTTACGCATGTAGCTAACAAGTACATCTTTTGCTGATATTTACAATAACTGCACTATCCAATGTATCTTTAAATATTATGAAAAAGCGTAACTATCCCATTTACTAACGAGGGCTGGTTTAACAATATTGTAATAAAGCATATAATTTGTTGTGCCTGGGCTAACAAAAAAAATAGCAAAGGCTTCTATTCATCAAGCACTTGCTAGTCCACTAAGAATGTATGTTCTACTTCTATTAACAAGCCTTTTTCTCAAGATCAACCTAACAGATTCATATCATAACCAACTGAAGAAGGTCAATATTTTGTCGGTTTGTTTTCTTCCCAAATTATCCCAAGTAGCTGCCGCCCTGAGGTTGTTATCGAAACGGAAAAGGAAAGTTCTTATGTAAATGCTGTGAAAGAAATTAAGGACCGAGATACCAAAAAATAAGGAAATGTTTTCTAGGTTTTTGATTTGATAGGGAGGAGGGGCTTTTGGGCTGCAAGTGCTCTGGGTGTTAGAGTTGAAGAATTCTTTAGTTTTTTGGACATAAGATATCAAGTAACCAAGATAACAAAAAAAAAAAAAAAATAGGTCTTGAGATAACTTTCTTCTTTTTAGGCATTTGCCAGATGTTAGAGGTTCGAAATTAGATGTTTTCTTCTATACTCAAAGAGTTTGTGCACTTTATTGAACAACTCAACTTCCTCTATAACACGGCAGTACTGTATGAGCACTGCTTTATTCGACAAAAAAAAAAGGTAGTCATAACGTTCAACAAATCTATAAAATTTATAATACGACTGAGACCTCAACAGCCAAGATTTCAATAAAAGTCAGCTTGCCATTTTTTATCCATGTCTTTTCTTTAATAAATACATGGCAATGTCTTTATCATTGGAAAGATGGCATAAATCAATCAATGTTATACAACTTTAGACCTGGGAAGATTCTGTTTTGTTGAGCTACGATAGTGAGTAGTTTGAACAATTAGAATCTTTTTGTTTGCTTAAAACGGCTCAAGAAGAGTCCATTCCTCAAGGCTTTTTCGGATTCTCCACGCCCATCTGATCAAAATCAAATAAAAGACATTGGCAAGAAAGACTAGCCCTTCATACAAAGTTAAATTTCGAGAGAATGCACAAAACAAAGTAAAGATATTCACATGGCAAGGTCATGCCAATGATTTAAGTGACATGAACTTCCGGACACTCAAAGTCAGGCACCGAAACTCTCTCCTGCTTGACAAAATGCTGGTTTTCAAAAAAAAAAAAAAAAAAAAAAAAAAAAAGTTTTTCTCTCTTTTTTGTATTAAAAACAATAACAACAATAGCATGTCAGAGAGAATTGCGACCGTTCGTCCCGATCAGATCAAGAGCTTCTATGACAGTAGAAAGAGTAGTGTAAGAAACGACATATGAGAGAAACACGCATCCTAAAGACTTTTGTTATTTAGAAAGTGTATCAACACACCAATTATGATTATTATCAACCAGAAGACTTTGAAGAAGAGTTGAATGAATTTATATCTTATTCTGAAATCAAATGGGAATTCAAGCAATATGAGGCAGAATACAATGATATTTATTCGCGTAACTAGTGAGAAAATGTGTGGCCTATGTGATGCTGACACGTTTGGCCCTAGTTTGGAAGCAATGCAGTCTGAAAGAAAAGAAGGAAATCATTCAAAGTTGCGGAGATCAATTAGAATACAAGCAAGAAGAAGAAAGAAGTAGATCCGTTAAGCATTTAGTGTATATTTCATTAGGTAAAATAAACAAATAAAGCAAGTATCTTATGCTTTCTATCGATAGGAAATTATGGAGAATATCGAGGCATGGAACAAAAGGAACAGCATATGAAAATAATGAAAGAGAACAATCAACTCTTGTACGATCACAATATCATTCCAGCATTAAAACAATCTTTAAGTAATACTTGTCAGCAACTTGAAGCACCTTCGTCGTAAGCAACATGTTAGAGTTGGAATGATAAATAATAATGTTTTACGTGATAGTTCTTTACAGTCTGAAACGGTGATGTTTTACTGTCAAGAGATTGATATGCACTTGACGATCTTGTACTTGGTGGTTCATTTTAACAAGGACAAAGAACAACTGAAACTTGAAGACTTGACTGAATTCTTGTTTGACCTTGTAGTACGCTTAAAAGAGCATTTTACAAGGACATTTCCTCTAAAGAAAGTAAGATATAGAATACTAGCTATATGTGTCATCTAACGTTTCTTTCGTTAGCTGATGCTAACCTTATACAAACTTTTAGTGATTACATTGGGTCCTTTGGATCAAACCTATCAGGATTTGAAAGCCAAGGTCCGAACTGCTTGTGAATTGCCCTTGATTGACAATAAGAGTCAAATGGTAAAATGTACACCAGAAGAATTACATGCGTTTTATCAACAATCGCAAGAAAAATACCCAACATTTATACCAAGTCGATTGCCTGAAAAGATCATGAGCCCACTTACTGCTACTGCAACCAATCAATTAGCCATCTCGATGGGGTTATCCAAGGCATCAAAAAATGTGGATTTGCCCTATCAAACCTTGTTTCCTTCGAAAAACAATGTCCAGCAACAACAGCCAACCAACAAGAAAGCTACCGTAGTAACAGAAATAACCGAGACTAACTTATTGCCCTTTGCAGAAAAAGGAGCAAAAGAGCCTTACTATTTGACTGAAGCCAATTCAGCTTGGCTTAAGCATCTTTATATTTCGGTAGCTGATTATCAGGTCATTCATGAGCGAGAAAAGGCTGTTCATCGATGGGAACATTGGAATAAGAACCGTACAAGCCAAGCAGATTCAGATGAATGGGATGAGATGATATACCATCGATTGAACGAAAAAGACAGCGATAAAATGCACTGTATCGATCAATTGTACAGTAGTATCATGCCCAATTTTCAAAGTATTGTGGTAGTCATCTTGAAGCTTTTGTTATCTACTGTGTCTATTGGAAAAGACAAAGAAGCAGAGATCTTGGAAGATATCAATATCACACGTAATAGAGAAACCATTTCTAAAGCTGTTTCTGGTATTTTATTGCTCTTGTTAAAGTGGTTTAAAGTATCTCGTAAGCACAATGTACCCCTAATTTCTATTCTATTGACTGTTTTCTCTATATAGATGTATTAAAGTTTGAATACTTGTCACAGGTTCTTGTTGATTCTGGTTGCATGTTGTTGATCTTGAAGTTATTGGGACTACAAGAAGTAGCTTTGTTGGCTTCAAAAAAGACGGATGATCAGACACAATGGTAAAGTCATGGACTTGCATCGTTTAAGTATTGACAGCTTCTTATAGCTTTTTTGAGTACATGTTGGAAAAAGAAGGTTCGTTTGAAGAAGAAAGCACAAAAGAAGAGTTCTATACAAACAAACGAAACTTGTTTTGGTCTATCAATCTCTTGAGAGTATTACAAATGTTAACTAAAAGAAAGACACATCGTATATCCCTTCTAGTTCAATACAAATCTTCTGTAAGATATAAACAGTCTTTGTTACTTTCATAACCATTTATGGATAGGCCATTCTGAAGCGATTGTTGAAAGTGGGTCATCCTGTCATGGATCTTTATGTATTGAAGAACCTCAAGAACCAAATACCACTCATGGGACGTAAATGGAGATCAAGTAAGTTGAATGGACTAGAAGACTAGTCTTGACAATACACCATAGCCAACATGAAGACCATTTCGTCCATCTATGCTCATTGTTTGACTTGTTTAAGTGATGATTGGCTGTCTTCTCCAGAAGGAAGTATGGATTCAGAAGAAGGAGCAGTATGTATGCATGTAGCAGTATGTGAGCTTGCCTTTGTAACTTACTCTTGTAGACAAAAGAAATCAATCTTCGTATGTTGACCAGACTATACAATGGACATCGCTATATGCCTAGTATTTTGCCTAGTATGGATGATATGGTTGGACCTGAAAGCACCTTATTTTATATCACAGAAAACGATCATTCAGAAAATAGCAGTGGCAAATTACCAGACTATGGACTCAACTCGACCCTTCTTTTAGATGGCATTGAACTAGATGTTGACTTTAAGCGAAATTATCGTGAATGGTTAGAAAAAGATGTTTATTCAACTGAAGAAGAAGACGAAGAAGACGATGAAGAAGAACTGTGTACAGATACTACCCAAAACTGGACTATTGGCACTCCTATTCCTGATACCATGCCAATTCCTTTATCTGCAGATGATTTAACCAAAGAAATCAACAAACTGTATCTGGAAGAATTACAGCATGAATTTGAAGAGAAAGCAAAGAGACAGAAAGAGACGGAAATGGTTCAAGAAGTAGAAGATGGTTGGGACAAACCAATTGATTTCAATCATAATGCTTGGGGCAATGCCGCAGTGAATCCGAATGAAAATGATGAAGAAGCAGACGAAGTTGAACCAGAAGTGGATCCACTTGGCAATATCCATTGGGATAGTTTGACAGAAGAAGACTTGAAAAGAAGACTGACTTTGGTAGAAGAGAAAACGGTGCAACGTTGGTTGAATGTCGATATGAATGACCCGCGTTATTTGAAGGTACTGAACACATTTGAAGGAGAAGGAGACTTGATACCAGTGGATGATGAAGGCTGGCCAATTTAGTTTGTAAAATAAAACTTGTAATTTAATTCACGAAATGCAAAATCGCGTCTTCTTTTCTTTTAAGCACGATGGATAATACACGTATGGAATCGATACTGACATGACAGACTATATTAACTTGTTATTTCAGTCAGTAGCGAGGCACTCGAAGAGATATTTGCCCGTCTAAGAAGTGCAGATCAACAGGTAAGTCAAGTCATCACCAAAGCCTGTTCTCATGGCATCATTAGATCCCTTCTGTCGTAAAGCAAACAGTCCAAGATATCAAAGATGAGCTTGAACGTACGTTTCTTACACCTCAAAAACATTTTCCTTCTTCTTGGTTAGACAAGTGTCAAGAGTAAGTTATTCAGACAACTAAAGCTATAGCTGAATAATATATTAGACACTGGGAAGAAACACCAGACTATACTATCAATGCTTATTCTCAATTATCAAAGCCACACACTGATATAGAAGTGGTTCGTAAAGGATTTGATGGTGATGTGATTGGCTATAGAGAGATGTTGATGGATGATGTCAATCTGGAACACTCAACAAGTCTCACAAGAGCTTTTGGACCTACAAAGAACTTTGTTCGTGGCTCTGCTTCCCAAATACCTTTTGCACCAGGAGGATTGGAGACTGAAGTGGTGATAGACGAAGAACAAGTGCATTTGGACACAGATATTGACTTATTTGAAGGTAAACATGACTTGACTTGTCATTCAGCATGATGTATTCAAATGCCATAGATACTTCTGTAATCGCGCCTGGATTGGATCGAGGTTTATCGTTTGACAGTGATGAAAAAGAAGAAAAGGCAATAGACATACCTCTTATGACAAAAGATACTGTCTTTAATATTGAAGATATGATGGCACCTATGGATAGCACATTTGACTTTTTAAATGTCAAAGTAGAGCCCATTGATCAAGCTGTAACAGAATTAGCAGCTGAACAAGAGACAAAAGAAGCAGAAGGTAATCTTGTTGTATTGATCACTCCATTTAATATTGCTAGATTCACAAGAAGTGGATGAATTATTGCCTGCTACACTTCCTCCTGCTCCAAAGGACCTTGCTCATAAGAAACTTACTACAGATGCTAAAGAGGCATTAAAGCGTAGAGAATGGGCACATGAAATCAACGTGAATGAACCTTTTGATAACTTTTATGATTTGGTACCTGAGATGGCTATGCAGGTAAAGAAAGAAAAAAAAAAGGAAATGAATTATTTATAAAGTATGGTAGTTTCCATTTGAATTGGATATCTTTCAAAAACAAGCTGTCTATCACTTGGAAATGGGAGATTCAGTCTTTATTGCAGCTCATACCTCAGCTGGTAAGACTGTAGTTGCTGACTATGCTATTGCTTTAGCTACCAAGCATATGACAAAGGCGATTTATACATCACCCATCAAGGCCCTAAGTAACCAAAAATTCCGTGATTTCAAGCATACATTTGGCGAAGACGTGGGTATTTTGACAGGTGATGTACAAATTCGCCCTGAAGCCAGTTGTCTGGTCATGACAACAGAAATTCTTCGTAGTATGCTGTACCGTGGTGCTGATTTGATTCGAGATGTCGAATTTGTTATTTTTGATGAAGTCCATTATGTGAATGATTTAGAGGTACTCCCCGTACTTTGTACGACATTGTCTTATTTGTTTATCATAGAGAGGTGTTGTATGGGAAGAAGTCATTATTATGCTTCCTGCTCATGTGAACATTATTCTGTTGTCTGCTACTGTCCCCAACACAAAGGAATTTGCTGGTTGGGTTGGGTAAGTTTATACGGAATATCGTATCAGATCTAATAGGCTTTTTAGACGCACAAAGAAGAAGGACATTTATGTCATCAGTACACTCAAGAGACCTGTTCCTCTTGAACATTATCTCTATGCTAACAAGGATATTTACAAGATTGTTGGAGCGAACGAAACAAAGCTGAATATGATTGGGTGGGTTGGTTCATCGAGGATCTATGTATGATTTAACATGTATATGTTAGTTACAACAAAGCAAAGGATGCCATGTTGAAACGCAAGGAACAAGTAGACAAAGCAAACGGTGTCTCTACAAATACCCGTGGTGGTCGTGGTGGAAGAGGAGGTGGATTTGTTGCTCGTGGTGGCAGTGCTCGTACTCCCACAAGAAGCTATCAAGCCAGTTTCCAAACAGTAACCTATCAAACATATGTCCAAACCCAGAAACTCATTCTTTTCAATGATAGGATCGCAACTTATTTGTTCACTTGATTGGCATGTTGAAGACAAAGACGTTGTTGCCTGTTGTCATCTTTACTTTTTCCAAAAAGCGTTGTGAAGAATACGCCTCTGGTCTTTCCAAAACTGATCTCTGTACGAGTTTAGAAAAGAGTGAAATCCATGTGTTTATTGAACGTAGTTTGGTTCGTCTTCGAGGCACAGATAAGCAATTACCTCAAATTTTGCGTATGCGCGATCTCTTGAGCCGTGGTATTGCTGTTCACCATGGTGGTCTTTTGCCTATCATTAAAGAAATCGTTGAAATCTTGTTTGCTCGAGGTCTTGTCAAGGTCTTGTTTGCTACAGAAACGTTTGCTATGGGTGTCAATATGCCAGCAAGAAGTGTCGTCTTTTCTGGTATTCGTAAACATGATGGTCGCGATTTCCGCGACTTATTGCCTGGTGAATACACTCAAATGTCGGGTCGTGCTGGTCGTCGTGGTCTCGATAGTACGGGTGTAGTGATCATTGCAGCCGGTGGCGATGAACCTCCTGAAGTTCCCTGTCTTTCGACCATGCTCCTGGGCAAACCCACTAAACTCGAGTCCCAATTCAGATTGACCTACAATATGATCCTGAACTTATTAAGAGTCGAAGCTCTCAAGGTAGAAGAAATGATCAAGCGTAGCTTCTCTGAAAACAGTGCCCAAAAACTTTTGCCGGAAACAAAGCGTTTGGTAGACGAGAATGAGCAAAAGCGCAGTGCTCTCAGACAACTGGACTGTGCTATCTGTGAGCCTGATCTTGAGGCATTCTATGATGTGTGTGGTGAAGTCGTCAATCTGAGTCGAAACATGATGACTCAGTTTATCAGTGCCACACCTGCGGGTAACCGAGCTCTTTCTGCAGGCCGTTTAGTGATCATCAACACCAGTGTGTATCGTAATGCGCCTGCTATGATTTTGAAGCCTTTGGCTGTCAATTCGGCCAATACGCAACATCGCTCGTTCTACTGTCTGGTCTTGTTGCCTAAAGATTTGGATATCAGTCAACCGACAAACCTAGACGAAACAACGCCTTTGCCTATCACTACTATCTGTGCTCCTAAAAATGATCAGAGTAAAACTGAAATTGTCATTGTCGGTGCTCCTGATATCTTGTTTGTCTCTAAATCAGCCATCAAGGCAGATATTGAAATGATGATGACCGGTGATGATTCTGTAGAAACTGTGCGTGTTCATCAAGAACTTGAATCCTTTGGTGCTGATACGAAAAAGTCAGGTACAGCTGAATTTGACTGGAGCAAGATCAGAGATATGGAGTTTCAAGAGATGTTGAGAACAAAGACCAGGCTCATGAAGCGTCTTCGTACTGAATTCCAATGTACAAAGTGTCCTGAAATCGATGAACATTATGGCCTTATTCATGCTCATAAGCGTCTCTCAAGTCAGATTGATATGCTCAAGATGACCATTTCTGATCAGAACCTTGAATTGCTTCCTGACTATCACCAACGTATTGAAGTCTTACGTCAATTAAACTACATTGATGATCAAGGCACCGTTCAACTCAAGGGCCGTGTTGCCTGCGAAATTAATTCTGCCGATGAATTACTACTGACTGAATTGGTCTTGGATAATGTGTTTGCAGAATATGAACCTGCTGAAGTAGTAGCCATCTTGTCTTGTTTTGTATTCCAAGAGCGCAGTGATAGTGAACCAAGATTGACGCCCAAGTTGACAAAGGGCAAAGAAGTTGTGCTTGAATATGCTCGCAAAATTGCTCAACTTCAAGTGGATTGTGGTCTTGCTATCTCTGTTGAAGATTACGTCAATGGACTCAAATTTGGCCTTGTGGAAGTGGTTTATGAATGGGCTAATGGATTAGTAAGTCTTGGACATGATTGACACATGGAACTCATTTTTTCTTCTGTTCTAGCCTTTCAAACATATTACTGATTTGACAGACGTATTAGAAGGCTCTATTGTCAGATGTATCAGTCGGTTGGATGAAACATGCCGTGAAGTGATGGGTGCAGCACGCATGGTGGGTGATACCACACTTTACAAAAAGATGGAGCAAGCGGAACAAGATATTAAGCGAGATATTGTCTTTGCAGCTAGTTTGGTAAGTGTCTGCCTTCTGATTTAACCTCATACGCTCTTCTAGTATTTTTAAACTGAGTCTATACTTGCAACACGTCAAAACGCGAGTTTGTTTCTTTTCTGCGTTTCTTTTTATTTTATTTTTTATGAGTGACCATAGTTCTCTAAAGATCATCTCAAGCAAACTACAGACATGTAATATAATAAAAGTGCAAGATCAGAGTTAATATATATATATATATATATGCTGTATGTATAGTGCAACTTCCTGATCCTGATACAAAAGAGAGTGAAAATCCTTATTTTAAGGATGGAAAATTATTCTTTAACGAGACCAAGTTACGAGCAGAGAATCACCCACATATCGCAACAAGTAATTATATATTTATGATTTTTGATATATGCTTACCATGGCATAGAAACCATGATATTTAGAGACTATAGAGCACAGGTTGAATCCACACCAGATATGACCATTGAAATACCAACAGAATTCCTTGATGTTATTGCTGCACTTGTTCAGGACAGCGATGAACATTTTACTGTGCTTGTCAATCGTATCAATGATATCCTATCCCCTTTTCAGAGAAAAGAAGATGGTAAAAACAAGTGTTTGATTTGATGATCTTTAACATTGGATTTAGTGGCACACAGGTATGATTTAGCCATTGAAAAAGCAGTCAAGGCCATTGCTCAAAAAATGCCTTATGGACTTGGACATGCAGACTATGTCTCTATGGAACATCATGCGCCCAATGTGCCCTGGGTAAGTGTCGAGTTAGATCATATCCATCTGATTCGACTTTGTAGCATCTTTGTATTTATCGATGGGAAGTGATGAATTTGCAGTTATTTCCATCCGATATGCAGCAGGCTGTTGTATCACGAAGAGAGGCTAGGCAACATGTGAGTCAATGGAACGATTGTATTGTATTGAACTGTTCTTTTATAGATGACTAAGTCGTTCACTCAATTCATATTACAATTGCCTTTAGAGATCAAACATACTATCATCAATGCAAAACATAGACGATCCACTGCAGTCAAAGAAGTCATTGTTGTAAGTATAAGTGGGTATCCCATTGGTCTATTGATGATATCAGATAGAAGATACTCGACAAAAGCAAGCAGAAAATGAACAAGAACTGGAAGAAAAACGCAAAAAGAAAGAAGAAGAAAGAAAGCGAAAAGAGGACGAAAAGAGACAGCGAGAAGAAGAAAAAAGACTACGAGAGGAAGAAAGAAAGAGACAGAAAGAAGAGGAGAGACGGTTGCGAGATGAAGAAAAGAAGAAGCGTGAAGAGGAAAAAAGAAAAAAGGAACAATCACAATTACGACTTACTTCTTTATTCACAAAGACTTCTATATCTGATACACCACCTCATATAGAAAAGATCATTGAGCCTGCTAAACCAACACTATTCCCAGCCTTTTATATTAAAGACAATGTTGATATTGCACAAACACACCAATTCACAAATCCAGTCAGTAGTTATGAAGATTTTCGATCCAGCATTCACTCATCTTTTGAGTCACCCAACATCAATCGATTCTTATCAGAGATTGCACCAGAATCAAAGCAGAAAAGAGGCGTATCTACGCCTGTTGACATTCGAACACTTTTGCTACCTGGTTCAGCTGATTTACTGAATGTGCCTAATGTCAGACTTGTTTTACGCCTGAAATTACTACAATTTATGGAAGATGTACGTCCAGCTTATTATGGTACATTTACCAAACGTAGTCGAGTAGTCAATGGACGAAACCCATTTGCACAAGATAAAGGCATTCTCAACTATGAGGTGGATAGCGAAGCAGAATGGGAACCAGAAGGAGAAGGAGAAGACATTCATAGTGATGAAGATGATGATGATTCTAATACAGACATGATTGATCCAGAAGATGTAAGTATCGAATGGTCTGATAACAATGACTTATACTCCATATTAGGCTGGATGGCTTGTGCCTGAAGGATATCTATCAGACAATGAAGGTGTAGATGACGAGCATGGAGGTACAGAAAGAGCACATCCAGTGAAGAACTCCTCAAAGCGTGTCACAATACGCAAAGTTGTTCTGGGTCCATTCTTTGAAGGAGAATCAGAAGAGAATGAAGCATTTCGTCCCTTTGAAACACAATTTTTCATGGGTAAGAAGATAGTATGATAGCATACCTTTGCTTACAATGATTTATAGATATACCTGAGGGTGGCTATAACCCATTTTATAAGGAACTTACTACAAAGGCCACAAGTGCATCTTCCAATGCGATCAATACATCATCAGTACAGCATAAAATGGAGTTTACAACTGAGCAATCAAAAGCATTGATACATGTAAGAGAATGAGATGATAGGATGTGCTATTAAACCATGATCTCTTAGGTGATTTATGAAAAATCAAAAGAATCTATTACCAATATTATTACAGAAGCAAAAACAAATTTAGTACTTAAAGATGTCTCTAAACGTCAATTAGAAGCAAAGATCAAAGACGTTGCTGTTAAAGAGAAACGAGGGTCTGATACAGTAAGTGACGTTGTGCGGCGAAACAAATAATTTATTGTATATAGAAACCCACTTGGTATATTAAAGATGCTTTGGCTGATGAATAAAGGCTACTTTAGATTTGATTTTGTAATTGCTCTTCAACATTTTAAGAATAGAAACGCTGAGTGCTTTGTGTACCTTTGTCTCAAAATGGAACGTATCCCAAAAGAAGTAGTTTCCGGGAGTATTGCATGATGTCACATCATCATAACAAGCAGTGTCTGTAATCATGTTGTATTGCTTTGCCTTTTGCATTTGTTGCTGAACCCAACTGTAAAAGTCAAAGATTTGAATGCGAGCACCTTTAATAGATTGAATTTTATCCTTAACAAGTTGATTGTAATCAATCACAAGTTGAGCAGCTTGTTTCTTGAGTTTTTGTTCAATACCTGGAAATACATCAAGAGAAGGAATGTTCATCAACACAATATCTTGGGCTTGATATTTGTTTATCAATAATTGTATGCCCTGAATCAAATTATCACTGATTCTATGAATATCATAATTGGGATAATGATCATCAAAGAAGGCACCAGGATAAAGAAGACCGATCAAGTCATTCCCTCCAATCTCAACCATGTACAATGTCTCGGCTGTATTAACATGGATTGTTTCAACTTGCTGTATGAAACCTGGTACAGTGAAATTATTGCGGATAGCAGTCATATCATCTGCATTAGTGGTGGCACCTCCATAGCCATTGTCTTGAACAGGAATTGAAAGATATTGAGAGACATATTCTAGCCAAACAGGACCATCAGAGAACCTGCCTTGATAGTAAGGAGGAGAAGCAGGATAGGTTTTATTGGTTGCCCGATAAACATTGCCGTTATCTGTAACACTATCACCGTAAACTACCAATTGCTCAAACTTTGGTATGATAGAATAAGCAAATGTGGATGCAATAGGCAAAAGCACAACAAAAGCTAGAAACAACATGAGTCTTTTTTTTTTTCTTGTAGAAAAGAGGAATAAAAGAAGAAGAAAAAAACGATGCAAAGGTATATTTTGAAACAGTTTTTTCAATTTATTTTAAGGCAAGTTATTTTTGGTAGTCGTTACATTTTCAAGAAGGGCACAAATGCATAGTTCCATATCAAAATGGTATTTTATCTTGCACAAGATGGAGAATTGTTTCATGTCTTTTTTTTTTTTTTGTTCTGGTATCAAGGACAAGGTCTTTGAATACTGTCTCTATTGTGTCTATTATCATCACTTTTAAGTCTTTTTTTTTTTTCGTAGACAACCTTGATTTTTTCATTTGAAATGCTCATTTCTTGAAGGAGCTTTATTTGTTGTACGTATTAGCGTGTGAAACTGAAAGCAGTGCTCAACAATCGGTATAGTAAGCTAAATAAAACAACAGAACAAAGGGCAGAATTAGTCTTTAATGAAGCTATCATTAGCATGGCAGTGGTGGACTGCCAGCTGGATGGATCGAAAGACTAACAAAAGGGTGAATGGCTGGCCTTGAAGAATGTGGGACCAGCTTGATTTCTAGGCTTCAGATAGAACAACAGTCAGTGACATTGGGGCAGGAAGTGAACCAATCATGCTCATTTTTACTTCTCTAATAAGTTGAAAAAAAAGGGGGGCCGGTGAGGAACATAATACAGTGAGAACGGTAAATTTTGTCACTTTGAGAAAATCAAATGTCCATAACCAAAAAATAAATGTCGCTTTCCAAAAAATTACAGCGACTCCACCCCCAAAGTTCGTTTTCCTATTTTATAGATTCGCTTTTGTCGCCGACTGAAATTCGCTTTTTGATTGGTCAAAGTTCGTTTTTGTAAATCATCCAAATTCGCTTTGGCATCACCCAAAGTGTTACGTCATAAATTTGAAAAGTCACAGGTTTCGCTCAGGTTTCGCTCAGGTTTCGTTCAGGTTTCGCTCAGGTTTCGCTCAGGTTTCGTTCAGGTTTCGTTCAGGTTTCGTTCAGGTTTCGTTCAGGTTTCGTTCAGGTTTCGTTCAGGTTTCGTTCAGGTTTCGTTCAGGTTTCGTTCAGGTTTCGTTCAGGTTTCGTTCAGGTTTCGTTCAGGTTTCGTTCAGGTTTCGTTCAGGTTTCGCTCAGGTTTCGATTTAAAATGAGTTTATTCGTTCTTCCCAAGTTGTTGCGTCCTGGAACAGATTTAATGTCAAAAGCCATCATTCACGATCCTAAAATCACCAACATTATTACAACTACTCTGTCAAATACACAAAATGACTACCTCTGTAATTCATGGTTTACAAAATCAATGAAGCAAAAAAAAAAAAAAAAAAAAAAAAAAAAAAAAAAAAAAAAAAGTCTAGCAAATTTGAACGAAACCTGAACGAAACCTAAGCGAAACCTGAGCGAAACCTGAGCGAAACCTGAACGAAACCTGAGCGAAACCTGAGCGAAACCTGAGCGAAACCTGAGCGAAACCTGAGCGAAACCTGTGACTTTTCAAATTTATGACGTAACACTTTGGGTGATGCCAAAGCGAATTTGGATGATTTACAAAAACGAACTTTGACCAATCAAAAAGCGAATTTCAGTCGGCGACAAAAGCGAATCTATAAAATAGGAAAACGAACTTTGGGGGTGGAGTCGCTGTAATGGCATTAAGCCAAAAATGATTGTCCCTACATGCCTAGAAATTTTGTCCTTTTGAAATAAAGAAATGTCACAAGGATCCGAGCCATAATAGAGACTAGGAATTTAGGTGTATGACAATCTTAACGGTCTCGGTGTCGTCATTCATTTTGTTTTGGTGTCGATGTCGATGTCGTGTCTTATCTTTTTTCTTTAAAAATGGAGGAAGATATTGATAGCTGGTATTTGTGTGATGATCTGACATTAAATAAGTCTTCAATTACATACTAAAATATATCATAATCAATTTACATCAGAAATAGACATAAAAGAACCTCTTGTACTGAATGAGTCAATGTATCTTTTAATAGATCAAGACTTATAACCGAAATCCATAATTTACATTATTTAATTAATTTAAAGTAGTCTATGATAATAGAGACTCAGTCATTTGCATGAACTCTACTACTACTTACTCCGACATCTCTTCATGTATAAATATGCTAGAATAATTTATAGTAAAAAAGAACAAATAAAATTGTATAGAACAGTCTCAAAGTATCTACCTTTGTCTCAATATCATCTTATTATATAACTCTATTATCAAAACATCACAATTTGCCTTTTGAAATGAGGTGTGGGACTGATCTTATTGCTAAACTTACCCTAAACAACAAAACCATTATAAATGTTATTGTTCATCAATTACTTGGTAAGTATGGTTTTTTTTTATTCACGAAACAGAATTTACACATTTATTTTTCATAGGATCAGATATTCCTAATAATGCATATATCTCTGGCTCAACAGAATGGGCAGATGGTAAAAGACCAGATGCATTATATATACCAAGAAATGAAGTGACGCGTGATCTACCACCCATCTTAGTTGAGGTTCAAAATCAAGTTGATCAACGATTTATGCTGAGGCTAATTACAGTGGTTACATTAAGTGTCCCATAAAACTCATTTATAAGCATAAATTAATATATTTTCGTCGCATTGACCTTGTGTTAGTATCAGAAAAAGCACATTTTTTTGCTGGTTACTTCAATTTCCCTAATTAGTAAGAGATACCATTTTTGGACAACTTAGGTAAAAAATGACGTAGCGTTTTCAAAAAAATTTCCTGCAAAACCTGAATACCTTATTTTCTTCGGCGAATAAGCATTCTCAATCGTGCGTTTTCCACATTCTTCGGCAAATCCTAGCACAACCTACCCAGCTACATATAGATACGGCAAGCTTCTCAGAAAAAAATTCTCTTCTTCATTCTATATACATACCTTTTCTCCTTATTATCATGCCTTACAGCCTCCCATACGATAAACGAAACAATGTCAAATCTGCACTTTTATCTGGCAAATCGATTTGTCAGGTCTCAAAACTAACAGGTATTGCCAAATCAACAGTTTCTCGTATTAGGAAAGAGTTGCCAGAAATGAAAACTTGCACTGGTACCGGTAGACCATCAAGAGTAGGTCATCTTACGGCTTGTTTGCTACGAATAAAAATCCGAACTGGAGCATTGAAGAATGTCAAAGAAGTCCAAACTTGATTGTCTGGACAGGGTATTGCTTTGACGTATAGTGGAACAGTCTCTCTGATGAAAAGGGTAGGATTATACTCAAAGCTTAAGTAGAAGAAATTTTTTTGAGAGTTTCTTAGCTTTCGAAGAGATACAAATGGGCCTTAAAATATCGTAACTGGTCCGCAAATGAGTGGAAGAGTGTCGTTTTTACCGACGAGACGAAGATCAATCTTTGGGGATCAGATGGTGCAACATACACTTGGTTACAGCAAGGGTTTAAAGCGAGGCCCATAACTACAAGCTATTGCTCAAGCATGGAGGTGGCTCTCTGATGATGTGGGGGTGCATGACATCTTCCGGAGTAGGATATGCCTCTCGAGTGCTTCAAAAGACAATGGATACCGATTGCTATTTGGAGATTCTAGGGTCGTCATACCTAGATACATTGGAGTATTATAGTATGGATCCACAAAAAACTATCTTTCAACAAGACAACGACCCAAAACACAAAGCAAAGGCTACCATTTCTTGGCTTAAAGCCCACAAAGCCCACTTTATTGCTGACTGGCCACCTAACAGGCCCGACTTGAACCCAATAGAACATCTTTGGAAACAGTTAAAGTGCAGACTAGCCGGATATGATACAAAAGCAAAAAATCTGGACGAATTTTGGTCAAGGGTCGAAAAAGAATGGTACAAACTTCGCAAAGGTGACATGGAGGCATACTATAGCAGCATGCCTCAACGTATAGAAGCAGTCATCAAAGCAAAGGGCGGTTATACAAAATTTTGAGCATTTCAAATAAAGAATAAATTTTGGTGAAACACAAGTTTTCTCTCTTTTGAAAATGAAGCACTGTTATTGGATGCATTTAGGAGTAATTAGCAGTGTGATTATTATTGTCAATGTCTAATTAATCTATGTGCCAAGTTTCAGAAGGATCGGCGGAGTTTTTGTAGAGAAGGGTAAAAAAACAGGTTTTATGGGACACTTAATGTAACCACTGTAACTATTGCGCTAATGTGTACGATTGTTATGAAGTGTTGCCTGTTGTGCTTGTCTTTGTAGTAGAAAAATTTTCCAATACCATATTAGAAGAAAGTTTTATTGAGAAAGAAAGTGCTCCATATATTCTAAAAACTCAGTGTAAATATTGGGCGAAGTCAGCTAATTTCGTTTCAGCCAAGTCAATTGAAAATTATATTCAAGACTCCATGGACCCATTTGTGGCACTTACCTATTTCACCTCATCGCAAGCACAAAACTTGAAATCGCTAACGTTTGCTGCTGATTCGACGGTACGCTTTCTGTGGTCTATATGTCAAAAAAACATGATGAAGAAAAACCAGAATGAAATATATCAGGTTCTTGATCAAGCTACAAACAAAGTACAAGAAATAATCGAAATACAAGATGAAGAACCTATTCTGATGCTGGAAAAAACCAAAAACTTTGCCAAAGAGTTCCTAGGAATCATTGAGGGCCAGAAAAGAAAGTTAAATGAAGAATATGAACTAGATCTACAAGCCTTAGAGGCACAAAAGAAAAAATATACAACAGAAGATTTTCTTTTTATCGAAAGCATGTCAGTACCAAACAAGTCAAGAAACTGGAAAAAGATTTTTGATGCAGGAAAAATCAAAGGATTATTTAACTCTTATACCTCAGCAAACTCTTTAAATTCTAGGTCGAAAGAAATTTCTCGCAAGAATTTCTTGAGACCGTCAGAACAAAATAGGAAATGTTATTATGCTAGAATCTTCTTGAACTTTTATTTTGAGCGAATTTTCAAAGATATATAAAGAAAAGCAGAGTTTTAACTATACTATCAATCTTCTTTTTCGCTCGGTCATTACCAGCTTACTTATCATCTCCATATTCTTACCAATGTCTACTTTCGAAGAACAATTTTTGACCTTACAACAGCAATTTGCCTCTCTTCAAGCTCAACTTCAAACGGCTCCTACTCCCATGCAGTCAACGGATGACACTGCTATGCCTACTCCTATGTAGCCAGGTGGAAACGCTGCTATCCCCACAGTTCACTCAGTTGAGACTCGCCCTCACTATGATTGGTCTCCCTCCGATGCTTTGATGGATCTCATGGAATTAGACACCCCTATTCATACTGCCAAGCCGATGCCCGACTCTGAACGCAAGACCATCATTGAATCCTACCCTCCCATGGCTCATCTCGATTATCGTGCTCCCGCTACCATTCCCTCTGCGGAACGCTTGATGAATCTTGGACAAAAGTACGAGGACAATGCCCTCAAGCAACTCCAGTACCTCTTGTCGGCAGTCTTCCGTCCTCTCGACATCCTCACTAAAGAAATGTTCACGGCTGAGCAAGGTAATCCCAACTTGGGACGTAATAGCATCATGTTGCGTGATGTCCGTCGTCTCCTCCTTCGTGTTTGTTCCATGATGACACAACAACGTAATAATATTGCTCTGCGTGCTCACGATCCCTCGTATCGTTTTAACGATGCTTCTGAAGTCAATTATACTCTTCCTTTGGACGAGTATCAGCAAACTCTCACTCAACAACATGCGGCTAAAAAGGCTATCCGTGAGGCTACTACCTCTCGTAGACAACATCGTTTCAGCCGTAACTCTTCCAACTCTAGCTCTGCTGCAGTTGGATCAGACTCGTCGTTTTTTCGATCAGGTCCACCCTCGGAGCAGGGTGGTTTCTTCATCAACAACAACAGCAATAGTAACAACTTCAACAACAACAACAACAATTTTCGCCCCAAAAACTACAGCAACTACAACAGCAACAACAAGAAGAACACCAACCCTTTTCGTCAGTAACAGCAACAACAGCAACAACATCCACAACCGACCCAGTAGGAGGTCGGCTCAGCAAGTATTATCAACAATGGACAAATATCACCAACAATTCCTTCGTTATCAACACTGTTCAACACGGTTACTTCATCCCTTTTCATGCAACACCTCCAACAACTACAACACCAACATCCATCATTCCCTTTTCAACAGAACAAGCTACCCTCATCGACCAGGCAATTCAGGATCTACTACACAAATCAGCAATCGAGAAGGTCTCCCCTCATCAGGTACGACAGACTCCAGGTTTTTACAGCTCCATGTTGGTAATCCCCAAGAAGAATGGTGGCGTACGCCCGGTATTCAACCTAAAACGGCTCAACCAGTACGTAGAGGCTCCTCATTTCAAGATGGAAACTATCCGGGAAGTATCATTAATGATAAAACCGAACGACTACCTAGTCTCCATCGATTTATCCGATGCATTTCTGCATATAGGTCTTCACTCAGCTTCACGGCGACTCCTACGGCTCAAATGGAGGGATCAGATCTACCAGTACTGCACGACCGCTTTTGGTTTGTCTTCAAGTCTCTTTATCTTCACCAAAGTCTGCAGGCCCATCTTAGAACACTTACGCTCTCAAGGCTGCAGGATCTCCGCGTACTTGGACGACTGGTTGCTTATCGCCAACTCAAGGCATCAAGCAGAAACCCAGGCTCGCCAGGTGGTATTTCTCCTCGAGGAACTAGGATGGCTTATCAACTACAAGAAATCAGTGCTACAACCCACCCAACAACTGGAACATCTCGGCTTTGTATTGAATACCCGGGACATGACAGCAACTCTACCAGCCAGCAAGATGAGGGATATACGTCGTTCAATCAAACAAGTTTTAGACAAACCTCATCGTCAGTCTCCCAGGGTCATCCACAGCTTGACAATGCGAATACAGGCAGCGACCTTTGCCATCTTTCCGGCTCGTCTATACACCCGACACCTCTTAAACTACAAGAATCAGACGGTGAAATCAGAGGCGGATTGGGATCAACCTCGCCCCTTGGATCAGGCCAGTTTAGAGGAACTTCAATGGTGGTATTTCAACATCCGCAAGTGGAATGGCAGGTCTCTACTTCCATCGACACCGAACCAAACCATGTTTGTGGACGCCAGCAACAGGGGTTGGGGCTGCTCATGGAATCATCATCGTGCCCACGGGTATTGGACAGCGGAGGAGGCGGAACAGTCCATCAACTGGAGGGAATTGAAAGCTGCACACCTTGCTCTAAAGACCTTCCACCTGCCGCCGAACTCTACAGTTTTGATCCGAACGGACAACACGACCAGCCTTTCCTACTGTGATATAATCACTAATAAAATGGTCAAATCAATAAGTCGATTAGAACCAAAACGGCCAAAAAGAAGTCTACTTTATTAAAGGTTATATTTTGTATTGTATTTATACTGTTTGTATGATAATTGATTATCCTTAATTTGGGACTGAGTGTGTATACACTAGCTAATCGGTTGAGTGGATTAAGGTACACAAGAACTGGGCACATGATCAGGGCACAGACCTCGACTACCATTGGTATTGATGCAGATGTCAATTTGTGATTATGTGATGGTCTGATCTTTAACATGTTTAAACTAAGATGGAAGACATCCATCGAAGCTGCGGATAAAACTGTGATTGAAAGATATATTTATACATGATATTAATACTTGCTCTTTTAAGGCATAACTAGTGTAAGAAGGGATGAATAATGCTGTGTATACAACACCTACATCAACAAGCAAGGCGGTACTTGCTCTCTTCCCCTCTTGGAATTAGCAACGGAGGTATGGACCTGGTGTTTGAAGCGCAAGATTATTGTCCAAGCACAACACATACAAGGCATACACGACAAGATTGCGGACTTCGAGTCTCGCCGACAATTTTTCAAGAATCAGTGGATGATCCAACCACACATATTTCAACAAATACATCAAGCATGGGGCCCGTTCTCGATCGATCTATCTGCAGTCAGGACGACCAAACTGTTACCAAAGTACGTGTCGTGGATGCCGGACCCGAACGCATTGCATACGGATGCGCTGTCCATACCATGGACTCAGTTTCCCAATCCTTATACCAACCCTTCATGGAATTTGATTTCTCGTATCCTGAGCAAGATCAGGCAGGAACGTCTACCCGTCGTGACCTTGGTGGTACTCTACTGGCCCAGTACTCTCTGGTTCCCTCTGGTTCAATGCATGGCTCTCTCCTCCCCCATGGATGCTGCCACCACAAGCGGTGCAGCCAACCTCCCCGTCGACACCTCACCCTCTGCTACCGCAGAACTGGATGCTTTCCGTGTGGAGATTATCAGCACTCAACTTCTAAAGAAGGAACTCAATGCACAAGCGGTTGAGAATTTGTTGGCTCAAAAACTGGCCCCCACCGGTACCAATCTGGGCTATCGCAAGAATCAACTTCGTTTTTTGGAATGGGCTATTCAAAATAACGTCTCTTTTACCTCCTTTACACCGGTCGAACTTGTCAATTTCTTGGCTGATATGTCTAGTCGTCATGGTCTTCAGGCATCTACACTCAAAACCTTGCAGGCGGTCGTAGTTCATCTACATGATGATCCCAAAGGTATTCGAGAAAGCGAGGTTATTAACAATTACATAGATTCTAGAATGAAGCAGGCGCCTCCGGTCAACATTCATCGACCCACCATTGATATCTCTCCAGCAATGGCCTTTGCTCAATCCATCGCTTCTCGAACAACCACTCCCATCAAACGGTTACAACAGAAGTTGGCTTTCCTTTTGGCAATGGCAGCCTTTCTCCGTCCATCAGATTTGGCTCGTATTCCTTTTGGCTCGTGCTCTATCACCAACAATGGCTGTCTCTACTTTGAGGTGGTGGCTCCCAAAGAAACTAGAGGTAAACGACGCATCATCAAGCCCTTTACGGTCCATTCTCATGCATCCGATATCGAACTGTGTCCGGTACAATGTTTCAAGGCTCTTCGAGACCATCCTGGTTTGGCTTCTCGCCCTTCTGGTTCACAGCTCTTTGTTAAGTCCAATCTCATTAATCAACCTCTCTCGTCATCAACCATCTCATCATGGTTGCATAAAGAGTTCATTCAACTTTGCACGTCTGAATCAAATGTTTCTGTTCGTTCTCTGGCTTCTTCTCGTGCCTTAGACAGTGGTATTTCCCGGGATAATATCGTAGCTCTTGGAAAATGGGCTTCTTCGGAGACCTTTGTTCGTCATTACTGTGGTGATCTGAGCACTTTCAATACAAAATATAATAAATAATCTTTCATCATATAAATGAATAATCACTTATAGCACTATACATTATAAATATAAAGTAAGCACTGTATAATGACAGTAAATAACGGTAACTGGGATAATATGGATATTTACAAATAAGGAAATCATAATTGTACCTTTTAGGTAACAAGGAGAATTAAAGGAGAATTTACATAATCAATTCCCAGGCACACGCTGTCAAGGTGTTAAGTAATCAATAATCAGTAATCATAATTAGTCAATAAATCAGGTAGTATAAAAGACAACCTGGAAAAGATATATTTTAGAGAACAATCAATTTATTTTTGTAATAAAGAAGTACTGAACAGTCTCACTGTATTTCTTTGTTTTCTTTCTATCTTCTATTCTATCTTCATTCACAACCCAAACATCACAATTACCAACGTAACCAAATGGCGCAAGTGGACTTCACCTCTACGGTTCTGTCTAGCCAGAATGAATTCTTTGATGCAAATGACTCTTTTGGTACTCTGGATTAGCATAATAACATTTCCTATTTTGTTCTGACGGTCTCAAGAAATTCTTGCGAGAAATTTCTTTCGACCTAGAATTTAAAGAGTTTGCTGAGGTATAAGAGTTAAATAATCCTTTGATTTTTCCTGCATCAAAAATCTTTTTCCAGTTTCTTGACTTGTTTGGTACTGACATGCTTTCGATAAAAAGAAAATCTTCTGTTGTATATTTTTTCTTTTGTGCCTCTAAGGCTTGTAGATCTAGTTCATATTCTTCATTTAACTTTCTTTTCTGGCCCTCAATGATTCCTAGGAACTCTTTGGCAAAGTTTTTGGTTTTTTCCAGCATCAGAATAGGTTCTTCATCTTGTATTTCGATTATTTCTTGTACTTTGTTTGTAGCTTGATCAAGAACCTGATATATTTCATTCTGGTTTTTCTTCATCATGTTTTTTTGACATATAGACCACAGAAAGCGTACCGTCGAATCAGCAGCAAACGTTAGCGATTTCAAGTTTTGTGCTTGCGATGAGGTGAAATAGGTAAGTGCCACAAATGGGTCCATGGAGTCTTGAATATAATTTTCAATTGACTTGGCTGAAACGAAATTAGCTGACTTCGCCCAATATTTACACTGAGTTTTTAGAATATATGGAGCACTTTCTTTCTCAATAAAACTTTCTTCTAATATGGTATTGGAAAATTTTTCTACTACAAAGACAAGCACAACAGGCAACACTTCATAACAATCGTACACATTAGCGCAATAGTTACAGTGGTTACATTAAGTGTCCCATAAAACCTGTTTTTTTACCCTTCTCTACAAAAACTCCGCCGATCCTTCTGAAACTTGGCACATAGATTAATTAGACATTGACAATAATAATCACACTGCTAATTACTCCTAAATGCATCCAATAACAGTGCTTCATTTTCAAAAGAGAGAAAACTTGTGTTTCACCAAAATTTATTCTTTATTTGAAATGCTCAAAATTTTGTATAACCGCCCTTTGCTTTGATGACTGCTTCTATACGTTGAGGCATGCTGCTATAGTATGCCTCCATGTCACCTTTGCGAAGTTTGTACCATTCTTTTTCGACCCTTGACCAAAATTCGTCCAGATTTTTTGCTTTTGTATCATATCCGGCTAGTCTGCACTTTAACTGTTTCCAAAGATGTTCTATTGGGTTCAAGTCGGGCCTGTTAGGTGGCCAGTCAGCAATAAAGTGGGCTTTGTGGGCTTTAAGCCAAGAAATGGTAGCCTTTGCTTTGTGTTTTGGGTCGTTGTCTTGTTGAAAGATAGTTTTTTGTGGATCCATACTATAATACTCCAATGTATCTAGGTATGACGACCCTAGAATCTCCAAATAGCAATCGGTATCCATTGTCTTTTGAAGCACTCGAGAGGCATATCCTACTCCGGAAGATGTCATGCACCCCCACATCATCAGAGAGCCACCTCCATGCTTGAGCAATAGCTTGTAGTTATGGGGCCTCGCTTTAAACCCTTGCTGTAACCAAGTGTATGTTGCACCATCTGATCCCCAAAGATTGATCTTCGTCTCGTCGGTAAAAACGACACTCTTCCACTCATTTGCGGACCAGTTACGATATTTTAAGGCCCATTTGTATCTCTTCGAAAGCTAAGAAACTCTCAAAAAAAATTTCTTCTACTTAAGCTTTGAGTATAATCCTACCCTTTTCATCAGAGAGACTGTTCCACTATACGTCAAAGCAATACCCTGTCCAGACAATCAAGTTTGGACTTCTTTGACATTCTTCAATGCTCCAGTTCGGATTTTTATTCGTAGCAAACAAGCCGTAAGATGACCTACTCTTGATGGTCTACCGGTACCAGTGCAAGTTTTCATTTCTGGCAACTCTTTCCTAATACGAGAAACTGTTGATTTGGCAATACCTGTTAGTTTTGAGACCTGACAAATCGATTTGCCAGATAAAAGTGCAGATTTGACATTGTTTCGTTTATCGTATGGGAGGCTGTAAGGCATGATAATAAGGAGAAAAGGTATGTATATAGAATGAAGAAGAGAATTTTTTTCTGAGAAGCTTGCCGTATCTATATGTAGCTGGGTAGGTTGTGCTAGGATTTGCCGAAGAATGTGGAAAACGCACGATTGAGAATGCTTATTCGCCGAAGAAAATAAGGTATTCAGGTTTTGCAGGAAATTTTTTTGAAAACGCTACGTCATTTTTTACCTAAGTTGTCCAAAAATGGTATCTCTTACTAATTAGGGAAATTGAAGTAACCAGCAAAAAAATGTGCTTTTTCTGATACTAACACAAGGTCAATGCGACGAAAATATATTAATTTATGCTTATAAATGAGTTTTATGGGACACTTAATGTAACCACTGTAATTAGCCTCAGCATAAATCGTTGATCAACTTGATTTTGAACCTCAACTAAGATGGGTGGTAGATCACGCGTCACTTCATTTCTTGGTATATATAATGCATCTGGTCTTTTACCATCTGCCCATTCTGTTGAGCCAGAGATATATGCATTATTAGGAATATCTGATCCTATGAAAAATAAATGTGTAAATTCTGTTTCGTGAATAAAAAAAAACCATACTTACCAAGTAATTGATGAACAATAACATTTATAATGGTTTTGTTGTTTAGGGTAAGTTTAGCAATAAGATCAGTCCCACACCTCATTTCAAAAGGCAAATTGTGATGTTTTGATAATAGAGTTATATAATAAGATGATATTGAGACAAAGGTAGATACTTTGAGACTGTTCTATACAATTTTATTTGTTCTTTTTTACTATAAATTATTCTAGCATATTTATACATGAAGAGATGTCGGAGTAAGTAGTAGTAGAGTTCATGCAAATGACTGAGTCTCTATTATCATAGACTACTTTAAATTAATTAAATAATGTAAATTATGGATTTCGGTTATAAGTCTTGATCTATTAAAAGATACATTGACTCATTCAGTACAAGAGGTTCTTTTATGTCTATTTCTGATGTAAATTGATTATGATATATTTTAGTATGTAATTGAAGACTTATTTAATGTCAGATCATCACACAAATACCAGCTATCAATATCTTCCTCCATTTTTAAAGAAAAAAGATAAGACACGACATCGACATCGACACCAAAACAAAATGAATGACGACACCGAGACCGTTAAGATTGTCATACACCTAAATTCCTAGTCTCTATTATGGCTCGGATCCTTGTGACATTTCTTTATTTCAAAAGGACAAAATTTCTAGGCATGTAGGGACAATCATTTTTGGCTTAATGCCATTACAGCGACTCCACCCCCAAAGTTCGTTTTCCTATTTTATAGATTCGCTTTTGTCGCCGACTGAAATTCGCTTTTTGATTGGTCAAAGTTCGTTTTTGTAAATCATCCAAATTCGCTTTGGCATCACCCAAAGTGTTACGTCATAAATTTGAAAAGTCACAGGTTTCGCTCAGGTTTCGCTCAGGTTTCGCTCAGGTTTCGCTTAGGTTTCGTTCAGGTTTCGTTCAAATTTGCTAGACTTTTTTTTTTTTTTTTTTTTTTTTTTTTTTGCTTCATTGATTTTGTAAACCATGAATTACAGAGGTAGTCATTTTGTGTATTTGACAGAGTAGTTGTAATAATGTTGGTGATTTTAGGATCGTGAATGATGGCTTTTGACATTAAATCTGTTCCAGGACGCAACAACTTGGGAAGAACGAATAAACTCATTTTAAATCGAAACCTGAGCGAAACCTGAACGAAACCTGAACGAAACCTGAACGAAACCTGAACGAAACCTGAACGAAACCTGAACGAAACCTGAACGAAACCTGAACGAAACCTGAACGAAACCTGAACGAAACCTGAACGAAACCTGAACGAAACCTGAGCGAAACCTGTGACTTTTCAAATTTATGACGTAACACTTTGGGTGATGCCAAAGCGAATTTGGATGATTTACAAAAACGAACTTTGACCAATCAAAAAGCGAATTTCAGTCGGCGACAAAAGCGAATCTATAAAATAGGAAAACGAACTTTGGGGGTGGAGTCGCTGTAATTTTTTGGAAAGCGACATTTATTTTTTGGTTATGGACATTTGATTTTCTCAAAGTGACAAAATTTACCGTTCTCACTGTAATGAAAGCATCACAAGTTACTTTTATCATATCGCTAGCAAAGGTCTTGAGATCTTTCGATAGTCTGATTGGCAGTTCTAGCTGATGCTGTTGACCTCTCATTCTTGATATACTTTTGGAATATTTTTAAAATCTCATTATTGAAACAGTTGACAGTTCTTGGGAAAGAGAGTCTAAGAATAACGAAAAATAAGTAAAGAAGCATCATGGATGCACTTTTGGATTTTATTTTAAAACGATTACCTCAGTAGATTAAGGGCAAAAGAACTAATGTTGTTTTGTAAGTGTTTCTTCTAGTAGAATGGCGTATATGTTTGATACATTGCTCTTGAAAGAATGGGTATGTTACTGTTCTATTCTGAAATACAGAATGCAACTTTGAATATAAGTATTTGTGTTAAGAAACTATTTGAGACCTGATCTGCATATCAAATAGTCATTTACAAGCCAACTCTATCGAGAAGTGCAATGAGCACAAGAGATAGTTAATAGAAGATCATAACTCATAACAGTGCATCACATGCCCTAGAATCACAACCAGGAATTGATTTATTTTATTGACTATGCAGTAGTAATTTTCTTCCAAAATGTCCCAAAAAAACACAAATAATAATCAGACAATCTCTAAGAAACAGTATTTGAGTATTATATATTCCTTTTTCTTTATATAAGCCTGTACACTTAAATATCTAAATCTTCGTCAGGATCTTCATCATCAAAATCATCAGCAGCATCAGGGTCATAATAGATCAAACTACTCTTCTTCTCATCCTCCGTCGATACTTCTAACTGTTGTGCTTTCATAAAAGGCAACACAAGATTTTCCTTGACTTTTCTTTGTTCATCTGTCAGTGACAAATTGAACGACAAATTAGCCGTAGGATCTGACTTGTTGTCTCTTTCAACTGTCTCGGATTCATCAGGTTGTGATTCAATTACTCCTGTGAGTTGACTTATAGGCACCACATCTAAATATCCTCTTGAGTTTAACAAGAAGCCGCTAGATTCATATAGCACTTTTCCACTCTTTTTGCGCCATTCAACATGCGCAATACCTCCTTTGGCTGTACAATTGGATGTCACTGTCAAATAAGAAAATGTATCTTGAGGCACAAAGCCTGTCAATGCAGATTGAGTTTCAAAATGTGTTCTTTCTTTCAGAGGCTCCAACTTGATAATCACAGAAGCTAAGCGTGTCAAAGAGTCTTGCAAGCTAAGTCCTGATTTAGAAGCTAATTTGATATCAGAATGATATCCAAGCACAAGTCTGTTTGTGTCTATTATTATGATAAATAACACTATTCCTGAGCAAATAACGTTACCTGTCGTCAAAGACTCCAATGTTTTCACGAATTGATATGTTCTATGCTGAGATATTTTTGCCAATGGAATAACCGAATCAACCACAATCAAAAAGTCGGGTGTATTCATTGTTTTTTCAATGATAGATGATAGAATGGCTTTTTCCATATCTTGAATATGCGTCACTTTAACTGTGTTTTGTTCTTGTGTCTCTGTGGCATAGTCCCAGCCATAAGGGTCAGAATAGCAATCGATAATAAAAATATTGTTGTTTGCCGAGAAGCGCTCGCGCCAGGCCTTGGGTGACGTCTCGGTCAATAAGGCGATCACTGTCTTGTTGTCGTCAAGAGCACGTTTACTGATGTCAGCCAAGAGTGGTAGAGAAGAAAAACGAATGGTATCGTTTATCAGTACAAAAGAGGTCGACTTTTTATTGTTCAATATCTGCTCCAAAGCCATATTAAAGAGATAGGGAGAAAAAAAAAATAGGAAAGAGAGAAAAAGCCTTTCAAAAAGTCACGGTAAAGAATCGAGTTCCGCCACAGATTTATGCGAGATTAGAACAATTGGCTTCTATTGATTAAAAGAAGAGCGTGTAGGGGTTTGGTTTTGACTTATGCTAGCAGTATCAACGTTTTTCTGTGATTGATAGCTAAAGGATAGCATAGATTGGGTCTCCATATTGCCCATACTGCGATGCACAGTATCTAGAGGGAGACTCTGCCTTTTGTCCCTTTGTGATTTTGAGATAGGTTGGTGTTGATTTTTGATACGACAAGCATGTATACTCGTTCTAAAAGAATTATCAGTCAAGTATTGTTAAAGAGTAAACTTACATTTTGCCTTGAATGTACATGGATAATATTTTTTTTCGAAGCTTGGTTTCGTTATGTCTTTTTGGCAACTGATGTCTCTCTACCATCACAATTGTATCTACAAGTAATGCATGTCGTTCTAAAACAGAATTAACGATGACTGGTATAATAGATAGTAAAGGGCCATTTCCAGGTTGAATAGCTATAATGAGTATGATTTCATTATTTGTGGCCTGTACAGCATAACTATCAAAAACAATCAAGAGTTAATCAAGTAAGTCTGTCTTCTATTGCATACCATCCTTCAGGTATAATATCTTGATGCGAACTCTCAACTGTTTTCTCGATATCCATAGGAAAATAAAACAAGCCTTTCGATACAATGATTTCGTCCAAATGGCCCAAAACAAATAAACATTGACCTTCTTCTAAAGGTGTTTGTGTACCGATAGCTCCTCTTTGCATTTTCCAAAGAAAACCAACATCTCCAGTTCGCATATAAGTTAATCGAGGATCAGCGCCTTTAATAGTGGCTTCAAACACATTGTTGTACTCTTCTTTTGTGGCAAATAATCCCTTTATATTACTGTCTGAAGTTACCCATATTTCTCCCATCACATTGCTTGGGCACAAGGTCATCGTGGCTGGATTTACAATGGCTATCATAGTATTGGTTGGCACAATACCAGAATCTTGTAGAAGAATACCACGAGAAGTATCGTCGGTAGGACAAATAATTCCTTGCTTTAGCCATTCTGTATCTACCACGAGAGAGAGAGGTTCCAAAAGCATAAAAGAGCGGGTCGTAATCATTGGATTCTGAGGATGGCTATACACAGTATTAATGGTATTTTTTTCTAGTCGACTGAGTGATAAATAACGTGAAATTCTTTCGTATAACTTGGGATTTGCTCTACTGGACACAGCCAACATCACATTTTGCATGCCCTGAAGTGAAATCTGCCTTTGCTGAGAAGGTGCAATTTTGCTCATAGCACATTCAAATAACGTATAGTTGGCATAAACAGTAGAACACCTATTGCGCGCTACTAATTCAAAAAAGAATAAAGGGTCCTGTTGAAATCCTGCACTGGAAATTAAGATAGTGGAGCACCCTATATCATAGCGTCAGCATAGATCTATAAGCTTCTGTTGTTTTATTTACCTGCATAGATACCACAAAAAGCAGCATACAGTAGTCCAAGTCCTTCCAAATCATTGGTACCAGTAGCGACCAAAGGGTTTTGAAATTTGATTTGACATGTCAGTTTTTGAGATCGACATTGAGACACAATATTGTCATGGGTATAAGTAATATATCGCTCACCTACAGCATAATCTGGTGTTGATTTACTGGGATGGATCAAAATAAAAGCTGGTCTTGTCTTGTCTGAGGCCCATTCTGAATGAATAGAAAGTCCACTCTCAGGACCCAAGAGTTTGTTGTACTTGGGTGCTTTTTCTATATTGATTTGGACAGGTAGTCGTTCTGAAAGAGCCAGTTTGAGGGTTGTTGCGATGGTTTTATGTCGCAACACATCTTCTGATGACGAACTGACAAGGATATATTGTACATTTAAGTCATTGATGGTGCGTATCATCACTTCCATTTCGTGTTGCACCTTCCTTTGTGAGGAATTAACCAGATCTAAAGGCGAGCATAACACAGGAATCAAGCCAACCACAAAACATGCATACAGTGTACGAACAAGGTCCAAATGAAAGTGTAAAAAGACCATCACTCGTGTACCAGGCTTCAGCATACATTTTTTGATGAAATAATGAGCGATAGAAGCAATCTGATAATTGAATTTTCGCCAAGTCAATGACTTTGTTGTGCCTTGATAAGCAGAGATAAATACGTTTTCTTCAGGGTATAAGGAAGTACGCCATAAAATGATGTCTATCATGTTTGTAAAACGTGAAAGATCGTAACCAGTGCGCTCATCCACTGCAGTTTTGACGACTTCAATGCCTGAATGTTGTGGCTGAGAGCTAGGCAATATGAGCCCAAGTGAAGTTGCTCGCTCGAATGAGCTGAGTGTTGAGTGCCAGAGAGACATGAAGTCCGTTTTACAATGCAATAGAGGAGACGTTGCTTCGCTTATGATAGTATTGTCTACATCTATCTTTATGTGGTTGATGGGCAATTGACCTAATAAAAATCGACGCTTTGTGAGGAGGTGGTGTATGTACTGGTTTCCATCTTTAATAAACCGAGGCAATTGACCTTTCTTGACGATGAACACGGCATAGACACGAACACCATGATAGGCCAGAAGAGTATCAGAGACTTCTTCCATCAGCTTTGCAGCTTCATTGCTGGTCGTTACGTTAAGCTCAATAGCAACCACAGGTAAATACTGTCCGTTAACATAGATGTCGAATGCTGTGCTAATGCAAAATGTGAATAGACCAAAACAACAAGCATATCATACCATGAATTAATACGCAATTTCTTCGTAATTGTGTTTGTCAAATCACTTCCAATATGAACTTCTTCTTTGGGCTCATCTAGTCTTTGTTGTCGAATACGATCCTCAAAAGTTCCCAAAACAACCAAACGGCCACCAATCATGGTTCCAATCAACCCTGTTCGTACGAACCGTCTGTTATAAGGCTCAGGCTGAAGTGTCTCTGCAGGTACTAGAATGGGTATGGCTTGATACACAACTTCTGTTAAAGCAGGAATACCCCAAAACCCATCTCCCAAAGAAGGCGCATCAACCCAAATCTCACCAATTGTGTCTGAGGGACAAAGCAGCGTTGTTTCTGGATCCACAATAGCAATACTCATGTTTGGAAAGGGAAATCCATGTGAGCTCACTCTTAAATAGCCAGCTTCATCGCCGCCTATGACGCCTTCTGATGTTGAGGTTGCAAGCACGGCTACTTTCTTTTGACGTAAAGCACTGGCATCCAGGACACATTCCCAAATGTCCCTTGCTTTACCTGGAGCAAATACAGTCTTTTTTCTTGTGGTGGTGATATTGTCTTGCTGATCATACGATTGTTCGAACTCCTCTAGTTTTCCAGGGCCAAGAAAATCTCGAAAACTAACAATAACACCACCATGTTCGGGTAAAGAGAGAATGGGCGTAATGATATCAATAGTGTTATATACCATGCGTTTAATCAATGGTTTCAAAAGCTTATTGGCAATAAATTCGTTGACATCTGGTTTTACGAGGATGGTATCAATAAACAAAAGCCGAAGTGCTGAGAGATCTGGTGTAGATTTTTTACTGTAATTCAAGACTTCTTTTGTATTTTTTTGATAGTATTTCGTAGCGTAGAAAGCACCAGGATAGCCGGCCAGAGCAATCGTCACTAATGCTATATGAATGCAAACACAATAAGTCAATAAGACAAACCTTTATATTTCGACAAGACATAAATCCAAGCAGCTGGTGTCTCCATGATAGTAGCATTTGCAAAAATAGTATGGCTTCCATTATAAATAGAGCCTAAGACGGACAAGTTGAGACCTAATTGTTGACGCGAGTCAAGGTATGTTAAGAGGATATCAGCGCCTTGTGCATCCCAGTTGGGCACTATAGAAGTAGTTCCGTCTTCAGCAGTAAAGACAATAGTTTCTGTCGTTCCTGCTGTGTAGGAATGACAGCTACTCATAATTGCATGATGTGATACAGCAACACCTTTCAGTTCACCATTGATTGACTTTGTAAATTCAATATAAGCCAAAGGAGTAGACCTGAGTGAATTATATTTGCCAGATTTGATCTGATGCGTATACAGCGAACCAAAATCGTTCGTTGGCCACCAATCCACGTTCTTGGGAAACTCTGAATTTCTTGTCTTTACACTTTTGGTGAGTGTCTTGAGATTGTTCTCTGTTGTCAAGACCAAGTGGATTTTAGAAACGCGTAAAATAAACCAGAGTTCGGATAGATCCTCAATGGCATTGATAGGAACAGCCACCATGCCAGCAATAAAACAGCCCAGAAGCGAAACAATGAAATCCACAATTTCTGATTTACGGTAAATTAAAGCAACACAATCACCTACTTTAAGACCTGATTTTTCTTGAATGACTAACGCAACTTTCTCGGCTCTGGCGTCCAGTTTTTCCCAAGTGACATTTGTAAGTTCTTTGCCCTTGTCGTCTATCTGGGAGAATGCAGGAATCAGTCTACCTTGACTATTGGAGGCGCGATAGCGTAATAGTTCTGCAATGGAAAGAAATAAGCTTGGATCTTGTTTATCTTGCAAATCAATCACTTTAAATGGTATATCTCGAGGCAAAGAAGCCAGCATTTGACGACCTGCTAGTTCTTCTAATACAGCATCATTTGGTATATGTGGAACGGGAATAGGCTCTACATTTTGAAATGATTTTGACATGATAATATTGCCATATTTACTATCGTTTTGATGTGTATGGACATACTGGCTATGATTGGATGAGATTGAAACTCGATTATTCAAAGAGGCAATGGATGGTGATTTCTTAATAGAGGCAGCCTTGATACTATTATTATCTACTGGAGATAAAAATTAGCCTTATAAACAGAAAAAAATAATAACACGAAAGTAATTGAATTGAAATGAAATCAGTAAAGCAAATTTGCTCATGACACAACCATTTCCATTCTTTCTCTTCACCTCTTTAAACTTTACTAAACAACAAGATAGAAAGCATACACGCATAACAACAATAGTTAGAATATCTAATTTAATGACTTTTTGCTTTACTAACTTCATTTCAATAAAACTACAATACATGATTACTTATAATAGCCTGTTGGATATGGTCTATTGACATTACCCATACCACTGCTATTACTATTGTATTGATAATTACCATATTGCTGTTGCTGTTGTTGCTGTTGTTGCTGTGGTCTATAGACCATACCATTATTTGGTCGAGGTCTGTACATTTTTCCAGGAGATGTTTGCATTTGTGTTGGAATAGACTGTTGTGCATTTGGATGAGGTCTTGATTGATACATTTGTTGTTGTTGTGGTAGTGGTGGTTGTGGTTGTGGTCTATAAACCATATTGGGAGGAGGTCTTTGTCCGTAGTAAGTATTAGCATTAGGCGATGGCTGCATGGGCCGTATTTGTGGCTGTGGTTGTTGAGGGTATCCAGCACGAGAAGGGATCATATAAGGACGATTGTGTTGTGGAATAGAGGTTCCCATATAGGGTGCATTCATAGGTGGATTACCATGAGCCATGCCAGTGGGATAGGGTCTATATTGTTGCTGTTGCTGTTGAATTGGTCTCATTGGTTGCTGTAATGGTTGATAAGGTTGTTGTTGTTGTTGTTGTTGTTGTTGTTGTTGTTGTAATTGCTGCTGCATTTGTCGATGATTCTCTTCCATATGATTGACTGCTTCAGCTGTACGCGTAGGGGAATGTGTAGGCGAAGGTAAGAAATCGAGAAAATCAACCACGTCGGCTGCACTCGGCTCAGGACCTAGTTCTTCAAGTATTTCAGTCTCACTTCCTTGTGTTGGTGTAGAAGATTGCGAGACTTCGGCTAACAGAGTCGCCTTTTTTTTCTCAAAGCCCTTCAGCGTAATATCGCCATCTTGTAGTTCAATTTCGAGATTTTTTAGCTTTTCTAGAATCTCTTCTGGCAAGTCTTGGTTTTCCATCGAGATGATTGAAAGAAAAAAGGGGAAGAAACACTCCCATTTACTCTTTTTGGTCACGCACATCATTTCCTCAACTCAGTTTGGGTGACGTATCATTCAAGCACATAGATTTCTCTCTCTCTTTTTTTTTGCTTTTTTTGAAGATGACTATCGATAATGAATTTACAGATGCACAACTATCAAGAGCAAAGAAGTTCGCATCTGGCAAAAGCCCTCACAATAGAACACAGTCAATAGCAGCATTATCTATAAACAAGCAAAAGCAACATCAGCATAGCCGTAGAGGCTCTCTTCCCACCCTATTTCACACTAATGAAGCCAATCAATTCCATCATGACTCTTTCCATCATACCTTATTATCGCCTATACCACCTTTACCTGAAAAGGGCACTATTTCGATTCAGATTGCCAATCCCAAATTAGATGTAGCTTCTCATTACATCACTAAGCATGAAAATATCATCAAAAACCTGTCCTACATCTTGATCTGGTACTTTTTCTCTACATCATTGTCGTTATACAATAAGAATCTGATGGGTAAAGATCGCTTCAATTTCAATTTTCCTTTATTGGTCAGTGCCATTCATGCAGGCCTTCATGCTGTCATCACTACACTTATGATGTGGCTAGGAGGCACACGCTGGAGAAATAACACTAAGATGTCATTGCATGATTATTTATTTAAAGTGGTAAGTAGGTGGTTAAAAATACTCCATCGCTGATGCCATCACAGGTCCCTTGTGGTGTTGCTGCTGCTGTAGAAATATGTTGCTCCAATGCATCGCTTGTATATATCACACTCTCATTTTATACTATGGTTAAATCAAGTACGCCTATTTGGGTTTTATTGTTTTCTTTTTTATTTGGCTTTGAGAAGCCTCGGTTATTGTTGATTGCCATTATTGTTGTTATGGTAGCAGGTGTCATTTTGACTGTAGAAGGAGAGACCAAGTTTGATGCTTTGGGATTCTCGCTTGTGCTGACTGCTTCTATTGTATCTGGCTTGCGCTGGAGTATGACACAACTACTATTGCAACATGAAAACATTGGTATCAGCAACCCAATAGCCACATTATATTATCTTAGTCCAGTAATGTTTGTGACTATGTTGACCTTGAGCTTGATGTTTGAGCATCCATTAGGACAATTTCAACACTCAAAGCATTTCGATACCATTTCTCATGTGATTGAGTCCTTAGGATTGATGTCTATTGGTGGTTTCTTAGGTAGGTTGAATTCATAAAGACTACACATTCACTCTATCGAATAGCCTTTGCAATGACATTAGCAGAGCTATATTTAATCAAGAACACAAATACAGTGACTCTAAGTGTGGCAGGCATCAGTAAAGAAATTGTGGTCATTATGCTTTCTGTTATGATTTATGGTGATGTATTGACACCCAAAAATCTGTTAGGGTAAGACAATCGACTCAATTATATGCTTTTTATTTATTTATTTTTTTCTCTAGTCTGCTTGTTTCAATTGTTGGTATTATTGCTTACAATTACTACAAACTATCAAAGGACAACACAGACACATCTCAATACCAAATGATTCCCATGCATTCAACTAATTCAGCATCAACAACAAGAAATCTTAGAGATTAAAATAAACATGATGGTTATGTACATATTCGTGTTTATACAATACAAAAGAAGAGGGTTTATATATACAGTGATTTTGAATCCAATTGATCCAGTTCTTTTTCCCGGTTAACGATATTAGTACTTGGATATATCTTTCGTTCATTGGAAGGAAACCCTAGTGTTGGTTTTTTTGCTGGATAATAAGCAGATTGTGGTCGTGAAAGGTGAGATATTTCTGATGGCTTGGTATAGGGTTTTCTTTGTAATGTTGTTCTTTTATCGGGCCATGTATGGACAAAATGAGTGCCTTTTCCTTCGGCTACACATCGAGCGACACCATTTTCATCTAAAATGACTTCCACTGTTTTGACCTGTCAAATAGCATCAGCATAGTCCTTGCTTAACAAATATACTCACTTTGCAATGAGAAACGCAACAACCCATAGTAATCGGATATAATAGAAAAAAGCAAAGGAAAGAGCATGATTTTTATAGCCTTCCGTTTCTTGGCTGTGTCGATTCGTGTCACATGTGGCATTGTCAAGCTTTTATTATATCGTCATTTTTGCGCGAAGAGAATAACAATGTACCAATGAAGGCTATTTGGCGTTACTTTCTTTTCATAGAATAGAGGCACTTTTTTTTAGAAGCACTTGGCAGACAGATGAGGCTATTTTTATACATTTCTATTTAAAAGTAACACCTAGGCTACAGTATTTTCACTTTAAAATCAGATGATGTTAGTTTTCTCTAGACGAATCAAAATTAGCCTTTAGACTTTTAGCTTACCTTTTTGGACAAAACGAAAAAGGAAGTTAGACGAAATGGAAATTAGTTTTCAGATGAAGTGAAAAATAAAATTAAAATAATGAACTCACCCTGTATCATGGATTGAAAGCAGCGATGACTACTTCGGATTTGTTATTGTCTTTTTCTACTGTCGTACTCAATAGAAGGAGGTCTTTGTCTTTTTTGTTGTCTTTTGGTGTTTGCACCGTGGCACGTAAACTAAAGAGAATCTCACAAAAGTTGAGGGTGGCGAGTAAGTCCCTGTTCCAAAGACGACGACCTTCTTTCAAGCATTGTACATTTTTACACCTAGATGACATACAAATGTTATCGATAAACTAAGCATAATTAAAAGTTTCATACCTTAAAAGACCATGACGTTTTACGGTTGGATATTTTTCCCTTCCAAAGGGCCTTGGATTCACGACTTCTTTGAAAGTTCCTACATCACCTTTACATACCGGGCATATACTGGATGTTTTGAATTCATCAATCAGGTGTACCAGAAAACCTTCTTTTTGAAGCATTCTTCTCATGCCAACTCCTCTAATCGGTTCATGGAACTTGACATTCCCCGCAGACCAGTTGCCAATAACAATAACAGCATCGTTGCCAAAATGTTTTCTGATATTCTTACAAAGACGTTTGTCAGATTGCTGTCGATTAATGTAGCTTGATAGTTTTAGCTTTCGAAATGGTAACGTATTAGTATTACGTTCTTCTAAAGGCAAGTCTTCATTCGAGTAGTATTCCTGAAGAACTTGAGTCACGGTAGCTTTCTGTCTTATATATTCTACGTATTGATCTTTTATGACTATGGATGACTTTAAATGTGAAAGAATTGCTTCTGCATTGCTTACGGCCTCTGATTTCAGTCTTTCACAAAGTTTCATTAACTTTCTTGTTTTTGTTTCAATGTTCCTTTGATTTCTCGTATAGCGGTAAGTTCTTTTCTTTTCAACGGTACTGCTTTCGTGCATACAGAACAACATATCACGCCGTCTAGGGTCAATCAAGACACAATTATTTTTGCAAGTTCTTTCTTGAAGTTTTTCTTGAAGTTTTTCTTGCGACAGACTTTCTATGTAAGCAATGTCTTCTTCTATCTTCTTATCATTTCGCATGCCGCCTCCAGAACCTTTCTTCTTGCTGTCATAGGTCTGCTTCAAAATGGATACGGCAATACCATCTGTGTGAATAGTACCTCTAAACTTCATTTGTTTATTGTCTTCTTGAGGCTTCATAGCTTTGGATTTCATGTTCAGTACGGCTCCCCAGATTACTTCTTTGTCTAAGTGGCTAATGACAGAGTTTCTTAAAGTTTGAGTGTTTACGATATATGTTTCTATAGTCATATAACTAGGTATGAATGTTCTTCTCAGAGGAAAGCAGTTGAACGACTTATTGTAGAGAGATTCAGAACATCGCGTCAGATAATAAAATGCCTTCAAATGCTTCGATGGGTCCGCTTTACAATCATAATAAATAGAATTCTTCTTGAAGTGAGTGTCAGAAGTGTAGCAATCAAAAAACTGTTGAAGGATGCCGACTTCTTGTGAGTTAAAAAGATGCGCTGGCAATTCAATGATGTTCCTCAGAGAGATGTTCATTTTTACTTTGGTGTACTGTCTTGCTATGGTTTTGACCGCAGCAGAGATTTCCGCTTTCTGTGCAATTTTTCTTTTTCATTTCACTTTTCAAAGCGCCAATTCTTTCCTGCTTCTTTAATAATAGGTTCAAAAACATACGCAATCTGTTCCCGAAATGAAGAGCGACGCCATTCATGTATGCAGTGTGGATTTTCGTAGTTTCATAGCTTCCTATTTGTTGCGCATATTTCAGTTTGATTAGAACATAAGAGGCGAGTTGGCAATAGGTATATCGATGCTTATTGATAAGCTCCTTGTAACTTCTTGCTTTTTTTTTTCGTTTTGCTTTATCCGGTTTATAGCTATTAAGTAGTGAAATAAAGACTTCTCTGAAGAAATCAACATTGTCAAGGTCCTGTAAAGCAAAATTCATGTTGTTTTTAAGTTCTTGCGTAGAAATATACTTCAAAAGTGCATAAGTATGTGTTACGAGAGTATGTACTCTAAGTACAAGAGATTTGAGACTTGGAATGTATCTCGTTTTCCACTCAATGCCAGTAATAGAACTTTTAACTGTAGTTATCTTTAGAGGAGGTTCCATAAGGGAAAAAAAAAGAAGAAAGAGTACAGCTGACAGCTTTTTATCTTTTTATTTAGGGTTTCAATCACTGATGTATTATCTCTATTTGAGGCCCTACATATATATGTCTATTTAATTGTGCGTATTTTATAATAATTGAATATAACTCTAGCTTTTGTCCAGTACCTGAAAAATATAAACATACTTTGCTCAACAAAAAAACCAGCCTGAGTAACTAAAAGTATGATTTGACGTGTATCCAAATTTTTGTGTTCACCTCTGCTTATAATCATCCTGCATCGTTATTTGAAGGAAGAAGTAATTTTTAATTTCCTTTTCCATTTTGTCTAATTTCCTTTTTTGTTTTGTCCAAAAAAGGTAAGCTAAAAGTCTAAAGGTTAATTTTGATTCGTCTAGAAAAAACTAACATCGTCTGAATTTAAAGTAAAAATACTGTATATACAGAAGGTATAATAACCCAAAGGAAAGCATGTGTCGAAAAAATAGTCCCAGAAAACATAAGCGCAATGAAAGACCTCTGTAACCAATTGCAAATAGATAGGTTGGATCTTTAAACAACATATTTTTAGCTACATTAAAGCAAACGAAAAATTTTGTTCTTGTTATTCATAGTGCTTTATTGCTGAAATCAAATATGCAATTTCGTTCCTTGAAAGAATAGACTAATTTGCATGATTGTGTAAACAAGTTGCACACAAAAACATGTATGTTTTTTGCTGTTTTTCAGAATTCAATATTACCAATAGCTTTTTTGACCATATATACACAAAAACCGGGGAAGGGGTTTTCAATTGTTATTGTTATGATCGTACCTAGATCAAGTGATCATCTGGATCTAGTAATACGGTTTGACTCATTCCGACTCTATTGCTAAATACAAATACAGCCATATCCACCGAGAAAAGCTTATACAAACTATACGGTATACTAAAGTAACAAACTATATTATATGTATAGAAAAACAAAGCAATTAAATAAGAAGAGAGAGAGAGCTTTCTCCAACAGGCATAAAATTAAGTTTGGTTATGCAAGCTGAACATTTGTTCAACAGGTTTTCCTCAGAGTGCTATTTGAGATAACAAAAAGGTGTGAATAATAAAAAGAAACTACAAAAAAAAATGTTTAAGTTTTTAAAGTCATGATGATATGCGTCAACTGCTAATTTTGAACAAGAGATGTCAATTCAAGGCATGGTTTGAAGGACATGTAAAAACAAGGTAAAAAAATGAACTGTACAAGGTTTATAACGTATTCACGGTTTGATCGCACGTTCTAGTAGCGAGCATGAACAGGAATACACTTCTATGAAAATATTAGATCAAAAAGGCATTGAATACATACACAGTCACTAATTCACCTGTTACCATGAAGTACACTATATGTGATATATTTACAGAAAACGTTACTCTGATCTGGTAATGGTATACAGATAGATCAGTGACTGTCCTTGTGACATATATCGGCGTAAAGCTGACCCTTACGGAACAAAGATTCTGGTATCCCACGAATGAATAAAGTTTTTAGATTCTGGATTAATAATCCACAAGTATAAAAAGAAAGCGCACCTTTTTGTTTTTCTTTTTCTTTTTTTGATCTACATTTATTTTTCCCTGGAAAAAAGAGAAAAGTTCGATCTTTTTCCTTTTTCATCTAAACATTAACTTGGCCGCAAATTTCACGCAACAGAGAAAAGATAGTTTTCAACAAGGCATGGCATATGTTGATGAAAACTTAGCTACAGAGTTGACAATCACTTCACCTAAAGAAGTCGCTCAAGTTAAGGAAGAAGCTTCATATGCCAGTTCTGAAAGAACTGCTAAATCTGGTAAAGTGTGATGCAAGTAATTGGTTTGTACTAACAATTGACAGATCAATTACCTGAGAAACATGAAGAAAACGATATCCAATTACCAACCATCCATGATGACCATGATGGTGGATATGGATGGCTTGTTGTTCTTGGTGCTTTTTGTGTACAAGTCACTAGCTTTGGTATTGTTTCTAGTTGGTAGGCAATTTACTCGATTTAATTGTTGTTTACTAATATCCTGATAGGGGTAAAGTTTTTATGGACAAGTAAACAGATAGAACTTACATTTGATTTAGGTGTTATGCAAGACTATTTTCATCAAAATTTGTTTGAGAATGACCCGCAAGCACAGGTTAACCTCAGTTTTGTTGGTTCTTTAGCCTTGATTTTTATTAATGCATCAAGTCCTCTTGTTCAAATTCTTGTCGCTCGTTATGGACTTAGACCTATTATGATCATGGGAACATTGTTTATCACTATTGCTTTGGAAATGGCAGGATTTGCTTATAAGGTAAGTAAAAAGGGAAGAAAAAAAAGCAAAAGAAGATTGACATTTGAAATCAGATTTGGCATCTTTATCTCACGCAAGGTATCTTGTTTGGTATTGGTGCATCCTGTATGTATGTTACAGTCATGTCTGTCACACCTCAATGGTTCACGAAAAACAGAGGTATAGCTTTGGGTATAGTTGCGGGTGGATCAGGAATGGGCGGCCTTATTTTGCCTTTTATTGTCACACCCATCAACCGTAATTTGGGTCCCGGCTGGACTTATCGCATCTTGGGTTTCATATGTATGGTTTGCGACATCATCGCTTGCATCTTTGTTAGGGAAAGAATTCCACGAAAAAGAGAAAAAAAGAAGCTTTCAGATGTATTGCAGTTCAGCGTATTAAAAGATGTGAACTTTCTTATCTTCAGTATTGGATCAGATATTGCTTTACTTGGTTATTTCATTCCATTCTTTTTTGTACCATGTAACTAGAGAAAACATTCTCAAAACAATCGATTTAACTTTTTTTTCTAGCCTATGCTACTTATCTAGGTATGTCAGATTCTCAGGGATCTGCACTTGTTGCCGTTATTTCTGCATTGAATTTTATTGGCCGTTTAATAGCAGGGTAAATAACTTCTTCTGCTTATCTCAGATCTCTCACTTTTTTTATTAGTTTCTTAGCAGATCGATTTGGCCGATTGAACTCAAATATCTTTTTTACATTTTTGGCAGCCATTAGCTGCTTGCTTATCTGGACCTTTGCCTTTTCTTATGGTTCGTTGATGGCTTTTAGTGCAGTATTTGGTCTCTCTTGTGGCTCTTATTTCGCATTGATGTCGCCTATTTCGGCCAGTCTGCTGGGTATGGAAAAGTTCCCTTCAGGTCTGTCTCTGTTGCTGTTGTTCAATTCGATTACTGTGTTTGGAAGCAACATCTCTAGTGCTATTGAAGCAGCTACCACTGCTTCTCCTTATTTTTCATACAAGATGTTTGCAGGTCTGTCTTATTTGATTGGTGGTTTTATTCTTTTGATTGTCAAGTTTAGGATCAATAGAAATCCTTTTGTCAAAGTTTAATAAAACAATGTCACTTTTGTTGTAATAACTTTTCAATGTCACCAGCAATAGCTGATGGTTCAATCAAGGAAGAGTAACGCTGAACAACATTGCCTTCTTTGTCTACCAAGAATTTCTATCAAAATAAATATGAGTATCATTCCAAGAAAATGAGTGTTTTTTTTTTTACTTCAAAATTCCATTTGATTCGAGTCAAACTATGATAGTATAAGTATACATGCGATTCTCATTATAAACATATATACCCAAAAATACCAGGTTGAGAGTTCTTTAAAAATTTGTAAAGTGGGGCTTCATTGGGACCATTTACATCACTATTTTAAGGGAAAAAAAGGGTTATTAAATAAGCATGATATTTTTTAAAAGACGTTACAGCTTAGCAAGAAGAGGAAAGTCTACATCATAAGTCAATTTACAAAAGTTTTGAATTTCTATAGAATTCTTTTGTTATTTACACATTTATCAAATAAATGGCTATATACCATCAGAATTCCCGGGCTCTGTGATAAAATGAGTACTTTATATACATGTTAGAAAACATACCTTGTCCCATAAATTGATTACAAGGCGCTCCTACAATCTCAAAGCCTTGACCCTTATATTTATTATAGAGTTCTTGTAAACCTGCATATTGTCGAGTAAATCCACATTTGGACGCGACATTAACAAAGAGAACGACCTCGATTGGGAGTTAGTTATTATCAAAAGCTGTCAAGCTTACTTTTCCCTTAAGAGAGCCCAGTTCCCAGTCTGTATTTTTGAGTGTCTTGACAGTTAAGTTGTATAATGAAGAAGACATGATGACTATAACAAAAGAGAGAGAAAAAAACGCATTAATTGATCAGTTGGCGGGGTTTATGTTTCGTCTCACTTGATTTGTTGATCTGCCAAAGCTATCGTTTTAAAACTATGTTTCATTTTGAAAGATATATATATATATATATTCTATTTCATAGAAATAAATATTTACATCAGCACAGAATTGAATAGGATATAAGGCCATGTTTGAAAAGCCTTTGACAGACATGTCTTGGAGTTAAATTATCGAATTCATTGCATCCATTGGAGTAGTGAATGCAAGTATTAGGAAGTCCCAAATGCAGAAATAATAAGAAACACTATAATAAATAGAACTTTCGATGAGTTAGAGGAGAGAATGATGTCTGTTAAAATTCATGTCAACTGAGCGATTGTAGGCGCTTAAACACTTCAAGACGGCTTTTTTTTTTTTTTTTTTTTTACTAATCAGGAAGTCATTACTTCATTAGCTCAATCTGTATAAAATAAGTTTCGGTGAATCAGTGATTCATTTTCAGCAAATTGAGTGCACAGCAAGTGTATGTAAAAAGATCTAAACATCTGTTACTTATTGTCCATACTGTCAAGAAATATACACAATGGCATATGTTGAGAAAAGTAAATTTAGGCACAAACAGATACTTTATTGTATATATGTATATGTGTGTTCATAATTTAGAAGGTGACTTTACTATTTCATTCAGAGCATGCTCAATATGGAAGTTGTTGGGTACTTGTTCTTCCATTTTTGTCACTTCTCTTCCCCCCTTTCTTTCTTTCTCCTTGTATACACTGTCCTTCCTTTTTTCTTCTTCTAATATAAAGTGCTAAGAATAAATAAATACAGGTTTTTATGGACCCTAAAGTCACAAGGCACACTTCAACCAACTTGGAGGACTTACATGAAAGGATTGCAAAGCTGTTAAAGGATCCTTCCGAAGCAATCGAGAATGCCTCTATCAATATAGACAATATGAGTCTATCTGAACTCAAAGCTTTTGCTGAAAGAGGTATAAATAAAGAAAAAAAACAAAATGACTCATATATATATATATTAGGTGGTCTAGGGGCCTGTGTGTCAAAAGCTGACGTACTAGCAACTTCCTCTGAAGAATTGATGTATTTGCAAGGTAAGCAATAGATTGTGTGAAACCACAGATCCTTATATAGCCCCTTAGGCGAGCGTATTATTGTTCTGAAGCATATAGAAGATGATATTTATATGGGATATTGTGAAGGTGTCATTGGCAGTTTTAATGCAGAAAATGTACATTTTGTTGAACTGGATCCCCGTGTACTCGAGTCTTTAGACGCAGACTTGGACTTCACTACGGATAATTCGCAATACAGAAACTCAAGTAGTAGTTATGGTACAGACCATTACCTTCATCAACAGCATTTGACCTTTAGAGACTCTTTACAATCATACTCTTCAGGCTCAGATCTTCATTCACAACAGCATTACCGTGCAACAGGAAAACCAAGTTTCGAAAGCATAGGTTCACTTCATCATCAACTGCAACAACAATCGCATATCTCATCCTCATCCCCATCTTATTCAGAAGACAATTTTGGTAGTGACATTAAGCAATATGACCCCTATGATACCTCAGCATTTAATATCGACTATTCAGATGAAGAGTCCTATAAACCTTCACCTAGATCTACACCATTACCTAAATCACCTACACCACCACCACTGTCATCAACAACAATAAGTGATGATAATTCCCCAAAATCAACATCTTTGGATAAAGACATGATTGTGGACGAATATGGCTTTGTGGTTAATAAAAGTCAAGCAAGACTTAGTCGATCCAACATGTCTGCCAAATCAATGAGAGAATACCGAGAAAATGAATTAAAGTGGCTGTCGATTGTCAGCAAATTAGACGCTGGTACAGTCAAAAAAGATGCCAAATTCAAGAAACTGGTTAGAAATGGCATTCCAGCCTCAGTTCGCTCTCGCGTATGGCAATTCTTGGCAGGCAGCAATGACTACCGTAAATCAAACATGTTTAACGAACTTGTCCAGAAACCAAAGATAAAGATTTACGATGTAATTGAACGTGACATTGCTCGATGCTATCCTGATCATACACAATTCATGGATCAACATGGTCAAGGCCAAAAAGACTTAAGCTGCCTCTTAAGAGCTTATGCACAATACAATACCCAACTAGAGTACTGTCAAGGCATGGGTCGATTAGCAGGACTGATGCTTATGCATATGACTGTAGAAGATTCATTTTGGTTGTTAGTGGCCACAATTGATCGATACATGAATGGTTATTTTACGCCCACATTGTCTCAACTGCGTATTGATGCTTATATCATTGGGCAACTACTAAGAGATCATAATCCTAAATTAGCACAACATTTGGAGAGCAATGATGTGCTGCCTATCATGTACATTGCACAATGGTTTTTAACAGCATTTACTATGACTTTACCCTGGGAATCTGTATTGCGTGTCTGGGACGCATTTTACTTTGAAGGTAGGCTATATGTGCTTTTCAATATATGCTAATCACACTTTCGGTTTTTTTTAGGCATTAAAGTATTCTATCGTGTTAGTTTGGCTATAATGGAACTTTGCAAAGATTATTTGCTTAATTCATGTCCTACTAACTCTGAACTCTTGGCCTTTCTCTTACATATTCCTCATAAATATCTCGAGCCAACTGCACTGTTAGACACTGCCTTTCGCATTAATCTGAGCAAGACAGATATTAAGCGCTATGCAAGAAAGGCTGGAACGGAAGATGCAACAACATCTGGCTTACCTTTTGAAGATGGCATTAAAAATCTTCAAGTGAGTGGCCATAGTATAGGTGGAGGATTCAAAGGTTTTGGTGGAAAGCTAACTAAAAAGGGCTCCAATATGAACATTAAAGTAGGCGGTGGAGACTCTTTTGAATAAACTGTATTTTTATGTCAATTGCTTTTTTTTTATTCTTATTATTGGTTGCGGGGATTCTCTTCCCGAGGTTTTTTATTTTTTGTTTCTACATGTTCTTGACGCGTTTAAATACTTTTGCAACAAGAAATCTCAAGCTATTTTACACTTTACGACCATCAATCGCTATTCAAAAGACTATGGCAACACTTGCTTCTTCAGAAAGAGAACTCGAGGTCATTGAAAACTTGAACTACGTTCGACAAACAGTTGAAGACCTCAAAGGCCAAAGCAATGTGAGTTCCATTTATACAAGTATACACTTACTAAAGTCGCACACATACACACACAACAGGCTCGTCTTGTAGCTGTCAGTAAGTACATGCCTGTTGAAGATATTGCTTATGCAACCAAGACTGGGCAGACACATTTTGGTGAAAATTATGTAATAAACCCATTGTGCATACTATTGTGTATTAATTGTATTTAGGTTCAAGAATTAGCTGAAAAAAGCAAACAAGTAGGTGTGAAACAATTTCATAGTATGAACTTACAGAGACATATCAATAGTTGCCTTCTTCAATTGACTGGCATTTTATTGGTCATCTTCAATCTAACAAATGTAAAATAGTAGCATCCATTCCAAACCTGTTTATTGTTGAAACAATTGACAGTGCAAAAAAAGCAGATGCGCTAAACAAAGCCTGTTTAGCAGTTGAACGTCAAGATAAGCTCAAAGTTTATGTTCAAGTCAACACAAGCGGAGAAGAAGGTAAGACATTGTTTGTTTATTGTTCTAAATGTCATCACCATTAGCAAAAAGTGGTGTAGAGCCTAGCGAGGCATTGGATGTCTGCCAGCATATTAAAGAGAATTGTCCGGCTCTTGAGTTGTATGGTTTGATGACAATTGGCATGAAAGATCGTGATGCAGCCAACAACCCTGATTTTAAGGTAAAATATAGGCTCAATTTGTTTAATCAAAAGCTTACGTGTCCTCCAATAGAAAATAATCGAATTAAAGCAAGACATTAAATTGAAATTACAGCTTGAAGTATTTGAAGCCAGTTTTGGTATGTCTGGCGACTATAAGGAAGCTTTGCTGGAGGGTTCAAATAATGTTCGTGTGGGCACTGCTATTTTCGGTGCAAGAAGAACGAAGCAACAACTATGATATATATGCAAAGTCGAGACAATAAAATTCTTTTACTGCAATACTAACAATAGCTATTCAAATAAATCTTTCTTGGTATTCTTTTAAGTCAATAATTAACATTTTACTGAATCACAGATCAGACAAGAGAAAAGGAGACATAGGCGCGTTGATTTAAAGAAAACAAAACTTCCAGTTCAGTGAATTTCATCTTTATTATTCTAGATATGACAATATAGCAGCATTGATAGAGAGTCAGAGCCAAGAATGAAAAATAAGAGGGATACAGTTTCTTTAAGCTAGGAAGATTGTAATTTTTCATGCATATAAAAAGTGTGTCTGCAAAGGTAGTTCGGCAAAAAATTCGTGTAGAAAAGCAATAACTTACATAGTCACGTGAGCCTTACTATTTTTTTTAGATATTCAAGGTCGAAATAAATTTCTCTCAAGAATGTATTGAGACCTTCGAACATAGAACAGTAAATATAAATTGCTGTGATCTTCTTAGTTTTATTCGATAAATATGTATAAGTAAAATATATAAGTCAAATTGAAATTAAGTATAAATATGTGAAAGTGATATTATTTGCTCTTTGATCTTCTTTTTATCGCTCGCTTTTCATAGTAAATTCCGAAACATCATTAATCATATTCAAATGGCAGTACCAAACAGTGATATTTTAACAGCCTTACAACAGCAAATGGCTGCACAACAAGCAATGATTGAGCAAATCATGCAAAATCAAGAACTCCAGAATCAACAACAGCAATAACAAAATCAACAGGAACAAGACATGGAAGCTGAAGACCCATTTTTCAACACCCAACAACAAGTACATTCTTTTGAGACACGACCCCATTATGATTGGAATCCTTCTCAAGAATTATCGCAACTATTGAGATTGGAATGTAATTTATTTTCAGGTCCAGGAATGTCGGACAACCAACGTAAACAATTGATTGAAAGATATCCTGCCATCCAAGGAGTCAATTATCAACCACCCGCTACCATTCCTGAAGCATATGCCAGAATGAGTTATGATCAAACAAGGGAAGACAAAATGCTCAAGCACCATCAATATGTTACTTCAGCAATATTCAGGCCTTTGGATATCTTGGCACATGAGATTAGTTCTGAAATTGACAATCCAAACGTTCACAGATATTTGCAAATCATCAATGATATTAGACATTTAGTTTTGCATGCTAATTACGATTTGACAGACTCTAGAAAAAACATTGCACTCAAGGCAATCAATCCAAATTTTAGATTATCTGCTGCAAACAATACAGACTATATTATGGCACAAGACAAGTTTCATAACTTAATAAACAATCAATTCAGTACAGCAAAGGCCTTGCAAGCAGCTCAAAAGTTCAACAAGAAGTCTTTTTCTGGAAACCGTGTCGAAACACAGTCGTTGGTTCGGCGTTCCCAACTTCAGCCCAGCCCAACGGCCTCTGTTCAACACAAGCCCAATTACAGCAACTACAACCACCACTATTCAACAAAATCAACAGCACCTCAGAAATCATTCAACAAACAACAGTACAGCAACAGCCGCTCTCACGACAAGAACAACAACAACAACCAGTAGGGGGCAGGCTAAGCCAGTACTATTTAGAGTGGACCCAGCTTTCAAACAGTTTCTGGCTCAACAGCATAATAAAAAACGGGTACAAAATACCATTCCACACACCTCCGCCACTCACTACAATTCCAAAATCAACAAAACCGTCAACACCTCAGCAAGAACAACTCCTAGATCAGACAATTCAAGAACTTCAACAGAAAGCAGCAATAGAACCAGTGAACCCAGCAACACCAGGCTACTACAGCTCAATCTTTGTAATACCCAAGAAGGACAAAGGCCTGAGGCCAGTCTTCCACCTCAAAGCCTTAAATCGATATGTCTCACCACCGCACTTCAAAATGGAGACATTAAAGGAGGTATCTCTTTTGATCAAACCAAACGATTATATGACCTCTATAGATCTTGCGGATGCCTTTCTACACATAACGGTACATCCAGCATTCAGAAAATACTGTTGTGAACATATATGAATTCGTATGTGTAGATCAATAAATGATGATCATGGCAAAAGACCAGATCGCATCTATGGCAATTGCAATGGATCTATAGTCACTGACATTCACTCATTCTACTAGAAGTACTACATCATCCTCATAGTCAGAGATTATGAACCTAGTGACTCTGTTATTATTAATGGCCCTCATAAAGTGACAGTTAGAGCTGACAAATACATTGGCATTGGCATTTGACAAATATGTAATAGCTTATTCAAGTTCAGGTCAGATCATGTACTATTGGCTGAGCTGACAACTTCCTCTAAAGGCATTTCTCTTAATTGCTCCTGATCTAACAAATCAATTCGTAGTCAAGAAGCTAACCCAAAACAATATTTTGACCAAGAAGAAAAAGTATAAATACCTTGACATTTTATAGCAATTGAAAGATAACATTTTCTTGGAGAAATAAAAACCTATACAAGTTCTAACGGACTTTCTCTGTGTTCTTACCTTTTCTCTTATTGAATATCTACTCTCTCTTCATCTCACAACAAACATGTTTAAACTAAGATAGAAGACATCCATCGAAGCTGCGGATAAAACTGTGATTGAAAGATATATTTATACATGATATTAATACTTGCTCTTTTAAGGCATAACTAGTGTAAGAAGGGATGAATAATGCTGTGTATACAACAGTATAAATACTGTAATAATTTGTATCTCGTTCCTTCTTCCTTTGTCAGATATTTTGTTTATCTTTTCTTGCAAAAATAAATTATCATTCTTTTTGGATCAATTTTTGTAAGTATCATTTGGGGCTCCGTTCGTGACAGTAACCACTAGTGAGATCCAATTGACTAAAGTACTTTGCCCCACTAAGATGCTCTAAGCACTCATCAATACGAGGCAGAGGAGTGTTTAACCGCTTAGTACATAAGGAGTTAGTCATACGATAGTCAATACACATACGAAGAGAGCCACCTTTCTTGCGCACGAATAACACCGGAGCACCCCATGGAGACGAGCTAGGTTGGATAAAGCCCTTGTCCAAGAGATCCTTTAATTGATGCTGTAATTCATCCAGTTCCAATGGAATCATTTTGAACGGAGGGCGACGTACCGGCTGAGCATCTCCAGTTTCGATGACGTGTTCAACGTCACGAAGTAGAGGTAACTCTGGAGGCAACTTGCCTCTGAAGACATCCTTGTACTTGTCCAACAACTGCTTGACAGCCATATCCAACCCATTTTCCAAACCAGTGCCAACTTGCTGAGTAATTGCCAAGTCTTCTGCACCCCGAAGATGTACCAGGTAAAGCTCTTCTACTTCACCACGCTTCAAACTGCGCTGCACTTGCTTCTTTGAAATCACCGCAACCAGACCGTCTTGACCACCAGAAGCCGAGAGATTACTTGGAACCAATGTAGCCTCAACCAATCCACCACCAGCAGTCAGTTTCCAATGACCACAGGACCAATCAGGGACAGGCTTATATCTCTTAAACCAGTGTTGACCTAAGATTAAGTCAAATTTAGTGTCAGAAATATATGCCTGCACCTGTTGTATGACATCACCTGCAACCAGTTGGAATTCCACTTTCTCACTGATAGTAGATAGTTGACCGTTAGCCGTTTCCACATTGTGACTAGACCTAAGAGGTATTCTTGTCATACCGGGAGTAACCGCCTTGGATGAAATATAATTTGCACTTGCACCTGTGTCCAACAGGACCTTAATTGGGCGAGGTTTGTCAAACACATTGGAACGGAGACCAAAATCATACAATGGTAAATCAGTATTTTTATTAAGATTATACAAGTATGTGCCATCAGTTTCCAGTTCCGCAAGTTCATTATCATCCAATCCTAAGAGATCACCAGTTGGAACAGTATTTCTTGTATTATCACTGTTGTGAGGTAAGAGAGAAGATAAAAACAAAGAAGTCGATTAGAACTTGTATAGGTTTATTATCCAAAAATATATATATATTTTCTAGCTCTTCATTCTCTAGGTATTTATACATGAAGAGATGTCGGAGTAAGTAGTCGTAGAGTTCATGCAAATGACTGAGTCTCTATTATCATAGACTACTTTAAATTAATTAAATAATGTAAATTATGGATTTCGGTTATACGTCTTGATCTATTAAAAGATACATTGTCTTATTTAGTACAAGAGGTTCTTTTATGTCTATTTCTGATGTAAATTGATTATGATATATTTTTAGTATGTAAATGAAGACTTATTTAATGTCAGATCATCATATGCATATAGATTCTATATGTTCACAACAATCACCAATACTGTTAAGGGAACTTTCTTGAGAGCGTGCCTGATCTCCCTTCCCCTCAAGCACGCTTAGTCTTTTAAATAACTACCATTGCTGACTGTTGTGAACATATATGAATTCATATGCATAGATCAATACATGATGATCATGGCAAAAAACCAGATCACATCTATGGCAATTGCAATGGATCTATAGTCACTGACATTCACTCATTCCACTAGAAGTACTACATCATCCTCATAGACAGAGACTATAAACCTATTGACTCTGTTATTATTAATGGCCCTTATAAAGTGACAGTTAGAGCTGACAAATACATTAGCATTGGCATTTAACAAATATGTAATAGTTTATTCAAGTTCAGGTCAGATCATGTACTATTGGCTGAGCTGACAACTTCCTCTAAAGGCATTTCTCTTAATTGCTCCTGATCTAACAAATCAATTCGTAGTCAAGAAGCTAACCCAAAACAATATTTTGACCGAGAAGAAAAAGTATAAATACCTTGACATTTTATAGCAATTGAAAGATAACATTTTTCTTGGAGAAATAAAAACCTATACAAGTTCTAACGGACTTTCTCGGTGTTCTTACCTTTTCTCTTATTGAATATCTACTCTCTCTTCATCTCACAACACTGACCTTGCCTTGAGACCTGTTCAGAAAGGTCGGGCATTCACGCTTCATGTGACCGATACCACCACAAGCGAAACAGCGAAGAGCACCATTACCGTTACGACCACGATAACCACTTGGAGAACTACGACGATAACCACTTGGAGAGCTACGACGATAACCAGAACCACTTTGGCGTACTTGTCCTGTCAAAGCATTAACCATTTCACGCAAGGAGTCCAGTTCCATTGGGTTATAATTGACCTTAGGCTGAGCCGTTTGTTGCTGAGGTACAGCGAAACCTTCCTCCTCCTTTGAAGCTGCCTCTATGGCTAAAGCCGAAGATTCAGCCTCAGAAAGAGTTGTTGGGAATCGAGAACGCACTGCAACACGAATGACCTTACTAAGACCACAAACAAAACGATCCAGAGCATCACCTTGAGATAAGTCAGGAATCTGTAACTTAAGCCTCCTGAACTCATTGATATAACCAGACACAGAACCTGTTTGAGCCAAAGAAGCCAGCTTGTCACGTGCCTGGATTACCGCATTGATGGGGATGAATTCCTTACGTAGAAGTACCTTCAAATCAGACCAGTCTTGAGGAAGATGTTCTGTTTCATACATCTTCAACTGAGAAAACCAGAGTTGGGCATCTCCCCTCAATAAAGACAAGGCGTACAACAACTGGTCTTGACCATGGGTCACCTTAACCAGCTGAAAATACAAGTCCATTGAGTTGATCCAACTATCGACCACCAGGGCATTTCTCTCGCCCTTGAACACTTCCGGCTCACGGAGCTTGGGAGCCATACCTACTGCATATAGACCTGCAGCATTACCCATCTGAGTATCTGTATTCATCTTGAAAACCAGAGAAAAACCAGACGAAAAAACCAGAAGAAACCAATAGAAATAACCTAGATAAGACCTTTAGAAATAACCTACAATATAGACCTTGTAGAAGAGAAAAAACCCTAGTATGACCTAGTAAAGAACCTTGCGATAACCTTTAACTTGCTTAAAGAATTACGTCTGATGCTACCAGTTGTCGTCTTGATATTATAACAACTAATAGTATTTAAGTAATACTAATTAAGAGTGAAGAGATAATTAATTGATTCCTTTATTGAATAACGATGATAACTTATATTTATACTTTTCTACCAAGTACTATGGATAATTCTATAAAGAAAATAAGAAAGTTGTGGAAGGTTCCGGAACCATGATTACTAATCGGAGATTAGTAATCAAGTGACTTGCTGTCTAGAACCTTCTAGCATTTTACTTTCCAGAACCTTCTTGTACCTTCGAGATGTCACGTGACCGCCTTGGTTTTTGAGTTGGCTTGAATCTTTTTTTTGTTACGACACAATTGTCAAGTTGATATTTTCTTGAGCTCTGTGGTCAATAATACGGGTCACGTAACAATAGAATATTTTCTAGC